GCAATTTGCTGCGGTAGCCGCGGACTCACCCGCGTTCGAATGCACGCGTACGTTATTCAACGGAAACCCTTTCGCAAGGACATGTTCTTCCTCGACTAACCCGTGCCGCAGCACCAGTGGATCCTGAATATTTTCTTCACCCAGTCCTCCTTGCGGGCTGGGGAACTCCTATTGGAGAGCTCTTCGACTTGGAAAGGCTATCAGAGGCATGTGCGAAGCTAAATCGGTGGACATTCTTCCTCTGCAGCGTTCCCTTGAATTATAGCGGCGCTGTGGCGAGCCCAGCCAACGCCATGGCCCTATTTTGAGTATTACCAGAAGCCTGCGCAGGCTCTAGGGGTTCCCTGTCTCTCCGCATTCATTACAGCGACCGGCTGGTCTTCAGTAGCCATTGTATCCCTTCCTGCAAATCATTATCCCAGACATTGTTACTCGGGAGTCCATTTACTCTTCTGAATCCATGTGGAAGCCCTGGATAAATCTTTGATCGAACTTGAACGCTAAGTACGAAATCATGAGCAATCCGGCCTCTCCTTAGGGACATGGTCTTACGTACCCTGAAGATTCTAATTTGTCTGCAAACAGCATGCCATGGTCCCTCAGCGGGTCGTTGCCGCAGACCAGAATATGCGTCGGTGGCATTCGTTCCATCACTCCTTCGCTGCAGAGTAACGGATTGGTGATGACATCCCGTCGACCTTCGTCGTCGACTTGGAGCATCTCGGCGAAAGCTTCGACCAACGAATATGGCAGCAGCGGAGCGTGCCTGCATTGGATGGGGGATGATTTTCCGAGAGTTCCAATGGCATGGAAAGGAAAACTATCGGGATGACACAGCCATGGCATCCACAGAGCCTGTCCCTGGATCTTGACGTCGTTGACCTTTTCAGAGTGCTTTAGCATCACACATTCTCCAGTCGAGCGAAAGCCACTTACCATCCTTTCTCTGACCGTTAGACTTGCCGCCAGGTTAGCACCGCTGCTGATCCCAGCGACGTACAGGTCGATGTTCGAGGGAAGGCCTAGGGTTTGTGGTTGATGCAGAACCTGACATCTGGCATCCCACGCGTCGTCAAATGGGTGGGGATACGTCCATTCAGGGGTGTGTCTGTAGTTGATAGAGACCACAACGATGTTCCCCTGGCTTGCCAGTTGCACACACATCCCGTCCTCGGTCGACAGATTGCCGCTGAGGAAGCCACCGCCGTGAAAATAGAGCAACACTTTGCACGAGTCGCCATTCTGGAGTTCTCCTAGTCTCGTTTCTAGACTGCAGGCGACCGGATGAGGCCAGTAGACACGGGCGCCGATCTCTTGAAAGTCGCGGCAGAGGATGGACTTTGTCTGCATGGTAACATCATGACCCTCTTGCTTTTTCAGTGCATCTTCACTCGCACGGCACCGAGCCGCATTACTCGCGGTACGGAAGTCTCGACGCTGTTCTTGGGTATTGAGCAATGCCACAGGAAATACAATGCCTTTGTCCTGGACAAGATTGAGCCATTCCTCACAGACACCTCCGAACTGGCTATAGTCCGCCATGTCTGTCTGGCACATGGACCAAGTATGGCCTCAAACCTCAACTACCGTATTAGGTTTGGGAGATCATTGACTGCCACCTTCTCAGATGCCGTTCAGTAATCGGGAGATCTTCATAGGGCTCATATGTCGATTCATAGAATGTGTCCTGCAGTCCTACACAAAGCGTACGGGCTTCTCAAGCTGCACGGTGAAACGGTGATTGGGAGATGGTGTTCTCGCAGATCGTGATCTCCGGATCTCCGTTGCTTGGACCGATCTCAAGATCTCCATGTGGAATAAACTTCAAGCTTGCGCGTAACGAAAGGAGCTCCTTGCGCCCCTGCCCACGGGGAAAATCCTAGAACAACTTGACCGCCCCGCGGGGTTCGTGGGTGAGATATATATATCTAACTGCCCCTTGACGCCAGACTTCGCCCTTAGGATATAGCGTAGGCATCGAAATCATAAGTTCTCGAGAGTCTGTGCTCTTCATTTTTGGACGAACGAACTAGCCAACCGACCACTCGTCACTATGGCTGCCGAGAAACGCGAGTTCAACGCCCGAAATTTTTGGATATGTTTCTTCATATCCATGGGCAACGTCGCCTTCGGCTATCCCGCCGGTGAGAATACCTTGATCTGGAGAACGGAAATACATGGGAGCTGACATTCCCGCAGCCATCATCGGCACCACACTGTCCCAGCCAGGGTTTCTGAAGTACATGGGCATGGTAACTGAGCATGGGCTCAGCGCCAATGCTCATAGTTTGATTGGAGCCATGAACGGTGTCTTCCAAGTACGAGAACCTTCTCACTGGACTAGATTTCGGAAGCTGATAACTGTCTGTGTTCTTTTAGGCGGGGGCTCTCTTCGGGATTTTCACCGCCGAGATGGTCATGGACAGGTGGGGCCGAAAGGCGGGCATTCTTTACACCGCCACCTTATCTGTCGTCGGAGGGGCGCTGGTAACGGCCAGTCAAAATGTTGGCATGTTCATTGCTTTCCGATTTATTGCTGGAGCCGGGTCTGGATTGATACAAGTGTGTAAGTGAACAAGATGAATCGATCTCGGCGCGAATCATCTATATCTGACGATACTTCGTTTCTCAGGCCCAGTATACAGCTCGGAACTGGCCCCACCGCATTGGCGAGGATTCTTCGTGGGAATGAACGGCATGCTCATCGCCACAGGCTATGCTTTAGCCGCTTATATGGGACTGGCCTTCAACTCGATCCAGAATAATCCCCAAGCACAATGGCGCGGCCCGTTAGGCATGTCTATCGTCTTCTCCGCGTTCATGATCCTGGTTCTCCCTTTTATTCCCGAGTCGCCACGGTGGCTTTTGATGAAGGACCACCCGGACAAGGCTTGGGACGTTGTGAGAGATCTGCATCACGCGCAAAATGATGTGAACCACGAATTCGCGCGTCGCGAGTTCTACCAGATCAGGAAACAGATCGAGCTGGACCGGACACTGGACCATTCGTGGAAGCACATGTTCCAGAAGCCAACGTACCGTAAGCGGAGCTTGCTGGCCATTGGATACGCCTTTCTCGGGGAGAGCACCGCGGTGCTGGTCATCACAAACTACGCGTCAGTGCTTTACGGGCAGCTGGGGTATAATAGCCACCAACAGATCAGCCTTCAGGCTGGCTACCACACGGTCCCAATCATCGGGAACCTGGTCGGGGCAATGCTGATTGATAAGGTTGGACGTCGTCCGCTGATGCTGCTGGGGCTCGCAGGCTGCGTGGTGTGCCTGTCGATCGAGGCTGCCATGGTCGCGTTATTCACGGGGGAAGGCCAGGCGCACAACACCGCGGGATTGCACATGGGCGTAGCAGCGCTCTACATGTTCATCTTCATGTACGCTATCGGCGTCGACGTGGCTGGCATCGTCTTTTTCGGGGAAATGTTCCCCAACCACATCCGGGGCAAGGGATTCTCGCTCAGCGTGAGCACCAAGGCCCTCACAGACTTGGTGTACCTACAAGTGGCCTCGACGGCCTTTGCCAACATCGGCTGGCGCTTCTTTTTGGTCTTCATCTGCATCGTCACCGTTGGCTTCGTTGTCATGTGGATCTATCTGCCGGAGACCAAAGGCCTTCCCCTCGAGGAGGTTGCTGCCATCTTCGGTGACCAGGATGAAGTCATGCTGTACCTGAAGGACATTCAGGTAGATCAGGGCTCCGACAAGCTCGAGATCCACCACATCGAGGCCGAGCATGAGATTGTCAAGGTGGTCACCGACGACATGATCAAGAGCGCCACCGAGCAGCCTTGAACACAAGTGGACCGGCCACCTTCCTACAAACACTCGTCTCACATGCTTGTGAGTACCTAGATACTCAGTAAAAGCACTGCTCGCGCTCCACTAGTCAAAGGCTCCTGTGTCTTGCGGTCTAGCTTGTCCACAGTGCGAGGAGTTCAGTGCATGCGACTTGCTTCAAGAACCTCAACTCCACGTTCCTAACCAGACTGATCACCAGTCATTGAACTCAAGGCTTCACAACGACATGCAGTGGCTTCTTCTTCAAACTGTGACTCCGTGACAGATTTAATGCGAAAGTGAACCCTAATCAAATACTGTTGCCGTCAATAAATATGGCAAACTCCTTCACATGATGTACCTAAGCCTTCCAAATTTAGTCATATCGACAAGACATTTGTACAGTATGCAGTACTGCGTCCAATTATGCCCCTCGAGCCGCAAGAAGACTGCCCATGAGCGCCGAATATCCTGGGAAGCTGGGAAGACCTACTCTATAATATATTTATAGTACTCATAGAATGTTTTTGTGAGGGTTTAGCAAAGAGTTCTGCAACTAGCTATGCTACCGTATGTGTTACGATCGTAACATGTAAGCAAGGTTGAGCAACGTTATGGCATACTACAGGTACGCAATGCCTACGAGACATGGGAAGCAATGCTTCCGTACGGATCAAGCAAGCTCCGGTTTCAGCATCGACAGCAACGCCATTGACAAATTGTACATATACCCTAACGACGCCAGGACGAGGTCAGACCTCTTTCCTCCTTCTCTAGGTTAGTACCATGGAATCGCGCTGTCTACAAAGGAGGTCCACCCTGCGGTTTGTACGAGCCGTAACATCATTAGGACCTAGAGTTACCTTCTACCGACTATTTTTAATTTTAAATTAGGGTTTTATGGCTATAGAATAGAATGGGACCGCGAAGACGAGGGTGCGTAGTAAGGTGAGAAGAAGGGTGAGAGGAGGTGAGAGGAGGGTGAGACGTGAAGAACAAGTTGATAAAGCAGCACGCTTGTGGTGAGCGCCCACGTGAGCTGCGAACAGCTTTTACATTGCTTGTGCTGCCAAGCGTCCGTACCCCAACCACAGACTCAGTCCATCAGACTAATCCAAGCAGCTTTATACTTCAAAGTTGTGATCTCTTATCGATTGTTGGTAGCAAGATTCTAGAAAGCTCTATCGGATCTTTGTGGCGTGAATCTTCTACAGGACTGCGGCTAGCCCGAGAGCAGCTGCCCCAAAGAATGCCGGGAGGCCAACAATGTTGGTTGGGACTGCTGCGTTGGATGTGGCTGCTGCGTCGCTCTCAGCAGCACTCTCAGTCGCGCTCTCAGTTGCACTCTCAGTCTCGCTGGCTGATGTTGCTGCTGCAGTGGCTGATGCGGAGGCTGAAGTCTCAGTGGTTTCTGCGCTGGCAGTAGCAGGTGAGCCATTTGATGTGGTCGCGGCTCCCGTGGCAGTAGCTGAGGGGACGGTGACGATGTCCGAAAGGCTGAGCGTCAAGCTGGCATAGAGAAGGCAGAACGCATCCCCGAATTCGCTGACCTCTGTGATCTCATCAGTACACAGTGTGCTTTTGTATCGAGGGATTGATTCTCACCCAAAACCTCCTCCGGTGTGCATACTGTTGGAATAAGCTCCAGAAGGTGCTCAACCAAGCCTGAGTCTGAGCAGATACAGACCAGATCAGACAAAGAGCATCCAGTTGCTGCAGCAGCTTCCAAGATAGGTGATTGCTATAGTCGCCACCATAAGTTGTCAGTTGTTCTGCTCTTGTCTGACGCTTTCGAATGTTGTATGCTTTCTAGTACTTACAGCGCATTCTGGCAATGATGCAAGGTCCTGGGAAAGTGCCGGGGCGATGAACAGCACGGCTGCGGCTGTGATAAAGTTGTAGAGCTTCATCTTCGCGAATGGGTAGATGTTACGATACAGTTGCAAGTAGTAAGAAAGTCCTGGTCGGTCAAGGAGCACAGACTAGAAAACATAGATTTGAACAAGATAGAGCAACGAGTAAGTGGACATTCGTTCTAGTTCTAGATACATCTCTTCCAAGAAAAGTTTCCGAGGTCGGCTTGCAAAGATTTGATCCTACGCACAAAAAGGCGCGTGCTGACGCCCTAGAATCGGATGTAACTAGATTGGAGGATGCTAAGACTGAGTAGTGGTGGTAGCCAGATGATCAACATGCGTGGTGAGACCGTCGAGAAGCAAGCACTAGCCCATCGATGTCCGATCAGTGGACGCCAATTTTCCCTGTGTCGTCGGCAAGCAGCTCATCCAGGGAAAAATATACAGATCTGCACCACGCAAGTCCCACGCCGAGGTACCCAATTTCAATACGTGCATCTTGTTTCGTAATGAAATTGCAAATGTTTGGCTGGACGAAGACATCTGTAGCGAGCTTGGGTCCACTCATTGGACTCGAATTGCCCATCTCTCGAATATTTTCGGCCAAGCACTGTTATGATTTCTGGAAAAGGAAGCTTGCTACAGTCAGCTACGGTCAAATGGATGGCTCTGATTTTCATCGGCGACAAAGGCGAAGTCGGAGCCAAGATACCCAGACAATCTAATGCTAAGCCGGTTCAAATATCAATGCCACAAAAACGACGACGTCGAAGTATATCACCAGATAATCTAATCAGATTAAGCCAAGACACAATGCCGAGATCTTGGAGGTAGAATGCCAAGTGACACACAGAGGATACTTATATTCGACTCGGTCGTGCTTCGGTCTAAGTGGGCTGGTCGCAGCATCACGGTCCGAGGACGTGACTGAAAACATCTCCGCAAAGTCTTGGATCTTCGATATGGGGCTTCGCTAGATCCTACCAACTGAATTTCGAGCCTAGTGAGGGCCTTATGTGCTCGTCAAGGCCATCAGAAGAATTTTCACCCTGCCCCCGCATTAACGAGCGATGCGGAATATGCCGGCGCAAAAGACCCTTACTGGTGCTCGACAAATTATTTCTTCCCACGAGAACTTGACCCAAATTAAATAGGATCTAGGTCTTTGTATGGAACCTAACGCACGTTCCTGTATGCCAGGATGAGGATCAGGCCACGTTCAAGCCTCGTGAAGGTTAGTCAGTCCCGTGTGCTTTGGGTATTTGACGGACAACAAACGCGCAAAACACCACGCCTCACACGGCCGTCAGATTAGATAAGATAATTGAATGACTCGACAGCCAAGATAGTAGTGTATCGGTACTCCACCCCCCTCAGAAAGTTATTCGTTTTGTTGTTCCTACAACGACGGTACCTCTCTGTTGACCTGTTGACTACCAAGTGGCGAGAAGACGTTTCTCTCCGTCCTCAAGTCTTGCGTGGCAAAGGCTCGGAAGTTGTACGGAAACGACAATCTCACGAGCATTGCTTCCACGAGCTTGGCTTCAGCTGTGAACATCCCTCAAGAAGGTGGGTTCATTAAAGCAATGTGAAGGACCTGGAAACAGGTGTAGCTACGTCCTCAGAGATGTATATACTTAGACTTTTCAGTTACAGGACAGCGTTATCCATTCGCCATGTTGTATATGTTTACCCTTCGTCTCATTTGCTCCTGTCGACCTGGCATGGGAAAATGACAAAGGTTGAAAGCCAACGATGCTCAACAGAAAGCGCATTCACCTTGCGCGTTGATTCGTTGTCTGAATGGTCTTGGGCAGCGATGAGTTAAGACTTTTCTCGCGAGTTTAAAGACATTATCATAGGTCTCGGTTCAAATGCTTCAGATCTAGTGTCTAGGCGCTCTGCCTTTGTCTCCATGAATTCCACCGCCCGGACTCGACTCGTTCCGGCCTCTGCTGATGCAGGATCTCAACTGACTTTGGTCCATAGACCACTGTTGGCTATTAAATCTTGTATGCCTCTGAGACATACGAAGTGGCCAGGCTCAACTTACAACTCAAATAGTACTTTATGTCACCAAGAGCCATCGAATTCCAGAGAAATCGGTGTGTATTAGATACCGTATTCCATGGGATTCTGCTTGGCAATTCACCTATGGTGTATCGAGGGTGGATTTCTTGGAAACTTTCCCTCCGTTATCGCATCTGAATGTGGGGCACATTAACAGCCTTGAAAGACGACCGCGTTGTATGGACCCTGACTCAGGAGCATCAGACCTGACTTGTCCTTCTAGGGATGACTTTTATGCCAGGTGGATTGGAGCATTGCGTCCCACTTCCAGACACAACAGGAGGAACGCGGCAGCTGCTACCAGCATGTGATGCAGCCATCTGCAAACTACTGGCATTTGCAAATGCCGGACCGACAAGGAGCAGAGGACATCACACAACCCCGAGCAAATCACGCCAATGCTAATCGAATGCACGCCTTGCATTTGGACATTAATGCAGAGTGAATTTTTTTCCCGGTTGGCCTTTTGCACTAGAGAATATATGATCTTTCTGCCCCTCGTGTGGCAGGAGCTCTGCTCATAGTCGATCAGATTATCCAACATCATTGTTCTTTCCTGGGGAATGGCTCCGACAATCTTCCTCCTCGCCCTAGGGCTCTTCTCCTCCCTTGTGCTGGGACAGGATTTTGGCTGCATGTCCGGCATTCGACAGGCCCTGGCACCATTCTACTTCTCCGGCGGGCAAGTGTTTGATTACTATCAGAACTTGTGCGCCAATGAGCTCCGTGTCACTTCGATCTACGCGGCTGCTAAGGTGTATTGCACTGAGAAAGAGATTGAAGTTGGGGTTTCGACTCTAGAAGACAATTGTTTTACCTGGGGCGAAGTTGAAGCTATCCCATGGTCTGAGATTGAACCTAAACTTACCGATGAATACATTGCTTCTCTTCCGACCCTCACGTTTGAGGATCGTGCAGCTGGTGGTGTGTTATCTGAGCCATACCTTATCGACGAGGAGTACTACCAACTCGCTGTAAGAGCCGCGGTAGGTGCTATACATGTTCTCTCTTGGAGGAGCGATAGAACTGTTTCTGACAAACGTGTAGATTGTTCCAAACAGGCAATTCAATCTGCATATGAAGTATGGGTGAGTATCAACTAAACACTGTACATCACACATCACACATCATAAGCTAATGGCTTTGTGATAGCTGGGGTGTCTACGGATTCTGGGGTGGACTTATCTTCATTGGGATGGCAAGCCGTTTCATTTCCTTTGTTTCACGATCCAGACTCAGACGCCCTGCTGCTGATATCGAGGGTGAGGGCGTCACTCGTAAATCTGGCCTTCTCTCTCTCTTTAAGGCTGTTCATCACTGGTTCCGCACCAACCTCATCATCCCCGCCGCATTTGGCTCCCACCATCAGCGACTATATTATTGGTGTGCTATCCCTACCCGGATGGAGACTCTAATCGTTGTCATGTACTGGGGTCTGAATATCATCCTATGTGCCATCTCGTACGAAATACTCCATAAAATGTCAGCGTAAGTGCAACATCAAGCTCCGAAGGGTAGAGGACCTATATGCTGACGAGAACTTATAGCTGGGGTCGACCATCTATTCAACTTTGGAAACATATCGCGGATCGGACTGGAATCATCTCATACGCCAATTTACCCTGGCTCTGGCTGTTCTCTGGTCGCAACAATATTTTCATATGGGCTACAGGCTGGAGTTACTCTTCCTACAGCATCTATCACAGGCACATTGCCCGGGTAGCTACGATCCAGGCGGTCATCCACTCCATTGCATGGAGTGTGATGGAAGGTGATGGTAAGTCTGGAGTCTTCGTTACCCACTCTGTGGCATACTAACTGCCTCGCAGTTGGTTCTTTGGGACGGTCATGGGGGGAGCACTATTGGTACATGGGAGGAATTGTGTGTACTCTTGTCCCATTGCAAGGTCTTTGACTTACTGACGTAAATCTAGGCTACCATCACCATGAGTCTTCTCATGGGTCTTTCTTCGGTATACCTCCGAATGCGGCATTATGAAGTATTCTTGATCATTCATATTGTCTTTGCTGTTTTGACGCTGGTTGGACTATGGTAGTAAGTGTGCCAACCCACCACTGCCTGTGTCAGCCCTACTAACGTGATCGGCAGCCATACGGTCGATATTGGTGGAGGGTTATATGACAATTATATATGGCCCTGTGTCGCAATCTGGTCCTTTGACAGGCTTGTTCGATTTGTGCGATTAGCCTATTGCAACTACCGGGTACGATACTCTGGAACAGCGCCACTATCTACCACGTCGATAGCGACATACAGCAAAGACACCGACATGATCCGAATTGAATCGGTTGTAGGGCCAAATCTCCTCCGTCCTGGACCAGGTCAACATTATTTCCTCTACCAGTACAACAGGCTTCTATTCTGGGAAAACCACCCATTTACATTGGCAGCTTGGTATGGTTCAAACGACAGTGATTCCAGCAAGTCGAAAATATCCTCAGAAACGGAGAGTGCCTCAGAGAAAGCAGCCGCAACCACTGCTGTCGGTGAAGGAACAGAAAAGCCCATTCCTTCGGAGGGTACTCCCGCCGCTGCCGTCACAGAAGTCACTGACAACACCCAACGAGATGTCATCTCAAGCGCCTCATCGTCAGGAAGCCTGTCCTCGCCAGCGGAAAAGAACAACGCTCCCGAAGAGAATCAGCTACCAATTGCTGCCGGACAGTATAAGCTTGTCTTCCTAATCCGACCATTTGATGGCTGGACAAAACGTCTCCGCGACCAATGCATCAAGGCTGGCCCAGAGGGCCTCAACGCAAAACTGTTTGTTGAAGGACCATACGGAGAAAAGAGCCCCGTGCTATCATTCGAGAACGTCATCTTCATCGTCGGAGGCACCGGTATCGCCGGAGCAATTTCATACCTACAAGAATACGACCGACTGATGGCGTCGAAATCACAGAAAGTCCTCGCCCGAGACATCACCGTCGTATGGTCAGCCAAGCAAGCTCACATCATTCGCGACGTGATGAATCGCGAACTCAGACCGTTCTTGAACCGACCAGACATTCATTTCAAATTCTACGCCACTCGAGATAACAAGATTGCGTCGTCGTCGTCGATGATCGAATCTGAGAAACTAGGTACCACCAGACAAACCCAGATCTTCGATTCAAGACCGGATATTCGTCAAAGTATCTTTTCTGTCGTCGATCAGGTCGATAGCGCAGGCTCTCGGGGTGGTAGAATCGCTATCTTTACCTGCGGCCCAGCGGCTATGGCTGACGAAGCTCGTCTTACTGCCCATGAGGCCCTCAAGGCTGGGAAACAGGGTTTGGAGTATATCGAGGAAGCTTTTGGGTAAGTCTTGATGTTTTGCGTCACGGTTTTAAGATTTCCCCCTTTTGGTTCAAATGTATGTGAGAGAACTGTTGCTGACTATAATGTGTGAATACAGATGGTAGGTAGTTAGTGGTGGAACAGGGAAACCTCTGTGTATTGTAAGTAGATGGGGCGTTGTGAAGATTTAGATACCAAGTATGTCGACATCCTGAAGGATACCTAGTTGTTAGGGGGGAAGATATAGGGCCTGAGTGCCCATGAGGCTAAAGTAAGGTACCTAGGTATGTAGTTATTAACCTGACCTAACCAGGCTGTCTAAGTAAAGGGTCCTTAGGCCTCCGGCTCTTGGCCAAGGCTCCAACGGGTCTGATGTGGACACCTGTCTTCGATTAAGCATTACCAATCCAAAACCCCCTTACACCAAGAAAATCTCCATGCTATTATTACTACTTCATCAATTAAGATATATTTATATTTGTCGGGTGTGTGGACCTTTAAGATCAATCATGTAACAAATTCAACTTGACTCTGCTGTCTTTGTTGCTTTCGAATCATGCTTGGCTATAAATTTATCAATTTGTCGCCCGAGCAAGTCGAGATTCGTCGTCAGCAGCTCGACCGTGATGGGTTTCTGGCATGGTTGACTCCCATCATCCTGCTGACGGTCATTTACATTTATCGTCGACTATACAGCTTCATCTCATATTCAGCAAGAGATCAGAATCACTCACACAAGTCTGCGACGCCACATTCCTGGCCCCGAAGGGTATATCGACGTGCAGCTTGGATTCTCAACACCACATATGTCTCTGAGTTTGGCCCCCTTCGCGTCCAGATTCTGGGATTGTTCTATGTAGCATGGCTCATCTCTCTGGCCGCTCGCCACACTGGAAATGACTACATGCACATCACCAAGGCCTTGGGCCACGTTGCTGTGTCCCAGCTGCCCATTCACTATCTTCTGTCCTTCAAGTCGCCAATGTCGCCCATTTCCATCGCTACCGGAGTGTCTCACGAACAGCTCAACCCCTATCATCGCCTGCTTGGACGTCTGATCCACGGCTTTCTAGCCGCGCATGCTGTCTTATATATCCGATTCTTCGTCGTGTTGGATCTGCTTGCCAAACGAATCCAACATCGCGATGTCAGATTGGGAGTCCTAGCCTTTTGGTCTTTCAACTTTCTTGGTCTGCTCGCAATCCCACCAATTAGGCGGAAGCTGTACCATAAGGTCTTTTACCGGAGTCATGTCGTTCTGAGCGCCATTGTCGTCCCTATTTTGTTCTTCCATGTCCCTTATACGAGGAAATATGTGGTGCAGGCTGGAGTTCTTTGGTTTGCGAATGGCCTTGCGCGGAGCAGAGCGAGTAGTGTCAATGGGCTCACCGTCACAACTCTCCCTGACACGAATCTCGTCCTTGTCAACCTCACGGTCAACAAATCTCGAGCGTTTGCCGAAATCACACCTGGTCAACATGTGTATGTTCGAAGGAAAGGTCTGGGCCCAAGAAATCCATTCTCAATTGTGCACACCACCCCCTCCGAGAGTGGTAAAGCGGAGCTGGACGTCAGCCTTGTGCTTCGAGATCTGCAAGGCCCGCAGACAGCATATCTCTCTGGCCTGGCAAGCAAGGGGCTCTTGCCTTCTCTGGAACTTTCCATTGAAGGACCATATGGTGATTCAAGTCACTACTTACCTAGGCTTATTAGTTCATCTCGACAAGGTGATCGAAGTCAAGTACTGCTAATTGCGGGTGGCGTGGGAGCCACGTACTCCCTCCCAATGTACCTCGCTCTGGTGAAAGCACGGCGCTCCACCGAAGGACTCAAACTGATCTGGTTGGTAAAGTCACAGTCAGAAGCTCAGTGGGGCCTAGATGTGTTGCAAACGGCCCACGTTTTGGTTGACGTCGATATCTATGTCACAGGACCTTCGCATAATGGCAGTTGTAATATCAAAGGTGTCACTGTCAACACCGAGGGATCACGGCCTGATCTAGCGAGCATCATTGACGACATCATGGCTTTCAGATGCTCGTTTGGAAAAGTCACTGTCATGTTGTGTGGGCCACCTGGACTGTCACGTGTCGTGCGGGCGGCTGTTGGTCGTCAGGTTCTTAGCTATGGCCGTGAAGTTGAATGGCATGAGGAGCAGTTTGGATTTGGTGGTTCATGATGGCCAGACCAGCAACTCGGGGTTAGAAGTTGGGCTCTGATGATGATTCAGATCCGACATCTCATGCCCGCAGCAAGCCAGTCGATGATAGAGAAGATTTGTTGAGCAAACCAAGGCATGACTGAGCGCCGGCTGGGGATTGTCCATCATATGCTAGAGACTTCTGGTCCCACCAGTCACATGTGTCTTCAAACAGATGGATGACGCAGAAAGCGAATCTCAAACCTTCCTGTGTTGGCTGGCACATTTTGATCTTCTCCTCATTCTGCCAAATCTCACTTGAGTTGCTCGAGTTTCGACAGCAAATCGAAGAGAACAACCATTGATGATCCCAGCTTCTGATTGAGTTCACACCCGTACCTACTCTTATCCTCCATCGCGATATCGGTACACGCAGAGAAAACAACAGCCGGCGACTTTGGGCATATCGGCAGGAGGTGGCGGATTCAACAAGGTGTTCAAAGAACATGTGTGGGGACGAGGATGAATTCGGAGTGATGTCATTGGAAACAAATGATAGTGGCAGTCGATGGAACAGGTCTGCCCGAATACTGTTACCATGGATGATGGTCGTCGTCATGCTGGCCATGGCGAGGCGAGTGGCAGGCAATCCGATCGAAGTGATGAGGTGGTCAATAGGGGATTCTTCAACGGCTATTTCGACATCAGAACAAGCGATCTCAATTCGACAAGTCAACAGGAATGCTATGGCTTCCCCTGCGCCGCAGATCTCGGATACGACCATCTGGGTTTTCCTGGTTGCGTTCGCGGTGGCCAGCAGTGGCGCGATCTGGAATGTCTACGTTCGCATTGGAATGAAGCGCGAGGCAGTCAGAGAAGTTGATAAGCAATCGGAGCTGGCGATGAAGGCCGGGAGGTGAGATTGGGCGGACACAGAGGATATGGCTGGCTGGGAGAATGTTGATAGGGAGAAGATGACTGGAAAGTCAGAGCGCAGTATGTGAAGGGCAGGTCAAGGCAGCAGGCAGCGGCCTCTTCCGTGTATGGAAGGAAGTATCGTGATGCACTTGCCACGTGGGAGGAAGGCATCGTTCAATGTCCTGCGTGCCTGCCGTGTATGCATTGTCCACGTGTTGTGTCGCCTGTTTCAAAGTCAGGGAATAGCAGATGATCAACCAACGTCCCATTGTTAATGACCTGCAAGGGCTCGCTGGAGATTTTGCATTACACGCAATACTGTTTTATCAGGTAATCTCTACGATATAGTGGTGAGATTGGTTTGCGAGAGAACAACTCGCAACCAGACATCCATTGGAGTGTCACACGACCTTTGTTGATCACGTTCCTCTTTTTACAGTTAAAAAATCCGGGGCAAGCTTCCTCAGGGACTAATCGTGCAGATCGTTGATAAGATGGTCGGTAGTTTGGAAAAAGCAAAGAGAGAATGCCTCCTCGAGGAAAAAATTAGTAATGTGGAGCATGGACAAGATTTCGGATGGCGGAAGGGTTTGACCGTTTCGGGGAAGTCCAAGCTTCAAGATGCCTAGGCCGGTGTGCCCGTCTAGCAACACGAAGATCAGTGCAGTTGATGGATTGACGGACTGCCCGGCTGGTGGACCTCATGCGGGGATACCACCAGACTGGGAAGAGTGTGGCAAGGCTAAGAAAACTGTAACTTGGTCGCTAGGGAGGAGACCCGAGGCATGCGAGGTTTGCAACAGAAGCATTGAGAGAACACAATCGAGGAGCTGAAGTGGGCGTTTGCAAATGACCCAGAAATTAAGAGGAAAGTGAACACTGAAAATTACCAAGCAAGACACAAGGGATCATCATATCATCAGATCACGAGGTGTGTGTGAGGTCTAACCCAAGAATGCAAGATACACCGTTTTTCGTGTCGTGATGCAGATTGTATCAATAATCAGCGGCTTTTAACTGCAACGTAACGTGCCGCTTCGTCTATTCCGTAATCTTATCGCGCTAGGCGTCTACTAGGCGAACGTTAGGTGTCTCGAAATAATCTCCGTAGTGACCTGCTCAGAGTGGAGATTGCATGGCCGCTGGTCGTGTGTAATGCGTCTACTTATGATGGCATGATGTCTCATGATATAGGAATGGTACCATGGGGGGAGCTCTACAAGTTTCAGCAGACAGAATCTTAAGTGCTGGAGAGAGCATAGAAGGCGGCACAGGCGGGCAGCCACACTGCCTAAAGGTACCTAGTACCTAGAGACAGTGTCACAGTCTGGGTAAGAGCTGTCACCGCATCAGGGTTGGCGTGGTGTAAGCACCTAGGTGCCGTAGATACCTCAGGTACTTACCTACGGAGTAAGTAGGTAGTGGGTGCAGCTGGTCGCGATGACAATTACGATCTTAGCCCTCAGCCAAGTCACATCTGAAATGCCCAGCACGGACCAAGCTACGGATGGGTATTGCAAAGTCAACCAACTCTTTCCACCTCTCCATACTTGGACTACAGTACTACTCTCAAGGGCTTATTGTCCAGCGGCCATTCTTACACACCCATACCCGTGTAGGCAGGCAAAGTAATCACGCCGTTTTTGGTTAGGAATAGGCAACTGCCTTCGACCTTCGTAGTCACTGGTTGCTGATTTTGTGAGTAAATAGTTCCTCGCTTGTCGACGGTAACCCTGCAATGAGGCCACGAGGGTGTCACTAATGCATGTGCAGGTTGGACTCATGTTACACTTGCCAATCTCAACTTGATAACAAACAAAAGGGGGTCGGACTGCCTTAGGAGTCGCTCTGGCGATAATTAAGGGCATCGAATAATGGTTCAAAAAAAAGGTCCAAACAAATCCACCCAAGATCGACTTATGCATAGCAGATTGGTGCGAGTTACTCGTTCCAGATATTATGGATCATCCTCACGATCCTCCACGCGCCCAGAGATTTGATATTCAAATCGCTATCTCTTGGCTAATGCACCTGAAGCATGCCCTACAGGCACTTAAGCATCCCGCCGAGCTTTATACTGATAGGCATTTCTGGGCGTCAAGGATTAGGCTGCCACTGTGGTAACCTCTGCCGACTGGTCTGACATAACGGTTGGAAGGCTGCCGCCAGGTCACGGGTGGATGGCCAAATCCTCTGGCAGCCCACGCATTTGTATACGAGGTCGAAAGATCCCTCGGCCAATTCCGATAAACAGACACGGCAGAGTGTTAGACAATCGTCCTTGGGTGGTGTGCAAAGGTATGCCAGACCATGCAGGCTCAGATGTTGTCTCCTGTTGTTTTGTCTGGGTAGAAGCATGAGAAGCTAATAATAATGGGGCCTCCCACGCGTTTGTGTGTTTTGTGATCCAGAAGAGCCGCTGACATGGGTTCAAACAGGCCGTCGATTCATACTGCATTGGTCCACGGATTGCAAGGTCACATCCATCAGTCGGCCAAAGAACCCTTCCCATCTTCCACTGATAGGGCTAGACTGTTCTGGGTAACTGTGTGGAACATCCCGTGTCCTTCTCGAAAACTTCGTGTGCACAACCAGAGGAAACCAGCCCCAAGTTACGCCCCTTGGAAGTCTATTATTATTCAAGGTCGCCCCTCGGCCGCCCCGCCCCTGCGAGCAGGGATGATTGTTGCATCAAGCCCCCGTTTCGGGCGAGACTCGAGACTCGTGCTGCCACCAGCTCAAGTATTACCAAATAATTTCTGAGACCTATGGAGCTAAACTTATCCGTACGTAGCCATACCCACCCCCGCATGGAACAAATGGAGTTGACCTCGGGCAGAGGCAAGTATGCGACATTATTGTCGATTACAGTAGGTATTCTCAAGGGCTTCATGTCGGCTGATAGTGCTGAACATGTCGATTGATCGCCATTCGCAACACTCAGGTGACATCATGCAGACTTCACATCCGTCGATTGGGTTCTTCTTGGTCTGGTGCTATGACCTGTCTTGAGTTGCGCTGATGATGGGATTGGCTCTTCACTGGAGGACTGGGTCAGGATAGCCGTGGATGGGGCGTCGCGGGCGTCAATGGACTTGTATCCACTCGGTACGCCATATGCGTAGATGATCCAAGAGGTTGAAGATCGCTGGGTGGCAAGTCTGTGCAATTCCAAGCCTGAAAGCTCCCGGGGTCCAATGAAGCGTTAGTCAAGGCATGTCAAGTAGGCCGAGCAAATGACTTCGCTAATCTTGTTATCTTCGCACCGGGTCTGAGTGACTGTGATTGGTTGATGTGGGACGCTGATTGCCGCCCAGGCTTGGCAGGTAACCTAAGACTTCTTGGCGAGACCCTCTTGAGTGGAGATCTGCTCCGTTTGGTTTAGCTTATCGAAGGGGCTAAGGGACAATGCCAAATTTCACTCCACCCCCAATGCTACAGAGCGGGGGAGTCCAGATAACATGACAGGCCCAAATGTTCCATCTCGACTTATGCTTGCGAGTGGCTTTCTCAATCCCAGCTCCCACCTCTAGCCTTTGCTATCCGCCACGAGGGTTGATGCACCTGTCAGTGACAAGAGGTAGCTTGAGCTACCTGGCTATCCATACCAACAAGGGAGCTGATCATGACCGACAGGGAAGGAGGTCATGTCATCCACACTTACCACGCCATCTCATGTGTCCTCCGGCAGGCGCGATCCTACCGAACCAAGTTGGGTTGTTTGTCCGTACCTGCCTTCTCATGCTTCACGGCAAGTATTAAAACCGGTGACACCACCGCTCCTTCCTTGCGTTGATCTTTTCCTCACTCTTTGCTCGTCACTCTGAGACGGTTGCTTGGACCCAGGCCCTCCCATCAATCTCTTATTTGACTCTACACCTTCAACCCTGTTGGGTCGTCCTTCGCCTTGCTTGAGCCTTGTATTGTTTCTCGCTCCCACGTGGACTTCAACATGGCGGAAGTCAAAAACATCGATTCTCCTGCCTCTCCTCAGGACTCAGAGAAGGGTTTCCAACCCACGGATGCCGCTGCCCGCAGAACGGACAACCGTGAGGATGACTTCCTCACTCGAAATGGTCTCAACCTCAAGAGCTTCCAAAAGCGTATGTCTCCTCCCACATGCTCTCTCCCCCTCACTTTCCATTCAATCTGACCCCTTCGTTAGGTGAATGGGTTGAAGGCGAAACTACCGAGCTCGATCGCTCGATGAAGCCTCGCCATTTGAACATGATCGCCATTGGAGGTTCCATTGGTGCCGGTTTCTTCGTTGGTTCTGGAAGCGCCTTGACTAAAGGTGGCCCAGCCTCGGTCTTGATCTGTTTCTTGATCGCCGGTGTCATGATCTTCAACGTCGTCTACGCTCTTGGTGAACTCGCTGTTATGTACCCTGTCTCTGGTGGTTTCTATACCTACTCGGTCCGCTTCGTCGACCCCTCTTGGGGTTTCGCCATGGGCTGGAACTACGTGAGTAATCCCAGCTACTCTATTTATCCCTTCACCTTCTGACATGCCGCAGGTCTTTCAATGGATCATCGTCTTACCTCTGGAATTAACCGTCGTCTCCTTTACCGTGCAATATTGGAATAAGGACATAAACGTGGCTGTATGGATAACCATTTTCTGGGTCTTCATCATTTTCATCAACGTCTTCGGTACCCTCGGTTATGCCGAAGAGGAATTTGTCTCCTCACTTTTTAAGCTCCTGGCGACTGTCATCTTTATGGTTGTCGCCGTTGTCTTGATCTGCGGTGGCGGTCCTGCGCGAGGTATCTACCACGAGTACTGGGGTGCCCGTCTTTGGTACGACCCTGGTGCATTCCAGAACGGTTTCCGTGGCTTCTGCTCTGTCTTCGTCACTGCCGCCTTCTCATTCGCCGGTACTGAGTTGGTCGGTCTTGCCGCTGCTGAGTCCAACAACCCCCAGAAGGCTCTTCCCAGCGCCATCAAGCAGGTCTTCTGGCGAATTACCCTCTTCTATATCCTTGGTTTGACTTTTGTCGGCCTTTTGGTCAGCTCCACCGATACTCGTCTCCTCAACGCCTCCAACCCCTATGCCGACGGAACCTCTCCATTCGTGCTCGCACCCTTGGACGCCGGTCTCATTGGTTATGACAGTTTCATGAACGTTGTTATTCTTGTCTCCGTCGTTTCCATCGGCGTTTCCTGCGTCTATGGAGGCTCAAGAACCTTGACTGCCCTCGCCCAGCAGGGCTATGCTCCTCGGCTCTTTGCCTACATCGACAGATCCGGCCGTCCTCTTTGGTCTGTTGCCATCAACTTGGCCTTTGGCGGTCTCGCCTATGTCGTTTTGGCTTCGTCTGGTGGTGTCGTTTTTGACTGGCTTCTGGCCTTGTCTGGTCTTGCCACCCTCTTCACCTGGGGTTCCATCTGTTTGGTAAGTCACAACTGTCCGTGAAAGGTTTCTGACGCAGGTGAGCTAACAACTGTAATAGGCACATATCCGTTTCCGACAGGCATGGCACCGCCAGGGTCGCTCTCTCGATGACATTCCATTCAAGGCCATTTTCGGTGTCTATGGCTCCTGGCTGGGTGTTTTCCTCGTCTTCATCGCCCTTGCCGCTCAATTCTACAGTGCCATCGCTCCCCCCTTCACCAGCGACCTCAACGATGCCGAGGGTTTCTTCAAGGCCTACCTCGCTCTTCCCGTGGTCCTCCTTTTCTGGGCTGTTGGCTACATCTGGAAGCGTGAGGGCTTCCTTAAGCTCGACCAAATTGACCTTGATACCGGTCGCCGTGAACATGACTGGGAAGCCATCAATGCCTACCGCGCTAGACGTGCCACCTGGCCCGCCTACCGCAAGGTCCTTGACGCCATCTTTTAAGCGTGCGGAAAAGTACTGGTTTTGTCCCATTGTGAAGCCGTTGAGGCATCGTCTTTGGATCTTTTCCATAGCTGTCACCAAGATCTCATGGTAGCAGAAACCGATAGATAGTCACAAGGGGGGCCTTGCATAGTTCGATGTGCGTTTGATACCAGATCTCATCGTATTAGCTATACATAATCACTGTCTTTGCCAATCACTTGAGTTATGACATTTTCCAGTAAAGAGGGCCAGACTGCGCAACATGCAAAGAAGCGACGACGGTCGCAACTTGTCTGTTGACAAGGACAAGTCTACCCACGGACTCGTGCTTTCACATTCGTTGCCATGTAAGGTCATAGCGCTGATAGACCTAGAGCATCAAACCAGATACGCAGACCAACCACCTCGAAACCATCAAACGACGATAAAATAGGATTTAGATCCAGGAACACAACCCAATTTTTGTTCTCCACGTGCAGACCCAGTCGGCCGGGTTACCAAGGACATGGTAGTTCCTGACAAGGGCTGTCTCTCTCTCTCTCTGTCTCTCGCATTCTGGTTGGGGTGTTCATGTGGATCACATGTCCCACAGGAAAGCAACGTTGTTGATCCCATGTCTGAGAAAACAAGGTCTTCCGCGGAGATGACGTTACCGACAACAAATAGACATGTGACGGGAGGAACGGACTGGACCGAGGCTAAAATGCCTTTTCCCCCTTCCCCTGCCCCTTGAGTAGGGGTATTCTCCCGAAAATAGAAGTGGTTGAGCCTGGTTGGTTGGCTGTGGCCAGGTAGTGTTAACTACCATCTAACCAAAAGTCGGCCATGCCATGAGTGACATGTGGCGGGATGAGGTCATTTCTTGACGGTTCTGTGTTCTGGCGCAAGATGTGCGGGTGAATCAGGATATATGTGGCGGGATACCACACGGAGCGTTGTGTTACAGGTCCAGGTCTAGTGAGGCCTTTGGTCGGGGTAATGCCGTCCAAGGGCGATTGGTGGTCAGGATTCCTGGTTCGTAGAAATCGACTGGCCTCTGAACAAACGGTCGACGACACCGTATGAATAGCCATAGGAGTACATGGCATGTGACCTGCTGTCTCAACTGCATTTGATAGGACTCTCCACGAAACGAACCGAACAAGCTTCGAGTCTCAAAATTGGAGGTCCATCCGTTTGCAGTAAATGTCTCCCCCAGAGCCTTACCTCGCTCACTCATTCAACCCATCTTGCGTCGCATCCACAACCTTGGCTCTTATGATTTTAACCTCATCCAACGGCCTGTCGTCACTATTCGTCTTGACCAAACCCAATCTCTGAACTAACTTGAGTCCCGATTTGACACGGCCGAAAATAGTGTGTTTTCCATCCAACCAAGGCGTCGGGGCCAAAGTGATGAAGAATTGACTTCCGTTGGTATCCTTGCCGCTGTTGGCCATACTGAGGATGCCGGCTCCGGTATGTTTCAACGAGGCATGGATCTCATCTTCGAATTTATCGCCGTAAATACTTGTCCCTCCGCGCCCTGTGCCTGTTGGGTCGCCTGTTTGGATCATGAAGTCCGGGATGATGCGGTGGAATATGACGCCGTTGTAGTAGTTTCTTTGGACTAATGTTGCAAAGTTTTTGCATGTCTTGGGAGCGTGGTCGTTGTAGAGTTCGACGGTGATGGGGCCCTGTGAAGCGGTGTGTCAGTAGAGTGTCATACGGGTGGTGGTCGTGGTGGGCAATGCATTTCTGAGATGCGTTCTTCTCTTTGCAAAACTTACCATCGACGTCTCTAGCACAACCTCGGTTGCCATGTTTGTCGAACCACTGGATCAGTGGCAGCCAAGCGGTTAGAGGATATTGACCCGCAGACTTTTCTGTCGCCTGGTGGGAACGATTGTGATCTCTGGACTGACGCTGTAAGTGTGGGCGCAAGAAGATTGTCTACGATCTTTTTTCATGGGAAAGTTGATGACGAGAAGAGATGTGCAGCCCACCGTAATTTGGAGTTGCGGATTAGAGCGGAGTATTTCATCAAACCTTGCAGTCCCTGTTAACCATCTCACAACATCTTCTCTTCATTATGACAAGATCCTCGAGCATCAAGTCCACATAGGCAAGTTCGTTGCTGATACAATGGGCACAGTCGAGTATCACCTACCCTCATCTCAAAGGCATTCCAAGTCCAAACTAAAAAGGAGTGTTGATCCCCTTTTCCACACCTGCACAGCCCTGTTGTCTGTGTTGACTTCGAAGTTCCTCCCCACTGACCAATCAACACCCATTATAATACGAGCAAAAGTGTGGTACCAGACCAAACAAAGCACTGGCCCAGTGGCCCCAATCCTTTCGCAAATGGCCATACACGTCTCTCTCGATTCTCACAGTCTACAATTTGGTGTTGAAGCGAACAAGCACTACCTCGCCAACAATGTCTCAGAATAGTGGCTGTCAAGCATCCCGCGTCTTAGACAACAGTGATTGGTTAAAATGTTGTTATTGCGTACAATGGCATGATCCGATGATCAAGGCACGGGGCAGCCCCGGTCTTGAGATGTTTTTAGCCCCTGGGCCCTCCAAGTACCTGGTACTAAGGTAGGTACTTTTATTAATTTAGCATGATCCTCTCCCTTGTGTTCTCAATATCATTCCCATTGTCTCTCATTTCTCCATCATCCATCTTGGTCACCTGCAGTCGTTCTGCAGACGAAAGAAAGCGTCATCTCTCGTTCCATACAAACAATACACAATGTTGGCCCTTCACTTAACGCCAGTCATCGCTCTTTCAGTATTGCTATCCCTCGCTGACGCTCAATCATGCGACTGTCCCGACATGTATTCAAGATTCGACGATCAAGTCGATTGCTTCTGCTGTCCCGGCACCTTCTACCTTACCACTGACGAAGCCGTCGCCGCCAGGAATTATACCGACGCCTTTTGCTGTGTAGAAGTATACAATCCGGATCCATTTACCTTTGGCGGCGCTGAAAATTCCGAAATTGGAGGCGACCAATTCACCTTTGGTGGTGGAGACGACGAACAGACATCCTCAGGAGACCCTTTTTCCTTTGGTGGAGGAGACAACGAACAGACATCCTCAGGAGACCCTTTTTCCTTTGGCGAAAATCCAACAAGTACCGAGTCAGGAAACGGTTTTACCTTTGGCGAAAATCCAACAACCACGACAACCACAGCGACAAGCATTCAGGCCAGGGATGTACGTGTCTTGGGCAGGGAAGCAGCTCCTTTGATCACTGCAGCGGCGCAACTTCGACGACGCAATGGAGATCAATGTCTAACGCAAATTCCATTGACTGCGTCTGATTACGCTAGTCAGGCGGTGGCGGCGAGTAGTTTGAGGACGTCATCCACAACAGATGTGGTGTCAAGTGTTACAAACAATGTTGCTCGACCTACTGGTGCGGCTCATGTTGGTGGAGTTGTTGTTGGTATGGTGGCTGCGGTTGCTGCTGCTATTCTTTGAGACAGGCTTGATCTTCTGCCAGAGATACATACATCGATATCATGATTGCCTTTGTCATTCAGTAGACGTTGATGATGTAGCTACCATTCTATCTATTGATTTGCGACCAATTCCCAGCAGTATCATTGAACCACCTAGATCTATCTGATCTATCCGATCATTACGCTCATCAAGATCAATACGTCTCACTAGCACTAATCTGATACGACCCTCCGCCCGCAAACCAAGCTGCATTGATCAAATCACATAGATCCTTTGCCTCGACATCCTTCAACGGTAGATGATGACCACCTTCAAAATCCATATGGAAGCACACATCACTATCACAAGCCTTCCTCAACTCCTCACATCCCGGTTTAACATGATCATCTCTGCCCCACGCATGAACCGTGGGAATCTCCCTTAATAATTCATAATCCTTGGTATCAACCTTGTCCGCCATGGCAATCGGCGGAAACGGTCCTCCGATCATAACACCAAAAGCAAAATTCCAATCCACTGAACCACTCCCACCAGCTCCATCATCTCTCCCTCTCTCCCTCTCCTGAATCTTCTGCCTTAACAACAACCCGGCCACAAGTCTCGCACCCTGACTAAATCCAATCACGCCTCTAAAACTCTCCACCCCGCCATTCTGATCCATGATCGAACGAATCCGTTCATCCACTTCACGCACTTCATGCTCCGGCGTAGGTTCAACGTCGCTTTCACCCGCAACGAACCGTCGCGTCACCCAGCGGTAGAAGGGCGCGCAGGATGCAAACACCGGTAACATGCCAAATCCAGGTGTGCCTTCGATGGGGGCTTCGGCGAATACGAAGCGGAATTGTTTGGAGAGATTCCAGATTAAGCGTCGCGCTTGGATTTTGAACACGGTGGCGTTGGATCCTCCGCCGTGGAGCATTAGGATTCCAGGGAGGAGCGTTCCGTCGGCGGAATGTGTGGGTTGTGAAAATGTGCTGGGGGTGGTGCTCCGTGAGACTGAGGCTCCGGTGGGGAGGTGGGATGTCATGGTTGAGTTGTGTTTTGGTGATGAATGATATGATGTATTAGGGTTGACGGTCTTCAATCATTAATGTCGATGGTGATGGGGTTATGTCTCTGGTGAATGTGGTTGTGGACTCCCTTGGAATCGAGATAAGCTTCGAGGGATGGAAGTTGAAGACTCAACCAGTGAATGGGTTTTATAGGTCAAAGTCGGTCAAATATTCGCAGGATCCGAGGTACTCTGTCCTCGTCGTCGAATTCGCTGGCTTGTCGCTCAACTCACCTCAGCTCACCGTCTATAGTTAATGTGACAACAATCTAAGACAAAGATTGATGGGGCGTGGTCGAAGTCAAGGTCACGTGTGATGGATGGAAGCGGAGTTGAGATCCTCAATATTAATCAACAATCAACAGTCCACAATCACAATCATTTCATCATCAGCTTTCAAAATACATCAGGCTTGCTTGTTCTGCAACTTTTCATCTTGTACTGAATCTGAATCAACACTATCACTGAAAACTATGCGGGTGTCCTCATATCCCTCCACATGTGCTCCCTCTCTCAAGAACCGAGAAAGTCTTTGAGCAATGGCCCTCTTTACCGCCATCTCTTTCCCATGCATAAACAATATGCAGAGTTTGTATCTATCCAGTGTGCGATATCACTTGACTGATTTTCGAAATATATGCTCTCGTTCCTGGTCTTCATGGAATTCGTCTCATCGTCACTTTTGGGCCAGTCCTGTCCTTTCCCCGGTGCTGGAAGCGAATTACTGACTCCCATGTCCTGGTCAAGGCTGCCAGCCACAGTGAATTTAAATCAAGAACGTAATTAGCAGCGGGGCTCTGCCCAAGCTGATTCCTCTTTCAACATTCCCCTTCGCCATAAATCATTATCCTTTCCACGTCAATCCTCAAGTGCGTAGTCATGTGACCAGACATGTGATCATCGCCGTGTCTTGCCTTGTTTGAGTGTCCAGAGTCCCAGATATGAGCAGATGATCCCAAACCTAACCCGATGGCTTCACTGTGTGTGTGTTTGTTTGTGTGATTGGATGCACGTAGCCAAAGTCATGGCGCCCATGGCCTCTTGAAAGACCCAGTCTCGTACCGCACATCCTCTTCAGGAAGACCGCTCACTATCCAAGAAAGTTGGAAGGCGGCTTGCCAATCATTATCGCTCATTGCTTCGCTCCAAACCGGCTGCTGTGGCCTTTCACTCTCGTCTCAAATGCATTCACTGTCGGCCCTTCTCACGCCATTTGAGCAACTCACTCAGGCTCGCAAGGCTGCATCCCATGCGCATAAAGTCATTCCGGAGCAGTTCATCCGCACTCGCTCTGCTTCGCACGTCCACACACAGACAGACGCTCAAGAATCCCTTGAGTTCGCGTGAAAGCTTGTTGGGATTTTTCAGACGTGGTGTGCCGTTGGTGGCAATCAAGAAAAGGGCTTTCAGGGGCTCCTCGTTGAGATATGGTGGCTCAGACTCAATCATCTCGATCGCCATGATTCCGAGAGACCAGATATCCACTTTGGAGCCATATTCCTTTTGCTTAACAACCTCTGGGGCCATCCAGTATGGCGTCCCCACCATCGTCGCTCGCTTGCTCTTAGACTCGGTGAGCTTAGCACAAAAACCAAAGTCGGCTAATCAACTAGTTAGCAGAAGGACGCGCGTAGTCAACTCCAGCTTGTGGAAACTTACTAATTTTGACATTGCCGACGCGGTCGAGCAACACATTGTCACTCTTGATGTCTCTGTGGATGATGTCCTGGGAGTGTAAATGTGCCAAACCTTTGCAAGTCTCGAAGCAAATCGTCGAAATCTGATCTTCAGTAATGACGGGGTTGTTGTCGATCACGTCGGTGAGGGCACCCCCCTCCATAAACTCCATAACAACCCATAATTCATTATTTTGCTCCTGCAGAAACGAGTCGAGAAAATTGACAATGTTGGGGTGCTTCGAGTCCTTCATCACAATGATTTCGTTAACGATCAACTCTTTGCGGGGTTGGTTGCGGAGGTCCATCTGCTTGATTGCCACCTGGCCCTTGGGTCCATGTGTTCGATGCAACTCTCGGGCCACCGCTGAGGTAGCACTCTCCTTAACCCTAGCGACGTAAACAGAGCCGGAAGCGCCCTGGCCAATCTTTTTCTGTTTGCTGTAAGATTCGAGGGGGTTGTCCTTGGAAACGACTTGTTTAAGCTTGGCCATGACTTCGCTTTCGCTCATGCTTGACATGCGGACCTCCTTTGCTCGCTCTTCCACCGGTTTCTTAGCCGTCAGAGCGATCTCAGCTTCTTTACGAGGGTCAACGGCCGGCTTAGCCTGTGGCTGCTTAGCAACATTCAAAGGCTTGGGCTGTTGCACTGAGCCCGGGGACCGGGCAGGAGACTGGCCATTGGCGCCATTCACCAGCGCTTTGGGGTTCGTGTTTGCACGGGGAGCTTCTCTCTCTGGCTGGTACCGAGCGCTGGGAGATGGTTGTCGATCACGATCTCTGATCTCGGGGGACCGCAGAGACGCCTGAGGTGCTGAAGACGATTGAGGAATGGTTTTCTGGTTGGCACTAGTAGGAGCGGACGGAGCGGGCCTCTGGGCGATAGGTGCTTGTTGTCGCGATGATGCTGTTTGCGGAGCCGAAGGAGCTGTTCTGGCGGGATTAAACCTGGGATCTGGTCGATTTGGGGTTCGATCTGGACTGCCGCCATAACCTCCAAGCTCCTGTTGCGCTAGGGAAGGTTTCGTCTTGGGCAAAGAGGCATTGTAAGCTTCTTGCTCCCTTCTTGATTGCTCCTCGAATCGTTCCTTCTCCCGTTGTCTGTCGGCGGCCCTTTTGCTGTCTGCTTCGGCCTGTCGACGCTTCTGCTCCTGCATTGCAATTTCCTTGATGCGGGCAGCGTCAGCTTCCATGTCATATGAGCCTTTGTCAGTTTGAGATCTCTGCATTGGTGGTTTTGACGGTGGGGTAGCTGTCCGGGCTGGAGCTTCTTGAAATTTGTTCCCTAACTGAGTGCCATTGTAACGCAGAGGATCTAGAGGCGCCCCAGGTCGTGGGGGGGCGACATTGTTGCCGCCGGTGGGGAAACCGAGTTGTTTATTAGATTGAGAGGTGGCGGGGGGAGTGTTCATCCCAGGGGAATAGATTTCAGGGTGTTGCTCTCGAGCCTTTTGGTCGGAATAGAATTGAAGAACCTCAATGACGGCTTGAGGGTTCTTTTTATAATCATCCCGTGTGATGGCAGAATTGTTCAAAAGCTTCTCCCACTCCTGGGGCAAGCCAACAAAACCACCAGTCTGCGGATCAAATCCTACATGGATACGATGGCTAAAGTTGGTGGGGTTGCTAACACCACCCATACCTGGGCATCGCTCGTAGATTTTATCGATCCAATCATAGATCTCGTCATCATTGCGGACTTCACAAGTGATAGTGCGAGTGGGAATATCGCGAGAGAGAACCACCTTGCCAGATGCATCTTTGGGATTGGCAATGCGGACGATCTCAAAGGCCATCCGAGTCTCCTCAGAACGTGTGACGCCGGTGACGGTATTGAGTTGGATTGATTGCATTAATTTGCCATTTTCGCTTTTCATAAAGTCCAAGCGGAACTCGCGTAGAATGAGATATCGCTGGTTCCATTGGGAGAGAAACTTGTCTTCTTTGCAGCGGACATGACCTTCCTTGATGATTGTCACGGGGCCAGAGGATTTGCCGATGGTGGACAAGGACAAAGAACTGGCATTGGAAAAGTATGGCGCACTGGGCGTGGAAGCGGTGATTGCTGGAGAGGCGGGGCCTGCAGATATGGACATGGACTCGAAAGTGTTGCTTGGAATGGAGGATATCGAAGTTTGAGAGCGTTGTAGATCGAGGTGCCGGGGTCGATCAACTGGGGGTCTGGGTGCAGGGCCTGGATTCATGAATTGACCCGCGCTGTAGAAACTAGAGAAAGTAGAGAAAGCGTCAGAGTGGGATACAGTAGAGGGATTGTGAATAAGACGTACGGTTTTTCCTGGCTGGTGGCCATGGTTGACAGGATCGAGCTCGAAGGGGGGTGGGTACGTGTAGGAGAGGATTGTCAAACAGGAGGTGTCGGGCAAATCTGTACTCAGCACCAGGGCAGACGTGGCTGAGGAGATTCGACGCGGAACAGCATGCGGGCTGAAGTTGGCGCAGGTCGAGAATGGTGAGGATGAGTATGAAAGGGCCTGAGGAGCGGGTATGAAGGCGTGTGAGGAGATGAAGGGTTGATTGTCGAAGGATGTCGGTGTCACTGCGATTCGAATTCTGCTGAAGCGGAGGACGACGAGAACAGCAAAGGAGGATTGGGCCCGTAGAGCGGAGCAAGACTGGTCCAGGCGCGCTTTGATCCGCTTGCCGCGGTGCACGGTCTACACAAACGCCGTCGCTATCTTGTCTTGGATCTGTGTCTGGGTTCTCGTTTTGCACTTTTATTATGGTTGATCTCTCAGCGTCGAAAACGTACGGAGTAGTAATTTAATATGGGTTGTAGACAGAGTTGAGCCAGGGACGGTGTCGTTGCAAGTCGGTGAATGTAATGAATGGGTGGGAGGTTTTTGGAAGGTTCAAGTCAGTGTGGTGAGTGTGTGTGAGAGAGGACCACCAAAGAAGCAACCAAGCGGCCTGACTGGGTCGGCAAACAATGGAGATGGAGTGGAATGCTTAATGGGCTGAACCAGCCAGTCATTCGCGAGACACATGCAACACGAGAAGTGAGTGGTGAAGAGAGCCCGACACTCTTCAGCTCACAGTTGAGGGCTCGTGGGGCTGCAGAAGTCCATCAGAAGAGGGGCGCCTTGAGGGTGCTGAGTGGACTGTCACACTTGACTTGGGATACCAGACTACGGAGGTACGTGTAGGCGATGCAACTGCAGTGTGCGAGGAGTGTTTTGGGGGGTCAATGGGGGGGTCACTGGGGGTTGTTCACGTCGATTAGGCGCATTAGGGACAGTCTCCCCGGTGGATAAGCCTCGGCCGAGGTGGGTAAAAGCGGGTGGCGGCACTCAACCGTGCCTGGGGTTGAGAGTCTAATAATCCCACGCGACGAGAGACAAGAGCGAAACATCCCAGTAGACGCTCCTGACATGCTGGAATCTGATCAAACTGTAATGAACCGATTGACCTTGGCCGCAGATTATAGGCCTCTCGAAGAAAGGTTTAGGAGCTAAGGTTGAGCGACCAATCCCCAATTAGGCCACCAGACCGTGCAGTTAGCATACCCGCTTCGGCCCCATCCACCCGTAGCAGGGAGCACGGAGCACAGTTCTGGTGGCTACCTAGATCCTTCAGACCCTCGGTCATGTTTCTCGCTTTAGCCGCAAATCATGTGCGCACCTTGGACCCATGAAATTGCTTAACACAAGACGGTGAGCACCGCAGCCAATAGCCAGAATCAAATCGTTATCAGTTCATACCACAGTGCGTCGTCGATTCTGAATGACAACCTGAGATCATCAGCGTCAGAAATTGGTGATACGAAGGTGTCGACTCTACTTAGGGTCAAGCAGAAGCGCCGCTGAATCCCTAGACCACCTGAAACATCTCCCATGCTTTTCCGGTCTTACAACAAATCCAAAATTCGCCGGTGTTGAAGCATTCAAGGTCCATCCTAGAGGATACGCGTACAGGCGCTGGGACCCTTGAGCGCGACCAGTCATTACTGTAACGAAGTTTAAATCGCGATTGATGGTCATTATTATTATTATTATTAGCTAGTAGTCACTGTGCTTCAGCGAGAAGAGGCTCGAGGGCATCGAAGCGCTGGACCACTGCCACCTATGAGCAGGCACGCTGGGCACCGGCGCAGTAGGCAAATGTCTGGGTTTACTAGGCGCTGGTTGCATCAAGAATAATGAGCGCGTTCATCGTGACAACCCCGCCAATCAAGGCCAAGACCAGCCCTGAACCCGTATTCCGCAATCCGCATTATTGTTTCAGCCTCCTTGTTCCAGAAACCCTCAGCGGCTGGGGAGGCATCCCATCCATGTTACCTCCCTCTGGTTGACTCACTTAACCTACCAATGACAATGACTTTTCACAGGGATCATTCGCATGGTGTTCTTGGTCTGTTGAATGAGATTATGTAAACGTTATCAGATCTTTGGATCTACATAGTATTACTCACACTCAAATTGAGCTTCAGATGGTGGTCAGCCCTCAAACTGATTTGGTAGTTTCATGAAGCAATAGAATTGATGGCTCATGAGGCAGTCTAGACCAGGAAGATGTCTGGTGACAGATCTTTGAACCTGGCCGTGATGGCCCATTTGTGACCAAAGAAATCCCAATCCAATCCGTTTAGGCGGTTTACAAGGCTACGAGGCTGTGGAAACGACCAAGGAGCTCCCAGGGCTCCTAGGGCTGGTGATAGTACTCCGTACCTAAGCAGACTACTTGAGTACCTAAGGTACCTACCTACCTAGGTACCTAGCAGCAAAGTCCGCTCACCCCTCGGCCCAGCCCCAGGCACGTCCAGGCACGCCCAGGGCAAAATGACGCAACCAATACGATTTGCCCCTCCGTTTCAATCCAATCCCCTCCAACACTTTTTTTCCCGTGATGAATAATGACAATTCCCCGAACCACATCGTTGTCGAGAAGAATCTTGAATTTCTAAGCCGAAAAAAACAACAACCAAACTTTCTTCGCCTTATCCTCCCTCCTGTCGCCTATACTTCATCTTCATCTCTCTTCCTTCCCCACGAAGTCCTCTTCTCCTTCTCAATTCGCTATCATCTTCCGACCCCTCCTCAACTGCCACAATGTCCAACCCCAATCCCGAACATAGAGAAGACCCCGAGGATGATGACATTTTCAATGCCGACGATGCGGCTGAAGAGATTGAAGAAGATCCAGATGCCGATCATCCCATGGAAGATGATGACGACCTCGAAGAAGAGATCCAACTTCAGAACGACTCGTCTGCCCACTTTGACTCCCACACCGATTCCATCTTCACAATCGCCCAGCATCCAACCAACCCAAATATCATCATAACTGGTGGAGGTGACGATGTAGCATATATCTTTGACGCCTCAATACCCAACGGACCTGTCCTACCTAGTTCGTATGAGAGCAATCCGCAGCCACAAGGCGAAAGAAAATCCCTCCAACCTTTACAAAAACTAGATGGACACACAGACTCGGTCAATGCAGTCGCATTTACCCTCCCCAAGGGCGAATACGCTGTGACCGCAGGATTGGACGGCAAACTGCGAGCCTGGAAATCAGACAATTCTCTGACAAAATGGACATTCACTGCTGAAGCCTCTGAAGTGCAAGAGATCAATTGGTTGGCTTCCAATCCGTCGCAATCCCAACCAAATGTGGTAGCGTTGGGCGCCTCCGATGGCTCAGTCTGGGTCTATCAAATCAATGCTGCCGACACATCATCACCACTGACCATCATCCAAGCCTTCTATCTCCATACCGAATCCTGCACAGCTGGGGCCTGGACTCCCGATGGCGCCCACCTAGCCACTGTCTCGGAAGACGGCAGTCTATATGTCTGGGACGTGTTCAATACCGGCACCGCCGTCATATCCCACACCGCAGCAGATCAACGCTTTGAAGTTGAGGGAGGGCTCTACTCTGTAGCCACCTCTTCCTCTCTGGTCGCGGTTGGAGGCGCCGGAGGACACATCAAGGTTGTTGGCCTCCCGTCGCCAGCCGCGCCAGACCAATCAGGCAAATCTCGTGGCAAGGCGTCCAAACAATCAGCATCTTCATCTGCCTCGTCTTCAGGCCAAATCCTTGCATCTCTTCAAGCGCAAAGCGATGGTGTTGAGACTTTGTCCTTCTCGTCACCACCCCTAACCCTGCTTGCGGCCGGTAGTGTTGACGGCTCCATCGCCCTATTCGACACCGCCCACCGGTTTGCCGTCCGGCGGCATATTAAAGAGGCCCACGAAGAGTACGCCGTAGTCAAGGTCGACTTCGTCCGGAATCCCCAGCGCGGCGGCTGGATCTTGACCAGTGCAGGCATGGACGGTGTACTCAGACGATGGGATGTCAGGGGCGGTACCACTGCTGCGGGGCAGGGTTTCATCAACGAATGGAGGGGGCACCGCGGTGAAGGTGAAGGCGGCGGCGTTCTTGGATTCGTTCAGGGCGGAGGCGGAAATCGCGTGGTCACGGCTGGCGACGACGGGGTTGCTCTCGTGTTCAAAACGGATATTGCCGCATAGTAGAGTGCGTTCATGAGAGATGACACAAACAAGAGAAATGCCGACTTGATGGGTGGTGTTTACATTGCATGATACCTAGTCAATGAATTGGTGCGCCATCCAACTTTACCTACACACACACAAACACCCTGTTACTTTGTTTCCTGCTCTTTGAGCTCGACATACTGCCCGATCAAACTCTTGACCATGTCCTCTGGGCCGTGAAACACAATGCCCAACTTTTCGGTTGTTTTGCTCGTGTCGTATCCTGCGGAAGGTGCGCCAGGCTGTTTACCACCAAGTGGCAAGATACCACTAGCGACTTGTTGGGGAAACAGCTTTCGCACAATATCATCGACGCTATCCCACTTGGTGATGAGAGGGTATGCAGCGATCAAACGATCGCCAGTGACGAGGTTTTTGGCCTCCAAGGCAGCGACATGCGTGGCAGCAACATCATCGACCAACACCAGGTCTTGTGGCCCAGGCTGGTCGCTTTGGTGGCCTAAGACATAGTTGACCATGACCGTGTTGGAGCTGACCCGTTGGCGAAGCTCTTCAGCCGACCGAACCGACTCATTGCGACCCTGCACAAACGATGGCAGGACATGGATCACTTGAAACTTTGGATTCTTCTCTCGGACAAATCGATCTGCCTCGAGATAGGCCACTCTTTTCGACATTCGATACGCCAACCATGGATTCGTCGTGTCTTCATACTGTGAGATGTCCAACACTTTGCCAACATCATCAGGTCCCGCTGGTCTGCCGTCCGCCGGGGCGTCCAAGATTGCCACAGACGAGGTGATGATGATTCGTTTGACCGAATCTGTCTTGATTGCCGATTCCAAAATCCCTAGGTTTCCTTGTACGGCAGGGTCGATAAATTGTTGCCGCACATCGATTCTACTGCCCGTGGTATCGGGGTCTGGAATGGGTGATGCAACGTGGATGATGTAGTCGACATCTTGCACTGCCTTGTCAAAAGCCCCTGGAGCTAGGAAATCAGGGATTTCGACGAAAGAGATCGACAAAGAATAAGGTCGGATAGAAGGAAGGTCCTTCAGTGACTCGGCGGAGGAGAGCTTCCGGCTTGCAATACGTGCTCTGTACCCTTTTTTGAGCAACAATGCAAGTGTCGCGAGGCCGACGTGACCTGTGGCCCCGGTTATGAGGACAAGAGGTGGGGACATTCTGCAAAGAATTAAATCTTGTGGGTATCTAGTTACGATATGTTCTGGTGGGAGAGTTGACCCAAGAAAATTGATATGAATGGAACTTTCCTTGTTTCTGATATAACCACATATCTATAAATCCCTTCCAAACATACTCGTCTCAGCAGACAGTACAGTACAAATTGGATGGATTTATCAGCCTTGAAGTCAGTTCTAGTACGAAATAGAGGAATTAATCAGCCTTGAAGCCAATTCTAGGACTAAATTATTGTACAAAGACAAATTGCATAGCAAAACATTCAAATAACTGCCGATAGCACCTGTCAAAGGCCGAATTCGTGTTTAGTGAACAGATTCATATTGGATGGAGCCCCAAGAACTCCAGAGTCTAGTCTAGAGATTGACTTGGGAATTTGTTGATTAATCAACAAAGATCGACACCGCGTGACTTGAGCGAACCTCAAGGTAGACACAAGGTAGACACATGTACGTTGATAAAGAGAAAAGAGAAAATTTTATAATACATCTCATATTCATTAGGACAAAGGTTGAATGTGAACATGAGAAGCTGCCACACAAAATCAAGAATTCAGAAAATTGAAGCCCTTGATGCAAGGATGGACAAGCTTACATAACAATACAGATCCTTGAGTTCACTAAGGATGACTCGCTCAGTTCAGTCCATCTAGGTTGGGCCTCACCACGAAATAGACCAGCCACTTGACGCTAGCTCATCTAATAGGCCATCACATCTGACTATAAGCCCGGTAGAATAGGAATCAACGGCCACCTTCAAAGACCAGGGAAATCGAAGCATTCGTCAAAAGGTCTTGGCAATAGCTTAATTCCATAAATCCCACCGGGTTAAGGAACAAAGAGGTTTAACTCCGTCCAGTAGTCTGCCGTTTCAGGTATGGTAGTAGACTTAGCTCGCTGCCGCTTTTGCCCTCGCTATAAGAACACGCTGACTGTTATGGCGGACGTAGCAGACTAGCCACCAATCCCCCAAGTCAAGAAGTGTAGGCAGTTTCATCGAGACTGTTGAGGAGACGGTGGAGGGGAGATAGTGCCCCTCCTCTTCTCCAAAAATGATGCCATCGATATTTCATCACTCCGAGGCACATCATTTGTCAGAATTCATACATTTGAACGGCACAGTGGAGCGTCCCGCCACAAGCGCATGGGCAGAATGTCGGATGTGCACATACTCCGTAGATTCAACCCATCTAGAGATGGGTTCTGACCGGCAGCCCGAGTGTGCTTGCTTTCATGTGCTGTTTGATTGGTTGGGGAGCCTGTCTCGACACGTGCAACAGTTCTAAATGGATGGTATACAATAGACGCAGATCCACTTTCCTGGTTTGACAGTGGTCTATTTGCCTGGGGAATCAAGTACGGACATATCCGTTTTGATGCTCATAATAATCTTCATGAGATTTCAAAGCTATAGACATGGATGCAGCGTCTCCAAAGGGTAGAGCTATTGCGAAATACGTTATCCAAACTGTGTTGCGCTAGTAGCCTCGCTTTTGGATTTGGATGTAGAGAGCCAAGCAAAGCCAACGGTTCGCAAATCTGACGTTATTCGTCCACAAAGGTTCATCATTTCCAAGTGATCAACCTCATTCTGGTTTCCAGAATTTCAGACCAATAGCCAATCCAAGCAGCACCAGTTCTAATAGTCGTCCAAACTAAAATGTAGTGCTCTCGCAATTGTCTTGGCCAATTACGTGTGTTCTCACGAAGATGAGGCTTGCAGGACCTCTTCGTCGGCTGAGACAGCCATGTGTACTGCCAGGGCGACAAAACTACAGTCAAACCCCGGCTTCAGACGGAAATCGTTGAATATCTATATACCGTCAATTTGGAGCCATATTGCGACATGGATGCCCAGAAGCCATCCAAGAACACTATATTCATTACCGTTTCTAGGCATTCATAACCTCGATCCAGATACTTGTCGACAACATGGCAAATATGAAAATGGCGCGTTTGCCCAGATATTCCAAGACATACCAAAGGGCCTTCAGTACAGTGCACAGAATTCTTGAGTTTCTTGCGTGACTGGATACCGGGTCCATTCGCCAGGGATATAAAATGATATCACCAAGTCGATCTTTAATGTTGTGAAGTAGCACATACACGCACAGAGAGAGAGAGAGAGAGAGAGAGGGAGAGGGAGCGAGCCCGCATCCCCAAGGTCTTTGTTTTACTACCCGGAAAAGGTTGTTTAACTTGTCGTTCGCCATGGCTTCTCCCGTCAAAGAAATCCAGACTTCTCAGGTCACTGTCAACGATGATTCGTCCAAGGAGAATCTCGAGGAAAAGAGGTATCAGATTCTCGAGGCCCAGGCACTTCAAAGGACGGAGCCTCCAACTCTTCCTATCATGACCCTTTTCCGACGCGGCAAGAGGAATGTCAAACTCGACGATATCGCAACCCAGCCTTCAGTGTACGATGATCCTGCAACAGCCAAGTATTTCCAGCCTATTAGCAAGTATGAAAATCTTCATCGGTTCGACCCCTCAGTGCGCTGGACCTGGGGCGAAGAACTTGTAAGCAGTCCTCTCTTTTACTCATCTTGTCAAGAACCACTTACCAACTTCAACCAGCCTCTCATCAACAAGATCGATCTGAAGATTACCTTGTGGGCTTGCATTGCCTTCTTCGCTCTGGATCTCGACAGAGGCAATCTCAGTCAAGCAAATACGGACAATTTCCTGGAAGACCTGAATCTGACAACAAACGGTAAGACCGTCATCCTGATCCCGTTGACGTCGGCTGACACGGTCTCCAGACTTCAACTTGGGCAATACAGTATTCCGCCTCGCTTTCTTGTCGGCTGAACTTCCTTCGCAACTGATTAGTAAGAAACTTGGTCCGGATCGCTGGGTTAGATTGTCTTCTATTGCAACAAAAAGTGAGTACTAACTATGACCAGATCCCCACCATCATGTGTTGTTGGAGTCTTGTTGCTACCTTTCAGTTCTTCTTGTCTGGTCGGACTTCTTTCCTAGTCTGTCGGGCACTCCTGGGTCTACTTCAGGGTGGTTTCATCCCAGATGTGATCCTATATCTGGTAGGTGCATCGACATGTCAATGTATTGTCTTTGAATTGACAAGCGTGCAGTCCTACTTCTTCAAGGGCAGTGAGCTTCCATTCCGGCTGGCACTCTTCTGGACAAGCTTGCGTGTCACGGATATCGTTGCGCCCCTCTTGGCCTTCGGTCTCCTTCGTCTGCGAGGGTGGCACGGGTACGAAGGATGGCGATGGCTGTTTCTGTTTGAGGGGCTACTAACACTTTGTGTGGGTCTCTGGAGTTGGTTCATGATGGCCCCAAGTCCGACACAAACTAAAGCATGGTGGCGCCCGAAAGGTTGGTTCACTGACCGCGAGGAGTATATTATGGTGAATCGCATTCTCCGTGACGATCCGTCAAAGGGAGGTATGCATAATCGACAGGCAGTTGATTTGAAGCTACTGTGGAAATCATTGATCGACTACGATCTGTGGCCAATGTATATCTTGGGCTTTATGTTCTTGATCCCGCCTGGCCCTCCGGATCAGTACCTCACTTTGACCCTCAGACAGCTCGGATTCGGGACCTTTGACGCAAATTTACTTAGTATTCCCACAAACGTCATTGGGACTGCCACCGTATTTGGATCCAATCTAATCATTTCCGAAACAGACATCACTGACGGGTCTTAGATGCTCATTATCACGTACTTCTCCGAGATCTGGAATCAACGTGCATTGCTCGGGGCTGCCGCCCAGCTATGGATTTTCCCCTGCATCCTTGCATTAGCTGTACTTCCTGACGAAACTGGGTCGTGGGTGAAGTTCGCCGTCTTGACGGTTCTTCTGTCTTATCCAAGTGTGCATGCAATGCAAGTCGGATGGTGCAGTCGGAACTCCAACTCTGTGAGAACAAGAACTGTCTCAGCGGCGGTTTACAAGTGAGTTCGAGCCCAAAATCAGACCCAATTGCTGGATTACTGCTAACTGGACACCGAAAAGCATGTTCTGTCAGGTAGGCGGAATCTGCTTGTCCAATATCTACCGTCGGGACGATGCTCCACTGTGTAAGCTGCCCTATTCAACCTTTCCCCAGTATTTTCTGCCTACTTTTAATTGTACATACGACATTGTCGACTGACCGTTCGTTCGCGATAGATCGCCGAGGAAATCGTCAACTCACCATTATCTGCGCCGTCAACGTGATACTGTACTTCTTGACCAAAGCCTACTACGTTTGGCGCAATAAGGTCAGAGCCAAGGAATGGGATTCGTTGACAGCGGAGCAAAGGTTAGAATACCTTGAGACGACAAAGGACTCGGGAAACAAGAGAAAGGACTTCCAATTTGCACATTAGACAAGAGAAGGATGTCGCTGCCGATACACACACGGGGGTGAAAGGTCGGCGTGCGCCTGAGATCTGGAATGGAGAGCGGGGCCCTTGAAGAAGCTGGGACGCTCAGTAAACGAGATATATCTATGTCAAATAGACTGCTCTACTTGAGCATCAACAGAGCTTCCGACATCCTCTCTGAGTGCTTTAGGCAGTGACTCACGTTCCCTGCTTGACACCTGGATATGCGCAGAAACTTATAGGGTTATTAAGGCGCTAACGATACATTTAAAGGCACCTCCGCCAAAAGCAGCGGCACTCACCGTCAGCATCCTACTCCGTACGTTTAACTCCGCAAAAGCCAAGGCAGATAAGCTTCCACCCACCTACTATTTGGTCTGATGACATCGCTTGGACATGAATGCAGTGCTCGTAATTGTTCATCCAGCAGACCTATTTTCGCCGTTTAAACAATATTCCGGAGATGGTAATGTTAACCTACGTCTGCGCGGAAAGCCTTGCTACACAAGGTTTTTTCCTTCCTAGGATGGTTGGTTTTGGGACGGAGATAATGGGGAACTGAGAAGAGGGCTCGGATTTACCGAGAGGGATGGAGGAAGGAGGTAAGGAAGAAAACAAGGAAGGCGTGACGTGACCAGATGAATGTCCAGAGATATAAAGAAATAGATTTCAGGAAGGAACTGGAATATGGATGAGGAAAGAGACCACATAGCCTACAATCCAAGTCAATATCCAACCCTCTCCATCTCAATCATCTTCGAACCAAAAGAAACCAAATCCTAGGTACTCAAACCTCTCTCCCCTTGACCTCTCCCTCAGGGCTCAAAATGTCAACCCCACGCTTCACCAACAAACTCCACAACCAACGCATCCTCCTGGTAGGCGGAACCGGCGGCGTTGGCATCAGCGTGGCCCAAGCCCTGATCGAATACGGCGCCACCGTCATCCTCTCCTCATCACGAGAATCCAAACTCACTCAAGTCATCACCTCCCTCAAGACCGATTACCCGGACGCATCAGACCGAATCTCGGGCTATGCATGCGACCTCTCCAGTCCCCAAGTCGAAGAGAACATCCAACTCCTCTTCCACAAAATCCGCGATCCTATTGATCATATCATCTACATGGCCGGCGACCGCTTACCCACCATCCCACTAGATGAAATAACATTGGACAAATGGCAGAAATGTAACCAAGTTCGCACAATAGCTGCGATTTTAGTGGTCAAGATTGGAAGTCGGTATTTGAAGAAACAGGCGACTTCGTCAATTACATTGACCGGGGGATCAATTTCAGAGAAACCGATTGCAGGCGGGTGGGCGATGTTGGCGTTGATTGGGGCCGGGTTGAATGGGTTGGCGAGACAGTTGGCCTTTGATCTGGCTCCGATTAGGGTTAATTGTGTGGCGCCGGGGGTGATAGATACGGATCTGTGGAGGGGGATGAAGGAGGAGGTGAGGGGAGAGTTTTTCAAGGGGTTGAGAGAGACGAATCCAACGGGGATGGTGGGCAAGCCGGAGGATTTGGCGGAGGCGTATTTGTATTGTTTGAGGGATTGTAATGCAACCGGGATGGTTGTTCATTCGAATAGTGGGGTGTTTTTGGTGTAGGATAGGGTGGGACAGAGCTAGCTATAGCTGTTGGGTGAGAGAGCAGAGTAGAGCAGAGACGGGTAGATCGAGATATGTATCATATATCCTGTATATCATGTAGAATAGTCGGTGGATATGGAAATCCATTGAATAGATTGCAATGAGTGGATATCTGTCACTCACTCTCTATCCATGGATGACATCCCTGAGAACAGAGAACAAAAGACCTTTGAATACACTTTCACCTTGGTGTTCGGCCCAATGCCCTGCCTCTTTAAGCTTCAACTTCCACGTCCTCTGCTGCGCCTGACTCAACTCGTCCCACCTTTTGACCGTCTCCTCCTTGACCAAATCGACATCATGCTGGATAATCTCTGTTGAAATCTCACCCACACCTTCATCACGAAGGATGATGGCTTTTGGGGTCTCCAAATTGGTATTTTCAGCTACTAGATCAGACAACTGTTGTTTCAACACGGAAGAAGTATGCTCTACTGCGTGGGTAATGTCGTCGATGTCGGGAATATTGGAGATTTGTTGTTTGGCGATATCCGCTGCGTGTTCGGCTTCGTGGGCCATTTGGGCGGGCGCCTGTTTCAATATCTCTGCGCCTAGATATGGACGAGCAATCCAGTCTTGCATTCGAGGAGATAGCCAATTGGTTGCGCCTAGAATAGGTGGTGTGGCGCCGCGGATCTCGGTGAATGCTTGCATGAAGAATGCTGCTATTGCCACTATGACCAGGGCATAGATCATGCCGATCGTTGTCTGTGACATGTTCGAGCTTGGTGGGATGAGTACATATCGAGGTGTTTTACTGGACCGACTCACGTAGGGTCGAAGTGGAATGTAGTGAACTCGAACGTACTGATCGACACCTACTGACGCCAGGCGGAGATGTTGTGACGGCGGGTTGCTTTTCATATCGAATGTGGGTGGAGGAAGGAAGTTTGAAAAGGCGATTCTCGTAAGTGGTCCACTGTGGACATTCTCGAGATGAGTATATGGCTTGAAGCTGCGGTAGGTGGAATCCAGAAAGTCAAGGACCAGGATCTCAATTGAGCTGTTCTGTCCTGACACAGCAATCACCTGCTGTGTATCGCTTTGGTCAGCCGCACTGAGACGGGCGACTTCTAGGCCAACGGCCACCTTGGTCGTCTTGTTGAGGCGCTTTCGTAGACGGATCTGTGACTGCCGGTTGTCCTCGGATATTTTCAGGACTAGAAGCACTGCACCGCCGCGATTTGGGAGATTCTGCAGGAGGAGGAGTGTTTTGGCGTCGAGAAATCGGATTGCGCGAAACTTAGGCCTTTTGTTGCTGGGAAGGGTCATGGTGGATTCAGGAGTGCGATACAGGGATACCGGTGCATCCGGCTTTTTCGACCCTTTTACTTGGAGTGACTGTATGAAGACCTCATCATCGGTACAATAAGCCAACTTCGAGTCGCTAGAAGAGCCTGCCGGGCTTGAATGTAGATCTAGGTCAGCCGCTTCACGCTTTCCCAGATTGATGCGTGATATCTCGTCTTTGGAAGTGGGAGTTGATGAGGCGCGAAACACAATCACCTCGTTCTCTGGAGCTAGGCCAGACGCAATCGCGGCCAAGGGGCTATTGCTGTTGTTGCGATTGACCCGGAGAACTCTCTGATATGTTTCATTCTTGCTGCCGGTGGCGGACTTGAAGATTGCCGCGCGACTTAATGCCTTTGTCGCCTCGGTTCGTGAGACTCCACCTTGGGGTTTATCGACGGCGCCCAAGTCATCCTTACTCCTCCTTTGGGGTAACTGGATCCGAAATGATCTTAGATGTTCATTCTTGCCTGCCGCCTGACTAGCAGCTGAGCTGTTGATCCCCGCATAGACGGTGAGATGTGACTGTAACTTCTCTCCTGTAGAGCCTTCTCCGGTCTCGGCGATTGCGAGTGTCGTGACCGAATCCTCGTCTTTGGCAAGCTCAATGTCCACCAATTCTCGTAGGGTTTCTCGTCGAGCAGAGTCGATCAACGAAATCTTGTTAGGTACACCGGTGGAGGAAGAGCCGCCACCTCCACCGACAAGGAGGAAGTCTTTGTTGAGAGGATCAAAATCTGCAGCGGCGAGCGGATAGGATAGCTTGATTTGGGCACATGGCAAGACGGGCGCCATGGCTTGGAGGAAGGGGGAGGAGTGCGGTGGTGAGGTAGTGAGGTAGTCGTTGGTTTGGATCAAGGAGAGTGCGTCTTCAGCCAGAGTAGATCATGACTGACCAAGAAGAGACTCAACTCTATTGTGTTGTCAAATAGACAGATGTTGAGGTTGACGCTGTGTGGCGGCGACAAGTGGCCTCTTTCGGAGAAGAGACAATGGTGGGCAAAAGAAAGTCTACATCAACATCATCCCAAGTACGCATTTGTTTCGCACTTGAGGAAATCGCAGTGTTATCGATAACCACTGTACGTACAGTACGTCGATCAGCTTGGGAGTCACGGGGTACAGCCACTTAAGCCACTTGGGCTCTGAGTAAGGGCCGTCTGGGCAGCTTATGGGGGTGGCGTGGCTGATCCTCGGCATCAATTTGGGCACCTTTAGGGCTGATTCGGACCCCAAGTCGCCTAGACCAACTGCCTCTTTGGCCAATTAACCACTTGTAGCTACCTGGGCATTGATCAACCACGTGACCATATCAGCCCATTCTTCCAGCGTTGAAAAATTGATGTCACGTGATTAGGCTCAGTCCACATAATTCACCCTTACCATGGCATAAACATCAACACCAACACCAACATGAACATGATCTCTGACAGTGAATAATTCTATCAGAAAGTGCTGATAAAGTAAATCTTCAATCTGACTCACCTATCGGCGAGGTTATCTCTGGAGCCGTATGATGTTTTGACATTGAAGTCAACTTTTGACTCAGTTCTATTACGAAACCCGTTCCTGTTGTAGAGAGTATCTGCTCCTACGAAAGTCTATACCAATTAGGCTTCATTCCTTCCTCCATTAGGCTTAAGAGCCTGCTGCTGCTGCTGCTGCTCCTCCTCCAGCTCCTCATACTCCTTCGTATTCTCTTCACTCTTGTGGCTAGATATGAGTAGACAGTCAATGCACACCTTCTTTATCCATTTATCAGCTCGGAGCGATCGCATCGCATATGCCTTATATGAATAGTCTGCTCCCTGTATTTCTTCTTGCATTTTTGGGACAATGCGACTCTCGAGACATTGTCAGGAGTCGTTGGTGCTTCCCAAATTGGCTAATGCACTGGGAGGATCTCCAGCCATAGAATCTAGCTCTTCTAGGTCAATAATAACGCATCTCCTGTTCGTTTGTGCATAGGTGAAAAAGATCTGGCAAAAAGTAACAAGGCAATCAAGGTCACTCAAGGCCCGATCGCTTGGGAATCCTCTGTGAAACGGTACCTGTTTGGGTTCCAGCCGGCGGTCAAGTAGTGCGATCCGCCCGTCAATTATTGGACCCCAGTGACAACCAACGTCAAAACCAGGCAACAAATCACATACTCCGTAAAAAGTAAAAGTAAGTAGTACCAAGGGTTTTCGTAGGTGTCACCTACGGGAGTTACCGGTGTTCCATGGCATGCTGGGCATCCTGATTGCTGAGCCTTCGATCCTGAGACTTTTTTTGGGTCCGGCCCCGGGGGACGACAGGTAGCTTCCGCCTGGATTTACGGGGGCCTGAAAGCTGATGAGAGCCCTCGCCCTCCTTCGTTAGGCCCTCAATTTCAGAACGTATGATATGCATAGTTCCACCGGTCTTGATCATCTGCAAGGAAGTGCGATTGCCTTACAGTAATGTTTTGAATATCCAGACCGGAAAGCAAGGCTTGGTGAGGCGTGCAGTATCCGAAGGCATCTCGTCGTGCACGCAGCTACGTACATGCTTCGCACTCGAATCACCAAATCAAGCCTGCAGGACCAAGTTTTCGGCGAATGGGAATTCTATCAGAAATCCGCTTGCCAAGTGCCTTGCACATACGGTGAGCATGTCCTCGAATCAATTCTGCCGTAGAGAAGCAAGAAGGCGTCCTGAAAGCCAGCAAATCCCACAGCGTGACGTGCGTGGACACTACGCTCTCCAGTTCAACCAGACAAGCTTCAGGGGCAGTCTCTATCACGTTAACTTCCCGATTCTAGGCGTCAACGTCACAACAGTGACACCTCCGTGTCTGCAGAGGTAGTGCGGTTGCCTGTTTATCTGTCAAGCACGATAACCACAAGATCTGTGTTCGTGATGATGCATCCTGCGCCTCTGACAGACAAGCGAAGGCTTTCTTCCGCCTTGAGGAGAGAATAGGATGCCTTATTGAAGGTGGCGGAGTGATGGGTCGATGGTGGCGATCCTGTCAGGTGTTGCTGCGACCGTGTCAGAAGTTAGAAGTTGCTTGGTTGAGTTTCGATCAATGCGCCGCGACAACGCTTCCTTGTTTGATCCTGCTGGTCTTTTTTGCCACACTGAAATGGGTCACTAGTGTCAATTCTGAAGACTGAGGTCAGCATTGTGGTTCGAAGCCTTGACTGGGTGATTATCGATCTCGTCGAAAGGAATTTGGCGATAGATGAGGATGAATGGGCACATGGGATGGTCTCTGGACACAATCCCATTCAACTTCCCCCTTGCTCTCAGTCTGAACATGGGATTTCATGGAATATTGGATTGTTTGGGAGTCTTGGCCACCCATGTCACATTGCGGTGTTTCGACCACATGTCGTTCACCTCTCCGTTTGAGGAAGCCAAGAATCTCCAAATTGGTGGATTCATGCGACCGCCATCCGCAGGCGTTGTCATTGTCAAGGTGTCACGACCTTCACTCAGAATGTGCATTGCCATTCAGCTCCTGTTCGATAACTTCAAAGTGTGTCGGATGAGCTGACGAGGTCTCTGGACAACTCTGCACCGCCCCTCGGTTTGGCCGATGGCTGACTATTGGATTGCCACTGACTTGCCACCACTGAGGGGAAATAATTCTAACAGTATAGGTCAGCGTGGGAGAAGGCTAGGAGGGATCAACGCTGCTGAATCGCACTGAAGAAGGGAGGTATGGGTGGTTGGTTGGGGTCGTTGAGGGAGAGTGGAAGATGGAACAGTCTCCACCATCCGCGCGTGGAGTTGTAGGCTGCGATGGAGGACAGTGTCAAGCGATAGATAGCATGAATCGAAGGGAGCGCCTGGTCCATTGAGGACCAAAATCTTGTCGATCTTGACTGAGAGCTCAAAGGACTAGAAACTCAGCTTCTCGAGTGCTAGTGTTTCATGTCCATAGAGACTCGTCGTCTATGTAAATTTATTTGAACCCATCATCAGCCTTGCCATTGTTAGCACGTGCAGAGGGGCAGAGATATCTTGGCAAGACCTTCCAAGGAAGGAGCTATGCCGTCAGGTGTGGGCATGTGCGGCTCCCTTGCGGCTGCCTCGGGCTCCTAGCCCGCTAGGCCCGTTATGGAATAGCTTACTTTCGTCGTCTCGGCCCTTGCCGCTGCGCTCTCTTTCTCCTCCAGGTTCTTAAGTTGGACTTCATTGCCAACACAAAATCTATGTCGTTGCCAGTAACACCGCCCTCAGCAAGTGATGATCTATAACTGCTCCGCATCAGATACAGATCTTCCATGTCAATCCAGTCGACATTGTGTTGAACTCGAATTTCCTAAACGAGAACTCAGCACCTTCCTACAACCCTCCACCGTCCCCTGGCAGGTCTCCAGGAAATTGGCCATCACACCAAGTTCAATTGCGCAAAACACAGGTAAGCCCATGCGCTGCGTCAAGGAAGTTGAACCAATACCTTCAGTCTATCAACATGAGTTTCAATAATGACCATACCGTTATGTGAAGGCAGACTACTCCTCCACATCCTTGTCTGGACAATTCCTCCATTTGCTAGTCCAGACTACCACGTTGTAACATGTACTGAACTAGGTACAAGTCATTCGTCATCACTCAATATTGGAACTATGAATCAGCCCTCCACAGCGAGTTTATGGCGCAAACTAACAACATTGTTCATCCCTCTGGGGTCGATCGCTATCATTTGATGGCACGCCATGTTCGGGTACTCTGCTGACTAGCATGCACGTTACGTTTTACATGCGCCAAAGCGCACACACACCTGAGTCGCACCAATGGTGTAGAGCTTGCGCAGACATCATCAGTCTCTACTTCGCTGCCATATTCTACCTTTATTTTTCGACGATAACCGATACTCGCTGATGACCACTTGCTCCGGACTTGACTTGCGAGGTTCAGTTATGGAACAGCATTTGGAATTCCTTCCTCTGTTTCCAGAATCTAGCACTGGCCTCCATGCTTTTCGAATTCACCAAGTCTTGGAGACCTGTCTTGCACCCCAAAGCCAGAGACACGCCGGGTTTACACCCCATCATGGTACTTGTATCATAGCTTGACTACAAGACACTCCATCAACGCGTCATCCGGAAACATGGTCAAATACGAAAGGATGTCCTGAGGCTAGTCGAGCAGAGTGTCCATGGCTTTTGCTGGCCTGTATCTGACTGGTATCTGACAGGTATCTGACCGTTTCGGTCAGCCAGACGCTAGAATCACCATCCAGAGCTCCAACTATATTGCATCAGACCCAAAAGGCTCGGCAAAAATCGGCTAATCAAGTCGCCTTCTACCGGCTGCAAAATAATTTACTCGTCGAGGCTTCACTCGAGACGGCGCAATGCCAGCAAAGAGGGTATCAGAAAAGACTGAGTGCCAGTATCTATGCAGGGAGCAAGTGTCGAGGTAGGCGGAAGCCGAACGGACACATGATGGACATATGATGGATCCCCATCCTTGCACACCCTGGTTTGCTTTCTTGGCATTCGGGACCGGCGCAGCTCCTTTCGACTTCCCACAGCAAACCTTCAAAATTTGTCACATCCTCTTAGTATGGTCTGGAGGTCGATAATTATGGTCCATTACTCAATGCGAGACTCATGCTCGTCCGCGTGTGCAGAAGTTTGAAGAGCCTGGCGTTACAAGTGGCAGTATGAGTCGAGGTTCAGCAAGCAATGGCGCTAGCCAAAACAGGTTACAAGGTGTTTGGGGACACTGGGTTGCGCATCAATTTCATCGAATGGCATCGCGTCTTGAGTGCTAGCGCCTTACGCACCATATGCACCATGTTCAAGGGAAGTATAGGGCCAGCGTCAGGGTATCCACGATGCCCACCTCTTCTCTCTCACTTCTTTATATCTACCCTCCTCTCCAGAAAAGCCATCTTCAACATCTTGAATCATTTCCAATCCGCCCTGGCAATTGCTCCGAGTGATCCCCAAATTTCTGCTACATGGCTCTACACTACCCACTTGCTGCACCGAAGATGACTACCAAGATCATGGTCACTCAGCCGCCTCTCACACGCAACCATGCCCCGTGCCGGTAGGTCGACCTTGAACACGGAAGCATGGCTGATATCGCTCCTGGTCAACTAACCAAGACTGTAGTCGTCGCCGCATTCCGTTGACGGCCTTTACTCTCCTCACTGTGCCGGAAGAACCTACCTTGTCAACCTACCTGGATAGCAAGGAGCGGGTTGACATAAGTCTCATGCAAAGAATGGTGACGCATGGCACATGGTCAACTGATAGTGTCAGCTTTGCTGGTGTCTCCTTCTCCAGCAGAGACTCCGTTTCCAACCTCACAGCATCTAAATTGCCTACATTCTTGGAGGCAAAGTCTGATCAGAATATGGATTTGGATCAGGATTTCGACCTCGACCTCGATCTCGACCTCGAGGTCAGTATCGCCGCCATAACTTTGACAGAATGCCCACGAGCTGTCAAAAAGACGATTGTTTGGTCTCGACAATCAAGATTCGCAGAGAATGCTAGCCGAGATCATCGATGAAGCCAGATGCTGTTTTGCAGTTGACGTGATGGCAGTATGAGTGCCAAATTTTTTGCCTAGAGATGGCTGCGAGGATGATTATTCAGGAACAGGCTTGATTTTGGTTCTTCGTACTGGTCGTGTCTACCGCTATGGCGCTGTGTGTCGCTTGTTCGTAATGCAAGTTTTCCGGGATCGAGGATACGTGGGCGTCCTACAGGGGTAGATTGAGACGGGGTTTTGTTTGTTTTAGCAGGCGTTGTGATATCTGTCAGTAGTGAGCACGAGTACCAAGTCATGATACCCACACACAAATGAGATGAGTAGAAGCACTCGTGGGGGTGGGCAAGGGGTTGAGGGAGGGGTATGACGTTGGCTGCATGGCAAGCACTGACCAACAGACCTTTCGTCACGGACATTGCCCTGCCTGCCTACCTACCTACTCGTGTCAAGGTGATCATGATCATATACCTATAGTGTGGTGTGGCGTGGTGTGGCGTGGTGTGGTGTGGTGTTGAGTGGAGTCTTTGAATGGGTGCGAGTGACCCACCCCAATTTCTCCACTGTACGACGTATCATCTCGCAAAACGTCCAAATACGGATGCGAGGCGAAGCTATTGATATACAAACGAACAGACAGAGCAGCGAAACTACCGGTCAGGTTCACATTCAAAAGCAGAGCTCCGGGTGTAAAGTGCGCATGACGAGCGAACGAACATTTCGCAAACGGTCTCGAGTCAAAATCACATAGATTCTGATTGACAGCTTCATCAAAGCAATTATAAAAGTCTATTGGTTCTGGCCAGAACCGATTTCCGTGAGGAAAACACCTGCCCTCAGGTGAACACCATAGACAAAAAGAGATACGAAACGCCTGCCGATGAGACTCATCCAGTTTAACACGCCAGGAACCCGTGTATATGAGTATCCATGTTGATTGATATTGTTGTTTTTGTGTCGCGCTGCTGGTTGTTCAAGTCTACTACGGTGCGTTTGCCAGGGGCGGTGCTGTTGATAGAGGTAATCCATCAATAACGCCGCCCCTGTCAAACGCCCCGATGTTAGCTCTTCAGTTGCAGGCGCAGCGGATTAGTAGCACCAGTTTTGGTCAAAGAGGCGCCAAATTCCGCCAGCGAAAATTCCTTGGTTCGAGCGTTGTAGTCGATATAGCGATTCACCTGTATTGTTTAGTTGTTTGACATTGCTCTATACGACATCGCCAAGACCTACCGTAGATATTTTGTGGCCGAGCCACAGGCACCTTTCAACTCTCGGGGCTGAATGGCTCGGCAGTTCCAGGGTCCGCTCGTCTTCGTCCACGGTGGAAAGCTTAAAGAAATCCTCGGGAAAGTAATAAGGAGCCCAGGCGAGACCTCGAATGACGAAATCCTCGGGAAGTTGGAGTCCTGTACCGCTCTGCTGTTGGGGGAATTCCTCGGATTCGACTCTGAGGTCAGAGACGCCTGATCTGCTCAAGGTATTCAAACACAAGATGATGCTATCCCATGGAATGTATTGTTCAACATGAACCAAGGCGCCTGGTACATAGGACAAGCTCCAGATAAAAGCCAGAGTAATGTGGATAAATGGAAGGACGTTACGGTCCCCCACTTTGTTGGCGACGGTGGAAATGCATGAGCACCAGACTGGCAGCACGTATGAGGTGACCTCATCTGAGGATTCAAATTTGGCGTCTGGCCTATCTCCTCCATGGGGCTGGGCATGCGTCACAGATGGATCCTGATCCTGGGATGTTCCAAGTTGGTGCCAGTATTCACGATGGATGGTTTCCTTGAGCTTGGGATCCTCAACCGGGGCATTTTCAACATTCGTGACCTGAGCCTTGTCGTTGACGTTGGGTCGAAGCTTATTTTGGTGAGCGCGAATCGCATTGAACAAATAATTGTCATCATTGCCGATATCAAAGATCATGGCGGCCAATGAGCTGGCGATCTCAGGGCCAAGAACTTTGAAATTGGATCCTGAATTTGTGATCTGAACTTCGAGCTCCTGGGTGAAATCCAACATGTGGACGATGTATTGGTGAATGGATCCGCGGGTAAAGACGAGAGCAGCGGCAGAGACGAGAGAAGTCTCAATCCTCGTGTACTTTAGACTTGCGGTATCAGGCTCAAGGAACTGAGTGAAGAGCAGCATAATCGAATCGCGAGCGTTGACAAAAGGAGTGACGCTAATTAGGGACTTTGAGTAATAAAAGAGCTGGCGAATGACATGAGGGCGGGCGAGGACGGCGAGATGATGTTGAATGCGTCCAGTGTTTGGAGAACGGTCTGCAGCACGGTTATACCACATTCTCGCCACGTTGGACCAGATTTCACGGTCGCGCATGTCGGCCTCCTCGATTGCCATGCGATAACGAGCGAGATCACCCAGACACTCGATCCAGGTCTCGTAGAAGACCGGGACAGACTCCATGAGTAATCCCATCATCTGATACGCGAGATAGACAAAACTCATCATGTGTTCAATGGAGTCGGGGAGGCGGTGTCGGAGAAGCTCGAGAAAGGAGTGAATACCATGGCGCCACATGCGTGCTGGCATGGCGTACTTGGTTGGTAAGCGGCGAAGCGCGACCGAGGCGGTGGGATGCTGGCTGGCGAGGAAGAAATCATGGTGTTCGTGCAGGAGAGTGCGATGAAGTGCTATGAGGGCCTGCCATTGTTGGTTGGAGAGTTTGGTGTCGGTCTGAGATTGTTGAAGGCAAATTTCTACGCACTTCTTCTCTACCATCACTAACCCGGCGTAGATCCCCTTGACCTCATTAACTAGCTGGGCCTGGGTAATGGGACGGGTTTCTGGCTGAGGGAGGATACCAGTGTCCTGTTCAGGTGTGGGGTCATAGACAACATTCGGTGTCAGGGTGCTGGGGGGGTGGGCCCTCTCGAACTCTCGGAGTGCGGCCCAGCTGACTTGCTGGGAGGTCTGCACCGAGGTTGGCTGGGTTGAACGGGTCGACTGAGGGAATGGCATTTGTGGGGATGACGGGGCGGTCCGGTGTGAGGAGGTTATCGCATGCGGCGGAGAGTGCGTCCTGAATGAGCCTGAAGGGTTTTGGTTGTTGGGAGATGAAAAGGGAGATGCGGAAGAGCGACAGTGTTTGTGGGGGTAGGATTGATCTCCGTCATGGTGAACGCGTTTGACAGTGTAACGCGGAGGTTCGGAGAGCTGAGGCTGGCATTTCTTACTGTCATCTTCCAGTGACAGGGCTTTGAGTGCAGACTCGGGTTCTCGCCTGGAGTTGTTGTTGTTGGGTTTATGTTGGGTAAACGAGTGGTCACGTGGATGAGGCGCACGACTCAGTTTTTGTTGTTGCGGTGAATTGGAATGTTGCTGACGCACGTTGTCGATGGCAATGGGCCTAGGATTCAGTGAGACTGAGGCCAAGCGAAGGGCGGTAGGAGATTGCATCGCAGAGACAGATGTGGGAATGCGAGGACATACCTCGATAATGATGATGATGGGTAATGAATGACTTGTGGATTGGGGTTGAGGTCGGGCTTTGGTCTCTGTCTGATGTCTTTGAAATCAGGCTCTGGCTTGGCGGAACCTGAAGGCAGTCGCCGGTGATGCCGGTCCGAGGAGCCTGGAGAACGACGTAGAGCTTGTGGCTGAGAGGGCTGATGCGGATTCATGCTGTGGTTGCGATGCATCTGCACAACTAAGGGACAAATGGTCAGCTGGAAGAGAGTCTTGTGTGTAGGTTGGATGACGAGAGATGCGGGATATTGAGATGGTCGGTGGTCGGTGTCCCAGGCTAGGCCCGAGGGGCCCGAGGGGCCCCTCGGACGCACCGGGCGCACCAGGCGCACCAGGCAGCTTGTATTCTGAATGGGGGGAGGGGGTGAGGGGGGAAGGGGCGAAGGGGAAGTCAGGCGACTGCGTAAGAAGTGGCGTCGGGGGGGGGAAAGGTGTAATGGAGAAGTTGGGAATTGGGTCCTACCTCCTAACGGCCAAAAACCAAAGTGGCAGGTGGCAATCGTTTCTCGTCCTTGGTTACTCTCGGCTATGGCAGGCAGGGCCTAGAGGTCAGTTCGCTCTTTCCTAAGCTTCCGAGACCAATGGAATTGTGGCGTGAACACGTCGAGCGGTGTTTGTTCAAATGGTACTTTTCGCTTGTCTGTTGCCTCTTGTCTCTTCGCTGTACACTTATCAGAGTGGACAGACGAGATAACCAAGGGATTTCACAAAATACCAAATTACCAGTATCTTTGCAAACTGGATGTTTCTAGAAAACGCAATGGCCGTAAGGACGGGACAAGACACACGCACACACGAAGAACGAACAATTGATCAACCACTGTGACAGATATATATTCAATGATGCCCAGGTATACACCCTGATGCTGCTTCATACAATTGATTGCCTTGTAGCCCTCCTCGGGCCAGGCAAGCTTTGCCCGATTGAGAAATGCAAGGATCTGAGCTTGCCTGGTCCCACCCATGGTCCGCGGACCACCCCCCCCGCCCAATCTCAATTCTCAGCCGCATGCCATGTCGGGACTTCTGCAATCTCCTCTTCCTCCAGACGACTCTTCTTTTCACTCAACGGTTAGATACCCCAGAGCTCTTCCTCGACATAACATTTGCGCCTAGGTTCAAAAACACCTAATGTCCACCAGCCCACTCGTCCAAAGATGAATGGCAGAAATCTATTCATGTGCAACACAGGTACCCAACTCTGCAGGAAAACCCCCTTATTGACCTCCAGAAACCCTTGGGATCCAAAAGTTTCCTCACTCACAAAGCTAAGGTAATTAATTGGTAGCCTGCACTTTTGGGCCATTCTTCCTCCATTGTCAAATCATGTCAAACAGATGGGTTAAATTCTTGCAAATCTTGTTGAATCAACCACTGAGGTGAAGATCCTGACGAATTGGCTGGCCAACATGATACAAACCCGTCCCTGGCCCCTTTACCCCTTCATACGATATGATCCAACGGATTGTCAGGATACATTGACTGCCTTGACATTTTCGGATGTGAGACAACATTCAGGACCACAAGAAGGCTGCCTCACAACCGGCACTGACCCGGCACTGACCCGGCACTGACCAACGCCTCAGATAACGGACCGCGAGCACGAGATCGTTTGAGCGACAAATGCTAGTGAACCAGACTCTATCATGCCCAAGTCGGACTCATCAGGAGAGGCCAAATGCTCGTCACACCTATGGCCTGACGTCCTTGGATCCGTGAGCGCTCACCACGGAGAATCTCCGCTGACCCGATCCAAAAGCAAGCTCGGTCACTGCCTCTTCCATTCTGTCCGACTGAGACTTGGACGGTAATTACTTGGGAGGCTTTGGCATCTCACAGCCGTCAAGACAGCCTTGTGAGTGGTACCGATCACAAAGCATGAGAAATGGCCCGATGCCACATCGTTTGTAACTGCCAAAGTGAAGTCACGAGGGTGATACACAACGGCAAAGCCCACCACGAACTCGTCAGTCGTGGAACCATCCGGGTACTCGGATTAGAGTTGAGGCCAAGACGCACTGCATATACTGCGCAATGTGGTGCAAGCGAGATGGTTATACTTGACTGCACTCGTGACGCTGACCTGTCGACGAAATATCGCAACCTCCATGGTGTCAATCATTGCATGTCGACTTCCTTTTCACTAGCCGAGGCAGGCACTTGACATGGCAGTGTGCCCAAGATAAGATTGTTGTTTGCACAAGGTTCTCGTCAATGGTACAGCCTGATATGTCTGAACTTTGGCTTGCAAGAATGTTTCCGTCTTGCCTAGTGCTGTGAATGGCGCCTCATCTGGGTTACTGGGGGCGAGGTTTCCACCACTTCTGTCCCTCCTGGCTGTAGATGTGTGCACTGCCAGCACTACAACAGGTAACACTATTGATGTGTTGCAGTATGTTAGGGAGACTAAAAATTGGTAGATTACAAGGCCGTCGTTGTCATTGTCGTTGCAGTTGCCGTTGCCGTTGCAGTTGCCGTTGCACGTGACCCATATCAAGTATCTGTGCCTCTTGCTCTCCACAGCATGCCAGGTGCTCACTGATTGGTCAAGTTTCCTGCAATTCAACTCCAACCGCCAATCCGCATCAAGATTTGACGTACGCCGTCAGGCAACGAGGCGTCTCGACATTCCCCCCAGACTCCATATGTGTCATGCTGGCTGTTCCTCGTTGTGCACGTTGGAGATTGTAGCAGTTCGTCGCCTATGAAAGGCGAATTCTTTTTCCAGGAACGGCCAATATCCCAGCCTCTCTCACCGGTTCTGCGAAGGATCACTACACGTGGGATAATAGGTTCTCCCATCAATCACGCATAATGCCTGGGGCCTGTGGCAGCACAGATTACCAAGACATCCCAACATTCCTTCTGCCCTGTTTGGAGGTCTCGTGGACAATCAAATAGAGGCAGCCGGGCAGCCAACTCAGACCATTCCTTCAAAATCCAGCCGCAGAATTGTTTATTAAAATTTACTCTGCTCATCACCTTTTTCTTTTTGAAAGATCAGGCAATAGTGACGCCACAATACCTATCCGACCAGGTTCGGTTGTTATCACATGGACCCCTGAAAATACATTCAAGCCAGTGCAACATTCATGCAAGAGTTACGTGGAGCGCACTAGATTTAGATATGGATGCCTTTTTTTCCAGGGTTACCGAAATATGCAAAGGTGCGGCGTACACCCGAGTCTTTCCCACCTTCAGTCTAGCCTGTTTTATGACCGTATCCCAGCAAATGAGAGCTCCCCTTCTCATCTCTCGTATCACTCTTGCTCTAACGCCCTGTCTTCAAACAGGTCAGTATCTACTCCGTACTCCGTACGGAGCATGCACATGACACTAATCAGGAACGCAGCCAGGCGTCATCTTCCATTTCTCCCCGCATGGTCTGAAGCCTTTCTCGGGCCAAAAGCCCAAAATCCATATCACCTTAATTAGCGTCCTTTCAGTGCCCCCTGCCATATTCCTGAAAGACTCGGAAGGATGCTAATACTGTAGACAGACATACGGAGTAGTGTGCCCATTTGTATGTACACAGAATACTTTCCCCGCCCCCCCTCCCCCCCGCCCGCTCCGCTCATATTAACACCTTATTTGAACCACAACGCCTGACTACTGCCTCCTTAATCTGTATGCAAGAAATCTCAACTGCCGGTTCACCTAGCCGCTATGTCTATCGACTAGCCGATCTCTCGGGCCGTTATGTACTTCATTGAACAACAGTATGTGATTGGTTTCTACAGCAGCCCGCCCTAGCCTTCGTGATAGCCTATGTGATTGTCATTTCTATATCATATTTACGTACAATGATCCCCCTTCTTGTAAGCCACAAGCTTCGTAACCGGTTGCCTTGCATTCATCTATCACTCAAATGATCTTGATCGACTCGTATGCTGAGTTCAGCTTGGCCTTGGTTGGGTTTTATCATAGGGAGAAAAGAGCGCCAAGCTAGAGAACGAGGGCTGGAGGGGGAGTAAAGCTGAGGTTGATTCGAGAACCAGCGGTTAATTCAAGTGAAGGCATCGGCTCTGCACAGGTGATCACTGTCGGTGGCGTTTTCCACAGTGTCTGGAAAAACACGAATCCGAGACTTTTATGTCATGGTGTAAGAACAAGGCGGGTCGCGGGTCATCACACTGGTTCAATTTGCCCCATCAAGCCTTACAGCCTGATCGAGAACTCGTGTCTCGCCAATAGATTTTGTCTCGGCGGGTACATACATCATGCCATCAACCCATGCACATACCCACGTCGTACTACTGTAGGTAAGGTACCTCGTACATATGCATGTAGGTCATAACTACTCGAGTTTCGATCGAAAGTTCATCGGTTTCTTCCATCAAGTCTCAACCCCGTATACGCCATTCTAGCGGGGCCAACCATATGCTGTCTCGCTTGCATCACAGTGTCGCCTTGTTGCCCTGTCCACAAGCTGCCACACTTGTCAGAATCTCAAGATCTGTGTGGTTACAAGATCGTAAACGCTTACCAGATTTCCAGGCAGTAGTTTTCTATTACTGATTAGTCCCCCATGAGGCTGGCATCGCGGGGTAGGCGGAAGGCCGATGGATACTCGGCTCTGCACATCAAGGCGTCATTGTTGTTGTCATCGCATAAGCAGTGCTCCCAAACCGGTATTCGCAATTCCTTTTTATTCGTTGTGGCGTACGACCCTACATATGTAGCTCTGCCTCGTGGGGGCCGATCTTACATTCACATGATGTAATTTGTACTGGTGGTTCGCGGAACGAGGATATCTCTTTGATGGTGTGCTCATCGATGGAAGGACTACTTTGACCCCGCCATTTCACTGGTCATCACAGTCATCATCCTCTGCAGTGCCGTCCCACTCTGCAAGGCTGCTAGTCGCATTCTCCTTCAAGCTGTACCCGTGGGCATGTCCATCGACGAAATCACGGCCGATGTAACTTTCTCTGTAGAGCATACTCGTTAGGTGCATCTGGGCATCGCAAGTGCACAATAACACTTTCTCTATCAGCGAGACATTCATTTGATGCCGAGAAACAGAATAACAGTAAATCTGCTCTATCTATTCAAATACTTGGAGCTTTATCAAGATGAACGAAAGTAAACCCCAACAAGAGCTGCAGTTTCGTCCTGATCCCACTTTTTTGACTTGAATATCCACGAGGAAAGCTCTCTGATTTCAAGAGCTTCAGGAGAAGCCAGAACTGGAGCCGGGGTTTCAAATCTTCCTTTCAAGAACCGGTTTAGATATCACCTGCCCCCATCAATTCAACATCGTCGAGACATCATACCTTGGACGATTCAGTCTTAGCTTTCCCTCGGGATCACCTTCCTGTAAATCTCAGCCCAAATACACCCTGCGTGCTCTGTCAATGCGACGCCGGCATAGTGGACAGTTCCATCGATATCCTGGATGTGAATGTTCTTCTCTTCGACGGCTTCGAGCCGTATTTTGGAGAAGTATCGAGCAAAAGCGACATACCACAACATGCATGCAAGGCTCAAATAGTGTGTCAACCTTTTGTTCAGTGCATATTCGACACGCGATGTTAATCGTCATCTGGTCACTGGTAAGGGGTGGAGGTCGGGTCTGCGCGTCAATCGGGTTGACCACGGCCTCCTCTGGAGACTCTGAAGCTTGGTCCTCCACTGACTGCATGTTTGAACGAGTACTTGGAGTGAAAGGGTTGGACAGGTGGGTTCCCGGAGCGTTGTTGTGGCCCGAAGGAAAGTTCGCAAAATTAAAGCCGTGTGTCTGCGTTCCTAATGGAGGTGTTCCAGTGAACGCCGACATCAGCTGCAATCTCCCCATATCGTCTTGAACAACACTAATATCATATCCACGATCTCGGGCAATTTGTGTGATACTCCTCGGGGCTGCAGTCGGATCGAAAGTCTGGGGATTTGAAGGCTGTTGGCTGATAGAAGGATTCAATCGACTCGCCTCCGCATCTCTATAGCGCATCCATGCTCGACCAAACATCGTTGCAAGTGGACTTTGGTAATCTTCCGAATCTATCTCTTCTCGAGTTCCAAAGGGATTCTGATAGCGGGGTTGGGGTTGGAGTGTTTGTCCTTGCGGCCTTGATTGAGAACCGGTGTCTTGAGGGAGCGTAGAAGTTGGCAAGGAATTACCAGAGCCTTGGCCCTGCGCCTGGCGGTACTGTCGACGTCGACGACGTCGCTCTCCTGGCGTGCCATCGATTGACCCGAACGACCAGGACTGTTCCTGTGGGTGGAAATATGACATATCGCGGTACTGTCGATCCATCGGGTCTCGCAAGGTCACAGAATTCAGACCAGTTTCAAGCGAACGAGATGAAGGAGAAAAGAGATTCCAATAATCTGATGCAACATAAGAATAAGTCAGATCAGTGAGTGATGGGATATATATGCCACGTGTTGAATGAAATGATCAAGAATTGAGTGACAATGGTTGAGAGAAACCCTACCTCTGCATTTCCAGCAGTAACGAGACCAGCGCTTGCCTCTCATCTTCATACCTTCCCCATCAACGTAAATAGGATAGGAAGGAGCAACATCGCGCTTATCCAGGCAGGAGCAACACCCAGGCAAAGCGGTCAGAACACAACCAGTCACTGGCTTGTGCTCACAGGTCTGCGTTGACTCCATGATATTGCATTCACGGCGACAAGAAATGCCGTCTCCCAGTCCTAGATAAAAAGACCGAGGAGGGAATCCAGATACTTCTAAGTTCTGGGGTCTGGAAAAGGCAAGGTGGAGTTCGGTGACATGTCGTTCAAAGTTGATGGAGAAAATAATGTCACGTGTTCCACGTGACCATAAGTCAACGTCACCTCTTCCATTGAAGGATGCTGACTGCGACACGAAGTATCTCGCTTCCACTTTGTCTTCCACTCTTCACCTTATCACACCAGCAAATGTCCCAGAAGTCGCCTGAGTAGCCACATGAACACGATGTTAAATCCATAGCACCAAGCCATTCCCTTTTCGTTCGTCTGCCTTCGAAGCTGGACTTCGAAATGCCCTTTCCAAAACTGTCAATCGTTCAATCCCGTCTAGTCGCCAGTCTCGTCGCCACCTTTATATTCTTGATTCTCTACATCACCCTCACCAAGCCTCACTTTGCCTATGCGCTAGAGTCTGATTTCGGTTCCGACCCCGACAATCTACATCGCCATGTCATCTTTGACCAGGAGGAAGATCTAGAAGACCCAGATGGAGAGGATGCGTCTGTGAGAATACAACGTCGGGCTGCGGAAGGAGTTTCCTCGCTCAGTAACAACGCCCCACAGAACAAGAACATCGACATTGGAGAGACACAAAATTGGGTTTTCACCAAGGAGGAGGTTGAAGGGCCGCATGGGACCCCAGGATCAGGGTTACCTAATGATACTTTGGTCTCGCGTGCGGTCGAGGACCTAAACCCAGAATTGAAAAGAAGACAGTCCACGACCAGGGTATATGTCACTCTCAATACCTGCTTGCAGCCTCAATCCAACATCTCTGACTCGGTTTCTGATGATGCCATCCCTCCTCAACTACAGATGTATGTTTCATTGTCAGATTCAAACGAGAAGCCCGGCCCTGGTGTGAATGATCCGGACCAACGCACCATCCAGATAGACGGGGGATTTGGGTATTTCGAGCTGGACTCTGATGATCTGGACGGTGACATTCATGTTGGGGTTACCGCTCCAAATACGACCGGCTTTTCAGGAATATGGAACTACGAGATTGCAGCTTCAAATGATGCCCCATTTCACTGGTCATCCAATGCAACCAACCTGTTCTTTGTCGATGGAGACAACCACGCTGCCTTATTAATCACTAATGACACCACCCAGGCACTTCCCAACGATACGATATACAAGGAATGGATGGAGCTATCGCCGCCGCCATACGGCGTGTTTGCTTTCTCTCAACAGGACCGACCATTGTCTGCTTTGAGAAAATCGTTTTGTGGTCTGAAAAACAATGTCCGCGTTTCCGCCAACATTGACGGTGCCAACAACCAAAACATCGCCGAAATGACCAACCGTGGACTTGGTGGAAAACCCAAGGAACAATTTTACATCAACGGCCTCAATGCTACGTCCCAGTACTGGGGTGTCTTGGCCATGGAAGGCAACAGCACTTCATCAGGCCTTGGGGTTATTGGAGGTGGCGGAACCGTTTGGCAAAGCATAGCATTTGAAACCAAGACCGAAGACAACTGCGCACTCATGTACAACCTATCATTCTGCTCCGAAGTGGCCTACGCAGTGCCCACAAACCCCGACACATTTTCTCCCACGACGGGGGCACCAGAATTGGCCGCCCTGTACGACTCATACGCAGCACAAATGTATCAATACTTCAACTACTCGCTACAACAAATCCCATGCAACACAACATCATCATCTCAATACTCTCTAGCCCGAAATTGCGACGACTGCGCCCGAGCATACAAGACCTGGCTATGCGCCGTGACAATCCCTCGATGTGCCGACTACAGCAACACCGACACATGGCTGATGCCACGCGCATTGGGCCAGCCATTCGTCAATGGAAGCTCAATAGCAGACTCTACACAATTCCGAGTCGATCAATCTCTACTCACATCCGTCGCTACCAATTCTTCACGAAACCCCATCATCGACGACGTCATCAAACCCGGTCCATACAAGGAAGTTCTACCCTGCGAAGATCTCTGTTATGACCTCGTACAGAGTTGTCCCGCCACTTTGGGATTCGGATGTCCTAGTCGCGGTGCAGGATTCGAGGACAGCTACGGCACCAGAAGTAACGATTCTGGCGAGATTACTTGTAGCTATCTGGGAGCCGCGTACTATTTGAGTGGAGCGTCACGGCAAGTAATCCTCGGACAGCTTGGTTGTTTGAATCTTGTGTTACTTGCCTCGCTCGTGGGTATTTTGAACCTCGTCTGATCAAACGGGTTGATTTTCCTCAACATATTTGTTTGTTTGTAATTTGAGCGTCTATCGGTTGTTGTGATATTACTTTTTGCACAGGGAGACGGAGGAGTCTGCAATTGAATGAAAAATGTGGAGTCTTTTGGGGGGGAATGGTGATCTGCTGGTTTGAAAGGTTGAAGGAGATGGTTTATGGAACGTGGGCTGTTGATCATGGATTACCCAATTACCGATGTACAGGGGATGGATTATGTACAGACCTAGAAGGTGTCATCATCAGGAAAAGTGTTGAACCTGATACTCAATGTTGGTCATCACGGTACTGGTATAGAGGTATAGACTATTATTCCCAACCAAGACGTATATATAGGCGAATTGTTAGGAAAGGGGCTGAAATTACGAGTACTTCAGATGTCTTTCAACTATCTTATCTTAAATCTTGATGCATTTGGCGTCGACGGGGTTTGACAGTTTTAAGTGCTGGGCTAAGGCCGTCACCGACATCCTCCTCTAATTAGATACATTTGATATCAAATAAACCTTAACGAACTCTCGTCTGATTTCATCTAACCATATCTCATTATAGAACCCCCGACGCAATCCCTTTGCCTTTCTTCGTCTTATCCCTCCTCGGTGTCCTCCCTGGCGTCCACATATCTTTCCCCGCTAGACTTCTCTCACCACTCTTGGTCGTCGCAGTAGACGAAGAATTCACAGGTGTTCTTCCGCCCAATTTCTCCATTAACCGTCTCGCTGCAGGCGTCATATTACCACCACCACCAGAAGTGCTTTTTCTTGACAAAGACATGAATGAACTACCTGGTGTGCTCGTCCAACTGCCTGGTGTTGGCGTGGCCTGTATAGTAGTCCTATCCTTTTCCTTCTCTCGCTTTCCACGGGCCTGTTTCTCGACCATACGGAGATGTAGATCTTCGCGTTTACGTATTTCGTTGATTCGAAATGGATTAGGTGTAGCGTCGGCGGTTTGGCCCGCTAGTAGGTCGCGGTAGCTGGGAGTATTGTCGGGTTTTTGGGGTGGGTTGGCGTCTGGTTCGTCTTCGTCGACGAAGGCGTAGCCGTTGACGCGTGGTGTTTCGCTGCCGGTGTAGTAGCTAGCGTCTGAATCAGTGGGGCCCACCATGGTGGAAGAGTCGTCGCCGCCGCCGCGAAGACCTCGTTGTCCTCTTCTCTCTGCGTCTCGTCGGGCGATGATGTCCGTGTTTAATGAAGGGGATGGAGATGGGGGTATCGGACCGGGATCATCGCGATACATGGCGGCAGAAGGGAATCTGGTATTTGCGTGAACGACCTGTCTCGGGGCGGCTTTGGATTTTTGTTCTTTCGACTCCATGATGGTTGGAAGGCCGGTTTCGTCGACAGATTCGGCGTGGAACATGAATGGGTTGTCGGGTCGTTTGATGGTCCAGGAATCTGGCTTTGCTGGTCGTGAATCAGTCGCGCCTGAAGTTATGGGAATCAATGATTTTCCTGATGCTTTGGCCTCTTCTTGTTCGGTTAAGAGTCGTGCTTCTCGTGCTCGATGCGCTATCTGTCGCGCGGACGGGATACGTTGGTCTTGTGTCCATAGATGGACATGTTTTTCTCGCCGTTTTTGATTCTGTTTGTCTAGAACTGCGTTGAAGGATTCATTGTCTTCAGAGGTATATTTGGCTTGAAAGTTGCCCAGTGTAAGTGTTGAGGTATCGACGGACTTGTTGGGTTGGTGGTTGACATCGAATGCTGATGCTTCGCTGGTAGTTGTCATGGGCGTGTCACTACCATTATATCCCAATGGCGTCTCTGCAGCATTCGACGGCGTGTTTCTCATCGGCGTTGCTGATGGTGTAGTGTCGAATCTTGTGTTTCTTGCAGTCCGCCTTTTGGATGATGCGGGCATCGCAGCCTCTCTCAACTTCTTGGCCGCTTCTGCAATCCATGCTTCGTTGTCCGATTCTAATGCAGCGAGATACTCATGTTGAGCCTGGCTCTCGAGGAGTCCTGGAAAGTAGTCTCTGGCTATAATCTCGGACAATGCGGCCGTGTATTCATCTTCGTCTAGGACAGTAGTGGGACGTTTGATCCGTTTCAGTGGCGGGGGAGGCATGAGTGACACATCGCTGGATGGGCGCTTGACCAGCGCTTGAGACGGTTGCTGCGACATCTCGAGGCGTTCACCATTTGACTGCGAGGCCTTTGCAATGGCTCATATTAGAACATGTTTGTGGATGCGTAGGCAGAGGCAGGGATGGAAGTGAGAAGGCCAACTTCTTTCAAGACGAGATTCTAAAAGTTTGAATCATGTGAACGAGGCTGCAGCCTTGGCTTGAGTAATTCCGCTCCGCCCGTTTTTGGGATTCTGTTTGCAATTCGAGAGCCATTGTTATTGCACTACTACTACAATCTTCCAGAGGATTTCGTCTAGTTAAGACAGCTATTGCTGAGATACATCTTGACGCGGCGCACAATATAAGCACTTTTCCTTGGGATTGCAGCAAATCAGACATCTGAATGGCATAGAAATACATGGTTGGTTCCAAACCCCTGGCTGATGGTTGAAGGAGGTTCTCTCGTCGACGACTAGACGCTAAAACCCTCCAACTGAGAGCTGATCCATCCTATTTACTCGTCATCCTCATCATCAATGATTCTGGTTTTCGACCGCTCCACAGAATGTCCGTTTGTACCAGTGTTTGCTTCAGAACCTTTGCCACCTTCGTCCTCTTCATCCTCGTCATCATCTTCATCCGCGATGAGTCTGAGTTGCTTACGTTGTCGCGCCGGCTGTCTGGGTCTGACTTCGTCCTCATCTTCATCTTCGTCACCTGCTCGTTTGTCTGCCATATGGGTATCTCCTGCGTCAGATGCGGGTGTGTCTGGTCCCGCTGGAGGAGTTTCAACTGCGCTCTCTTCATCGGGGAGGTCATCAGAATCAGAATCAACCACGACAGCCGAAGATTTATATTTGGTGCTCTCCCTGGGTCGTCTTGCTTCTTTCTTGGGGGCGTTCTTCCTCTCAAGCCTTCTTCTTTTCTTCTTGGGTTGTTGTTCCGCTGATGCTGCAGGGGCTTCATTATCGGATCCGGATAGAGGAGTTTTCGAGACACTTCGGTCGGATCGTCCATCACCGTCGTCCTCAATGAACCCGTCGTCGTCCTCTCTCTTCTTGCGTTTAGAACCGCCTTTCTTGGGCTTGCGCTTGACGCGCTCCCCGGTCTCCTCATCGTCAGTGAACTCAGCAGCCTCACGTGCGGCCGCTTCCGCACGAATCTTTTCAGCCAGTCGTTCAGTCTCTTCAACAATCTTTTGCCGCTCTTCAGCAATCTTTCGTGCTCTATCTTCCTCTTCTTCTCTTCGCTTCTGTGCGGCTTCTTCACGCTTTCGAAGCTCTTCTTGTCGGCGTTCTTTGGCTTCGCGAAGTTTGGTCGCATTTTCGGTTTCGAAAGTGGCTTGGTTTCTTCTCGCTCTGTCCAGTTGATTTCTCATAGTATTCTTACCCATGGCAGCTCGCTGTTCGAGCGCTGATTTAGGGTATGGTGGCTGCTTGTGCTGGGCAACCCGCTCAAAGGTATCAATTGCTTCTTCTAGGCCAGCAATAGCAGAATCGACGTCCTCGAGAGTACGGTCCGTTTCTTTGGCGGTGTTGACATGTTGGGCAATCTGGAATTGTATAAAGGCGACGTTGAACTGCAAATGGGGCGAATCTGGTTGTGTGGCCAAAGCTCGCTTCATGTAGTCTAGAGCAGTTGTCAAGGCAAATGTTGAGCGATCAGCCTTGCCTTTGAGCAGATGTGCCCTAGCGAGACATGCAAGTAGTTGGGCATTTTCACCACGTCCTTCGGCTTTGAGGGCCAGTTCATAATGTTCAATGCCCCGAGAATACTGGCGAAGCTCGGTGAACACATGGCCCAAATTGGTATGCACCGAGGCACTTCGGACGGTATCCTTGACCTTGGTGAAAATTTGGAGAGCATCTGAATATGCCTTCTTGTCGTCGCACAAAGCGATGGCAATTCCCTGCGCGGCGTATGCATTTTTGGGATCTAGTTGGAGCGCCTTGTCAAAGAACTCGTATGCTTTGGAGTACATTTTGCTTCTCTTTTCCTTCTCAGCATCGTTGTTGCGAGGCATGTCTCGAGCAATGGCGAGATGGACGTTACCCATACCAGTGAGGGAATACAGGTCATGTTTGTCATAGTTCTGTAAGGTGTGTTTGTAGTGTCGATTTTCAGTGTCTTCAGCAAGATTGTTAGTCTTCTTCTTCGCACTGTGGTGGTACCATCCCATTAAGGCTCTGACTTCGGTGTTGGCGTGATCACTTTGATAGACTTGGTGGACTTTGCGGGGGCCTTCCTCTCGCGGCGAGGTCTCCAACGCAATGTAAGCCAGTCGAGCAGAAGCATCCGTGTAATCAGGATGTCGGGCGAGAAGGCCTTCATACACTTTCTGCGCTTCAGCGACCAGGCCCAGAGCTTCATACGTCCTTGCGAGATTGTAAGATATCGTAGTGACGAGTGCATCCGTATCACTGTTGTCGACATCTTCTGCACTGATTTTATCTTCCTCGAGGGCCTGCTTGTCGGCTTCCTGCCTCTCGGTCAGCTTGACGCAGGCGTTCAGAGCTATCTGGAAAGTCTCTCTGGCAACCGGGTATGCCTCGCCTTCATACAGAAAGCAAGCAATATTGTTCAACAACTGTGGTGGCAGGTTTTCGCGAATCAAGGCAAGATCTGCTTCTTCATCTTCACCAGGCTCAGGCTTTTCATCGTCGGGGATCTTCTCAAGCTGCATGACTTCAACGGTTTGAAGACACTTGAGACTTTCCAAAGGCTTCTCTTGTTCGTAGAGTCGAGCAAGGTAAAGTAGGACCGACTCGTCAGGCTTTGCCCGGGACTTTTCGTCGCTCCAGCTCTTGCGGACATTTTCAAGGAATTGAATCGCTTTTCGTGCGGCTGTCGCTTTCTCCTCCTTAGTCAGGGCGTTTGACGTCGAGAACGCTTCCTCTGCATAGATGCAGCCCAAGAGTGTCATCGCCTCGACGTAGCGATGGATCTGCCCTATAGATTCGAGGCGAAATTTGGCGCCTTGGATATCACCGCTCTGGATCATGATCTGGATAAGACCAAACTTCGCGGGAAAGAAGCCTCGATCCAGGCCACCCCGAGCCTGGTCTGCTTTGCTGTATCCGTCGTTTGCCTTGGCAAGCTCGCCCTTGCTATGTTCCTTTCTAGCCAGTAAATACCAGCCATCGCTGGCGATAGCATTGATGTCAGTTTGTTCGATCGCCTTGCGGGCAAGAGGCTCGACGGTATCGTATCGACCTGTGGAGAGGAAATATGTGGCGAACGTTGCGCAGGCGATGGGGAAGTTTTTGTCTGAGTTGTAGGCCTTTCTCGCGTGGTCTGTAATAGCCAGCTTGTACAGCTTGTTAAACTGAGGGTCGCCTGTAGGGTGCTTGGCGCTCTCTGTCAGATAGTATACAGCCAGTAGAGCATGCGCGACTTTTGACTCAGGATTGAGCACGAGAGCGCGTTCCCACGCAGCTTGAGCCCGATCTCGGAAGCCGAGTTGCCATAGACAGCAACCAATACCGATTCGCGGATCAGGGTCTGTCAGACCAGGTAATTTCGAGAGGACATGCTGGTATGCCTGCAGAGCTTGTGCGTATTGTTTTTGAAGGTACAGAGTTCTCGCCCGACCCATGGTGGCCATGAGATTACGTCCATCGGACGATCTGAGCGCATCGTCAAAACACTTCAATGCCTGCTTCAACGACTCGGCTCGTTCAGCATCTGCGCCTGTCTTGGTAGCGGATTGGAGGGATGCTCGCAGGAGGAAGAGGACACCTTGAGTGAGGTACAAAGGGGGGAAGGCAGGATTAAGTCGGAGGGCTTCGTTGATGGTCTGGGTGGCTTCTCTCAGGTAGGCGTCCTTGGTTTTAGTGTCGGTCAGTTGCTGTGCGTCTGAAAGAACACGCGGTGCCTGTCTGCTCTTCAGGAGATCTAGCCATGCGATGCAAGCCAACAAGCTGAGTCTGTCTTTTGGTCCACTCTTCGCCAAGGAGCCGAGTCCTTTGTGTAAAATCTCGACGGCATGATCGATCAAGCCTTGTTTTGCATATGCCAGAGCAATTGTGACCCAAAGATTCTTTGCGGCCTTTTCATTTTCAAGGAGTTGACAGAGCTCAGTGGGGTCTTCGAGGTTGTCGCTGAGATTAACTTCGACAGCCTCTTCAGCATCGAGACCGGAAACAGGAATATCGATCGCGGCAGGAATATCGGCGAAGCGTGAGGATGGGGTGATGCCCAGCAGGGAGGCATGGTTGCCATTTTTCAAGGCGCTTGTCGCCATGATGACCTGTTGGCGGTGAGGGTTGTGGGAAGTGGCACGAATGGATTTGTTGGCTCGATGTTGGACTTATGACATTGCGAGATGAGGGAGGAACGAACGGAGAAACTCCAGAGACGACTGTGGCAGGCAGTGGGCTGGCGTCAAAGGAAGACGCGCTACTGGATGTGCAGTAGCCTGGGTGGAAGGATGTGACAAGTTGGTGGGTAAGAGAGAGCAGTGAAGAGGGCTGAGTGAAAGTTAAGCCATGAATTTGAGTGTCCTGAATGAAAGCAGTGGAATGAATATCAAAAGAAGTTGTTGCGGCTGCAGTTGCGGCTGCAGTTGTGGCTGCGGATGCACAAGCCACGTCGGGTGCGTGACAATGCTCCGCCGTACTGAATCCTACGGCCAAGTTTAAGAATGCACAACGCATGGGGTGAATCTTGTGGCTGAAAAGACCAAATCCGACAGTCTGGTTACTTGAGAACACACAGGCACATTCAGATCATTTGCAAATTTCAACATTGGGTATCGTATCGTATTACTTCAAACTACATTTATACATATGCCCGAAAGCGCTTTAATCTTTCGGCCGTGTTCAGTATCTTAACTTGGTGAGTTCCAGCTCCTGCCGAGTTGCATCAAAATCGATCTTCAATCGACCACGGTCGTCCATAGTCACGTGTTCATCTGTCATTGGAAGGATCTTCTCCGTGTGTTTGACCTCCTGGGTACTGATTCCAGCAGGATCTTTGGGAATCCATAGATTCGGTGGCTTTGCGAAGAATGCAGGTGGGTAGTAGACATCGCGTTCCACCTCATCGGGGTACTTTGGCTCAGGGAGGTCGGTCGGAACCATACGGCGCAGAACAGTGAAGTCGGAGAAGATTTCTGGGTGTAGCCAACGGATGATGAAGTTGACTTTTTCATCTGGAGCTGGGGACATCCAATGTCTCCAATAGACCATAAAGAAATCAATTGCCTTGGCCAATTGTGGGAATTTCTTGTCGATTCGCTTTTGGATCATCACAGTCGCACCCTCTTTCAAAGTGTCTGCCATTCCACTCGCGCCTTCAACAGCAACACCACGAGTTGCTCCTGGCTCATGTACGACTTCATCTGGATCTCTTTCGTCTTCGCGCTCTTGAGCGAACCGTCGTTGTTGTTCAGCTATGTTTGCAGCTCGTGTTGTTTCAAACTCGCCGCCTATCAAATGTTGGTCTTCTTCGGTGGTCAAACTCTTCGGTAGACTCCATAACAGGGGTCCGAGTGCTTCGATCAATGAATGGTGTATTACCCCAGTAACGACCACCAGAGCTGCGATCATGGCAACTGGGCCAAAGGCTTCTCGTAGTGTGAACAGACCAAATAGACAAACCTCTGCAAAGTACAGACCTAGTAGTAGTTGCAACAGAGCGCGAGGATACACCAGTCCCTTTGTATCAATCTCAGAGTCGTACACGTAAATAAGATTGTATCGCCAGACGGCATGCAGAAAGGCGACACCGAGTAGTGCAAAGCCAAGTATGACTGGTGCAATCAGGGAATAGGTGATAGCTGCATTGTGTCCATTAGCCAAGAAGAAGATATTGATTACAATTTGGCAACTCACTGATGACACCAAGATTGGTATAGACAGGAAAGACGCCACCCCAGTGAACTCTCTCCAATTGATGCCATTTGTTGTATTGTTTTCTCACGTTCTTGGTCAAACGTGGGAAAACGTGGAACTTGAACAGGTTGAAGACCTGGACGAGGTTTGCAGATGCAAAGAACAAGCTCTGAATCAGAAAATAGTTGAGGTAAAAATTTGAGGCTTTTGGCAAATTCTGGGACAGGAGGTCTTTGGCCATGGTTGGATCAGCAAGGAGCTCTCCAACTGCAGCCGATGCGGCGGACGTGAGTGTCGTGATCAAGAAGACCTGCACGACCTGAAAGGCAAAATATGCGTGCTGGACAAAGAGCTCGATCCTGCTCAGGGTCGGAATGCCGGCGAGTTTGGCCAGAACTGTGACGATATTAGTCGGGGCAAAGAAGGATATTAGGAAATAGAAAGCCTACATCTCAGGATGCCAGGCACAATGCTCATGAGAAACGACAGTGCCAATGCGGGAAGAACACCACTCAAGACTCCGATGATGACCTGCGGAAGTTTCCCGATCCAGTTCAAAAAGGGGACCGTCTCTGCCAGATACTTGATGTTGGAAATTGAGCCAACCAAAGCGCTGGGTATAGCCCAGAAGATGATCAAGACACAAATGAATGTCTGGATTGAAAAGCGACGAATGATGCGCTGCCACCATGACATTGATAGTGAAGACCATAATATTTCCGAGGGCTTGACCCCGATATATCTTTGAGACATGTGGAGAGGCCGGTGATGCGTCAGAGTCTGATAGGCATTCTGGGCATCTGTAAGGGTTTCGAACTCGACAAAGACACAGGACATGTAGTTGTCGGTTTTGAAGAGCTGTGCTTGGCGAAGATTACGTATCTTGGAATTTAACAACTTGATTCGGAGTCTGGTCCATTTGATGGTGTCGACACGTTTGAACCCGTTTGCAATCGGACGATGATGAGGTCGCGAGCTGTGAGACATCCACTGTGAGGCGACGGAGCCGTTGACATCGGGAAGATGGTTCGGTGTCTCGGAATCGGAGGAGGAGGATGTGGAGGATGTGGGTGATGACCGACCATCTTCGGCTTCGTTCATGGTCTTTCCATCCATAGAGATCACAGGCGAGTCTGGAAGAAATTTGCGGCCCTTCTCTCCGCATTTTGACTCGGTCGTGGTCAATGCATAGCCCTTCTCACCCTTTTCACCCTTCTCAGTATCTGCACCACTTTCAGCAGCTTCAGCAGTTTCGCTAGTTTCGCCCTTCTGCTTCTTCATCATACGTTTCCTCGCGAAGTTGGCCATTCGAATGAGAGCAAACTCTGCCTTTTCCAAACGCATCGCCGTTTGCTCCCGTTCTTTGACCAGTTTCTCCAACTCATCACAAGATTGAGGCATCCAGATACGCTTGACAGATTTTCCCAGGAGCCATCGAAGGCGTGATTCGTCTAAGTACTGACGGGGCACACCCGTGTACAAGACGGTTCGAGAAGACAAGCGATTGGCATAGAAGTCGGAAAGGAGATATGCTTGGCGTAGGTTGATATAGTAGACGCATTCTCGTGAGACCATGTATAAGATGAAACCTGGATGGAGTCAGCGCACAACTTCTCCTTTGCACGGGTGTCAACGCACCAAAGTAAACCCAGGCCAGAACAACATGAGCATAAAGTCTCTTTGGGCTAACCACATTACCAATGGTCAAGGAATCCAAGGCCTTGTTCCCCGCCCCGCCTGTGACGTGAATTGGGATGAGGGTGGGCCATAGCAGAAGCATTCCTACGATGCATATGACGCCTAACACTCGCAAAAATCGGAGGAAAAGATAGCCATCGAGGGAGGAGTGGTTCAGGACGAAAGTGTCCGGGACTTTGTAAAATGATATATACCATTTGAACCAACCAGACGGTAAAGCGGGACTTCGTTCACTGTTCACGGAGGGTCAGGTTTGATTTTATCGGGCGAAAAGAGGACTCAACACATACTGAGGTTTCAAGCTTGACACAAAAGTTCGAGGGGAGTAGACTCGAGGGCAAAAGCGACGTAGGACGAGGAAGATCAAGAGACAGGCACCAGTCCAGATTGCGACGGGGGCCAAGGTAGCCAGAAGCGTGCTGACCGACGCGGAGTTTGAACCTGATGCCACACGAGAGAGTCCTGGGGCGGTTTCGTTGTCGCGCGCAGAGCCCACCCGTGGATCCTCCATCGGTCAATCTCAATTGTTTGAAAAATTCAACAAGGTGTTCAAAGGGCGTTGCAACAGCATGACTCTGGCCAACACGGCAGGCGAGAGAGTGAAAAGAAGAGAAGAAGGCTGGATGGCATGTAGTAACATGTCTATGGGTACGCATCGACAAGTGTCGACAGAGTAGAGGTGGTGAAGTTCAGAACGAGGTACATAAAGAGTGACTCCACCTGCAGGCTTTGGCACAGGGATCACAGGATTGCCGAGAGGAGGGTTGGGCGACGGTTGGCTGCCGGCAGCCCCGTTCTAAACACAAGAGGGTGAAAATTGGCGATTGTCAGTGGCCGCCGTTCTGAAGAAGTCGAGATGCATGGGGGCAACGTTAGGCTATCTGAAAATCGACGAAAGCGTGATAGATTAGGGTTTAGTGGGCGCAAAAATGGCAGGGTTGAAAGACTGATTGACTGGGTCCCTGTGTTAAAGGAGGGCGGAAATGGAGAGCCGAGGATTTTGGCGGCGTGAAAAGGTGGGAGCATCTCTCGGCGGTGTCCACAGCTGACTGTTCGGTTCGATATACGAGTACCAGTGTTTGCACTTGATTTCAAGCAGTTATCGTTTGATCTGTTTATTAGCTGTTTAGTCAGTTCTGGGGTCAATGGCGAATTCTGAAGCCACCAAGGATTGGCGGGCTTGGGCTTGGATAACCAACTGTGAAGAAGTCTCCGAAGTAGGGGATCGTCGGAGGTAATGTACGTAAAGACCCCATCTCGCAACCGCATAAGCGAGGAACCGGCGCCAATTCACGACAGCCTTTTCGGCTCGCTCTCTAGGGGGGTCCAGGAAGCGTGGATTGAACATCGGATCGCGTGTAGTTGGAAAATGGCTTGTTTGATCATATCAATTTGAGAATAAGAGTGATTGAGATGAGATTTTTTTCCCTCGTGTGACATGTTTCTCTACACATGGCAGGCAAGAACGTTCTGTCTTTAACGAGCCGTGCCTTCCACGTGTGTGTAAACGCGGCAGGACGCATGGTCACATGACAACCTTGGCGTCGAGTCAACGAAGACCGCAGGCAAACTGTGGTGGAAACCTGACAATCTCCGAATTCCAACCATCAAAGTCTTTTACAAACCAATGAAACATGAAACATACACTTGCTTACCGACTGTACGAATATGTCTTACAGTCCACCGAGAGCCTCTTGGGACATATGCATAGTCATAGTCACCTTGCTAGAGCACATTCATGCATGCCCCAAAAGGAGCGATTTCAATTGCGAAGACGCGTCACAGTAGCAAATGCCTGTCACAGAAATTGGTTTGCTTCTTTCGACAGGATGGAATGGTTTAACACATTCCCATGAGGTCACATGTCGGCCAACTAGACACGCAGGGTTCTTCTCTGACAGATTCTCTGACAGTTGAGTCGCCGCTCGGTGAAGTGGTGAGATAACTAACAGGAGAGAAATCCCCGCAGCCTCATGCTTCTGCTAACTGCGTCAGCGTGTCACTGTTGCAACCCCCACTTCTTTGAGTTGAGAACCAATACCACATAAATTCCTTCCCAGCCATTCCAGCCTGAGTTGTCATGGTTTATACCTCAAATGGATCTAACCACTACCTAGCGAAATCACGCTGACGAATATAAGCGGTTATGATTCGCGATGGTTCGCGAGATATGCCCAAGAGCCAGTGGAGAAGTCAAGAGACAACGCAGCATCCCTCTCGAGTGTCGATCCACGACGGATGAGGCTCGCCTCGCTGAGGTATGCGGTTGTGAAAAGCTTGGACATGATTAAATTAGACCTTCCGTGAAGTCATACCCGGCCGACCGGATTGTCTCAAGACAGGTACAGTAGGTGCGAAGAACCGATATCTTGGGCAGGATGTTTACATGAATATGTTCTCGGTACAGTGGTACGCTGGCATCCTGGATACGACTTCCCCATGATGAGGAGGACTGTTGATGTGGAGCATTTGACTACAATGTGGAATTCGCGCCACCAAAAGGACCAGGGGAACGACAGAAACCCGCACAAAAGGCCAAATGGCATCGGCGATTGTTTGCTGTGTACTCGTATTTCCCCTGTGGTTGGATTCTCACTTTTCCTTGACGAGGATTCATAGACCAAGGGCTCCTAATGTAAGTGTACTCCGTACACCTCTCCACGTCTTCTAGATCCTGAATCCCTTGGGATGACTCCTGCGTTAGACTTGTCATGAACGCAACGTTGTCAAGCAGGCGGCAAGGGAGGCCTGGTGGGTCAGCCACAATAAAAGCATCCATCTAGGGACAGGTTCAATATTTCAATTCAAGGACCACTCCTTACAACAGGGCATTATTGGTCACTCCTCTTGCTGTAGCAACTCGTATTTTCCTTCTGCTCATCACTCTATGACCACAGTATCACAGGATGTCACGATGTATGTAGAGATCGACGGGCCGACAGCTAACGGCCAAACGGTCACGCCAACCAAGTACAATGACAGTGGACGCCAACACCAAGACTAACGCCAGGCCAGGCCAGACCATCTCGGTTGCAGAGGCTGGAAATTCGTCGGAAGTTTTTAATTTGTAGTTCGCCAGTTCGCAGTTTGGCAGCAGCCCGAGGCGCCTTTAGCCTGGCGCCCGTGGCAGCGGCCAGCCAAGCCCGCAACGCACACCCACCCGTCCCGCCTATCCGTCTGTTCCGTCCCGTGCCTGTGTAAGGGGCCATGGCGGCATGCCCAACGGCTCCTCGGGCTTTCTGACAGCCACCACTACGGGGTACAACTGCCACAGTGCCAATAAAAGGCCCTATAGGCTACAGGTCTACCGCCAGTGCAGCCTTCCGGGGCTATCGACAGCCTAAGGACGAAGTAGTCTAGGTACCATGCACAGGTGCAAGATAGGATCTACAAGTTGGACTTGGCTCATGGGCTATTGTAGCCACAAATTGCCAATTTTGAACTTTGACAATTGCCATGAACTTGTACATACTCCGTACACGGCGGATTGTGTCCTGGTCGTGCTGTGCCGTGCCTGGGTGAGAGTTGTTTGCAAGGAATAATCCATGCTCTCAACGTCCTCCATCCCAAGCAGCCGTGGCAGCCTTGCATTCATCGTCACGATCAGCACGATCAACATCAGCAGCAACAGCATCATCATTTGATTCTCATTCCGGCATCACTGTACACATGGGTTTTCTTCCAGCAGAATATTCTTTTGATTGCCGTCTTTTTCCAACCCTTCTTCCAGCGCTGAACCAAGAATTGTCAATCAGATACATACACACGATACTTTACTAATCATCATCCCTAGAGCACCAAGCCATTCCAATGAAATGCCAGCCCCAACAGCGGCAAAGATAACCAGACGAATGGGTTGAGGACTTGAGGTCTCCTCGTAGGTCCCTATGTACGGGATATGTCAAATCACGTGATATTGGGACTCCACCGTAAACTCGCACCCGCAAATGAGGAAGGAACCAACCTTTGATCCCACCTCGGCCCCCGCACTTGCCTCTGATTCATTGACTCTGACTCGGCCAAATCAATTCTTTGCTGAGCCCTCAACATACACGCCATCATCAACGGTAGGTAGTCAGCATTCTCTTTATACACTTCTCTAGAGCATCTCCATGACTTCATTCTCTCATATGGGCAGTTCCAGACCTTCTCTCAACATGTCTTTAGGTGAAGTACACTTTCCTCTTCAAATATCTATCACAAATGCCCTGAGCCACATGTAACATCTCACCCAATTTTCTCTGCTAAGATAATGTGCGCGAACTCCAATGGCGTGCTGTGTCTTCACTGCCTTCTTTATGAGCAAGATCATCACCGCATGTGAGCTCTTCGATGTCCGCTTACTCGATATCAAATACAATGACACGGACTCGGAAGCTGGTTTTCCTGCAACGAATTTCTCCTATCCATATCATTCCAACTCCTCCAATTCTATCCCCACAACTGATCCAGCCAGGCCGGGTCAAAGGCCTCCCACGGATGGACCTATCCAGACAACCAGACTTTTTGTCACAGGCATGACATGTGCTGCATGTGTTGCCACCTTGACAAAAGAATTAACATCCCACAAGGGCGTGATTCGCACATCGATATCACTTCCGCTGTCTAGGGCGACCATAGTTTTCGACTCAACGCAGACTTCTATCGAAGATCTAGTCTCATCTATAGAAGACGTGGGTTACGGCGCAGAACTCTTTGGCCATGGTGACCACAGCACAGCCACGCAAAACATGCGTATGCTGCAGCGAGAAGATGAGTTGCGAGAACTACGACAATCATTCAATGGCGCTGCCAAATGGGCCACGACCATCACGATCGTGGATTGGCTGCGTCGGTGGATCCCTTCAAATTCAGAACTAGGCACAACTTTGATCTCTTTATTACACCTCATCACCCTGGTAATTGCGTGCTACCTACAAACCCGTTACGCCAAATGGATACATCGAAATGCCTGGGCCACCTGTTTTAACAAAACCCGCTTGCGCCTCCCAATTCTGTCCATGGATACTCTTCTTTCCCTATCCTTACTTCTCAGTATCGCCTTATCATTCTTCAACATTACTCTGCATGGGCTTTCGCCTCAACATGCCAAGACCTACTTTTCTTCAGCCTCTTTCCTTACTGTCGTGGTCAGTGGAGGGAGATATCTTGATGTCACGCTCAAGAGGCAGGGTACTGCTGGGTTCTCACGTCTTTTTGGCATGCAAAGAGAAATGGAGCTCGGTATGGTCATGGTAGAGGGGCCATGGAATCGAGCACAAGACAGTAAATTACCAGAGAATCGTGCATCGGAATATGGCTTGACGCCGCTTCCAACAACACTCCTCGCTCCATTGGACACTTACCATGTTCCCGCTCAGAGCCTTATTCCCTGCGACAGCTATGTTGTACGAGGATCTACAATCGTCGACGAATCGAGCATGACAGGTGAATCTGTCCCGGTCCGTAAATCTGTGGGTGATTTCTTGACATCCGGGACACGAAACTTATCAAACGGTGTTGTTGCCGTTGTGCTCAAAGCTCAAAGCGATTCCAGTCTCGAAAAACTCGTTGAAAGCATCGAACAAGCAACAGAGATCAAGTATGAGGCCAAAAAATCTACTTCGCCTGACCCCTGGGAAACAAAAGGGATGCTTCTTGATCTAATGACGGCATATTTTGTTCCTGCTGTACTGATGATCAGCGCGGTGGGCTTTCTTTTTTCATTTTATACTTCGCCGACGATTTTTCCTATCTCTGACCGCATCAATGTTGCTTGCGAAAGGGCAATGGCGATCCTCGCGGCCGCTTGCCCATGTGCAATTGGTTTGGCTAACCCCTCAGCAATCATGGCCGGTATCGACGCATCTTATGTACACGGTGTGCTACTGCCTGGTGGTGCACAGGCCTTGGAAAACATTTCGAAGTTAACTCACCTTGTGCTCGACAAGACCGGAACGTTGACTGAAGGCAAATTACAGATCTCCGAAGAATCCTTAACCGAGCCATTTCACACAGATCCTCGTCGAAGAGAGTTGATGTACAGTCTTCTATGTGCCGCAGAACGTGATGAAGCTCAGACACATCCGGTCGCACGTGCCGTATTTCAATATTGTCTACGTCAGCTACAGCCTGACGGCCCTTCAGCAGAGGACCATTTTTTTAGCGTTGGGTATGAACATGGCACAGCTCCCATTCGGGAGGCAATGAATATACCAGGAAAAGGGGTCGCATGCGAAGTTCAGGCGTTCAATAAGCTCTGGTACACTGTCCATATTGGCAGCGAGCGCTTCTTATTTGACAATAATATCAAGCTACCATCCATTTTGGGGAATGATATCAACCAAGAGTCCTCTCCTTCAACTCAATCTGACGATACGACCTCGGTTTATTTCGCGATAGGAAAGATTTATGTTGGGACTTTCACTCTACGAGACGCGATTCGCAAGTCCGCCCCAGCCGTGATTCAAGAATTAAAATCAAACGGCATCGAGCTTACAATGCTCACTGGAGACACTGCGGCTGAAGCGTATCGTGTCAGCAAGGAGCTTGGTATTCCGGTTCTAGCTGCCAAAAGTCTCCCAGAAGAAAAGCGGCAGTTAGTCGAGGGATTGAAATCCTCAACGCCATCCCAACCGAGACAGTACTCATCACTTGAGAAGTTGGCTCCAACGGCTCCACCTCGAAGTATCGTGGCAATGCTAGGCGACGGTCTCAACGATGCTCCAGCTCAGTCGGTGTCAGATGTTGGCATTCTATTCGGCTTGTCACCGTTGACCCGCTCTTCTCGTGCCATTCACACTTCAGCCACCGACGTTATCCTGCTTACGCCAGACTTGTCGGCCTTGCCGAAACTGTTGGACATTGCGAAGCAAAGCGTAGCGCAAGCAATGTGGAACACCAAAGGGGCTGTTGCGTATAACATTGCGGCGATCTCTGTGGCGATGGGTGCAGGTGAGGCGTTGCTGGAGCTGATAGGTTTGGAAAGTTCAATGGCCAAGATTGATGCGTACGTTCTCCCCTTGCTCCCAAGTTGAACTCTACCAATCATTCGTCGAATACTGCCATTTGCCGATCTTGGTGGGCTAACGAACGTTATTCTGATTAGGTCTACTGCCGGCACGATGATGGCATTCTCTAGCATTACAGTTCTCAGTGCGAGTATGATGCTACGGCGGCGTCTCAACAAATCATGATCTGTATAACCTAGACAAGATGTTGAAATGATACCCTAGTTTCGAAGAGCGCTACACGACTAGTGCTCACTCGCTTAGATGCTTTACAGAGGGCTCACAATTCGTTTTTATGTCGGCTTTCATTTGTTTGTACATGTTTCTAGTACATCCGTTGATCGCCTCCTGCGATGAGACCGACGGGATTGACGACTATGGTACCTTCCAGAGGAATTTCCGAAAGACGCCAAAACAGCCATGCCTGGCCCGCTATTGTTACAATCACCACCCTGCCACAGAGCCTATAAGGAACGTGTTTTCATCATTGAATCCAATCGTTTTGCCGTCAGGAGAAGATCAACCCTGGAAACTTGGCCGTCAAGAATTTAGACGGGATCGGCGCAGATAAGAGCTTGATCAAGCTAAAAGGGCATTGAGGTTAGAAAGTGGTGCGAGCCGGAGGGACAGCCGAGAAGCCAGGAACATGGGACTTACGATTGGCAGCAAGCAGCAGCGGGCACGCTGGCCGATGGCAGCACAAATTGCATCGAAACTATCGGCATCGATTGGAGTTTCTGGTGCTGTTGTGATTGTCAGGAGGATTGCATCTTTGTCTCTGGACTTTTCTATGAGAACTCACGAGTAGCACAATCAAGGTCGGCAAGACCGAGAACATCAGTTGCGCAGCACTGTGGGCTTCCTGTTGCCCCCGAACAGAGAGCAACCTGACGGTCAAGCAATGAGCTTGTTCCAGGGACGGCAGCGGCCATGGCAGTTGTCACGCCTGCAACGGCGATGATGATGCTGGAGAAATGCATGTTATGGGCTTTGAGGAGACCGAAAGAGGATTCGAAGATGATATAAGTATGAGGGAGAGATTGATACTACAGGTGGTGACTTGGCTGGAGCGATGGTTCTTCTTCTTGTTCGTCGGGGCAACTCGACGACTTTATAGCTTTTGGAATGACTCAGATCCATTTCCACATTTCCTTTGATGTCGTTCGATTCAAGTTCAAGTGACTCAACAAACTGCATTAGCACGACGATTCAGCTGGAGTCGTTCCAGGATCGCTGTCAATGACGTCGATCTTGTATAACCAAATTGGCCTATGAGCAAGGATTGAATGGTTGACGATGAACCTCAAGGCTGCCATAGCATGCTCAAGCAAGGCTTTACCCTTGACCTTTGATCTTGAAGCTGAAAGATCTACAAATTCAGAGCTCTGAAGAGTTCGTGGACGATGATCATCTAAAAACACAAGGCAGGAACGGCAGGAACGGCACGACAAGGGAACCCAGGGCTCCGCTTCGAGGATGAACCTAAGGCATTCGCTTCGAGGTGAAACCCGGTGAGATCATGGGAATCAGAAGAAAAGATTGGATTTCTATGCATTTCCAGTCCATGAACAGATCACACGAATCCACATCAGCGATCACTAACGACGCACTCACTGCACTCCACATCATTCATATCTCGTGGCCTTGGAAAAATGATGTGGAGAATGAAAATCCATGATCGACCATCAAAGCCGTTGCTGATCAGTTCTTTTGTTTCACGGTCTGTTCCAATCAGGGTTCTTGAATCAGTGGATTGGTTTCGGGGAATTGCTGTTCAGTGGCGAATTTACAGGGAATTTTTCAGGGCATCTACACTGCCCACCCCAAACCCTGACAACTTGGCAGATCTACCGACTCTACATACATGCCTAGCCACGTACGGAGTAGGCGACGTAACCAAAAAATAGATATGGACTAAGCTCTATTAGGCGTTATACTTACATAAGCTCTGTCTATAGGATATTGGGTAACACGTGACTGGAGATTAGCCAGGGTTGTCGAATTGGTTGTCCAAGTAAAAGTCCTGAAACATTCAGTGGGAGATGACGCTGCAAGATGATGAAATGATAGAAAAATAATGGCTTTCATTGTGGGCGATTCCAAGGAAATGAAACTGGAAGGGTTTAAAGCTCTGACACAAGCCGCAGACCGCCCAAAATCAGGGGGTTCACAGTGCTTGTCAATGACATCTTAGATCTCACTTCAAGTGTTTGACTACACTGTCAGACTGTCTTGTGAGTAACAGCCATACATAATTGGTGGCATGCAGGATGGAAACACGGTATATTCCCCGACTTGTTTGGTGGTTCTGGTATTGAGATTCGAACTGCGCTTGAGATGATTTTGTGCCACCAACGATCCGACAGCCAAGTGTACTACCCCATCTTGTGTTGTCTTCTCGTCCGGAGAAGAAGAGCTCACAGCCATTTTGAGATTCTTCGGCTGGAATAAAGGTGTACTCATGTGTCGATTTGAGATCAAGAACAGATTGAGTAAGCTACAAACTGACAGCTGCCAACGTTTCCACATATTGTCTTCTGTTCCGTCGTCCGCAGCCAGGGACAAACAAAGTACTCGCCGAAGTCGCACCCCTCAGCTAATAAGAATTCGCCGTGCGCTGGTAGAGATGTTCCATAGCGGTGATGGGCGGGTACTTGACACCGGTCTCCCCTTCGAGACCAGGAGCACATTGGACTGTTGTGTGCCTATCAGCTTGCATAAAGAATGGAATGGAACACCGCTCCCTGGTGAGCCCGGTTCCATCATCTACCTGCGGAGCGACCACACGATGGAGAGTTGATTTCAGCACATCATTGGTCCTACTTCTTGTTTAGTATTGACGCCACATCCAGCAAAGAACTGAAGGGGACTCACCATCTCTGCAAGAAGTCTCCAATATTGACGATGGCAGCGCCTTCAAGGTAGGGAGCTGGATCTGTTGAAATAACCGGCTGGTGAGCAAGCGATCTCTACACATTCTCCACGTATGAGTTCCATATTCTCGACTTACCAAACTGGCCTTTCTTAGTGGGATGCTCGACCTCGAGCCCGCCGACCTTATCCTGGAAGAGCAGGGTCATGGTCCCATAGTCGCTGTGGGCGCCAACGCGGGCTTTTGTGCCCTCCACCAACGACTTTCGGTCAACCTGGGGATAGTGGTGGTACCGGATCAGGTGGTCGTTGTCGCTGTGTGCGTCGGCAAAGAAGTTCTCGGGCAGGTTCAGACCGAGGGCAATGGCTCGGAGAACGTCAAGGCCGGCTCCGTTGCAGGTCCAAAAGAACTTCATGCTGAAGTCTTTGAAACCAGGCAACACCTCCTCCGACGGCCACATGTTGGGCTCCCGGATGGACGGCACGCCGACATCTGCGCCAAAGTCGAACATGTCTCGCACGTCCTCGACCTGACGCAGCTTGCTCACTTCGTCTGCATCGATGCTCTGTGATATCTTTTCGCCGCCTACGGGCGAATATCCACGGAGTTTGTAGCTTCTACTCTCGGGCACGGCTTTGGGCCGCAGGAGTGACGGCGCACAGAGATCCTTTTGTGGCAAATGAAAGAACTTGGACATCTGTTCACCGAAACCATGTCAGAATGGAGAGTCTCAAGACCGCCCCGCGAGGAGAGCAGCTCGACATCGTCGTCCGTGCTCTGTCGTGGGCTGCAAGATCCTCTTCGAACGCAAAGGGGATATATGGCAGGGTGTGGGCACTCACCCAGTCGAAGGCCTCGTGGACCATGTCATTGGGAATGCCATGGTTGAGCAGATACACAAATCCCACGCTTTTGAAAGCTTGCACCAGCTCTCGAGATACAGCCAGACGCTCCTCTGCCGAGCCTGCTGTGTACCTCGAAAAGTCAATCACCGGGAGTGAGTTGATCTTGTCCGGGACGACTTCACCGATGGAACCCATGATTGATTCACGTTCACGTCTAAAGCAGATGTCTGGTAGGTAACAGGATATGGTTTAGTGCCACAGCTAGAGATTGAGGAGACTCTTCAAAGGGACAATTGTGTTAGCATCTCATCGCCGCATTATCAACAGTCTGGCCCCTTTATACTGGAACGTCAGCAAGGGAGAGGGCGCGGGGAAGTCGAATGCCTGGGCACTTCAGAAACCACAAGATAAGGGTTGGGGTTGATTGCCGGTCGCAGGCCATCGCAGTGACACTGCCAGATCGTCAGTCTGTCCACGGAAATCGACACCCGAGGCCTCAGTGCAGAGCATGCTTGGGCGTAACCAGGAGTATTGATTCGAACGGTATGATACGGTACAGGTCCCCAGGCCGGATGTTCGAGCTCGCCGCCCCACCCTGCTTCATTACGACGACGATGTGCGGTCCATGTGCTGGGTGAACTTGCGAGAGAAGTGCCTTTAAAGTTTCACCTACAAGTCTTGGGCTCGGCACTCATCCGACAATGCAAGATTGTGGGCTTGTCATTCGTCGATAACGAAAATGCCCATATGGGTTCGTGCCGCGGGGACCGGCTGAGATGTCTATCCAAGAGTCTAAGTAGTCCCTATTCCCCATTGAGAGATGTTCTCCGCGGATAGAGAGGGTCAATAAGCTGAACCCTACTATTAGCATACCCATTGATTTATCCAGTGTCTAATCCCTATCGAGACGTGTTTGTCGCGGATAGAGAGCGGGTCAATGAGCAGGACCCTGCTGCAAGCACGCCGTTGATCTATGAAGTCTCCTCTAGTCTAGATTGAGACTGGCTTGCCGCCAATCAATCGTCGACGACCATGAGCAGTTACCCTTCTACGGAGTATGCATCCGGGCGACAGGCGGCCGAGAGCAGACCAAGCGGTATTGGCGCGTGTATGGTATCTGCATGATGAGGCCAAGTACTGATTCGGCCTGGCTGCCACAATGTACAATCAAACATCTGTTCCTGGTCGGCTGGTACAAGGACAAGGCGGCCTGAGATACAGAATCAGAGGCAGATACAGATACAGAGATATCGACATGTCTTGGAGACATCTTCGTGAGAAAATACCAAGGGAAACTCTATCACGATCGACCTGAGCCTCGAGGATTTATAACAAGGGCCGGGCTCTCGTTGTGAGCAAGGCCTCTTTACTTTCAACGCCGGCTACCCCAGGCTTCTATTCACTCCCCCAGTCTTGTCCTGCTCCACGAGGTGTTAGCGACGAGTCACCATGTCCGAACATCTAGTGCCCGGAACAGTTCTTCAGGTCGACTTATACGACAATCTCCGCGGCGTGCAACACAATGACAGACACAAGGACATTGTGTTGGTGCCACAGCCGACGAGTCATCCAGACGATCCGCTCAACTGGACCAAATACCGAAAATGGTCCAGTATCTCAGGCTACGTGGTCTACACGTTTTTGGTCGCCGTCATGGTCTCCTCTCTCTCGCCCGCCAATCTGATGATCGAAGCCGAAACCGGGATTTCCGTCGCTGATATCAACACCGGGGTTGGCTTGATGTACCTGTTCCTGGGTTGGAGCAACCTGATTTGGCAGCCCCTCGCCATCGACTTCGGCCGACGCCCCGTCCTCGTGATATCTACCTTGATGCTGACCTTTATGGTTCTGTGGTCCGCCTATGCGTCCAATGTGGGCGAGTGGTGGATCAACCGCATCCTACAGGGCGTTGGAGGTGCGCCGATCGAGACGCTTGTCGAGCTCTGCGTGGCCGACGTCAACTTTGCCCACGAGCGTGGCTTTCACATGAGTCTGTACACCTGGACTTTGTTCAATGGCGCCTTTTTGGGTCCCATTGCCGCCGGCTTCGTGGCCAACCGATTCGGATGGCAATGGATCCAGTACATTTGCACCATTATCGGTGCTGTCACGACACTATACCTGTTCTTCTTCATGGAGGAGACCATGTTCCACCGCACCGACACGGTGGAGGCAGCCATGGCGGAAAACTTCAGTCAGACCGTCTCCAGTGACGTTGAGGTCAAAGGGGCCCACGTGAAGGAGGAGGCTCCATCCACCTCGCCGGCGGCATCAGCGATGATCAGCGTAGACAGAGACATTCAGCCTAAATCATACATGCAACGTCTCAAGTGCTGGGACCTCCGAGACCCCCAACAGCCGAAGCTATTCTGGAACAACTTGGTGCTCTCCCTCACCTTGATTCGCTTTCCGGCCATCTTATACTCTGGGCTATTGATCGGATCCATTCTGTCGTGGTTCAATGTGGTCAACGGCACGCTCCCTACGATCCTCGGCAATGCGCCCTACAACTTCAGCGCCGACATGCTAGGCGTCATCTACGTCAGCCCGGTCATAGGCGTGAGCTTCGGCTGCTATTTCTCAGGCTGGATCAGCGACAAGGTGGCCGTGTACATGGCGCGCCGCAACAACGGCGTCTATGAGCCAGAACATCGCCTCTGGGTTGGCCTGATTCCATTGGTTCTCCACCCAGTCGGCTGCATCCTCTACGGTGTGGGTGCATCTCACGAGGTGCACTGGGTTGGCGTGGCCTTTGGCCTAGGGATAATTTGCGCCACCCTGCCCATGGGCTCAGCCATCGCCTGTAATTATATCATTGACTCGTACAAGGAGGTCGCCGGCAATGGTCTGGTCACCATCATCTTGATCCGTAACACAATGGGTGTGTTTCCGATCTTCCCCTTTTGCCTTTGATCAAAAATTAGTGCTGCTGACTGACGATTTTTCTCTGTCCCTCAGGTTTTGCCTTTGCCTATGCAGTACTTCCAATGGTCACAGACATGGGCATCCAGAATGCGTTCATCCTGCTGGCCTTCCTGGGTGCCGCGATCTGGGCAGGCTGCATTGTTATGATCATCTGGGGGAAGAGGTTTCGCAAAGCCACCGCGGCCACGTACTGGAAAATGGTGGAAGAACAAGGCCTCAAAGCTCATTGAAAACGTGCGGGTGACTGAAGGGGGGGGGTATGGCCCACCCGTCTCATCTTTGCCCGGCTTTGTCGTTGTCGTTATCCTTATTCGCTTTGTTCTGCTTTTAATATCCCCCCAGCTATTAGCTAGAGAGGCTGGAGGCTAGGTCGAATCACATGTTCTTGCACGGTTGTCTCCACTTCGATAGATAAATTGTAATAAAGGCCCACTTGTCTCTTGTTAACTTTCAACTCCTCGACTCTTAACTTCGTCCTATGCTAGATAATGGACATGCTCACATCCCACATCTGAGATTCGACATCCTAGTAGCCGGATCCCGTTCCCGGGTTGCTCCACACCACCCCCCTCCCCCTACCTTCATTGGGGGGTCTTATCGCGGATCTCAAGTTTTGAAAACGGGGTACTCGGACCATTCACATGCCCGCGGCTCACGTATTTCCCATTTTCAGATAGTACATCAGCGCGTGAATGTAGCACCAGTTGACAGTATTGGACAAAGGATAACGATGGCACAGGAACTGCAGCACTGGTGCGAGCAATCTATTCTCCTCCCTATGCCTGATTCGTGAGTCTTGTCGCTGGGAGGGCGAGGTTTGACCTTTAAGGATTATTGTTGTTTATCACCATTGTTGTCTTGACTCTCATACCTCATCGCCTGTGTGTCACCATGCCTGACGGCGGAGGCGAGTACTCCATCTATGACCTGGGCGACTTTCTTCTGGAGTCGGGCGAGGTATTGCCATCAGCGTTTCTAGCATACAAGACGTTTGGCGACCCAAGCAGCCCGGTGTTGATCTACCCAACGTGGTATGGAGGCAGTATGTCAGGACTCAGCAGAAACCTCCCCTTCCCCTTCTCTCATCTCTCTCGTCTGCCCGATCTTTCACTCGTGCCTCTCCGTCTGCAGCATACTGACGCGCTGGACCTGGATAGAAATCGCGGACTGCGCGGGCATCGTGGGCCCAGAGAACGCAGCATTTGATCCTGCCAGGTACTTCATCATCATCCTCGCGTTATTTGGCAATGGCGAGAGTATCTCGCCCTCCAATACCCCGGCGTTGAGGGACACGTTCCCCACCGTCACGTTTCGGGACAACGTGACGGCGCAGTATCAGCTGCTCACGCAGAAGCTGGGCGTGTTCCACGCTCGTGCAGCGTTGAGCTGGTCCATGGGCGCGGCTCAGGCTTTTCAATGGGCGGTTCAGTATCCTGAATTTGTGGACGCCATCATTCCCTATGCTGGGGCCGCCAAAACCTCAATCCACAATAATGTCTTCCTTGAAGGCGTCAAGAGCGCTCTGATCGCCTCACGGCATGGTGAGTCTAATGGCATTGGTAAGGGCCAGAAGTTCCCACGTCCCGGATCCTGGTCCGAGGATGAGCGCCGCGTTGGTCTGAAGGCGTTTGGAAGGACCTATGCTGGTTGGGGCTTCAGCCAGACATTCTATCGGGAAAAGTCGTATGAGAAGCTGGGATCCTCGACCCCCGATGGCTTCCTGGTCGATTTCTGGGAGGGGTGGGCACTGGGAAAAGGTAAGATACCCTGCCTGCTTCCGCAAATGGCTTCTAGATATCGAGAGGTGTGGGGACTAATTCAGTGTTCCTTTTCGTCTCATTTAGACCCCGATAACTTGCTGGTGATGTTGCAAACGTGGCAGCTGGCGGACATCTCGGCCGGTCCTGAGTTTCAAGGGGACTTCGCCCGGGCGCTGCGGTCCATCAAGGCGAAGACGCTCGTCATGCCCTGTGAGACTGATCTCTACTTCCCTCCTGCAGACTCGGAGATTGAGGTCAATGCCATGTCTCCGGGGATTGGAAGGCTCCTGGTCATCCCAAGCACGTCTGGGCATTTTGCGGCCGCTCCAGCGCTCCAGGCACACGACTGGAGCTTCCTACATGGGTCCATCTGGGAGTTTTTGCAGGAGGTCGAAGCGGGACTGGTAGTAGGCTAGGGGCCAATCATGCTCGGTTACGCTTCTCGATCAAACAGGGGCTCGAAATCTTCTAGACTATGTTTCTCGCGCAAATGCTCCAGTGACTGTTGAACGTTTGTTTCATCTCTCTGCGGATTGACTATATACATATATTCTCTCTATCTCTCTCCTCCTCCCTCTCCCCCTTCCCATAAGCGAGTAGGCGTGCGAGTATCCGTCTTGTCTCACCTACTCCCATTTAAGGATTGGCTTAATTACCTATTGGCGGTCTTGTCAGTGGTAAGGGCTTGTCTCCCAATCACGTGACTTACCTTGCCAGATCGCACGTCTCCCAAGGCCTCGTCGATCTTGTCGATATTGTAGGTGGTGCACAGCTTCTCGATGGGAAACTGACCGGAGCGGTGCAACTCGATCATGTACGGGACATACTGCCCACACGTGTCAACAAACATGGGGTAGATAGAGGAATCGAGAGCTCACTTACCTTTCGAGACACCGCTTGGCCCTGTACTATACCACGCAGTGTGATATTGTCGAGCACAGCGTCCAAGGGGCGAAAGGGGATGACATAGCCGATGGGTGGGACGCCGAGGATGGCGATGATGCCTTCAGCGGCGATGGAAGGAAACAAGGCGTCCATAAGAAAGGGGACACCTGTGCATTCGACTATGTAGTCTGCGCCGGTGCCAGTGATTTCGTGGATGGCTTTTCCAATATCAGGCGTATTAGCGGTGTTGATGGTGTGGGTGGCCCCAAAGGACTTGGCCATCTCCAGCTTGTCTGCCAGTCGATCGACAACGATGATGGTCTCGAGGCCGAGGACCTTGGCTCCCATGACGGCGGTCATGCCGACGCCACCGGCGCCAAAGATAGCAAGCGACTTGGATGGATGCGGTTTGAGAGCGTTCAAGACAGTGGCGGACCCGGTCTGAAAACCGCATCCCAGGGCGGAATAGTGCTCAAGGGATTCGATGGGGTAGGGGCAGCGGACGTAGCTTTTGCCACTGACGACTGACATGCGAGCAAAGGACGACTGGCCGTAGAACTGGCAGCGCAGTGGCCGGCCATCCTCGAGCCGCATCGGGGTCGAGAGGTCGTTCTGTCGCAAGCCGTGCAGGTTGAACTCGGCGTGCTTTGCGCACGCAGCTGGTCGGCCGCCCGCGCACGGCTTGCAGTGGCCACAGTAGTTGTAGCAGCAGATGACAGCATCTCCCACCTGCAAGTCTGGATCGCTAATGGCAGACCCAATGCTTCGCACAATGCCCGCGCCTTCGTGGCCGAAGACGATGGGAAACTCAACCTGGGGGAATTGGCCCAGTTCGCCCACGACATCCTTTGCCACACATATCATCAGGGGAGCCGCATCCGTCAGGAAACTCAATGGAGTCTTACCGTGTGGCAGATCCCAGTATACAGCATCTCAACGAGGACCTCATCCGGCTGCATGTCGTTGATGTAGACTGTCTGTCGCTTGAAGCCCGAGCCCGCCGCTTCCACCACCAAGGCCTCCGTCTTGATGGGAAACGTGATGTCTGCCATGTTGCTGTCGTCAGGTCGTTGATTTTCCTCGACCTTTGCAATGACAGGACCAGGGATATCAACACTTCAAGGGAGGTCACAGCCCCGCTCAAGCAAATCAATGTGCCGGATATCAGATATCTCGTTTGGCCTCCCGGTCAACCCGGCATCGTCATACTCTATTCCCGGCACGGGACGTGGGGATAGGGACACAGATATACTATCCAGCTCCATCTGCCACATGATGTCGCTAGGCTGGGGAGCAGGAGGCGATTGTCTGGTATCATCTAGGTATGTATGGACGGAAACGTGACAGTCGGTGACAGTAATGTACTGATACGCCGAGACTCAGCTCTTGAGGACCCTCAGACGTCGGCATTTCACTACCAATTGCTAGAAACTCCCATGACCATGTGCTAAATCTTGATGATTGGAATCAGACACATTATAGAGTGGAGCCTGTGCATGTTACGAAGCAAGAGCTAAATCAGAGTCTAACAGCCTTGAGACCCAAGAGCGAGATCAAATGGCCAAGGGCTAGGCAGTAAATTCAAAGTTAGTCTGCGGATATGGGCGCAGAGTGCGGTTAATGGGGACTGAATCCTGGGTCCTTCATAGCTGTCGTTATCTTTCCGAGATCCCCAGCATCGCCTATTTCCGAGACACTATTGATTGATTCTGAGGAAATACCCTCCCTTCTCAATCATCTGCGATACTGATATCTTTGACCCGCTTTTCCTTTCCACGGCGGGATGCCTCTCATCACGTCCAAGTTGAAGACACGCCCACAACTCGAGGGCCCGAGGTGATGTGAACATTGATAAACACCATTCGAGAGGGGCAGACACCCAAAGAAGAGCACCAATGCCCGCCTTCGCCCTGGCCTACCTGTCCACCACCACGCGTGAGCCCGGTCAAACCAGGCCTTTTTTGGTATTGATCTCATCGACGGCGCGCCTACTCGCCTTTGCGTTTTCCAGGGCTGTGGGCATGTCAGAGTGAATGCAGACGGAGAAACACTGCTCGTCAAAGCCCATCCTAAGTTCGTTTCCATCTTGGTCGATGGTGGTGTCCGTCAGCCCCATGGAGAGGGTTCGCCGGTACACGTCATCTGGGCTGGCCTTTTGGCTCTGTGCCACGGGGATCAACTGACCCTTCGAGCCATAGTCGATGTCGACATAGACCTCCTCGATGAACAAAATACCCAGTTCCTCGCACATCTGCTTCTCATCCTTCGACTTGGCTCCGTAGACTGGAACGTTGAAGAGTTTGCAGGCCTTCAAAACGGCCCGCATGATGGTCAGGTCGCGCTGCATGTAGAAGAACAACTCGCCGTGCGGTTTGATATGGTGAAGTTCCACCCCTTCGGCGTCCATGATGGCCTTCAGCGCGCCGACCTGGTAGAGAACCATGGCGTACATGTCCTCTGGATCGATTTCCATCTTCCGCCGCCCAAACCCAAAGAGATCTGTGGTTGGGAACGCATCAGTGGAGGAAACACCAACGATCCGGGCGGGCTGTACCTTGCAACCCAGGGTGAGCGCCGGCCTTGACGCCATGCTCCTTAGTCATGCGCACCACGTTTCTCATGATACTCGGGTCGCCGGCATGGAACCCGCATGCAATATTGGCGACGTCGACCACTTTCATCAACTCCTCGTCTGGGCCCTGAAGAATGGTGAGAGACATGGCAGGCCACGCGATGGCAGCAACATACCATTTTCCACCTCCCAAACCCTTCGCCCATATCACAGTTGATTTCATATTTCTTGAGCGCCATGCTTCCCAGTGCTCGTGTCGCCTTCCAACGTCTTTGTGATGTGCTGTATGCTATGTGCAAGATACTCCTAGCTTGACGATTGATCGTTCAAGAGAAAAGGCCCTCATGTGCACAAGTCCGGCCCCCGTCTTGTGACAGTGATGGAATAAGCCATCCTGGAGAGTTTTATTTCGTCCTTGTGGAACTCGAATCTCCATAGGATGAGGAAGCGGACCCTCCTTCGTAGAGTTTTTTGGAATCCGACAACCATGGTGGTCCCCCAGACAGGTGGGCTGCTTCCTTATCGCTTCCGAGTTTCAATACTGATAGACCCACCCTTGCTGTCCCATGGGTGGGTCCGTCCTCGCATCCAGATATTTTGCCCGTCTTTATCGACCAGTCATCATTTAACCTGATGTAATAACCGTTTCCTCGTGGTGGCTATCGATACGCCTTCTGGGGCATGGACATGGCCGTTCATGCGGCATGTAAGCAGGGTAGCCGCGGAACAGAACACCATTCCTAGACGAAATCCCATTTCCCACGCGCCGGTGCAAGAAGCGGGTCAACATACCAGCAACGCCCGGTGTTTACTTTTGTTTTTGAGATGGAACTCTGGCGTCGTGTTGCAGATATTCACGTCGCACCACGGTAGCAGCTCAAGTCCACGTCCCGCGTGCTCGCATCCATGTTGTCAATTAAAAAGGTTCTGATTGCAAACCGTGGCGAGATCGCCGTGCGATGCATCAAAGCATGCAAGGCTGTTGGGGTCACCAGCATCTCTATCTACAGTAAAGCCGACTCCAACTCGTTGCACGTTAAGCTCGCCGACCAGGCCGTTTTGTTGCGAGGCCAAAATGTTGATGGCTACCTGAACACGTAGGTGATCCCTCCTCCCTATTCCTCTCCTCGTGCTGTCCGTGGATGTCCAAGAGGATGCCTTGGTGCTGACGAGAACCCATGCTATATACAATAGTGACGACATCTTGGATATTTGTCGCACCCACCATGTCGACGCCGTCATTCCCGGATATGGCTTCTTGAGCGAGAACACCGACTTCGCCAAACAGGTCACGGATGCTGGCATGATCTTCGTTGGTCCCTCACCGGACTCGATCAGCGAGATGGGTTTGAAACACCGAGCCAGGGAGTTGGCAATCTCGCTCGACGTCCCAGTGGTGCCGGGAACTGAACTGCTGACGACAGTCGACGACGCCCTCGCGGCCGGCGAGAGACTGGGTTTTCCAGTGAGCTCTATCCCCCCTACATACGAGCTGTGTCATACCCAGTCTGGCTCCCCTCGCCTCACTCTCCAGAGTCTAACTCCAGGTCCTCTCATCTAGGTCATGCTCAAGGCAACGGGCGGTGGCGGCGGCATGGGCCTGCAGGTCTGCCATAACGCCGAGGACGTGTCGGGGGCATTTGCCCGGGTACAGAGCCGAGGAGCCAGTCTCTTCAAAAATGCAGCGGTCTTCATGGAGAAGTATTATCAATTCAGCCGGCACATCGAGGTACAGATCTTTGGCAATGGCGACGTCGTCGCGCATTTTGGCGAGCGAGAGTGCAGTATCCAACGACGGCATCAGAAGGTGGTCGAGGAATGTCCGAGCCCGTTCGTCGTATCACACCCAGGTCTGCGCGAGAGGTTGACACAATGCGCTACGAGGTATGCTGGGGCCATCAAGTATAAGTCGGCCGGCACGGTCGAGTTCCTGGTGGACGACATCACGGGTGACTTTTTCTTTCTGGAGATGAACACCCGCTTGCAGGTAGAACACGGTATCACCGAGCTGTGCTACGGGGTCGATCTGGTCGCCATGATGCTGCGCCAGGCCGACTGCGAGAAAGCAGGACTAGGTGGCCTTCCGTCGAAAGAGCTCCTTGATCTCCAGAAGCCTGGCCCTGACGGAGCTGCTATCGAGGTTCGCGTCTACGCCGAGGTGCCACACCGCGACTTTGCCCCGTCGCCTGGATTGTTGCAGTCGGTGGAGTGGCCTGTCGGCGATGGGGTCAGGGTCGACACTTGGGTCCAGACGGGGCAAACAATTGCTCCCTTTTACGGTACGGAACCCTGGCCCACCGAGTCTTTACGAGATTTCCCTGACAGTCAAGTATACAGATCCTCTCATTGCAAAAGTCATGACCAAGGGTGCGAGCAGAAAGGAAGCTGCTCTCAAAATGGCCAAAACCTTGGGCGAGGATACAGTCCTTGACGGGCCCATGACCAACCTGTCATTCCTACACGCCGTCGTTTTGTCCGAGCGTAAGTGATGAGCTAGACCTTTGAGGAATCGGTCTCCCAGTACTGACTAGGGCTCTAGCATTCCTCAAAGGAGAAACGTTGACCAGCTTCCTTGACACCAAGTTCACCTTCAAACCCACCGTGATGGACGTCTTGGTTCCCGGCGCCTACACCACTGTCCAGGACTACCCGGCCCGCATTGGGCAAGGCCACGGCATTCCCAGAAGTGGTCCGATGGACGATGTCTCTGCTCGAAGTAAGATAGCCCCAATATCCGCGTGTTTGGTTTTCTAGCAGTGGGCTGACGATAGGCGCTGGTAACAGTCGCCAACATGATTGTTGGAAACGACGAGGGTGTAGAGCTTCTCGAAATCACCCTGTCTGGTCCTGAACTGGCATTTTCAACCTCGGCCGTTTTCGCCGTCTGTGGTGCTTCTGCTCCAGTCACGGTCGACAACGAGACCAGACCGTTGTGGTCAAGACAAGTAGTCAAAGCTGGGCAGACACTGAAGATTGGCTCCATCGAAGAGAATCGCGGGTGCAGAACATATCTCGCCATCAAGGGTGGATTTCCAAAAGTGTTGGTCAACACTCACCACATGCCGCCCCTTTGTACCTCCCTGCTTGCACTGCGACACCAGCTGATTCTCTCTTTTCTCTTCTCATAGGGCGCTCCAATTCGGCTCCAAGTCAACGACCGTCAATCTCAGCTATGGCGGAATCCAGGTGAGTCTACTTAGATCCCCGTACTTGTGGGGAACCCTTCCCACCAGAAAAGAGTCTAATGTTTTTCGCAGGGCCGTCAATTGCGACGTGGTGACTCAATTGCCCTGAGCGCCGAGAGCGAACAATGGGCGACAGAGGCTGTTGAATACAAGCTTCCTCGCTCCCTGATCCCGGATTACAGCATCAGCGAGGTCTACGTGATGCGTGGGCCGCATGATTCAGATGAACTCATGACCCTTGCTGACCGCAAGATGCTGTACAGCAATCAGTGGAAAATCGGGCACAATTCGAATCGGACTGGAGTGAGGCTGGTGGGACCAGCACCACAATGGGCACGGAAGGACGCTGGCGAGGCTGGTGCGCACCCTTCCAACAGATTTGAGTGAGTAAATTCAATTCCATCATACCGCGAGTATCAGATGCGGTCAACAGTGCCACGGCGCATACAGCTGACCTCCAATGCTCATAGTTACGGCTACCCCTGTCCCGGCGGCCTGAATTGGGGAGGAGACTCTTCCATCTTGTTTGGCGTTGACGGCCCCAGTCTGGGTGGCTTGATCACCAGTTCTACCGTGGTGGCTGCGGACTTGTGGCGACTGGGGCAGTTGAGACCTGGCGGAACCGTCAGGCTCCGCACCACCACATACACCGGCGCTCGCGAGTTGCAGCACCGTGTAGACGACTTTCTCGCTCGGATCAAAGCAGCCGTCGGCGGTATAGCCGGAGCTGCCACGGCTCTGTCGCCCCTCAACCTGGAGCTACCTATTGAGGAGGATGAGCCGATCCTGAAGACTGTCCCTGCAGAAGGCGAGTTGCGCCCGCAAGTGGTCTATAGACAAGGCGGAGACACCTTTCTCCTGGTCGAGTTCGGCCTTCAACGTGCCGACGTCTTGGTGGTGGCCCGGATCCGGCAGTTGGTGGAGAAGCTGGAGGCTTTGAAGGACTGGCGGCTCAGCTTGGGGCCCAATATCAACTCCGTCACCATCGAGTACGACCCCAAGCTGGTGAGCCAGGGAGACTTGGTCGCCCGGGTCCACGAGCTGGAAACCTCCATCGAAGCCACTATCGACGTCCGCCTCCCCGTCCGCGTCTTCCGGCTGCCTGCGGTCATCGACCACCCTGCTCTGAACGAATGCATCGAAAGGTATAGCGGCACCGTTCGAAACAAGGCCGTCTATCTTCCCGATAATCTCGAGTACCTCGCGAAGAACAACGGCCTTTCGTCGCGCCGACAGGTCTTCGACATGATGCTCAACACCAAGTTTCTGTGTGCCGCTGTAGGCTTCTATATTGGAACGCCCATCTTGTTCCCGCTGAGCCCCACGTACATCATGGGGCAAAAGTACAATCCGACGCGGGTGGCCACTCCAGGGGGAACCATTGGTATGGGCGGCTCGTTATTTGCCATGTATCCCAGGGAAGCCCCGGGCGGTTACATGCTCGTGGCTCGCACGCTGGAACTCTGGGACACGTACGGGTCAAAGCCAGGTTTTACGCCGTCCAAGCCTTGGCTCTTCGAACCCTTTGACATCATCACCTACTATGAGGTCTCTGTAGAGGAATACTCCAAGCTAGAATCCGAGTATTTCGCCGGCAAGTACCAATATCAAATCCAGGACGATGTTTTCGACTTGAAAGACGCCTACGCCACGTTTCAAGCCGCCCGCACAGATCCCAAGGTGATTGAGTACCGCGAGCGGCAAGCGAAAGGGATTGCTGAGCAGGGAGAGATCGAGCGCGGCCTGTACGACGAATGGATCAATGACCTCAAGCTCCGAGAGCAAGAGGAAGCCGAGCGGCTGAAATCTCTCCTGGCTGAATCCACCATAGCCGTCGACTCGCCCATGGATGCTAATGTCTGGAAGGTTGAGGTCAGCGAAGGCGACGTCTTGAAAGAAGGCCAGCTGGTCGCTATCCTTGAGGCCATGAAGATGGAAATCAACGTCTACGCCCCACCCGAGGTGGATGGCGCCACGGTTCGGGCGATCGCCAAAAAGCCCGGCAGCACCGTGGCCCCAGGCGATTATATTGTGGTTGCCAGCAAGTGAGACTTCTTAAAGAGACAAAGCAAAAACAAAACCTCAAAGAAAAAGAGATTAAAATCAGTATATAAAGTACGAAGACTTCTGATCCACCGTCCGAATATACTCATGTAGTTCCTCCTGGCCTCGTTGGAAACCATCTAAAGGTGCTCGATTGAGCATTTCATCCGATCGTAGCCATATCTCTTCTGTGTTGGACATCATTTGGTCTCGACTCACGTCACGATAGTAGTCGCGCATTGAAATATGTTTCCGCCGCGCCCAGTCCCGTTCCTCGCTCGTCACCGCCTCTCGCGCAGTAAGATAGAATGGGAGCGGTAGGCAGGTATCTGGCCCACAACCAGCGACCAGGAGGTCCATTAGTCGGACTAGCTTGCCCACCACGGCTCGAACTCGTGGCGAGTGGGTTTGATCCTGGTATACACGGCGGTACAAAAGGAGATGTGCGGTCCAGAAGAAGCATTCGCCCACACGGAGGAGTGACTGTCTACTCGGATCTGCACTCAACGCTCGCGACTGATCTGATTGTCCACCGTCGTCGCTGGGGTCTGGACTCGATGGGTCTGTGGAAACCATAGTCTTCACGAACGGTTGGTTCGCTTCTCGAGACAGGTGATAGCCATTCTTTTGTCCCCAGAGATGAAGCTGAGTTTCAAGATCATAGGCTTTTTCGAGAATCTCCGTCACCTTGTCTGGGGCGACATTTTCATCTCTGTCGCGGGCCATGCGCGCTATCTTGACCAGGAAACATGCCGTCACCTGCGAACAGCCGCTCATCTCGTAGTAGCTGGGATATGTCTGGTCCCAGAACTCCTCATTGGGCTGGAATAAGGCAAAGTCCTCTGGAGCCAGAGGAGCCGCCTGGCGTAGGAGGGCATTGGCGAGGTCCATCTGTGCGAATCGTTGGAACATCAGCCGGAAAAAGAACGTCTGTGGAGGAGTACGAATGCATCCTAGACTACGTAGAAGGTGAAGAGCATATCTCAAATGTGCGTCAGTCGAGTTCGAGCCACCTAAAATCGCATTTGCCACTTGTAACAGTGCCGCTGCTAGAGCACCTTCTTTGATAGAGAGCTCGCTGGATAGAGTTAATGATGAATCGTCGGGCGCCGCAACATTTGACGCCGCCCGACGGAGGGACTGAAGTGCCCGCTGTTGCCTACTTATAACCGTTTGTAGGTTGTTGAGGCCGAAGTTGAACATGTGTTCGGTGGCGAGCGAAACGATGCTGTCAAGCAGGACTGAAGAGCCCAAAGCCTCCGTTGCGAGTGCACGGTATGGGTTTGAAGCGCTTTCAAAGGCGGGTAGCCGACTGGCCAAGCACTTGACGACTGTCCTCTCGAGGTTAGCGGGTGTGCCAACGCAGGGAATTCGAACAAGAAATCAGAGCACTGCTTACACCATGTCCACGCCGTTTGAGCCCCGAGCGAAGAGAAATGGGGGGATACCAGCGTGTCGAGATTCTGCTCCAGAGCCCACACCTGGACGATCCCTAGTGACGGGGTCTGTGGGGAGTCATCCTCGGACGGTTTTTGGGCCGGTGTTGACGGGGAGGGTTCAAGTTGGCTGCCTTTGAGCACGTTGGTTACTGTTCGCGTGCTTCGCTCACCTGATTCCCAGGTTGACCATTTAAAAGGGGGAGGATAATGACACTCGAGCTTTCGAATGGTGCAGGAGAGGCAACTTGGTCGCTCCTCGTCACATTTCTGATGTCTTTGGCGACAACCGTCACAGCCTGCGAGACATGAGACATCAGGCGCACTCTCCACAAATGAGATGGTCGGGAACAGCGCGTCAACTTACCGTGTCGTGAGCGGAGGAAGTTTCTTTTCTTGCCCATGATTCTGATATTTCTAGCAGAGGCCATCTCAGGCCAGATTCTGGAGGTATCAATTCCTAGGAAGGAGGGCGGAATGGCATATAATCGACGGCGATATCGACCCATTGGAGTTGGGAGACAAGCCTCTACCCCGAGGTAATCTCCTGGGCACCATTTCCTGTTATCTCTACTCCACAATCGTTCATTCAGTTGTTTTATTCGCTCTCTGACAAGTAGCCGTTGACTTCTGTTTTGTCACTGATAAGGGGACTGATGTGCTCCTAGGCCATGGCTCAGGTGTAAATCCAATCATTCTCTTACAAACCACTGAAGTGCTGACTTGGTGGTGGAGTCTAGTAATAGATCTACCATGTCAACCACCGAATGCTGGTGGCCATCTCGTCAGCGACCATTGTATTCGAGACTGAAGTAGACATATGGAGCAGCAGTCCCTCGCTCGTACGGGTTTGCTCCTAGATAGAAGAGAATTATCTATAATACGAATTTGGGATAATAGAAGACAGACCCCGGCGAGCCACAGGTTCCTATGAGGATTCGCTTGCTGATCACGTGGTCGACTGCAATGGGCCAGGGCCTCTCAATTTCGTACATATACCGTATATACGTACTATAGTGCAGCAGTGCCTATACGAGAAGAGTGGAAGAGTTGATGTCCATGTCACTACGCTCAATTATTAAAGTCCCTACGCTATCTTAAAACTCCTCAATCATGTATATATGAAAACACATAAATACACCTAGTTACCACTATCGCCGTTCACCTAGCCAAATATCGCATTCAATGGTATCGTAAATCAAAACATAAATGCTCACACTATTATCAAGCCAATATTTCTCTGAGACCGCACATCATTACCGTAGAGGTAGGCGATCATATCCTGATTCCTTCCCATTATCTCAATATCGGCATTCATGTCCAAGAAACTGCCTCGTAAATTGTAAAATATCATGCAAACAGCACCAGCTTGCTGATTAAATTAAGTGGTTTGGTTTCATCATATGATTGCGTTGTGCAACAGCCTCGAAAGTGGACTGCATCTGTGAAACTCCCACAAATCACGACACCCTAGCGTAGTCCTGGGGATTGTATGAATACTGTCGCTGTTGGGAAGGAAGTCCTTGAAATCCTGTTGGAGGTTGCTGCTGTTGCTGTTGCTGTTGAGGCTGCAGCTGCGGCGGTTGCGGCGATTGTTGTTGTTGCGATATTTGTGGAGGAGTTTGCTGGGGGGGTTGTTGAGAATTTTGGGTGGAGCTTGGGTCAGGACTCTTTGGCGGATCTCTCACTATATTCTCATGAGAACCAGGTAGTTCAGCAACAAATGCACGCTTTTCGTTGCCGGGAGTATACATTCTGTCGTCGCCGTGCTGATAAGAGCTTGGATGTGAGCTGACCGAGGCGGCATAACTCTGTCGGTCTGAGGTCGAGCTGTTGATCGGGAATTGAGACTGTTGTGGTGATGAGGCCGACAACTCGGACATGTTTGACGAAAACCTCGCTCCACCAGGTGCCTGGTATTGCTGTTGCTGTTGGTATTGCTGCGCGGGGTTGGGGGCATAGTGTGTACTGCCAGGCATTTCAATGGCAAGACCCTGAGGAGGTTGTAGGTAGCCATATTGAGACTGACGGGCATATGCAGATTGAGGATGGGCAGAGTTGGGGTGGGCTGAGTAGGGATATGCAGATTGAGGGAAGGCTGGATTGGCAGGCGAACCAGGGGGAAAGGCATGCGGAGACCCAGGTGGCATTCCAGGTGAGTAGTGACCATGACCTTGAACGTTCTGGGATCGATCGGCCGGATTGGAAGTCTTGAGTTTCCCCTGGTCGAACATGGCACTTAAGACTCCGGCGTCGATCAACTCAGCCTTCTTGACAAGTCGATCAACCATGGTCTTGGATGATGCCTTCATTTCTTTCTTGACGAAGCCCACCATGGTGGGATTACACTTGATCTCAATATCCTCTCGAAGGTAGAGTCCTGAGGCGGGTGCGCCACTTCCCAACTCTCGAGTCTCAGGGGGTTCGCCTTGTTGGTTGCCCCGGATCTGCCATTTGTTGCGCAAGTCGACGCCCATGGGCGCATAGACATGTGTTTGCAGACCCCATGGCATATCATGGAAGCAGCCATTGAAGGAGATTTTGCCTGTGCCAGCTTTTCCAATTCCAGGAATGAACTTTATCCGCTCGGTGATTTCATACCATGTAGAGAAAAATTCGTCTGGAGGGGCACTCTGGGGCGCCTTGATTGCCTTGACTTCAATGACGAGAGGGTTGAGCTCGATTATTTCTTGATGACTATGGAGCATGTCAATCGCAAGTTGACGAGGAATATGCGGGGGAATGGGCGTGATAGTAGTGAAGACTGATTTCCTTTTCATCATCTTGCCAGAGTGTCAGCGGTGAATTAGGAGGGAGATTGGGTGGTAGGTAAGCAGGAGCGCAGTCAGACCTGCGGCCAAGACGGGCGACGACGACGAGGGTGGCGGCTGTTTGGTGTAAGAGAGGATTCGCAACAGCAGACGCGAGGACCAATATGAATCGAGAGTATTATGGAAAGGTTGAAGTGAATCAAACAAGGTACATGCGCAAAGAAAAGGTAAGAAAGGTGCTATGTCAGCGACGGTGTAGTCGGTGGTGAGGACGGCGATGCTGCTGAGAAACTGGAATCCATTCAGAAGCTGACAGCGCAGCGCAATGACGGAGGGAGGCCCGAGGGTCTGTGAGGTGTGTCAGGCTGGGGGAGAAACGGGCTACTTACGGCTGGCCAAGGGCCGAGAAGCCCCTCAGGTTCCAGGCGCAGTCAGGGAGTCGTGGGAGGGAGACGAGAATAGGGAACAGGGGCCCTGGATCATTGGGTGATTGGGTCATTATGGGGGCTCTTGGGCGAGCAGTTCTTCAATATTCAGCCCTTAATGCGGAAAATATAAACTCTATCGCCTTTACGGTTGGTCCCCCACTAACTACCGTGGATGGAGTTGGCAGTGGCTACAGTATACACTCAATTCTCACCCACTTTCATGTGGAGATGGTATTCGATCAGCGCAGAATTTCATGTCGCTACAGATAAATTCGTGGCTGAGTTGAAATGAAGAATGTAATAGAATAGTTGTTCAGGGCCAGCTGCTGGCTGCCAGATCCTAGGCCAGCTTGAGTGTCCCAAAATGGAAACGGAAACGAGTTTCAGCTGAAGAACACTCTAGGCCTGGGCAGTGTTGATGGTCACAAGGCATGCATGGCATCCCAACTCTTACGAGCACTACCTCGAACGACTGACACTGAAGGGCGTCGTCCGTAACATTATATATACCTAATCATCTCTGATCAACTCTTCCATCCTCAAAATTCTATCTTCCTCTAATCAATTGTCAGGCAGCAACGTCAATTCCTCCAATGATCCTTCCACACGCAAAGGACTTGACGTCCAACAATGTTACACGCCCCGTCTTCCACATTGGGTATTGCGGCGCCACATTTGGAATTCTTCTGGCCATACGGAGTACATTAACCAGGCAGGAACTACCTGCAGTTCGCCTGTGGAACGAATCGTCATTCTGCGCAGCTTCCCAAGCGATGACTTCTCGGATGCACGTAGAACCGACTCCGTCCGCGAATCTTCTGGTCAGCCATCGCAAGGGAAGACAATTCCTCAACACACGAGTAGCCTATTGCCATGGCCAAGTTCTGCCGCAATCGCACCTTCGAGTCATTCGATTCACTGTCTATCATTTACTCGCTTGCATCCGCTTGATGCGCTCCTCCGCCGCTCTCGCCCTCCTCTCCCTCTCGAGCCTCATCCTCAATTCCGGTGTGAGGCCACGAGCCTCTTCTTCGCGTTTTTCAGCGCCCGTCTTGTCTGCAAGAGATTTGCCTGGACCTGCTTTCTTTTCTATCCTTCCTACATGTCGCTCTTCCTCCTCCCGCCGAAGTCGCTCGAGATCTGCTTTTCTCCTTTGTGCCTCTGCATCTTCAGAGGCCGACTTCTCTTGCTGGTTCTTTGTCTCATACTCTACTTGGGTCAGTGCGGATGGTATATGAGTTGCGCCCCAGTCAAAAGCACCTTCTCCAAGCTGTGACCGTGCCACTCGAAACGCATCCCTCGTTTTCGTGTCCCCGGCAATCTCGTATGCTGTCTTGCCATCGCCATTGAGAACCGTAGGGTCTGCGTTCCCCTTTGTCAGAAGCGACAAGACTAGCGCCGGCGAATTCGTTGACGCAGATAGATGCAGTGCTGTCGGCGCGTGATGATGTTCTGATTCGGGCCAGAACCTGAAATCAGCCGATAATTCATTCTTCGTTAGATAAAGCAACACTCCAGGCGCCTTGGACCGTCGTATTAGGGCCTGTAGCTGGCTGGTGTGCAATCTGGCAGCTTCCTCTTCCTTAGTAAGTTCAGGGCCCGTGGCTTTGGGCTTGGTTTCTTTGGCGACCTGCTTCTCTGGTGGTCGCGTTTCCAATGTTGTATCTACCAATCTCCCCACTTTCAACCGTGTCAATTCTTGAAACGATCGAAGAAGTTCTGCCTGTGTTGCTCGACGTGTGCTGAATGGAAACCCACGAATCCGGGGGTCGTTCTTATGCAGCATCTGGCCATCATATGGGCCGAACAATGTCCGGCGATTTGCTGCACCTGTCGCTCGAAAGAACAACAGTTCTGCAGTATTGATCATACCTCTCCACTCTCCCAACACCTTTCGAACATCAGTTTCCAGCGCCATTTCGTTGTACCTTCGAATTGAAGATCCAGCAGAGTGCGCATTCCCTTTCGCATTGTCGTTGGACGATTGAGATCCACCCTGTTTTCGTCGAGTCGTATATCTGTGGAACGTCTTGTGTGCCAATACCACGGCATGACGTTCTTCAACGCCACCAGCGCCTTTTCGAATTTCAGGTACAAGAGAAACAATCATGGCTGCAAAATGTCCGCCACCGATCATGCAGAGGAAAAAGTGCGGATCTTGCTGTCTTGGTATGGCCTTAGCCCCTCCGCTTTGTTTGGCCATTGTGGGTTTCAGCTGCTTCCGCCGAAGAATGTCAACCGTGGTCGACGACGCATCTTCTTGTTCGGCATTGGACAAGATCGCTTTGTAAACCCCAAGCCCAATATTCTCGCCCAGCTTGGGGCTGGAAAGCCAGATCATCGGCGCATTGCCTGGCCCTACCTTTCCGGGCTTGTGGTCAACATCTTCCAACCCGCTTGAGTGTAGATTCGCTTGCTTCTTCAAAAGTGCACTCAGTATGCTATCGCCAGGTGTGTTCTGAGCCTCTTCATCTTCCTCCGAATCCTCGGTATCCGATCCAGATATTGACTCGTCCAAATCTCCGATCAACTTGACGAATGTCGCTTCATCGACGCAAGGTAATTCTTTAAGGCTTAGTTTGAGGTTATATTTGTGGAAATCGGATCGGACATGTTGTCTCTGGTCTTGCACATTTGTGAAGCTAACTCTGCATAGGGCACATGAGGTCGAGCCTACGGCAGACTCGCCTTTGGTGACTTCCTGGCCTGGCTGAGAATTCTCCTCGGCGGAAGATGACGTCGAATGGTGTTCAACAAGAGTGAGGCTTTGGAGGAGTTCTATTGGTAGGTCGTAGACTGGGAAACTGATCAGCGGATGCCTAATTGAAGGACACTCGATAAGTCTGAACATACCGTAGAGTGGCCGTTTGAGTAGAGGATTGGCCTCACTGATGGGATCCACCATTCTGAGTATGAGCTGAGGCAGGATACTAGCACTAGTCAGATGTGACTATCATGCCGGATAATACTGGCCCATGCAATCGTGTGCAATTGCTGTGTAGTACAATTAGAATATTGCCGTCGCAGGAATATCTGAATAATGACTACGAGTTTGGAAGTTTGGAAGTTTGGAAGGTACGTCATTGGAGATCATGTGATTTGGCGTGTTCCTGCCTGCTTCACCTCGCGTTGGGCGCGTTTTGCCGCCTTGCGCTTTCTTCTTTTCGGGGATCGACAGGGGCTGCTGCCTCCAAAATCCTCAAAATACTCAAGACTCGTATCACCTTGTCCGCCCTTAAAAGATGCTCAAGAGTCTCTCGTTTCTTTTTCGCAGTCAAATCTCGCTCTGGGTGATGACATAAGTCAGATCTGCACTGACCACTAACTTTTAGAAACATGCCACGAGTCAAACAGCCTGCAAAGGCACGGAGCCGAACTCTAGATAGCGTTGCTGTCACTTTTGCCTCTTTTTCTCCATCTCATCATCCGAACTTTGATGGCAAAACCCTAGCCCAATTGAAGGCTGACATCACTTCTTGCGGTGGATCTTATGTCACAAAGCTTGATACGGCAACACATCTGATTGTCTCTGAATCTCAATATGTGAAACGGATCAGCAAGGTCAAAGAAGCCCTTGAAGATCATTCCTCGGTCACCATAGTTTCCTATGACTGGCTAGCTGATTCGTTGGCCTCTAACACCCCGGTTTCTGCCGCCAATTATCTTCTGGAACAATCCAATACTGCCGCCAACGGCGCCAACGGCACCAACGGTCATGCCGCATCACCAGCTTCGGACGTCAAGCAGGACTCTAGCAAGGCCAGCAAGGCTAGCAAGCGCAAACACGAGGCTGATGATGGCGATGACGACAAAAAGAAACGTAACAAGCCTTCTGCCAACAAATCAAAGTCGACTGTAAAGGCTCCGCCTGTCACTGTGGTCCCAGTTGACGATCAGGTCCCGGACTCTGCAGAGTATACTGTTTATGTGGATGACACAGGACTCCCATGGGACGCAACACTAAACCAATCCAATGCCGGGAAAAACAACAACAAGTTCTACAGGCTTCAGGTGCTCGCCCACAAATCTGGCTCATACCATTGTTGGACACGTTGGGGCCGGGTCGGCGAACGTGGGCAAAATAAGGTGGCCAAAAGTTTGGCTGTGGATCCAATCATTGCCGAGTTCAAGAAAAAGTTCAAAGACAAGAATGGCAACGCTTGGGAAAACCGAGACGGGCCTGTCAAGAACGGAAAATACGTCTTGATTGAGATTAACTACAACGAATCTGATGACGATGAACCTTCTACTCGAAAACAATCGAGCAAAACCAAGAAAGAAGAATCCGAAGAGGAAGAGGAAGAAGGTCCTCCTGTCGAGAGCAAACTGGCTGTCCCGGTGCAAAAGTTGATGGAACTGATCTTTAACACAGATCTGTTCAACGCTACCATGAATTCGCTTGATTATGACGCGACTAGGATGCCCTTGGGAAAGCTCAGCAAAAAGACGCTCTTGAAAGGCTACGAAGTTCTCAAAGAATTGGCCGCTTTAATCGGTGATAGTGCGTCAGCAAGTCTGACAGCTACTAACTACGCCGCTGCAGTTGAACAGCGCAGCAATCTGTATTTCTCGCTTGTTCCTCATGTGGTTGGCCGGAATGCGCTCCCTATTCTCCGAGATATGAGACTCATCAAGGTACTATAGTTTGATGAGATGGAAAGGAAATGTGAATGCTAATCTTGCGCGCAGAAAGAGATCGAGCTCCTGGAGACACTGACGGACATGCAGCTTGCAAATGAGATCATGAAAGCCGCCAAAGGAGCCAAGGTAAATCGAGACCCGGTTCATATCCTCGACAGACAATTCCATGGCCTTGGTCTAAAAGCCATGACTCCTCTCAGCCCTTCCAGCAAGGAATTCAAAGAGATTGAGACTTATTTGAGCAAGTCATCTGGTCATACGCACTCGATCACATACGAGGTTGAGGATATCTTTCGCATCGAGCGTACCGGCGAGGATGACCGCTTCCAGAATTCCGAGTATGCCAAGTTGGGTGCGAAGAGCGATCGCCGTTTGCTTTGGCATGGCTCGCGTTGTACCAACTTTGGAGGAATTCTGAGCCAAGGCTTGCGCATTGCACCTCCAGAAGCCCCAGTCTCAGGCTACATGTTTGGCAAAGGTGTCTATCTTGCCGACATGAGCACAAAGAGTGCGGGCTACTGTGCTTCTTATGTCAGTGGCGGTACAGGTCTCCTATTGCTATGCGAAGCTGAGCTTGGAAAACCTCCTCTCAAGTTGACCAATGCCGATTACGATGCAGGAAAGCGTGCCAAAGAGAACAATTTAATCTCCACTTTGGGAGTAGGTGCAACGGCTCCTCAAGCATGGAAAGACGCCGGGTGTATTCACAAGGATCTGAAAGGAGTTCAAATGCCTGATGTGACGAAGAAACCACCTGGTGCAACCAACGAGGCCAACGCTTATCTGATGTATAACGAGTACATTGTGTACGATGTTGCTCAGATCAAGCTGAGGTATCTTTTACGAGTGAAGATGTGAAGTGATGCAGCTTTCGTAGCTGACTTCGTAGCTGACTTCACAAGAAGGACATAACGAGGATATTTTAGACTCTCAGGCATCATCACAAAATAACCCCGTGTCATCTAGGCACACCATGGAAGCACATGCTCTAACAACATCTGGCACATTTGCTGAAACAAGTATTGCCACATGTGGTTGACATCACCAAAGCTTGCATTCTCCACATCAGAAGTATTTGCTCCATGACTATTGTACTGGTCAAAACCCACAATATCTCACCATGCCTGCGCCTGATATGACTGATCGAACTGCTGATTAGCATTTTATCGAAGAGGCTGGTCATTGCATCTGATGCTTGAAAGTTTTACAGTTCCCAATGAAAGGAAAAAGATTTCAAAAAGGTCTCACTTTTTGCTTGTTTTGAACCTATCCGAGTATGTAATTGTACATTTTCTTTGTCATGAGTTTCGTTTTTCAATGCAGGAAATTCTTTCCCCTTCCGCCATTCCATGCATTTTCCAAGTCTGGCAGTCTAATTTCCTTTTCCTGGTCTCCCAAATGGACCTGTCCTTGCCGTCCGTTTTTGTTTTTGAGCACTCCTGTGCATAATCCAACTTCTACTTGAAACATTGCCCCGATGGTCGCGGTCACGGTCACGAGAGCCGTGTGTCGGAATGCTTTTTGCCTTCCAAGCAGCACCCTACCCTACCAAATCGCAGAACCAACCAAGATGAATCAATCCTCCTAGCGCTTATGGATCTGTTGACCTGCATGTCCAAAGCCAGCAGGGACACCAGCAGGTCCGTTTCCAATGGGAGGTGAAACCACGACAATAGCTCCACCACCATTCCTTCCATTTCCATTGCCGCTACGTTCATTGCCACGACCGTTGCCGTTGCCGTTGCCGTTGCCTCTGCCGCCGGCGCCGCCTCCTGGACCACGCTCAGCACCTCGTCCAATACCCTGATCATGGCCAGGAGCTTGAGCCGGAGGTGGAGGTGGAGGAACTTCGCCTGCTACCTCTGGAGGCGGAGGAGGAAGAGCAGGACAAACTTGTCCTGCCTCAAGCGTGATACCCTGAGCAGCAAAAGCAGCTTCGACATCAGCGATACCAACCGCGCAAGCAGCAGCGATGGCAGCAACCGTAGCATTAGAATTCAAGAGAACAGGCTCGACACCCAAGGTTTGCACTGCAGCTGCTGCTTCAACTGCCGTGGCGAGTGTTGCCGTGGTTTCGAGAGCTGCGGTGGCTAGTAATGTGTCAGTGGCTGTTGTTTCGACAGAGGCGGTTGTTAATGCTGTGTTGACCGCTAGGGTATCGACGGCAGTTGCTGAGACTGTGTCAACCGCAGCGGTCTCTGTAACGTCGGTGACGGCGACGGCGACGCCTTCGGCGGTGGCAGTGGCAGTTGCGATGGTGGCTACGACAGCAGTATCTGTCACTAGGGCGGTCACGTCGACATTCTCCACTTCAGCGGCAGCACCAGCGCCAGCGCCAGCACCAGCAGCGAGAACTCCAATGGCTGCTTCGACTGCACGAAGAACACATTGCTCGGCCTCTGCGCCAACAGCTGCTGCTGCTGTAGCGACGTTGTCAACGGCGGTGGCGGTGGCGGTGGCGATGTCAACAGATTCTGTGGCCGTAGCGAGGGCAAGATCGTCAGTGGTGAGTGCGACAGTGGTTTCAGTGGCAATAGTGACGCCAGTCTCAGTGCCTTCAACCTGTCTCTTAGCCCTGAACCCCCCATATCTCTCACCACTGGGTGGTGGCACGACATAGGCCGAGACAACTGGTGCAAGCAAGCTGGGGATCAGCATAAATGTGCCCATTGCCAATGGTTGTACGCCATGGCTCCTTGGAGTGCCAGACCAGGCCAAGGCACTCGACATGGCCAGAGGTGAAAGAAGACTGAGGTGAAGGAACCGGCCCATGATGTGAGATGTCTAGTATGTGTAAGTGATCGTGTACGGAGACCTGTCCGTGTCGCGTTTTGTTGATGGGTAAAAAACAAGAAGCGAAAAGCAGGGAACAGCCGGGTTCCGTATGGTGATTGAGTATCTCTGTGGTATAACCAAAAGATAACCGAAGGAATGGAATCTTTGACGAAATGAAAAGGAACAACGCAGGACCAGCCGCGAGTGAGTGAATGAGATAGAAGAGATACCGGGTGCGAGCAATGCCGTGGAAGTTGAACCATTCGTTTCATCGAGGACTAAAGCGAGCATCTATATGTATGTGCTTCGAGAATTCGAGAACTCACCAACTCACTCACCATCTCCTTACCAAAAGGGCGATCTGCATCTCATTCCAAATTGACTTGTTTCTACCTCGGTCAGGTCCAAGAGGTTGAGACGCATCTTGCCCGATATTTGTGATTTGAGTTTCGCCTTGCAATTGACTCTTTGGGACGATTTTCAGAATTTTCCAGCAAGATCTGTCGATTCAGAGACGAACATCCACACATCCCAGCATCAAGCGATTCAAGCGGCCTCAAGCGACTTGTTTTCGTAATGGGATTAAGCATTCGTCTCCACTGTTGCGACCGCAGCAACGTGTGACATGCACGGGTATGGAACACGTGGGTACGGTCATCAGTTGGAGTTTTGTTGTCTTTCTACCAGAAAGTCAAGGATGGCCTTGTTTGTTGAAGTCGGAATTTCTGGTACCGAGACGGATTGTGTATGAGCCACCTGGAGTCCAACGAGGCTCAGATGTTACAAGATGTTTAGCTTCATCTTGTTGGTTCTCGACATGGTTGGGACAAGGTTGGGGCCCCTCTTGACTTGAAACCCGCCTTGGCATCAATGTGAATGTGGGTTGGATTCTGGAACCTGGATGACTACAATACGGAGGAACTGTATATGGAAGACCTCCTTGACTCTGCATTCTTTACGGATATGTACACATGCGTACTTGTATGAACACAATGATGTAGAGCTGGGTTTTGAAACCTGGAGAATTGATAGTGTGTCACAGGATGACCAGTCTGGATGTCAAAATTGGCATTGGTCGTTAAAAAACTTGTTCATGTTCGGGTATCTGGAGTCTCGCTAATTGTTATACAAAGTCATGTTGGCCCATTAATTTCCAGTACTTGTTCAAATGTTGTACTGTTGTTCATTCGTTTAATCTCCACCGAGTCTGCGTCCCGCGCCTCTGCCGCTCCAACTATTGGTGAAGCCACTTGTCCATCCACGACTCTGTTGTTGTGCCGCGGGCTGGCCGGCTCGAAAACTTGTGCCGTATGGCTTACGAGTGAATGCACTTTGATCTGCGCCGAAAAAGCGTCTCACGGCCGCCGGTGTCTGGATAAAATTACGACCACCCTGAAAGGTAGGGTACAGTCGGGTGAGGAAATCATAAAGATGTGCAGCAACAACTCCGGTCACTTGTTGCAAGGCTGCACCAGGACCACCCATGATCAGGGTCAGAGTCAACATTGCCCATGGAAGGAGTTCCACGGGAATTTGGAAGATGACGAAATGCGCCTTCCTTCCCCGATTGTCCTGGGCATATGTGTATATGATCGCCAGCATGAATGCTTGTGTGAAGATGTATGAGCTGAGGAAAAGGCCTGCCGTTAACTGTATTTCTGGTCAGCCAGATCAACTCCACAACAGCTTCATTGCGTGGTGATGGGGTTGATAAATGATGTAGGGAGCTCCAACCGCAGAACGTAAATAAGATGGTTACGTCAAGCTTTTCTCAATTGAGCTGCCACCATGCCTGAACCACAATACAGTCCTTTGACAGATTTGCGAATGACGGAGCTGTATGCGCAACAGGGGTAATCTTCCTCAGTTCCAGGAACCGCTTCAGCTAGAAAAGGCTGGGCGGGCAGATATGCGAGGTGTTTAGGGGTTGGGGAGGGGAAAGATTCAAATATGTAGACGGTAAAGCGACCACAGAAGAGACTTACCCAGACAACAGTTGCAATGAAAACAATATAAATGAAGAAATCCCCAGGTTGAGTAAAACTGGGTGAGTTGAGCTCCAAGCCCGATGCATAAGTAAACACTGGATAGATGTCAACAGTGCTCTCTGCACACAAGTTGTGCTGGACTTACTAAAGTACAGGTCAAAAACGAAAGAGAAACCGGATCCGGTGAGTAGAAAGGGTGTGAGAAGTCGCCAGAGATGAGGAGGGAATTGGTACAGAAACGGTGTGAAATGGACAATATAAGATGGATCGAGAAGACCTCCATGAACAAGAGCCGACTCTGCAAACATTGCAGCAACAATCGTTCTGTAGTTAGATTTGTTAGTAAATTGACGAGTAATACAAGCTCTGCAGTGTAGGTGTAGACCAACCTCGTGACAGGAGGAGCACTCCAGAATTTCTCCATGATATCTGCCATCTTGTTTCTCTCACAGTCACCTTCGTGACCTGACCAGTACAGACTCACAAGATAGATATGTGAAGACAAATGCTGGTGGCTGATGGCTGATGCCAAAAGCAACAGAATGAGAACACGCTGGCTTTGACAAAGAAATGATCTTCTGACGAGAATTGGAGAAATTGCAGAAATAATGATGCCAAGAGTTGAATCCCACTAATCCTCAAAGGGTTAGCGTTCAGAGGCAGAAATCGTACCTCACTCCGCACCGAGACTCGCCCAGTCAAGAACTTTTTCTTACTCCTCTCTCCATCCATTCGCGAAATACATACTGCCATTTCATCCTGTGGAAAAATCCATTTTTCCTACCCCATATTACCTCTCTGTATCTCTTACGGTCGTCGAGGCTGAGGTGCCCTCAAGTCAGCAGCTTTTCTGTCGCCAGAGTCGTATTTTCCCTGGTCATCTTTATTCAGCACCCGTCTCCGCAGCATCTCTTGCTGTCACGTTGGCCAAAATGGGCAAGGTCGAGGTGCAAGAGGTTGACTACAGCATCAAGCCAGAAAATGTCACTCCTCAGATCCCAACATCGGAATGGCCTTTATTGCTGAAGAACTATGAGAAATGTGAGTGCGACGCAAGCGAGCAGTCTGGGCTTTGCCATGGAACCAACTGCATAAAATACTAACACAATCTTCCACTCCAGTGTTGATCCGAACTGGCCATTTCACACCCATTCCCGTTGGCTGCACGCCGCTGAAACGCGACCTCAAATCCTACATTTCCTCGGGTGTGATCAATCTCGACAAGCCCTCGAATCCCTCCAGCCACGAAGTCGTTGCATGGGTGAAGCGAATCCTGCGAGTCGAAAAGACCGGTCACAGCGGTACGCTCGATCCCAAAGTGACGGGATGTCTGATCGTGTGCATCGATAGAGCCACTCGCTTGGTCAAGTCACAACAGGGAGCAGGAAAAGAATACGTCTGTGTGGTGCGACTACACGACAAACTCCCCGGTGGTGAAGCGCAATTTGCGCGAGCCTTGGAAACCCTGACTGGTGCTTTGTTCCAACGTCCTCCCCTCATCTCGGCCGTCAAGCGACAACTGCGTATTCGAACGATCCACGAGAGCAAGCTCTACGAATTCGACAATGATCGACATCTCGGTGTGTTCTGGGTGAGCTGCGAGGCCGGAACTTATATCAGAACGCTTTGCGTACACCTGGGGTTGCTTCTGGGTGTGGGTGGCCACATGCAGGAATTGCGCAGAGTGCGGTCTGGGGCTATGGATGAGACCAAGGGCATGGTCACATTACACGATGTTCTGGATGCACAGTGGAGCTATGACAACAACCGAGACGAGGCATATCTGCGCAAGGTGATCTCGCCGTTGGAGACTCTCTTGACCACATACAAGAGAATAGTGGTCAAGGACAGCGCAGTCAACGCCGTCTGCTATGGTGCCAAACTCATGATCCCTGGTCTGTTGCGGTTCGAAGCCGGCATTGAAGTACACGAGGAGGTCGTTCTCATGACGACTAAGGGCGAAGCTATTGCTCTAGGTATTGCTCAAATGTCGACTGTGGAGCTGTCGACATGCGATCATGGCGTCGTAGCCAAGGTCAAGCGATGTATCATGGAGCGTGATCTCTACCCGCGAAGATGGGGCATGGGACCAGTCGCCGTGGAGAAGAAGAAGATGAAGTCTGACGGCAAACTTGACGTGAGTTACCACATCCGTCGTGTGACAACTTGATGAGCATTACTGACAAAGGGCAGAAATATGGACGACCAAACGAAGCGACCCCTGCCAACTGGACCGCCTCATACACCGATTACAACGCACCTGAAGGAGCTTCTGCTGCCGCGCCTGTCAAAGAAACCACCTCACAGTCCGATGTGCTTTCTGCACCACCTGTTGCACCCAATGGCGAGACGGATGTGATCACCGCGACCACCGCCGTGAATGGTGAAAATGACAAGAAGCGAAAGAGCAAACATGACGGTGAGACGGCAGAAGAGAAGGCTGAGCGCAAGCGGAGGAAGAAGGAAAAGAAGGAGAAGAAGGAGAAGCGAAAGAGCAAGGGTGGAGACAGCGATGATAGCGACTAGATGTGAAAGCGCTATTTCTCGAAGGTTTGGCAGTCGATGACTATGGCCAACACCTAAAAAATCCTGGAAATCTCCACCCACGACCGAACGACTCAGGCTATCGGATCTCGTTCATCAGTATCTGGCGTTCACAGGAGTGAAGGCAGCTTCAAGCGCATGTTCGATCAAGGGCTTGGGCTAGGGCTAGGGCGGGAGGTTGGGAGGGCCTGGCGGGTTCTCGAATCATTTCCATCACCAATGTCGCAAGTACCATGAAAATTTGATTGTATCTGCAAATTCTGAACGTGTACAGCGCGGTTTCGGTCCGGTGAGGTAATGGTCGTTCGTTTGACGAGCTGATGGCGGTCTGGAGAGTATCTAGATAATATCCGAATACAATCAATGTCATGCAGAAGAGTCTTACCAATGTGATGAAATCTGTTGACGGCAGTCATGCATCTCGAAACCCGGTAGGATTGTAACACTCAAAGAGAGATCGAATGGTCTGTCTGACCTCAGCGCTGATTTGTCTGTCTCGGAACTGAAGCTGATACCATCAGGTTCGACGTGTGGGCATGCACGTGGCATGTCACAAGCGCTGATCAGGTTGCCTTTTATAGTTAAGGGTTGCCAGAACTGCCGGCCTCAACGACGAACAACAACATTCTTACCATGTGTGTAATGGTCGCAGACAGATCAGAGAGTAGCTCTGGGCACTACAGACATGGTCCGTTGGTAAGGTTAGCTCTGCCGTACCTGTAGGCCTGGTCCGCCAATAGGCACCATAATCCGATAGTCAGGAACCTGTCGAAGTATTATAGAATTGGGATGTGGTTGCGATTGCCGATCGGCAGCACTTCTGGGTGGAATGTCACAATGTGAGTTTGGTATGTTCGCTTATTCAAGCCTCATTCGTCATTGGAGGCCCTGATCGACTCTGTGGGTGACAAAGTCTGGAGATGTGACCTTGGATATGAATCATAGGCCTGCACGACCTGGTGGTGATGGTGTCTTGGAACCAAGGATACAGATGATTCGGATCCGAACTGACCATATGGACATGACATCGAGTCGAGAAATGTGTGCAGTGTGTATTATATCTCCTTCTTCCAACCGGTTCGAATGCACAGTATGTGGTAGTGGGATCGACTGCTCGGAAGTATCACCCGACTGGATCAGCTCGACTAGCCAATAAGAGTAAGAATGAGCCGCATCTGCATGAGGAATCGGGGCCCATATGTCATGCTCGTGGTATCAGATGGCTAGCATCTGCCGAAAACTGGGTGTTCAGAGGACTCAGTTGACTACCAATCCCCGGATGAATACCCGATACTGAGATAGTCAGTGTCAACCACATTATCGATCTATGGATTGGCGTGTAGATCTTCCCTTAGAATTTTAGTCAGGGAGCCACGGAGTTCACTCGTAACCTGGCGCGTAACCAGATATTCAAATCTAGGGTTAGGCACGGCAAGCACGGAGGGAACACGGGGACTTGAGACTGCACCGAGGATTCTCCCGAAGTGTCGATCAGGGAGAATGCTGTGATATACAGTGCAGTATGTACGTAAGTTTGACAAGCATGAGAAAGTTCTCCAAGGGATCGTCCCGTGAGCAACAAGGTTTCGAAGGCTGGTATTGGACTCGGTAGAACATCAAGCCAGTAATTGCAGATATGGGGAGGGAGTCGGCAACTGCAAAGGGAAGACGGACGTGGTACTCACAGGAGGATTGTATGTCGTCAAAGGGAAAAGGGACGATATGGGCAAAGGTGAGGGAGATGGTGAACATGTTATTTCAGGCAACCGACCAGTTGGCCAGTTCCATGCAGACAACAAGAAAAAGGTCTGGCCCAATGGTTGAGGTTGACGTACAGAGACACGAGAGAGAGAGAGAGAGAGAGAGAGAGAGAGCAGGATGTTGTGCTGATGGGTCTTTCCAAATGACCTGTCGTGCAGTCGTGCCTGCCATTCCTATGTAGATTTATCAAGGCTTGCGTGAAGAATGACGACAAAATCAGGCATCCGTGTACCTTGCAGTATCCGTGCTTGCCTCGGGTGCTTAGGCATCAACACATAGGCGCCAAGTGTCTGGTAACTTAACCGGCTAAGCTCTTGTGACCCAATTGGGTGCCTGTAGGTATGCGTATGAAGTGATTAGCTGCAAAACCTACTTTACCTAAGGTAGGTACGATTGCTCGCGACGCCCTCCGGCTTGAGGTACCGTAGCACCATGGCTACCCAACGGCTACTAAGTAGAGAGGTCTACCGCCGGAAAATCATGCCCCATTACTACCACTGGATATGTTTGTGATTCCATCCTGGTCTTATCAATGGCGGTCACACTGATCTATGTAACCACACACAAATACAGGTCTGGTCGGTCGTCGGTCGTCAATAGTGTTCACTCAAGGGCCTCCTTGGTAGAGTTTGTTCGAGACGCATGGAGATGTGCGGTCTCTTTCCTCGGTGGATCTTAAGCGGCGAGCACTCAATGGTGTCCCATTGCCGGGGGTCAGGAGCATGTTCCGCGCGTCGGGGAAGTGGGCATAGGGGCCAAAGGCCCACGAGTAGGGCCTAGTGAGCTATCGAGGTCCACCAAGTCTACCCTACAATGGAAGGCGATGACCGCCTGAAGGCCCTAGAGGTCTCGTGTACGCGTACCTATCACCCGGCTCCGGCGCCCATGGCGTTCAAAGGTGCAAGGTACCGTGTGGGTTGGGCCAAACTCTCGGGGCCTCTAAGAAACCTAGCCGCCGCCTAATCCGCTTATTGGCTTCTGATGGCCTTCAGTATGGCCCTTGGGCCTGAATAGGTAAGTAGTACCTAGCGTACTCATAGCTTATAGGTACATTCGTCCTTATATCCTGTATGAAGTACCTTGGTAGATAGGTACCTATGCATGTACCAGGCCTCAAGAGTCGTCAACTTGTGAACGCCGCTGACCTGTGCCCGGCCCTTAGATTCCCCAATGACAAAACACCAAGTCCGTCTCAGCTCGTATTCCAACTTGACAGTCACAGCGGCATCCACCTTGAACCTAGAGAAAGTTGAAAATTCTCAAGCTCGTGGTCGACCAGGGTTCCAAGCAACCAAACCAGGATGATAGAGTTCCAGGGACCATAGCCAATTGATAACCTAGTCACGGTAAGCTCCATTCATGAAAATGGATCAACATTGGACATAGTTGATCAACGAATGCATTACCCAATAATGCAGTCCTAATCGAGCACTTGGTCGTGTCGGTTCTCAACTGCCAACACTGACACGACTGTACTGTCCTTTTTTTCTTAATAACATGTGGATGCAGTGCCATGCCATGCCAGTCTAGACCAGTCAGATTAATGGAATCTGATCTCCCATTCGCCCTGATGAAATCGGGGGATCATTTGTTGATCCCAATGTCGTCGGTCATTGAAGTCCAGCATGATGTGTGCTAGCTCTCCCACTACCACCTCCTGGCGTCAGAACTAATCCATCGAACTAAACCCCATACCCACAAACCCAGAACTGAAACGGCCGGAATAGACCGTACACTACTTACCGTGTGCACAAGAAATCCCAAAGTGCGGACAAGCGAGGGAAGTGAAAAATTCCCAGTTGGCCCGGTCGGGCCCTTTTCCCACCAGACCAGGAGACAGACCCAATTCACAAGTTACTGATGGACTCGTAGTCAATTCATGAAGCTTGCAACAAACTTGACAAAACTGACCTCACTGTTCTTGTATAAAAGCAAACGAAAACCAATAACCAAAACCCCAGCCCATACTTGCAAATCCACCTGGCAAGTACAGACAACACTAAGTAACATATCTACTGGATCGCCGCCTTCCTGTACATTTGCCATCGCATTTACCCATCTTACCCTCACCCTTGTCCTTGCCATCCATCACATCCACTCATCCACTCATCCACTCATCCACCTGTTCAGCTACCAACCACCGACCTACTAAGCTAGAAAGCACCAGAAAACTTCACTCAATATCAACTACCATCCAACGACCTCATTGCCACCGAGTTCAGGCCTCGAATTACCTCACCTCTGACAACCCCCAAACTCTCAATCCCAATTCTAATTCTCAGTGGATCCCCACAACCACGACACACACATACGACACACACATACGACACACAAACCAGCTGAAATCAATTAACCGTCTCATTCAAATTTGTGACGTCTCTGTGTCTTTCCTTACGACCCAACACAACGGTCTTTTTTTCAACATCACATCGTCTGACCACAGGACTGGACCAAAACCCCTCGTCGGTCACGCGATCTAGGCCTGAGCGGCCCAATCCCTATCCATTCTCCCTTCTCTTGCCTAATATCGTCACCTATAAGCACCGCCTCAACTTCGTTCTAAGCATATTGCTGTTGTTGGCTTTTGGTTTCAGAATTCAATCTCACCCTCATTCTATCGTCAGTCGATTCTATGAGGATTGAGATCGAGCCACGCATGGGAAACTAAGAGAAATTCGGTTCTGACTTGCCACATCCCACGACTATTTTCTCAACGCCCAATTCTCTCCTTCCTCGATTCATACCTACGATTTTTTTTCGAAACGAACGCATATTGTCTCCACATAACGCCTTTGGAGATGTAGGCTGCTGCAGTGGCAAGCTGATTTTGTTTTTCTCCCACCTCATCTCATCCTAAACTATCCTCCGGTCCGGCTCACGGCTACGACTTGCTTGTTTCGTTGGTTAGGTGTACCAGTCACTACACCAGCACATCACAGAGAGTGTGCGAGAGGGACGGCCCATTTGGTGCTGTTGAGGGGGGCTTTGAAACGAGTTGAAGGGTCGCAAGGGATTCGAGAAATGAGTTTTCAACCCAGGTAGGTTCACTCCCGAGATACATGCATGGCAGGATATTGGCAGTGTTGCCGATGGGTTGGAACGTGGGATTATCGTCATATAGCGAGGATCTTGAAGCTGATTCGAATGCGCGTCCAGGAGAGAGTATCACATCGTTGTGCTCGGCGCTGGTAAGCTTCCCCCCCCCCCCCCCCCCCCTCTTGTGGTGTCCAGAAACTTCCCATGGTTTTGACCCAAAAGAATAATGGCTGACTCGACCTTTATCACACCATAGGAGGAGTCGGCAAAAGCTGTCTCACTGCACAGTTCGTGCAGAATGTCTGGATTGAGAGTTACGATCCGACCATCGAGGACTCGTATCGAAAACAGGTCAATGTAAATGGCAAGCAGATCATGTTGGAAATGTATGTATTCAAAACCAAATTCCTTCTTCATTTCATGTTACACGCAATGGAACTATATCTCTTTTCATCCAAACCACGTTCCCGTCCCTGTCCCGTCAGCTAACATTGCTTTTGTTTCACCACATTCTAGTCTAGACACGGCTGGCACCGAACAATTCACCGCCATGCGAGAACTCTACATGAGACAAGGCCACGGGTTTCTCCTTGTCTTCTCCATCTGCAACATGAACTCCTTTTACGAGCTGGCCGAGCTGCGAGAACAAATCATTCGTATCAAGGACGACGAAGATATTCCTCTAGTCGTGGTTGGCAACAAATCCGACATGGACGACGAGAGGGTCGTGTCCCGAGAACGAGCTCTGAACCAGGCACAACAATGGGGACAGAAACCCTATTTCGAGACATCAGCTCGACTGCGGCGTAATGTCGACGAAGTCTTTCACAACCTCTGCGCCCAGATCATCGCCAAAGACACCAGTCGAACTCAGATGTATGAGCAACAGCTGGCGGCTCGACGCAGGGATCGACCCAATCGACATGACCGAAGAGCTGGACGGAAGGGCCGCACTCGTGACCGATGTGTCATCTTGTAACCACTCTGTTATGATAGATATGTTGTTAGCAGAAGGCCACTGTGGCGTTTTTGGGGTGTGTTTTTGGGGGAGTGGCGTAGAAACAGCTAGACAAAAAGTACTGGATTGATGCAAGAGGCGAAAAAGGGGGAACAAGACAATACAACAGGGTACTAGACACTTACCGACTCACGTCCGTCCAGGTATGGATGCACCAATGAATTGATTTCCAAGATTGTAACACGCCCCGTTTGAGCCCCTGCTAGCCATCCTATCCATCTCTTGGTGGCGATAGGCCCCGATAGACGACGAATCAACAACCATGGTGTTGGTTTATCGAGAACAACATCAACCCATTTGCACGCCCACGCTTTCTACATGCGGAACACGCCAAACTTGGTCTTGACACTTTCCGAAGTTCCTCCAAGGGCAGCCTTCAACCCTAGACCGAGCATGTGCCGTGTCTGTGCGGGTGGGATAACACCGTCGTCCCACAGGCGGGCGCTCGAGAATGCAGCATCACTCTCACGTTCAATCCGGTCTCTTAACTCAGGATCAACCGACTTGCCAACCGTCTCCATGACGGCGGTAAGCTGATCAGCACCCATGACGCCAATCTTGGCGTTTGGCCACATCCACAGGAATCGTGGCGAGTAAGCACGACCGCACATGCCATAGTTGCCAGCTCCAGCGCTGGAGCCCACGACTACAGTAAATTTGGGTACATTTGCACACGCGACTGCGGTGACTAGCTTTGCGCCGTTCTTTGCGATACCTCCTTTTTCCGCATCGGCGCCTACCATGAAGCCGCTGATGTTTTGGAGAAAGACGAGGGGAATGTTGCGTTGGCAGCACAGTTCGATGAAGTGGGCTCCTTTGAGAGAGGATTCAGAGAACAGGATACCGTTGTTGGCAATTATTCCGACCTGGTGGCCGTAGATCTTTGCAAAGCCCGTCAGGAGGGATGAGCCGTAGTCCTTTTTGAACTCTGCAAACTCGCTACCATCGACAATGCGGGCGATGATTTCGTGCATGGGGATTTGCTTGCGGAGGTTGGTGCCGACAATGCCTGTGAGCTCTTCGGGGTCATACAGGGGTTCGCGCACTTCAAATGGGGCCGGCTGTTCCTTGGGATAGTTGAGATTGGACACTGAGCGTCGAGCAAGCACAAGGGCATGAGCGTCATCGACGGCCAGATAATCAGTGACACCAGAGACGGAGCTGTGGAGCTGTCCACCACCTAGATCCTCTGCCGAAACGACTTCACCGGTAGCTGCCTTGACTAGAGGCGGCCCTGCAAGAAAAATGGTGCCTTGTTTTTCGACAATGATTGATTCGTCACACATGGCAGGCACGTATGCGCCACCAGCAGTACAAGGCCCCATCACCACGGCGATCTGGGGAATGCCCTGAGCACTCATGTTGGCCTGGTTGTAGAAGATGCGGCCAAAGTGGTCTCTGTCCGGGAAAACATCTTTCTGGTTGGGAAGATTGGCACCGCCAGAGTCGACAAGGTAAATGCAGGGAAGTTTGTTCTGCTCGGCGATCTCCTGAGCACGCAGATGCTTTTTGATTGTCATGGGATAGTAGGTGCCGCCTTTGACGGTGGCATCGTTGGCGACAATCATACAGGTGACGCCTTCGACAGTCCCAACACCAGTAATGAGACCCGCGGCTGTGATTTCATCCTCGTACATCTCGTGGGCGGCCAATGGAGACAATTCGAGGAATTGGCTACCGGGATCTATCAAGGCAGTAATTCTGTCTCGTGCGAGCATCTTGCCTCGCTGAATATGCTTGTCTCGTGCTTTCTGTGGCCCGCCTAACTGGATTTTTTTATGCAGTTCAGAGTACTTGTTCATGATATCGGTCAATTGGGCGGCATTGTCCTTGAAATCTGGGCTGGACTTGTCGACTGCGGTGGGGAGGACCGAGATTGCCTGGGCATGTTGAGGATGTGTAAAGGTAGCAGCAAATCGGATATGCCTTGGTGAGGAATGAAGCACTGGATGACGCTGCTGGTCTCGAAGAGCTCTTCCTAGGCTCCTCAGTATAGCATTCGAGGGACTCGAGGGTGGGCGCATGATGGAGGATGATGGAGGAGGAGGGGTTCTCCTTCAATGGCAACGAAAGAGCGAAGACGAAGGAAGAAGAGAAGATCCTATGAGTGCGTCGAGGAAAAGACAAACATAAGAAATCCAGCTGCAGATATCGAGGACAATATTCAACAGCTGGAAACAACAAGGGCCGTGAATGTGACTTTGCAATGCCAGGCTCGCAGTGATTCTTTGCCTGAGATGAAGATGCACGGCCGGCAATAACCGAGTCGGGTAACCAAAACCCGGGGAAGGAGCATTTACAGCGAAGTGCAGGTGGTTGAGATGCAACACATCTCCAACACGTGATGAGTTGGAAGTGTGCCGTGTGTTCCTAGAATTCTCCCGGCCCGCTGCCGGCCCCGCGTCGTCGCCGGCCCCTCAACCCCTCATTAGCACCACAGAAGACAGGGCACAATGGGCCAATTTAACTGGACTTTGGGAGGGACCATTGGCCCGGGGCACCTAAATGAACGCCAGAGGCATCCTGAGTCATCCCCCGGGGCTCGCTTCAGGTCGAGGGGGCCACGAGGTACTTAAGAGGTCAGCGATCAGCATAGCCAGGTACCATACAGCACATGTGTGCAACGACAACCTCATCAAACAATCTATACTTGTCAGCCAAAGGCTCTCGACCTATTTATCCGTTTTCAGTCGAATTCTCTACTCAAAAGCAAATTTACAACATGATCAGAAATAAGTCTCTGATCACCAATCTCACCTTCCTGATACTCCTCCCTTTTTGGGAGGTGCCTAAAGCCTAAGACCGAGAAATTGGAATTTGCGGACTGCTGACATTCTCTCTCGTCTTTGATGAGTTCCGACAGACATGCTTATAATGCAAAATAAACAAGGTACCTAGGTATCATTGCTCTGGTAATTGAGGCCCTATAAGGCCCCTCAACAAACTCATCGGAAATGGTCGTTGGATGTACTGGACCGTCGGTTCCACCGTTTAGGTAGTCTCCGCTATCTCCGCTTCCGACGACCCTCGGCTTTGTTGCTGACTGATCCTCACTGTTACGGACCAAATTCTCCCACATTTTGTATGTGTATGAACCGCAAAGGTGGAGAAGAAGACGACATGTGTGGACGTGTCCCACTTACGATGCTGCCACAAAGAGAAGGATCGCACCATCACCACCAGCTACTTATGGGCCTGATAAACTAGTCATCTTTAACGTTCTCTTCTTATTCTCTTTGTAGTCCCATAAACCTTCCAATCGATATCGAAATTATATGAATCCAGCAACCCAGCAACATCACCATCACCATTAAAATGCCCGTCGCGACCGAATTTGCCGCTATCCCCCTCAAAGAGGGAGTGCATCCAGAAGATCCCGCTTCTCCATCATACGCGGCGTTCCAGAAAGTCTTTCAAACCATCCTGGCCCAAGATGGAGCCCGAAATTGCCTTTTTGGAAGACAGGTTGAGGATCCCACTCTCGGCCTCCTGTTCATTGACTGGGACAGCGTCGAACACCATAACAAGTTCATAGCTTCCGAGTAAGTCTTGGCTAACTAAAATTCTCTTCTTCCAACTGCTTATCGCGACGTTAGGGTCTACAAGACGTTTCTCGAGGGAATTCTACAAGACTTGGCCGGCCCCCCAGCATTGTATCATGTACATTTCGACCCACTTCCCATCGACGCCTGGACCAAGGGTGGTGCGACTGAAGTTTTCAACGCATACTTCCCTGCCGATTACAGTGAAAGTGACATTGCGACTTTCGATGCCAAGGTCAAGGAGTTCCTCAAGTCCGCGTCTGGTGTCTCTCCTGAGGTCAAGGCTGCCACTTCTGGTTGGGCCGTCGAGCACGTCGAGATCCCTGGCACACAGGAAAAAGGTCGTTTGTTCAACGGTTTGATCTCCTGGACAAGCGTCGCGGCCCACCACGCCTTCAGAGAAAGCGAGTGGTTCAAGAATAACATCCATGTCTTGAGAGGCGCAAAGGACATCAAAGGTGTCAAGGCTTATCATGTCACACCTGTTGAAATCAAGAAGAATTAATTTACAGGAACGTGCACCTACTGTAGGCTAGGTAGATATTTATCAGCACAGGACGTCCGTGGAGATCACACTTTCATGTCATGGCGACTGGCTAGAATTAAAACCCCGGCAGCCTATCGCTGGATCCATATGTTGGGCACAATACTTGTCATTGTTACTCCACAGAGATTTAGTACCCCAGTATGATAGAACGCTGTGGCATTCGATCGGCTACATAAACAGGAACAGACCAATGCTGAAAGTTGTGATTCTACTCTGACAATCCGTAAACCTGTGCGGTCCCACACTCCCGTTGGTCGAATGGAAATTGTAAACCGTCCTCTCCCCGCCCCTGGACAGGTCAGCCTCGTCTGCCTCCCCCGTTCGCTTTCTCCTGTCATCGCCACTGTTGCCAGTCATCAGCAGTCACTCGTTGGTCGATTATCCTGAGACATCATCCGGAGCTTTGTCTTAATGTTGCGTGGGCGTCCTCGTCAGACCAACCATCTGCCCGCGAGTACATTGCAGTTTGAAATTTGGGCGATCATTTTGGTGTAACAGTGGTGGCCCTGGTGTGGGTTTGGAGGCCTGCGGAATCAACAGAACTTGCTCTTGTTTCTAATTTAGCCATAATGTCTGTAAAGGGGTCAGCAAGAGGTGATGAGACAGTAACCGAGGCTGCTAACGAATAAGGCGGTACTTGTGCGTATCCAGCGTCCTCCTCTCCCTCTTGGATGTCTAGTGATTTCTCAACGTAGGCATGGTTGTGGTGTGTTCCACTCCTAGGAGAAGCCAACACCTTCAAATTCTCGATTTGAACATTTTGCTCTCGGATTTTGAGACTGCTTTGAGCCAGCTGAGCTCTGAGGGACTCGACTCTGTATGAATCAATCATAGTCTGATGGTGCATAGCCTCGAGCTCCAGCCTTGTCGCATGGAAATCTGTGGCAACTTGGCCGACTGCAGCGTACAGATTGTTCATCAGTGGGTGTGCGTTTTGAGCTCCCCACAACGGATTGCGAACAGGATCGGACCGATATAGCATTGCCTCTGGGCTTCCTGCGAAGTAGCGGATGGGTTGTCCACAGGCTGCTGACGAACTTTCACTCCCTGCAGCTTCACTTTGAATGTCTGATCTCGCCTCTCCCGTCTGGTATACGACTTGACGGTTTCCAGATGGCCCGTGATGAAAGTGATTTGGATCATGCCGGTCGTATCTGCCTTGAGAGTAGCCAGCCCAGGCACGAGACTGCTCTGGTGCTAAGCCATGACTCATGGAGTGTCGAGAACCTTCAGACACAAGCTCCCATTTTCCTGGCTGCACCTGCACAATGTGACGTCGAGAGTTATCACTGAACTCCAAGTCCGAGAAGTCAGACCATCGGCGTTGCTCTGATGACACAACAGTCTGAGTTGTTGGCCGAGGAGTATTTGCATCTGTCTCGGCATCAGAGCCTCTCGCTCGAGGTGTCTGTGTCACATCTGCTTGCCCGTGGATGAAGAGACCGGACGGCAAACCTTTGTCCACGCTTGGCCCAGCTCGATGATGGAAGACCTCTTTTGGAAGAATCCCTTCTTGGAAAGAGATCATGGTTGGATAAGGCGTGTCGTTGGTTGGTCCAGTGGTGGTCATAGTATTGACAGGTTCATCGGAGGGCTCAGATATCATCGTCACCCAATCTGAATCCACTTGGTACATTGCACAGTTATTGTTCTCCCTCCTGACCTGACCTTCGTTGAGGATGGAGGTTGAAGAAATCGATGACAGGTCAGCGAGACTTGACCCGTCCGAGTATATTGATTTAACATGCTTCAAGATCGATCCGGGTTCGGTAACAATTGTAGGTAAGTGTGCTGAAGTGTTGACTCGCAGATGGGGCTCTGTCGCGTCCATTGACTTGTACCCTGATTCCTCATCGTGTCTCGAATGCTCGACGACGGTTTGAGGCATCTGATCACTCTTGTAGACAATATCAAAGGCGCTGTTTCCAGGACTCTGGAAATCAATCGGACCGTGTGATCCTTGTCCTCGTCTCCGCCGGACCAGGTATGCAGCCTTGAGGCTGAACTTTTTGAGGGCCGACATGAGGGTCGAGGGTCGAAGAGATGAATGACCGAGTGGTAGAGTTCAACTTTGCGGGTGGTTGAGGCTTGTTTTTACTGATTTTGAAGGTTGGGAGGTTTTGGCTGTCATCAGAAGGTTAGCAGTAAGGGAACGAGTATGTATTTTGTGTTGAACAAGGCAGCCACGCTGTCCCAATAGGGGAGGCAGTGGACAATAAACAAGGACAGGGTGAAGGTTACTGGCCTCCAGTGACGATCACGGTTGGCGAGGAAGCAGCCCGTGTTGACTGTTGAGCGTGTCACGGAGAAAGTGAATACTTGTAGCCTCACCACTGCTGGTGAAGCCTCTGAGGACCGAGTAGTAGTACCTTTGTTCAAAGACTTACCAAGATGGAGAGAGCAACATGTTGCTCGGGTTGATGTTTGTGGAGGACTTGCGTCGGTGAGCTAGTATTGGATATCAATCCACTTGTCATGGGCTTGAGAAAGAGGCCGAGGGGCTCCGGTTTATATGCCCATCTTTTCGTCCTCTGCCATATAGACAATGATGTATTGTCTCTCGTCTCTCAGAAGTTTGTTCTCATTCCCTCGAAAAGGTGGAGGCGGGGCAAGCAACAGGTTCCTTCCATGGACATGAGTTGCTGCCTCCTAGTTCCTGGTGACATTGTTCCCCGGTGGGGGGGTTGATTCAAACCAGGCTGTGACACGCTCTCCAGAGAGTTGAGTCATTGCATGTCTGGTGAATGAAAGCAAAGGCAGCAGTCCATCACACGACTGAAGAGAATCTCTTAGCGGCAAATCTCCGGACTAAATTGTGCATAGATCGCTCCTTTTGGACTAGTGCAAACGCTATCTCAACACTGTCTCGACTTCAAGTTGGGGAAAGTGCAGAGTCGTGAGAGTGCAGGTGCGGCCGCAAACCAATTATTTCACTCAAATCTCCACCAAGTCAAGACACTTCCAACAAGTGACGGTGCTCACCATCTTTCATATCTTGTTCTTAGAGGGCGCTTTGGTTGCTTTTCTTCATCAAAATCATCTTCTCAAACTCCTCCGTCCTTCTCTCCCTGCCTTTGCGGCGCAGGATTCCCATAATCTCCAGAATCACGACGTTACGAATTGCTGTTCTAGACGATAACCTTACTTTTCCCACACCGCACAAACTTGTCCTCCACCCAATCCGCAGACTCTTGGTCTACAGGCCTGCCTACGATCATCGCATCCTTACGTAAACTTGTTCATCACCCACGTGTCTGGATTTGGACATAATCACTACCCCTGAAGTCTTGGTTGACTTATCTTGTCTCCGCCTAGACTTTACCACATAACCACGTCGCCAACATGTCCGGTAATGCAGGAGACCTCTTTCCCATGTCCGGTCATGTACTGATCTAGTTACAGATACCCCTCGGGTTGTCCCATTGACATGCCATGGTCATTCGAGACCTATCACGCATCTAAGCTTTTCCAATATTGTTGATGATGATCAATTCTATCTGATTTCGGCCTGCAAAGGTATGGAGTATCCTTGATCTATTTCCAAGCACTCACCTAATCATTCCAGACAACAACCCTATGCTGCGAGATGGCGTTACCGGAGATTGGTAGGTTCCCTCTCGTGGATCAAAATATCTTCCGAGTTGGCGCCCTGACTCTTGGCAATAGGATAGGAACGTTCATCGGCCATAAGGGAGCTGTGTGGTCATCGCGATTGTCTGCAGATGCCAAGTTGGCTGCTACAGGCTCAGCAGATTTCACAGCGTGAGAGGCATCCTCCCTTTCTGTCCATGACTCGGCATATTGACCTCAATCAGGAAGATCTGGGACCCACAGACTGGCGAATGCAAAGCCACTCTCTCCCACAACCACATTGTTCGCGCCGTGGCCTTTCCGCTTCAGAAGAATCCCCAGTGTGTAATCACAGGTGGCCAGGACAAGGCGCTTCGAATCTTTGACCTGAGCCGTTCTGGAATCACTTCTTCTCCGAACGCTAGTCCTGCACCCACCCCCACGTCAATCACAGCCGGCCACGAGATCGGACCAGGCGAACACATGGGCAGTATTAAATCTATAGTCTGGAACGTCGACTACAACATCGTCACCACTTCCTGCGAAGACAAAACCCTCCGCTGGTGGGATCTTCGAACTCAACGCCCAATCAACAGCTTCAAGACAGAACGAGACATCACCTCATGTGAGCTTTCCACCACTCGGGCCGACGACAGTGATCCTGGCGTCCTGAGTGTTGCAAGCGGTCACTCGTGCTTTTTCTTTGATGCCGGCCGTCCTGGCGAAATGATCAAACAGGTCAATTTTGATCATGACGTTGCAAGTGTTGCCATCCACCCTCAGTCAGGTCGTTTTGTTACTGGCGGCGGCAAGGATACATGGGTTCGTGTTTGGGATTTTGCCGAGGAAAAGGAGCTTGGTGAGTGGGATAATGATCCAAGTCAGTATGGATTCTAACGCGAGATACAGAAGTGCTCAAGGGTCACCATGGCCCTATTTGGTCGATCGCATACTCCCCTGATGGCAAGATCTATGCCACTGGAAGCGAGGATGGTACCATCAAGTTGTGGAAGGCTTGTAAGGAGCCCTATGGGCTTTGGAGATGATACACCCCGCTGGTATCTATGACACGATATTTTGACAAGTTTCATCAAATGTCAGGCTGCTACTTGCTCTGAAGAAGTACAGTGGCATTTTATGTATTGCACCCAACCTCTGCAAATATCTGTCTTGGCCAGAACAGGTCTGGTGGAAATGTTTCACACATTTGCAGAGGCACTGTGCAGGACAATGAAAAATTGATGGCCCATGAGCTATGGTGAATGCGACAAAGATTTTGTCGCAACTCCACCGACGCGACGCGACGCGACGACTGGGTGATGTGACAAGTGCATTGGAGGTGATGGATGACTCGAGGCTTTGGGCTGTCAACATGGTTATCGACCAAAGATGTTGTCGAAGGGCGTCAATCAGACGTCGCATCAAATGTCACCTTGCTGGAGCATACTCGTGAGTGCGTCAGAAAAATGGAAGTGCCATCGTCTCGAGGGTGTTTTGGAGGTATCTGGAGTCGCAAGCATGACCCTATGTGTCAGGTCAACTACATTGCTATGCTTATGTAACTGGAAAAGCCCCAGAAGTCTTCAAAACCTGCTCCCTTCTACGTACGTGGTACTAGGTCAAATTGAGATAAGACTCCTGCGGGGTGTCGATCAGACACTGTTCGAGTAAAGAGATAAAGGAACGATAGAGTAAGCCGGCCTTTTGCGAGGCTTGGGCGCCGTAGAGCCGTGAAACGCCGTGGGTGCCTCGTCCAGCATCCATGCTCCCCACAAATCCGACGGTTTGTTCATCGGGAACATGGCGTCTCGGGGAATATATGTGGGCAGGGGATGAAGTCCTTATGACGTCGCCGAATTGCTGATGTCAGGAAACGAGGAAATGAGGACTCTGTTCATTGCGGACATTTGTTGTTGAGGCTCTGAAAGAAGCTAATTAAGGCAGTGAAGCAGAGCCAGGAAAAAAAGTGCATGGGCGCAGGCGCTAATTCATAGTTTTGCAGCTCTTGGCACTTTCTTAAACAGGCATTTAATGGGTCCCTGAACTCAACAGTAGAATAAGGCAGCCCTAGGCAGCCCAAGGCACCAAAAGGACAGAATAAGAGGAGACGGCAATGACCACGGCGTGTGAACTCTGGTTACCGCATTATAGAAATCGTGTCAGGGGCACCTTCCAAGTTAGTAACGTGGGTACGAGAGAGGTACGTAGGTAACTACGGAGTAAAGGCACACTGTGTGTGGCACTGCAAATCAGTGCATCGATTCTAAGGGGCCAGATCGTCAAAGTTGAGAGTATTGTTCCATTATTGAAACAATCTACATGGCGACAATATCCCATATCGCGACGAGAGCCTCACCGGCCTCATAGAGGGCTATTTGACGTAAGACGGGTGTTGGACATGTACGGAGTAGGCCTCACGACCCCTCGGCCCCAGACGGTGATCATGATCAACCATAAATTGCTCACCACTCACTGGTTGCCGCAGCTATCATTGCGGGATAATTGGAATAGATTACTTGATTCTTTGGTTATACCACTATAGTCCCCGGTGCCATGGCCTATCAATACCGTCAACATGGTGCGAAATATACCGTATGGCCTTTTTAAGACATAATATCCCTTGTTAGTCCCCGAGAAAGGGCTATCAAGGCGTGATCAATTATTGTCAGCGTGCATGCTTCAATCAACCAGGATCTACAAGAAAATATGACGAAGAACGATGAAACAAGACAACATGGAGACAATTTCCAGAAACTTGGACGGTTTAGGAAGGCGATGACCTTTCAGTAGACAGACTCGAACATCCGGTTAACTCGGAGTTCCAACTCCATGGCACTTTGAGAGTCACATCAGGTAGCGCCAGTGGATTATTATACACCAATGACAGAGAACATGGGCTCGTGCAATATCAAATTTTGTGGCAGGGTGCATGACTACCCTAGGTACGAATATACGAGTACATGGAGGCCGGTGGACTAGCTTGGCAAGGTCTTTTGGAGTTCGAGCAAGCATCAAAGGATGCTGGACGGACACGTGGAAGCAGATTCAAAGATCAGTCCCTGCATTCTTGTTCTTCTACCAAGGATTAGAATGATTATCAAATCAATTAGAATTCGAGATCACCGGTGAAGAAAGTGAAATGGGTCATTATTGGATCGCCCTAGCAATAATGACTAAGGAATTCGTTGAGATCTCTAGGCCCCACCCAGACGACATCGGGATCACCCAATGATCCCCCGACTCCGTAGATAAAAGCATGAGAAACACAAATCACAAGAGGGGATTCTCACTAGCGGCTGCGGCTAAGTGTCTGGAGGCGTAAACTCTAGCTCCATACCTCGAGCATTCAGCCTGTCGCATTTGTGCCCAACTAGGCTGAAACTGCTTGAGAAGGGGACGGGACAGGTTGGTACTTGGACCAATGCAAGTTGAAATGGTGCTAACTGTGAAAAGCAGTCGAAGAAATCCCTGCCACCCTCTGCCCTGTCCTGTTGTTCAGGGTTCATGTTTGCATGGCCGTCGGTCAACCCGCGCAAGCATCTTTTAGGATCTCCGCAATTCGTGCTAAACTCGTCTTGGCACCTTCTCAATCCGGTAATCACGCCTTGGCACATCCCCCTCATATCTCGCATCTACCAACGCTTTCCCATAGCAATCAAGTATACGAAAACCCATAAGCCTTTGATATTTATTATTGAATCTTCAAGCTCATTAGTTTGCCTCGCGGTCACCGGCTTTTACTGGCAATCTGTTGCCAATTCTTGACGCTTGTAAAGGGTTGGTTCAATTTCCTCTTGAAGCCTGGCCCAGCGCGTACACTGCGTCACATGCCATGACACATGCACACAAGCTTCCGACTTAATAACCCGCAGCACGCCAGAACGACGTAACACCCGGGTTAAAAAGATATGCCTCCACTGAACCTGAGCCAGCACTGGCCCCCAGGACTGGATTAACCAATCCTGACGCGTTTGCATATGTATCCTTGGCCAGTTTTCCCAGGTATTCAATAGACTGGACCTTGGGACTTTGAAGCTTGGGTATTTGGGGCATTACGGATACGAGTCGTAAAATAAACTTTGCGAAACTGCAGCGACGTAAGTACACTTTACCTATCTTGGAAGGCCAGATCTCGCACGCGATTGGTTGGTTATATTTCAACGTGCGTTCGCAAGATTGGAGTCGCTTCACCATGAACCCCGCCGATGGCTTGACGGATGGCGGCTTGAGATCAGGGTGTGTTACGAGCATCGTAGCGATTCTCGAATAACGCTTGCCATTTCTACTCGGGTAGCTTCCGTCGATAAGAAAGTGTAAAAGCTTACTGTCCACCGGCCAGTATTATGTAAAGCAACGTCTTCGCTCTCAAAAGACCTCTTCGATCCTCGATCCCTATATCACCGATCCTCATTCACAGTCCACAATCATACTTGGATATCTAAGTCACAGCCTTGAACCCTAACCTTGAACATTGTCACCTGACAAAAGACTATAACTTTGTCTTGACATCCTCTTCAATACCTACAGCCAGGATTTTGATTCTAATCCTGACGGTTGGGCTCCCATACAACGACAAATCTATATACACATCGCCATGGATTACTTCTACGACCCAAACAACACGGTTCCACACCAAGCGTCAATATACGATATCCACTCATCGACGTCAAGCTCACCAAAGGTATGCTCAATCAATTCAACAACACACTCGTGACTGAACAATTTACTGATAATTCACCTCTAGCCATTTGACCACTCATTCAGCTTTGACTCTGCATCATTTCAACCAACAAGCCAGACATGGACACCTATGAACTTTGACGACTTGGGAACCTTTGACAACGACAGCCTTCCCGTTCCAGGCCCCGCCAGCTCAGTCAGCTCAGCAGACACAGAGAAAAGCACTCAAGAAGTGACTCGAAGTGTAAGTTCCGCCGCCACCCACCATTGCCACCCACCGCCACTCAATGCTCCTCTATCTACTTTCAGTCAACGATTTGAAACCATACTAACCTCCCTGTCCAGCGTCGACGCGCTCAAAACCGTGCATCACAACGCGCATTCCGCGAACGCAAGGATCGCCACCTAAAAGGACTTGAATTCCAACTCGAAGCCCTCAACGAAAAGCACCAGGATCTTATCCAGTCATATACGAAACAATCCGAAAACGTCACCAAGTTGCAAACTCGCCTCGCGGAACTCCGGGCTGAGATGAAAGCATTGAAATCCCTCAATTCATCTAGCTCGGCCGGCAGTTCCGGTTCTGGAAATGCCAATTCGTCTCGAATCAGTCCGAATGTTGGTGACAGTTTCGATGCTTTCAGTTTCACCGTCGACAGTGGATTCGACCTCGATCCAAGAGGGAGAGGCGGCGATGATGCATCGAACATGATGTGGCGAGAAGATTCGTTTTCTTCTTCCACGATGGGTGATCATGATGGCGCTGAGGATATGCGATTACCTGCATTCGAGGACCTATTGAGGATGGCTTAATGCGACCAGGCCCTGTCGCATTTTTGGATTTGGATTTTCGCTCCTTTTTCTTGGAAAAATATTCCACGTTTTCATGCATACTCATCCCATGTAATCCCAACCCATTTATACATATCATTTGGGAAGGGATTTTTCGGGCCATACAACGAAACAGCGACAGGTGTCAGGAGTTGGAGGGAGGAGGTTTGCCCATTTTATCATGAATGGATGCATCTATTGCCACCGAGGGCATCACGGTCAAGAACGGTGTATTTGAATATGGAGGCTGGCTTTCCAACGCCGGGATCCCGTCTCTACGGGGTCGGAGAATGACTATGATCATGATTGTATTTTATCATCTTATGTCTAGAATTTTGCTGGCTGTGAAACCGTCTACCTAGACCCGACAGCCACGATGCTAATCGGAATCATATTTCGAAAGTTTTCTGCTGGATTCAATACAGCGTCCGGAAGTCTCCCTGAGAAGGTGGATTTTTCCCTCGGATCCCGTATACAAGCAGCTTGAGTAGTCGTCCGTCCATGTTGCTTGATATGTGCAGATGCAGTACCGTACCTCGTGTAACAGCCACCGACCCACATCACAATTTGGCAAGCACAGCGGCAGCCCCCGAAACCTATACAAAGAAAAGAGTCAGCAAGGGCCCAGTTCCAAAACAGCCAGATATACCGGGTTGCATCAACAGAATAAGGCTAAATGCAAGAGAAAAACAACGCAGGAACCTTTCCGATTCATGTGAGGACATTAGTATGTACGGGGGGCCCGACTTGGTACGGCTTTGATACAGGTTTGCTGTAAAACTCTAATATAGCTAGCCAGGCAGCCAAATCGAGCCACCAGAAAAAGTATAGGCGGAAATCCGATCGGAGCGATCGAAACAATCGAAGAATCGATCACAAGCAAAATCGAGATTCATGGAATTCTTGGACTCACCGTGACATCTCTTCCGGGCTCCTTCTCCGCATAAGTGATTTTCCCGTTATCGATGATGAGAGCGTAGCGGGCTGTGCGGTCGCCTAAGGTCCAGCCGATTGATTTGGAGAATTTGGTCTCGGGGTCGGAAAGGAACAGCTGTCATACGCTCGCCGTTAGTTGTTGTTTTCGTCGTCTCTTTTCTCGTTCAGGAATGCTATCTTGGTAGTGATTCATGGGCTTCATTCAGTACGCCATCGCGGACTTCGATCGCTGACCCCCTCCAACGTCTTTGAACAAAAAGGGAAACCACTTGCAGAGAAGCGAACTCACGATGTCATCATTTTTGATCCCATTAGCCTTGGACCATGCACTCATGACAAAGGCGTCGTTGTACGCCAGTACTGCGACGATATCGACTTTTTTGCCTTTGATCTTTTCCAAATTCTCAATGTAACCTGGCAGGTGGCGGACTGAGCATCCTGGAGTAAAGGCCCCTGGGACTGCGAAGAGGACGACTTTCTTGTTGGCCCATTCTTTCGATGCGTTGTAGTTGATTGGGATGCCGCAAGCAGTAATGGCTTCAGATTCCGGTGTGTATGGGATGTATCTGTTTGGTGTGGTTGGATTTCGTCAGCACCCCGTCTTTGTTTATGCATCTGGAGGTCCAGTGGGATGACTTACGAGAACACCACGTCGTCCGGGAATTGATCACCTTCTTTGAGTCCAGACATTTCGGTGGGATGTGCAGCTATTCTGAGAGAGAGAAGCTTTGATTATCAGTAGTTTTGCTTTGGTCAGCTGCGTCAATGGTGGGGGTTGGATGGTGAATAAAAGAACAATTGGTTGCTTAAGAGGACAACAATGAGGTGATGGAGGGGTGCGTTGTGGGTATGCGTGCCTAGGTAAGCAGTCACCTAAGGAAGGGAAGTCACGAGAAGCTCCAACCGAGGCTCCGGTCGTATGCGGCAGAGCATTTACCCAGCGCAAGGTCAACTTACGGAGTACTCGCCAATCTGGTGGCTGGTGGCTGGTGGCTACTGGCTATTGACGTGCTTGGAGGGGTAAGTGACACAAGTGGTAGGGTAGCACTGGCAGAATAATGGGTAGGTCGTTACCTTATCTTATCAGCCGGATCTAATGGTTCTCTTGCTCCTCACAATATACTACGGAAGATCAATTGCCCATATCTGCAGACCCTTCAGCCAAGGACAAGAGACGTTGCTGCTTTTCCAGCTGCCGACTTGCTGCTTTGTTCTCGCTGACGTCAAGTTGGTTATTCCCTCAGGCACGAAAACCTTAAATGGGGAGGTTGTTCAGATGTATTTCGCTCGCTGTCTTCCAATCACCCGGAACAGCGCCGCTACAATGGAGTCCCAACCTTGTTCTCGCCTAACAAGTAAAAGAGGCAGCAGACCAGACCTTGTCGGGAAGAGATTCATGCATCCTTATGGTCGAATTGTATCCGTCGCTTTATTCTCCCGCTGGATTGGGTAATAGTATCAACCTTCTAGCGGCAAGAACCATGTTGACGAAGAAGTTCGTTACCATCAGGCATCTCAAGCGGCATGTCGGGAATTCAATCATCAGAAGAGGGGATGGATAACGATCTGTCACACGGGCAAATGAAAAGGAGCACAACCTCCAGGAGATGTATAAAAGCCATTCTCATCTTGGACCTGATGCCACAATTCTCTTCACTTGATAAATCTCAACAGCATTCTCCTTTGCTAGTGATTGAGTGAAACACTTGTCCATCTTCCAAATATCTGACAGTATCTGTCTAGTCACTCATCCTCACAATCGTGCCTCATTATGGCTTCCATCAAACCCCCATTCACCCTCGAAAGTGCGCGAGCAAAAGTCAAGTTTGCTCAAGCCATGTGGAACACACAAAATCCGGTCACGGTGTCGAACGGCTACACCCCAAATTGTATATGGAGAAATCGGACATCATTCATTCGAGGCACTGATGAAATTGTCGACCTGCTACGCCAAAAGTGGGAGAAGGAGGCCAATTACCGGCTTCGGAAGGAATTGTTTGCATTCACTGCTAACAGGATCGCCGTTCAATTCTGGTACGAATATCAAGACCGACACGACAGCATGAAATGGAAGCGGTGCTATGGGCTCGAAGACTGGACCTTTGACCATGAAACCGGGAAGATGGAGAAGAGGCACATGAGCGCCAACGAAATTCTGCTCGGCCAAGATGGAGACGGTATCGCCGTCCCTGCCAAAGGCATCGAAGGACGTTGGTTTGTGGATGGCGTCGACGTTGATGATAATAGTGTGACGGAAAAGCTTACGGCCACCCACTATTGATTTTTGGTTAGGCATTGGGGAGTGAACCAGGATTCATGATCACAGGAAGGTAACAACAGGTACTCGAGGAGCGAAGTTATGTTGCATCCATAGCCATTGTATTGACTTGTATCTTTGATTATACCAAAAAAGCCCCAAACTCCACCAGCCATCCGCCCATCAAGGTGAAGTAATGATCGTGAGTCGTAATTGCATCTTCATGTGCAATACATGCAAGGCTCATAGGCCTTACCCGGTTGCCGTTGGGGCAATTATATGTTCCAACAAAACCTGTCTCCTGTTTGTCTTGTGTCCCTTCAAAGCTCGGCATCATCCTCAATCCATTCAAAGCTTTCTTCTTCCGGGGTCTCGAGCTCCTCTACAAAAGGAGCTAGTCTGTCTTTGAATTCTTCGAGTGTCAATGAGTCGTCTGATGCACTCTGCGCACCTGGAGTCTTGGGAGGAATGAGGACATTTGACAGGACGTGAATGACGCCGTCGGCAGCAACACCATCAAGCACACTAACCCGGGTAAAGCCGTTGATCTTGACGGTGATCAGACGGCCATAACGGGCAATATCGATGCTGAGGCTCTTGCCGTGGAGGGCTGTGGGGAGATCAACATGAATTAGCCCTTTGGGCACCTTGTGGTGGGGTGGAGACGCAGCAGAATCAGCCTTGTAGATTGCATCAGAGTAGAGGGTGATGTTATCAGCTGTATGATAGAGGATCAAAGCCCTGAGGTACCTGAGCCCAAATCTGCTGAACAAGAAAGCATTGATTTTGGGACCCAGGCGTTGGAATGCAAAGTTCGAAGGAGCAAAGATGGTGCCGCCTTGGTGGCTTGAGGTGTCATTATAAGCGGCATAAAGTCCCGTTTTGGAGAGTGCAAGATCAAGTGTGCTGAACTCGCCCGGGAGGGCAGACAGGATATCAACAGCTTTGGGGGGTGGGAGTAAGATGCTGTCAATGCCGTGGATGACACCGTTGGTGCCAAAGATATCAATGGCGACAACACGGGAGTAGAAGTTGAGGTGCAAGCCAGAGAGGCCAATGCTGGTTGAGATACGTTGGGGGACTTTGCCAATAGCCTCTGCTTCAAGCTCGGTGGGAATTGTCCTCGATACAAGCACCCGGCCCGCAGGATAGAATTCGGACGAAACGTGGTATGTAAGAAGCTTCTTCAAGAACTCTTTTGGTGGCTTAGGTGCATGTTTGGGAATCTTCTCAAAAGCTCGATCGGTGGGGGCGAACAAGGTATAGTTTGCCTTTGTGCCGTTGAGTAGGTCAACAAGATCTGGAAATTCGTTGATAGCCGCTGCCAACTTGGTGGTATACTTGCTCTTGGAGATAAGCTCATAGATGGTGGCATTCGGCGGACCGTGATGAGGAGGGTGATGAGGCTTCTTGCCCTTGCCTGGTGGCTTTCGACCTGGAGGGCCATGTCCAGGAGGGCCGTGATGGGGTGGCCCATGGTGAGGAGGGCCATCCTGGACCAAGTCGAGATCGTAATCGGCTGTCTTTAGCCATTCATCTCCAGCGAAAGCGTTTTGGAAGTCTTCGCTGTATTTGACGGCGGAATCATGGAGAGACTCCGAAATGTCGGTAAGCATATGATGTGAACATTTGGACGCTTTTGTGAACTCTTCTTCCAGATCCTCCCAAAAGTTCTCGGCCTTGTGTTGAACCGAATCCCAGAAGGGGTGTTCGGGTTCTTTGGATTGTTTTTCATTGATGGCCAGAGATTCTAGCGTCTGCTGGTCTGGGATTACGAAGGCCGAAGCAGCGGCAGCCGCCGAGAGGACGGCGAGAGCTCTCATGTTGGTCGGCGCTGAAGGATGACAGGTGGGTAGAGCGGACTGAAGTGGTAAAGAGGAATCAGGTGGTGAGGGACAAAGGCGCCGCTGCGAACAATTTAATCGCAAGTTCAGGCAGACGTCAAAGAGAGTGGGAGAAAGCAGTAAGCTGCGTATTCATGCGGAGATCGGACACGGAACAGAATGAGGTGTGGAACGTGGTCGTTGACGTGCTCGCAGAGAAGACGAACCTATTAAGACGATAGGAAGTGTAGAGGATGGCGGTGGCCGACGTAAGACAGGCATGCTACTGTGGTGTGAGTGGATATGATCGTCAGCCCATTGGCTAGTACCTCACCTGGAGAACTCTCATAGTTGGAGCTTTGGGGATGTCTATCGCCCCCGGGCAACGAGACTTCGGCACTTGCAGCGCCAGGTGGGCCCAAACGGCGAGTGACAGGCCGCAAACGAGGTCAATTGGGGGCCGAGGGGCAGTCCAAGAGCCCGGGACGCCCAAAAATGCCACCAGGATGCTGGGGGGTTCTTAGTGGTTCTATCCGGGGTGACTCGGCCACTCGGTGGTCTGAGCATCCGGCCCAATAATGCACAGGAACCAGAGTGAAAGAGCTACTGCGAACCATTTGCCAGTTAATTGTGCACGCTAAGCCACCATGCCAATCCACGCCTCGGTACGACAATCGATAAAGCTCGAGCCTTCCGATAGCTTGACAGTCCATCACCCACCGTGACGTATCTTGACAGCAATATCAAACACGGGAAAATAAATAGTGTAATCAGAGGTTGGAAGGTTGATTATTCAAGAGGAGTGTGTGATCATATTGAATAAGTGGCTGGGTTGCCTCTACTTCGATTCCAAATCCAGTCTCAAAGTGTTGAACCTCGTCATCGTCGACTGCAACCCAGCTTCAATTCTAAGCTGCGGACATTGTCATGTGCTTTATGGCCGCCTGCGCTTGCATGCGGCGTGCTTGTGTCTGTGAGTCAACATATCCTGTGAGCTTGGGGAAGGGACGATGAATATGTCCTTCCCGCCTTCCTGATGATGGAATGAGGTGAGAACGAGGAACCAACTCCATTCGTGTCCTGCTGCGTCGCTTTGTCTTGATGCCATGAACCCGTCAACCTCGAGCGAACGAAGGGGTCGCTAACAAAGTCGTTCCTTTTTGGATTCTTGTACCAAGTTTTTGGTTTGAGTTCTCTTTTTGGGCTTACCTAGGAACATCTTCATCTTTCCCATGCTCACCTCAACAGCATTCGACATACACCTTCAAGCCTAGGCCGTCTGCCAAACCACTCGGAAGCGTTGATCCTACGACTCGGACTAGTCAATATCTTGGGCGGACCCAAAGATTGGTTTCTGTCTATTGTGCATGTGTAAATTGCAAGGTGGGAAACCCCGCTGCTGCAGCCACACGTGAGGTGCTGGCAGAATCACGTCGTGAACGCGACTCGACATACTTCACTCTCTGACCGAGCCAAAACAAACACACCGAAACGGAGCCATTTCTCTGTTCCTTTGCCTTTCACCGACACTTCCTGCACCTCAAGGTATGAATCCTCAAGACGTATTTCAATCGATATCTGACACAACATTGCAGGCAGGGCTTGATGCCTGTGGCCAGCAAACTTAGCTGGCAGTATGTCGGCACCTCATCGCAGCCATGATCATGATTCTTCTCTGAAGCACGTACCATCTCAAAATCAAAAGACTTCACGAAGAAGTGCCTTGACCGAAATCCAGCCTCGAGCAGCCCCCCATTCAAGAAGCTCCCGGCAAGCCCAAGTCTCCTCACACCGCCTTCCCCATCATGAATCCCTGAAGCCTGAGGGGAATTTGTCTGTCCAAGATAGAATGGTCAACAAAACTCCTGCTGTTAAGAATAAGCATCTCTCAGCCATCGCAGACGAGCTTGCCACTGAAGATAAGCGGAACTCACAAGCTTCAGATGTTTCATTCCTCACAGGCAAGTCCAAGAGAAAAACCCATGTTGGCCCTTGGCAGTTAGGAAAAACTCTTGGGAAAGGGGCAACTGGGAGAGTGCGTCTTGCCAAACATGCTGTCACTGGACAAAAGGCGGCTGTCAAGATTGTCTCCAAGAAGTCCGCTGCTCTGGTTCAAAGCGCCAGCATGGCTCGTATGGATACAAAAGACACTTCTGCCATGATTGCCGCTGGCCCACGCACCATGCCCTTTGGTATCGAGCGTGAAGTAGTCATCATGAAGTTGATCGAGCACCCCAACATTATTCGTCTCTACGACATATGGGAAAATCGGGGCGAGCTCTACTTGGTATTGGAGTACGTTAGAGGTGGTGAGCTCTTTGAATATGTCTCTGCCAATGGTGCCCTGCCTGAGCAAGAAGCCGTTCGACTTTATCGTCAAATCATCGCAGGCTTGTCATACTGCCACCGTTTCAATATTTGTCATCGAGATCTGAAGCCCGAGAATATCCTGCTTGACGAACACAGAAATATCAAGTTGGCAGACTTTGGCATGGCAGCGCTGCAGCCAGTGGGTAAATGGCTCAACACGCCTTGTGGAAGCCCACATTACGCCGCGCCAGAGATCATCAACCAGCTCAAATATCGTGGAGATCAAGCAGATGTTTGGAGTACGGGTATCATCCTGTTTGCCATGCTCAATGGATTTCTCCCCTTCGATGGAGGCAATGTATCTGCAACTCTTTCTTTGGTCAAAAAGGGCGACTACTACCTTCCCCCATCACTCAGTGTCGAAGCTTCTGACTTGATCCAGCGAATTTTGCAAAAACGCCCGGACCGCAGAATATCGACGGAAGACATCTGGACTCATCCTCTTCTCCGCAAGTATGAGAGATACCACGCAAGTCTAGCTGCCCCAGAACCTCTGGTTGGACCCGCACCTCCATTGGATATCGAAGCACAGTCTCAGCGTGTTCTAAAACGATCCGATATTGACATAGAGGTCTTACGGAATCTTTCTATTCTATGGCACGGTGAACAGGAGGCAGAATTGGTAAAGAGACTGGTCAGTAACGAGGCAAACCACGAGAAACTCTTTTACTGGGCTCTCATCAAGTTCCGTGAGGACCAGCTCGAAAACTACCAAGGTGATCCTCTTCATTACTCGGCAAGTGACTATCACCACATCGCCAAGCCTGCTCCGAAACCCGCAAGAAAGCCCACCAGAGTCCGGGGGCATCACCGTCGTACGTCTCAATTTTCCATTTTGAGTGAGGACAGTACCAGAAAGGATGGCTACTATAAACAGCCCGCCACTGCAGCGAGTAAAGGAACTCAAGGAAGTTATGACCCCTTCCGCGCTTCTCGCACCGCCCTTCAAGCTGGCTCGAACCTAGGTTCTACGCTCATCAGCGGTCGTAAAACTTCCGAGCCTTCAGTAAGTTCCGTTGGCAGTCTTCGTCAACTCACTTTGGGCCGTCTAGCCGAAGACATCCCCGAATTGCCAAGTTTTACGTCGGAAGAGTTGGAGAGGTTGCTTCAAAAGAAACGTTCGCACTCGACAGTGACCTCAAAAAGCTCCTTGTCCAGTGTGAGGCGACGCACAGGCATCAAGAAGTCAATGAGCTATAAGCGACGAGTCAGCTTCCAGCATCATCGCCATATCTCGAATTCCAACCCGCCTCCAATTCCAAAAGCACTCGAGCGAAATGCAGATGTTGACAGACCACCAACTCGGAGCACCACCAATCGAACTTCTGAAAGCCAGAGTAGCCCAAGCCTGCCGACGCCTTCTCCACCTCTTCGACCTAGGAAATGCCCCTCGGAGGCGGATGTGAAAAGACGTCGAGATTATCCTTGGAGGGACGAAACACGGACCGCAAGCGTTGAACTCGGCAAGATATGTGAAGAGGCTTTCAACAGGTCTTCTGTGTCAACCGTCAGCGACACAACTCCAATTCGACCGGCAGAATCCTCTCTGACGTCTGTCTCGATTCACAATTCCAGAGTCCCCAGCAGCATCCGTGATCGCCCACTACCTGCCACTCCAATCCTGCAAGGTTTGATTGATCGGCGCCAGAAAATCATCGATAGCTGGGGCGATGCTGATAAGACTGTGCTTGCTGACATGCTGGCGGCTGTTGACAAGCGTATTGATGCGGAATTAGAGAAACATCAGTTGTTTGAGAAGCGCGCAGCTTCAGACCCCACACCCCATCAGGGCAGAAGAATTATGTACAGCCAAGCACCATCATCGGATACTCTGCATGATCTCAAGCAGCGTCGCGAACACTCGACTCGTGCGGCATCTGATCCGATCAGACAAACCGGCACAATACGCTTAGTGACCCCGGATCCCACATCCCCGACGACGCATGTTGAACCTCTGCACATTAGGAAGAACAAGGCTGCTCCAATCAATTCCTTGAGAGGCGGCCCTTATGAGCCTACGCGTGCCGGGTACGATCATCGCCTCCATGGCGGGGCTGATCTTGATACCATTGATGAGGATCCGACATCATCGGACAAAGGTAGTCCAACCCAGATACCAATGATGCCCCGGAAGTGGTTGTGGCGTGGCAAGCGCAGCCCTCTTGGCCCTGACTCTCCTGGCTTACCGACGTCAGCAGATGATACGGCGAGCTCTGAGCAGCTAGGGTCTCAAGTTGTGCATGCTAGCGGATCTACCAATTCTTCAGGCAATACCAAAGTTCATTTCAATGACCATGACCTTGAAATGGCTCTCGAAAAGAAGAGGAGTTGGTTTCAGAAGATGTTCTCGAGGGCGACAAAGGGCAAAATGCAGCACCTCGTGCTTCCTGGTGACCATCAAATCGTGCATGGGCTGGCAGAAGACACAGATTCCAACGAAGCCAGTAGCACTGAGCCGAGCGGGAAGCTATTACCCAAAGCATATCCACCAGTCGTGAATGTCGATACCAGTGTCGGCGGAGCCACAATAGGCCCGATTGAAATCAACCAGAACTGGCTTGCCAAATTCTTTCATATCAAGCCTGCGACGCGGGTGGTTTGCTTGATGACTACTAAAGCTAAGGCCAGGAGAGAACTTGTCAAGGTTTTGAGAAGTTGGCAAAAACAGGGTTTGGAGGACATTGTTTCAGAGCGACGTGCAGAAGGAGATGTAGTGCGGGCGCGTGTCGATGTGAACAACGGTAAGATCTTGCTATCAGTTGCATGTGGTATATTTCAGACTAATCAATGATAGCTTTCAACCTCAAGGCTGTTCACTTCCACGCCTGTCTTTACACAGTTCTCGAGCATGGGCGAAAGGCCAATCTCAGTGTCATCAAGTTCACTCAGGCCAGAGGAGCAGCCAGCACGTTTACCCGAGTTGTTGATGTTGTCGAGGCCGTCTTTCAGAGAAGCAACTTACTTGTCCTGGATGAGATCCGCCGAAAGGGAATTGAGAAGTCTCTCAAGCAGGCAGGACTTTGAGGTTGGATGAATAGGTAAGTATCTGTTGGAAGTATGCTCGGCTTGAACGGCACTATTTGCCGATTCTTGTGTACATTCATTGGGATCACTGCTTGGTGCGTTACGAGGTCAGGATACAATGGCCGTCCAAAGGTGGGGACAAGTTTGGGCGTTATGCACATGGTTAGGTTTGCTAAGATAGGACTGTAGCCAGCGTGTTTGAGTCTTGTCAAAGGTAGAGCACCAGGCTAGTTACGAGAAACAAAGTCATTTTGATTGGATCAGGAATATTCCTGTGGCTTGGATTACTAGTCCTCGCTATCCTGCACCTTGTGAATCTCAAACCGGCAACATATCGCTAGAGCATGCCGCTTGACGGTCAAAACCTGCCGAGCCAGCAGAAAACTACAATCCTTGATCCGGGGGCTTTGGGGGCTGGGGACATTGTCCCGCCTGGAGAGCCCTCATGCCCCCAGAGAAACTCAGGTGGAGGGTGCTAGACTCAAGAATCCCATGTATGGCCGCGAGCCAGAACACCACAAAGGACCCTGAACTCCAGACCCCGGACCCCCGATCCAGACCACCACAAGACCATAACCCATACCCGGAACCGCAACCGGTCTACCAACCCCTGGGTTGTGTTTTCTGACACAAGGCATGGAGAGAGAGGAAGGGAAAAGGGCGGGTGAGACAAAAAAGGGCTGAGTCGAGAAGACTGTGGGTCGTCGACCGACCGACGGGAACACAGAAAAGAGACATTCACATGTTCATTGTTCCACTACTGCAACCTGCAACCTGCCACCTGCAGCCTGTAACCGCACGGACCGCGCCGGGGTATTGTGTAACATGAAGACAGTAGTTAGACATCGAAAGGATGGCATTTTGCGTGTGAGAACAAAAGGAGGGACTGGATGGATGGAAGGTACCTACCTAGTATTATTGACGAGGGTGGAAACTACCTACAGAATGGTTAATATGTACAGTTAGTACCTACCTGAATTCTCGATGGAAACCTCATCTTTCCGTTCCCCTTCTTACCCTTCTCATCCTTATCCTCATCCTCATCGTCGCTAGTGCGTAAACTTCATCTTCAAGTTTGCTGCATAGACTCCCTCGAGTGTACCACTTTATTTCAAATCTTAGCCCATGTATATATGTGCATCGATGCACACGTCCCGTCCCGGGGCGCCATTACTGTGCTGTGATCACTGTGGCGGAACAGAGAAAACTTCCTCTGGACCCTGATTGGGGCGGAACGTCAAGGGTTCTCCTTCCCTGGCGAGGACATGAACGTCTTGCTTGCATAAGTACCTGTTTCTGGTCTGGACGGCTTCATGCCCCTGCGGACGTGCATATTCGGCTTATGTAGGGCTTTGCGATTATCGACTATCGGTGAGTCGTTTTGACCTTGCGGCATAGGATCATGGTGGTTAGAGAAGCCGCTTCCTCCTTGATATGCTAGATAGGCTAACTCGTGCAGACTTCCCTTTGTACTCTGTTAATGCATGCAAAGTCCTTTACGCCCAGAACCCTGCAAGAGGGCTGAAAAGGGACAAGATGATGACATGGGTATCGACGACAAGCCGTCACCAGATCCACCCCGGACAACTAAAGCCACCACGAAGCGAGATACCAGATTGAGCAATTCTCTGCTGTTTCGATGTGCCCTTGCAACTGGACCCGACCGATTGGCCAGTTGCGCAACTTGTAGTAGCAAGTAATGACTGGATCCTAGCATTTGCAAATGTCGAGTACCGCCACATCCTGCGCATTTATTTGATTCGTGAAGACATTCCAACACAAATATGCCGCTTCCATAGTTTTCAATTTACCCATCTATCATGTTTGAGCGGAACGAGACGATTCCTCCATGGGATACAAACAGGTTCAAGGAGAGCGTTAAGGCCGTGCAGTCGTCAGGGGTCAGTCTACCACTTGATAACTTTGTTCGGGAAGAACTCGTCGATAAGTTCCATGTAGTATGGCTAGCCATCATGTTAGAAGGTCTTTTGGGGATTTTCAGTCTGCGGGCCATCTTACCTTGAGCTTTTCCACACAGGGCTTATCATCGCTTTTGCTATAAAGGTCGTAAGGGTTGAACCACTTGACAGCTTTGAGCATTTTCTCATCGTCCTCGTTCATGAATTTGCGGTAGGCCCCTTGTTGATGCCACGGATAGAAGCTGTGATATCTGATCATTGCCAGAGCCTCGGGAGGTAGAATCGATTGATCCTTGACGACGTGGTAGAGATACTCATCATGGCCCCAGGAGATCATGACGTTTTCCAAGCCGCATCCAGGATGGTAGATGCCATTTTCGGTACTGTACACGGGATTATGGACATCAGGATTGGCAGAAAAGGAATTTTTGCCATAAATGATTTTGTCGTCAAAGGCACAGCCGACGACGAAAGTGTCACCAACAACATCCCACTGGCCCTGAGCATCGAAAAAGAAGAGCAGCTTCCCAAGGTCATGGATGAGACCTGTTACTTGCATCCATCTGGGGCAGCCATCACGTCGCATGGCTTCAGCGGATTGTAGCAGGTGTTGAATCTGACTCAAGTCTGTATCGGGATCAGACTCATCGATCAGACTATCGAGGCGCTCAATGGCCTCCCAAATTGACATCTCAGCGCGTGTCTTGTAATGAAAGTCAGCGCGAGCTTTCAAGTTGTACGCGACAGTTTGCTTGGTGTGTTGTTCGAGGTAGAAGCGTTTGACTCGGTCGCTAGCAGTGTCATATTGTCTAAATTTTGTCTTGTCCTTGTCGGCGTCGAAACGGGAAGTGTGGTTTTCATCCTTGATATCCCCACGCCGAGAAGCCTGGTCAACCAGAATATCTGTACGCTCAATATCATCACATAGGGCCTCGAAGCCTGGCCCGTCACGATCTGTCCTGAAGCAGGACGGATGAGTGGCTTGTTGGACCAAAACACTGGCCATTTTGAAAAAGTGAATTGGCCAGAGGAAAGTCTAGGTGGGAAGAAGCGAAAGCTGAGAGCAAGAGGGGGTTTTGTAAACCAGGTACTCGAAATTTATGGAGCCAGGTTGAGGGAACATGGATCAAGTCCACGCGAGCTCGATTGACCAAACACAGAGGAAGGATAGACGCAAATGACGGTGAGGTCAAGAGTGAGGTGATAAGATCATGCACAATAACCCTCAGGTTCTGAAATCATGCATCGGGTTGGTGAAGGGAAAGGGAAAGATATACCAATACCAGTAAAAGTCTAGAAGCAGGAGAAAACATTGTCCCAAACCGTTGACTTACATTGCATTGTCCGGTCGACAGTTGATCATAGCGTCAATGGATTCTGTGGCCGTCGCAGATTTTTACAGGCTTCGGCATTTCATGTCAAGGACGACCTCTTCCTGGACGTCGTCATTTTTGTTGTAGAGTTGCCCTGTTTGGCTGACAAGACCCAAGATGGTATGGTGGTGCAACTTGGCTGCGGAGACTAAGCTGATCCTTGAAAGCGGGCCGAGAGTCAACACTGAATTCGGACCATGTGCTTGTGGTTAACGTTCGGAAAAGATGGGGCCGAGATTGTAATTGGGTGGATGATCGCAGCCCTGGTCAGCAGATCATCTATGGCCACCGTGATCTGGAAACAGTGGCGACAGCCATGCTATTCGAAGGACAAGAGGGAGGGCTTGGATCCGACGAACTCGACAGGTCAAAGTCGGTGAGGGTTATACAAGAATTTGACGGGCGGGAGGCGTCAAGCAGTGCATATTCTGCGTAGGACAAACTATTGGTAGGGTTAGCATTATCAACGCAGAGTACCCGGGGATATCAACGCTGTGGCAGTAGTAGATGCTGTGTAACCCATGGCGGCGTGGGAGTGGCTGGTCCATGCATGACTGACAACCGGGGGGCATTCGAGAGATGTGGAAAGGCCACACTCTTTGATCTGTGACTCGCACATTGAATTTTTTTCGACAATGTAGAACGTTCAAGACAACAAAATGGTGAGACGAAGAAACAGAGTTACAGTGGGAACCGTAAGACATCAAATGGAGCAGGTGGGGCCCCGGCGCGAATTCCTCCAAAAGGTCAGCAAGGTAATTTCTGTTCAGGAAAGAACGATCAGGGAAGACTGGAAGGAGTGGAAATCTTTACACGTGACCAGAGGTGGGCCAAAGTCTCGGAAAATCGGAGGTTCTTTCCCGTCCACTTTTTTAGTTCCGCTGCCTGCGTCTCGTTTTGGCACTCGACGCACCATGCAACATCACTGTTGATGTGACCATCTTGAATCATGTCGAATCCCCGTCCACTCATCGTCATTGTCACCGTCGGCTGCTGTCCGGACGTCGATCCACCCCATGTGCCTCGCATCTGCATCTCGGCTTAAATCGCCGTCACCACCGAGCGCCACGCATAGACCTTGCTGCAGCGGTGTGGGGGCGAAAGGACAAGATGGCCATTCCCTGCTAAGGCGAAAAGTGCCCTCAAACACCCCCACGACCCAATTGGTTCACAGCCCTGGCGTTTATGCTACACTTTGACCGTGCCGTGTATGAAATTCTGAGACCATCTCACAGATATACTCGTAGTTTTGTCTCCAGGAGAGAGAAGCACTGATTACATCGAACAGAATGACGGACATTCTATTCAAGCTCAACACGGGGTCAACCATCCCAGCGTTGGGACTGGGTAGGTCACAATAAATCACCAGAGAACCCGAATTGGCTGCTGACAAACTTGCAGGAACCTGGCAGAGCCCTGAAGGACAAGTGCGGGAAGCTGTTGCCCACGCCATCAAGGTTGGCTACCGACACATCGACTGCGCATATGTGTACGGAAACGAGAAGGAAGTCGGTGAAGGGATCCAGCAAGGTCTCGCTGCTGCAGGCATTTCGCGGTCTGATCTCTTCATCACAACCAAGCTCTGGTGCACATATCACACCCGGATCCAAGAGAATCTCGACATGTCCCTGAAATTACTTGGCCTGGACTACGTCGATTTGTATCTGATGCATTGGCCCATCGCCATGAATCCAAATGGCAACCACGAGAAATTTCCCAAACTACCTGATGGGTCAAGGGATCTAGTCAGGGAACGCTCACATGTTGACACATACAAGGGCATGGAACAGTTACTCAACACCGGTAAGGTCAAGGCCATCGGGGTTTGCAATTACTCCAAAAGATACCTCGAAGAGCTTCTGCCCAAGGTCGATGTCGTGCCCGCAGTCAATCAGATTGAGAATCATCCTCTCCTTCCCCAGCAAGAAGTCGTCGACTTTTGTAAAAACAAAGGAATTCTCATCACGGCCTACAGTCCACTAGGCAGCACCGGCAGTCCGCTTTTCAAAGACCCGCATGTCATCAAGCTGGCAGAGGACAAGGGTGTCAGTCCTGGTACCATCCTTTTGAGCTATCACATCGCACGAGGTAGTTCAGTGCTTGCAAAATCCGTCACCCCAAGTCGGATTGACCAAAACAAGAAGGTTGTGGATCTCTCTGAGTCTGATATGTTGCTTTTGGCCCAGATATCGAAGGACGGGGTAACCAGATATGTCTATCCTGAGTTTGGTGTCGATTTTGGGTTTCCAGATAAGTCATAAGGGTGGGTAGCTAGCCAACATGGAAGTTTCGAGGTATATTTCTAATGCATGGCAATACTATACCATACCCATCCACGCAAGGACATATACATATATATATTCCCTGGAGAGTATATCATGTAAACAGCAGATATAATGTTTCTAATGGCGAGATCAAGACAAACAACGGATCATGCACCCATTATCATGAAGAGGCTTCAGTTACGAAACTTTTGACTCAAGTTTACTAAAACCAAGACTCTTATATTCATCCTCCTATGGGGATCTTGCTGGCAGGTAGGCACCAATTCCAATTCATTCCAGCACAACTTGCAACCCATGAAGCCCCGTCTTCAACACCCAACTAAGGTATTATCAAGACGAGGTATCACCTACTAAACTATTTATTTCAAGATTAATCAGAAAGGACTCCTATCTTTACCCTTCTATGCGTATGTTTTAATAGGGAGGCGCCCAAATCCCTCGCCCACTAGCACAACTTGCAACCTATACAGTGCCTATTTCCAACACTTAAGTAAGAGATTCTGCGGATGAACGTCGAAAAAGGAAAAACACCAAGACCGTGTATAGGTTGAAGCCCTCCACCTGCCCATATGCCTATGATGCATTCCACATAACGACGTCCACTATACTAATCATTCTATAAGGTAATGTACGTGACATCCTCCACCATTCTATTTAATCTATGAATCAACACATGTCGTACCCTCTACTATACTATTCCTTCGACGAGTCAATGCACGTGACGACCTCTATCATATCATGAGTTAGAGGGTACCACATGCATTGACACACTATCATATCATTACCTAAAATGTCAATGCTGATGTAGAAGGCTCAGGAATAGATTAACTAATGTCATTGTCATACTGTCTAGGAGAAGCATACGTGGTTTAGACTTTAGGAAGGTGACAAAGTTGTCGGACACCAACATCATTGCATAAGGATTGGTAACATCTCTCAGCCTGATATACACTGCCGAGCCGTACCTTTGGCTATAGATAGATGGGCTTCCCCCTTAGGAACGAGGAAGTCCAAGCAACTCATTCAGCTCAATCTTTGACAAAAGTAGACTTCCGCTCCTGTAATAAATGCATGTGATACACTCTATTATCATAACTCAGTGTGTCAATACATGTGATACCCCTATCATATCATGATTCAGGATGCCATTCCACGTGACACCCTCCAGTATACCATCATTATTCGAATCACTTCGGGTGACACCCTCCAACATGCTCTCATTCTCAGTGTGTCAATTCACGTGACACGCTCCAGCACATTTTCATTCTTTGAATCGCTTCACGTGACACACTCCCCTATTTCAGTATTCAGTGTTGCGAAATTCACGTGACACCCTCCTCAACACCATTCATTCTCATGAAAATGAGCTCCAATGCAATCCCAATTTCACACGTGCTGTGCTCTCTGTCAATCTCAATCTAAGCTATGGCTTATTGCCCTTATGTGATTTATACACATCCTTCCAATACGCTTCACTCTTTGCCGTCATGCCCTCATCCCAGCGTCGGCGTGCGTTCACCTGCTTCGCTTCACTGCCACCGTAACTATTGTCGACGCCCAAACGCGCAAAGTGACCCAGAGTCTTGGGTTCGCGGGCGTCGGGATTTGCGTTGATCTGGTCGATGTTCCAGCCATGAACGCGCTTCATGTGGTCCCGCACGCTGCCACTACTGCGATACGCATGGAAGCAGATCGGGCAGCAGAATGGATCCGCCATATCGCAGAGACGGTTCTGGGTGTAACTTTGAGGTACGACGTATCCTGAACGCCGGCCTGTGACATGGGTGTCCACTTGTGTAGAATGCGTCTCGTGTCTTTTTCCCTTGGCGACTTCTGACGATGCGTTCATGTTCATGCCTTGCGTATTCATCTGTGTGGCATGTGCTGTGGCTGGAGCATTCATGGTGTTGGAGCTCAGGCGTTGTGAATTCATCTGTGCAGTGCCTGTCGCAGCTCTCATATTCATTGTGGCATAGCTCATGCGTTGTGTGTTGACTTGTGGGGTTTCTGTCGCAGCCCTCATATTCATTGTGCTGTAGCCCATGCGTTGTGTGTTCACCCGTGCGGTTTCTGTCGCAGCTCTCATATTCATAGCACTGTAGCTCATGCCTTGTGGACGCATCTGTCTCGTGGTTGTCGCAGCCGACATACTCATCGTATTGGCTGGCATTTGTAAAGTCTGCAGTGAACCGAAGCCTGCCGACGGAGCTGTGTAGGCATTTGCAGGCATGGCTGGGGTCGGAAATGTGCCGGATCGCATGGCATTGGTGTTCGTAATGAAAGGCGTCGCGCCAGAGGTCATGCTGGTACCAGGTGCAGGGGCCCCACTCTGTCCAGGAGGAATAGAACCTGCGATGTCTGTGGTGATTTGAGCAGCGGCAAATCGGTCGATGTTTGGCCTCATGGGTGGGCCCATCGCACCAGGCTGCGTCACCCCTGAAAACTGCGCGGTGTTGAAATTGCCAATGTTACTCTCAGGAACTAAATACTTGTATTAGCTTTGATCTGAGGAAGACGGACAGTATGGTGTTGATCACGACAGACTGGACTTACCTGCAGGATAGGTACCACGATTCTCATTAGGCAGATCCCACGGTGGAAGGAGATCAGTTTCGCGGGCGAGGATCTCATATATATCAGCGTCTATTCATTAGTTAGTAGGGGAAACAGTGCGGAGGGTGTACAGATCTCACCATGCAATATTTGAGAAAGGTTGTCATTCTCTGCCGTTGGGCCATAGCCACTTCCTTGGTAGTTTGGGACATTGGTGTTCGACATTGTGGATAGAGGGTCTTTGAACACGTAGTGGATGTCGTGAGATCAAGACCAGGACTCTAGGATGCCGCGGAGCACAAGATGCTCTGGGGAAGATAGGCCAAGTCGATGTACTGAAGACGACAAGATGGTTTGTGGAAGACAAGACAAGTCGATGATCTTGAAAGACGAAGAGGTGGTCTGGGGAAGATGGGACAAGTCAATGGTTCTGAAGATGGCAAGATGGTCTGGAGAAGACAAGACAAGACAATTCGATGGTCCTGAAGACAAAGCTGTTCTCTAAGCTGTGTCCGTGGTAAAGAGAGAAGTCGGGAGTTGAGATGGTTGAAAGTGTGAGGAAGGATTGGGAGAATTTATAGAGGGATAGATGAGGTCTGGCAGTAGTGAAGTGGTCTCTCTTGACTCAGAAAGTTGCGAAGTGAAGCAGAGCATGTGAAGCATATCATGCTCTTCACGATTTCTGCCTGCACAGTCATCTCGACATGAGGTGAAGTTTAGCAGACTTCACTTCTTGCCAGACCCGCCTAGCAGCCCCCATAGTTTTATATATCACATGGTTGGTGTCTTTCAAGCGAAGATCCGAGTCAACAGGATCAAGGGGCGAGGCGTAGTGGCTGAGCGAAAGGACTTAGAGATCCGGGTAGATAGAATCAATGGGTGAGGTATAGTAGTGAGTGAGCGAAAGGACCAAGTACCACGATGAAGAGTCAAATAGTGTCTAGGTGTCCTGGACAGGACTTGGCCCGCCCCTTTTTGATATTTTGTCCTTTCTCCTTGTCGTCAGATGAGCTATAAGGCAGATTGTAGCAGCAGGCTGGCCTCTCCGGAAGGTCTAGTCACGATTGAGGAAAAACCAACTAGAAAGATATATGTGTGAGTAGTTCTGATATGCAGTATACGATCTACTATTTCTGTAGACTATACGCCATGGAAGTTGATGCTTGCTGGTGCTTGCTGGTGCTTGCTGCCAATCTGGAATCATCTCATTAGCTATATTTGCCCAGCAACAAATTGCATTTGTTTGATCAACTCACCAGGGAACGAATAATTAGGCCAGTTTTTGCTACTCCGTGTAGCCCTCTCCACACATTGTGTTGAAAATGGCATCAAAGTCTGCGCCAGCCCCATCTTCAAGTTCTCGGCTTTGAGCACTGTCTGCATCGGCGACTTCAGGTCTCGTGGCCATTTCGCGTCCCCCATTCCTGGAGTGGCTGCTGTTGACTCTTTTTGTTTTCCTCCCAGACGAGTTTGCTCGTCCACGAGTTGTGGCACTATTCTTTGCCAGACGATCAATCATCTTGCCAACGTCGGCTTCTCCGTTCATCTGGCGTGGTATGACTGGTATAATGCTCTTGATCTGCGCTACGGCCTCGGCATCAGGTTTGTCATCCATTGTGGCGGGATCGAGGCTGACAGTGGGGTTTGTGCCAAAGGACCAAGGAGATGGCCTAACACGCCGACCAGCTGGGGAGCGTTGTCGAGCTGGTGGCTGTCGTGGATGAGTGGGAACGTTGTGTGGACTGAGAGAAGAGGGTGGAGTTTTGTTGACCCTGCCGGTCTGATGCTGCATAAAATTGAAATTACCTCGAGAGGGTCGTTGACCTGGAGGGATCTCTGCACGGCCTAGGTTCATTTCATGTGTGAATCCTGCAGTTGGCGTTGACGAGGTGCCGTCGGCATAAGCTAAAGGTCGGACTGGTCGAGTTTGAGGTGTAGTTGGTTGACTGGGAGTCCAACCCGGTGTTGTTTGGAGGTATGTTGGTTCGCTGCAGACAGGAGAAGCCGAAGTCCAACCTGGTTGAATCTGAGGCGGAAATTGTTGATGGAGAGGACGACCTGGTTGATGGTAAGGCGAAGTCGGTTGAGGGGGAGCGCTATCTGATTGAAAGTGAGCCGCCGGAGTTGATTGAGTGTGAGGCCAAACAGGTTGAGGGTGAGAGTAGCTCTGAGGAGTAGGGCTAAAGACGACATTTTGATTGCTTCCAGGAGTCGCAAGAGGGGAATTTGTGAGTTTGACTCGTTTGACTCGCCTCGATGATGGATTCTTGCTGGCAGGCATGGTTGCTATGGGGAATGGGATCTGCTTCTGGAAGGAGTGGTTGGAATGTGAAGGTCGATAACTGTAGTTGCTATCTCAAAGCAAGGAAGTTACACTGTCCGTGTCACTACGAGAAAATTCCTCGTTCCACTGCCTGTCTCTTATATCAATAGCACTTCTGTCTCGATTGATCCGGACGGCAATATGGTGTAAGGCAACAATCAAAAGAATCAAAAGACTGGTCGAAGGTAGACGGGGTTTAGAAGTGGTGGGTGGGTCGTCGGTGAGGACCTCGAGGACCTCTAGACTTTCCGAATTCACGCAACTAAGGAAGTTTCAAACCCAAGTAACCAAGGCGATGGGAATCAGAGAAGTGGAGAGAGGTTTGAAAACAAATCAGAAGAGCAACCATGTCAAGACGGTCTTCTTGTCACTGTTCACGCGTACGCGCGGCGTGCGTTACCATCAGAGTCACTAGCTGTGACCAAGATCACAAACATTTGCAGCTTCAGTTTCCATAGTCTCATTTTAGGAAGATGATGGGTCTGTCCATGTAGGTCTTATTCAAAGCACAAAGTTTGCTTGGAATGACTTGGACATGACACGGTGGTCAGTGTTGGCCATGTTCGACAATCTCCAGACACTTCTCAAAGTCCGCCCAATTGTACATGATGTGCTTGCATCCAACTTCTCTAAGGCGCGTTGCTATTTCGTCTTGCTTGGCCGTAGTATGGTAGGCTCCGACATAGCCAATGACTGCGACTTTGGCTCGGATGGCAGATAACGCTCCTGAGATACTGTCCTCAACAGCAACACACTCTTCTGGTTTTGCGGAGTGCTTGGCAAGAACGTGGAGGTAGATAGCAGGATCTGGCTTTGAAGAGGGTTTGGCTAAAGACGTTGCAGCGGAGTAAACCTCGTCGGGATGGAAGAACTTGTCTTGTCCGGTAGTAGCAATCGAAACGCGAACCCGACGAAGGGCAGAAGAAGAGACCACAGACATGGTATAATTTTGGTTTTGGGAGAGCTCTTGGAGGACTTCGATGGATCCATCACATGGTTGGACTTTGGCTTGGAGCTGTGCAATGACACGCTCTACTTCTTCGCGAATATAGCCTTCCATCTCTTCTTCTCCTAACCAGAAGTCGAACTGGGTTTGAATAGCGGCCATGATCTAAAACAAGATTTGTGAGTCACAAGTCGTGTATCGATGTAGCGGGACTAGATCTTGAGGAACACCACTCATCACTAGAGGTAAAGCTTACGCCGCGGAAATTCTGACCAACAAAGTTGGCAATAAGAGATTCTGGAGTGTAGCGTTGGTCTAGCCCGTATTTTTCCATGATCTCGTTGACCAAGCCAGCGCATGCCTCAAAGGCAACATCTTCAGACTCAACGAGGGTATTGTCACAGTCGAAGAACAGGTATTTGATCTAACTTCGATTAGTGGATTCCTTGAAAGTAGGTTTTCGTGACTAACAGCCATGATAGTTGGTTGAAGTGGTCCTCCGTTGAAGCTAATTCTTAATAGCTAGACGTGATCCAGCGGTCGTCTGAGTAGAGCGGCAGAGAAGTGGGATCAAATAAGCCAATGGTGCAAAGTAATAATGAGGGTGCCTGGACTATGAATAAGGGGCTGTGGACACCCAGGTAGTCATTGGAGATGAGAATATGGTGAATAAAGAAAACGTGGTTCGGAAAAGCTTGAAGATGAAGATGAAGATGAAGATGAAGATGAAGATGAAATGAAGATGATGATGATGATGATGACGATGAATCACACAAATTACGGTCGTTCCTGCCTCTGGCGCCATTGACAGTTGCTAGGAGGGTTGCGCTTGCCGCATCCAGAGAAATTCACTCCTGGTCTTTGTAGACGGACAATTCTTCCCACAAACACCCATTGTTGGCTGCGGTTGTAGCCAGTACATAGGTATGTGCTTGGGTGTATTGTGAAAGTCCGTTCAGGGAATTCGAATGATACGGGTGTCTTAGGCGGATCATGGATATGACTGGACATCCTGGGGCATTCCAATCTCCTGTGGCAACGGAATTGTCTCAGTAAATGGCTCTTCAGTGTTGAGCCACTTGCTGATCATATTCAGCACAAGGGTGTTCTTCGTGTCTTCTTTTCTTATTGCTCTCCAGCTATGGTACAATTCCCACCACCACTGGTGCGTGACGCCATCTCGGCCAAGGTGGCCCGCTATCCCTCCTGGTCCAGCTTGTCTTTCCCATGGTTTGTCGACAATGTAATGAAGTATGACTAGCTTCTGATCCGACCAGATCCGAGGATGCCAGTAACGCATAGTCTTGATTGCGTTGTATCTCCACGACAATGGAGTCCATTTGTCACGGAAGAAATCGGCCAGAAAATCTTGATCAGGGAATTGATATTCTTTCAAGCGCGGGCTGGTGTTGAAGAAGTCCAACATCCTGGTCCACAATTCTTGAGATGGGTAGAAGAGAAACATGCCACCGTTCAAGAGTCGGTAAGTCGGACGTGCGTGTAGAGTGATGTTGGCAGCCACTTGATCGGGATTGGTTAGGGGCGTGTAGGCACAATTGCCCTTTTGCCAGTCGTTTGGGGCCCAAGGATCATAATCGAGATTGCAAACACAGGCATGGTTTGCGCCTAGCCATTCACGATCTGGCAATTTTGTATCCAAGATTTCATCCGGATTGTTGAACACAGCCATATCAGCGTCGAGGAAAACGGCACGGGTATAACCAAGGTGGAAAATCTCAAAAGCACGCAGTTTGGTGAAGGTGTCTTTGAACCGCTCGGCCACGCTGCCAGTATTTTGTTGATCTTGTCTGGGTAATAGTAGCTCGACCTGCTGAAGGCGGATCCGTCCATAGTGTTGGCTTTCAGATTCAAGGACAGCAAGAGCCTCACTGCCCAGCGATGACGTGTACAGGATTAACAGCGGGTATTTCGAGTGACAATGATCAAGGGTATGGGCGAGGACAATGGCACCAGGGAGATATGAAGGCTTTGTGAGCAGAGTGACCCAGCAAGATTTCTCTTGAGTGTCCTCTTGAGAACCCATGTTAAGCAATAGTACAGGCGGAAACTCTAACACAGGAAATACAGGTGCTAGATTATAGATAGTGTATGGCGAGGTCTATTCGGACCTGCCGAAGGGTCAGCAGAGGGAGTTTTGAGCTCTTTAAACCATGTCATAATGTTATTGTTACCTTGGTAAACGGAGCTCTTGAATACGTTTGGAGTCATGGCGTCATGGTTCCAGAGATGGTGGCGCCACGTGGTGGTGATAATCTCTGGTTCGCCATGTGCATGAATTGGTAGTGGCTACAACATTGAGTGCGGCCATGTTATACACCACTCAACCACCATATTTTTTGGGATTTGGAAAGACGGGACGTGTTTGAAGATAGACATGAGTGGTAAGTGTTGCATTTTGGATTTTTGGTGTTGATGATCACGTGATATTCCTGCGACGCGCCTTCCAAGATTGAACCTCTGTATGTGACAAATGTCTTGGCGAGACTTGCTTCTTTGATTGGCGGAATGTCCGGAACTGTGGTTTCTCCGCCGACCATGGATTGTTGACAGTCAGGTGAAGATTCGACATCAGTGGACATGATCCAACAAGCGTCAGCCTCTTCATCATTCCCTTGACGTCCACGGATTTATCGGCATGCTGCCTACTCCGTAGCTCCTCCATCGTCCCTGTGCAGAGACGCTTATACCAAGTAGTCACAGTCCCATCACAATTAAGCCATTGTTGACTGCACCCGGTATCCGTCAGTCCACATCATTCTACCGTCACAGCCGCCGCAGTCACTCCCTGCGTTTGGCCTTTGGATAACAAAACAATCCCATCATCTGTTGCAGACGCTCGGACCTCGACTCCAGTTGATCATCTTTATTCCTACGCCGACGTCAGCATCATCAGAGTATCGACTCCTGCCACCATCCACCTGACATGCAGACATGGTATTGCTTGAGAAGCAATGGGTGAATGTTCAGGAGAAGACCTTTACAAAATGGTAATTCCCACGATCGAGTCAAGCACAAACAGGTACCTAACTCATTCAAACAGGCTCAACAACAAGATATCTTCTCGAGAAGTAGCGGTGAAATCATTAGTCACCGACCTCTCGGACGGCATCATCCTCATCCATTTACTCGAAGTCCTCAGTAACGAGTCCCTGGGCCGTTATGCATCCAACCCCAGGCTCCGCGTCCAAAAGTTTGAAAATGTCAACAAGTCACTTGAATTCATCAAGAGTCGGGGAATCCAGATGACCAATATCGGCGCCGAAGATGTGGTCGATGGCAACAGAAAGATCATCCTCGGGCTGATCTGGACGCTCATCCTGCGGTTCACGATTTCCGACATTAGCGAAGAAGGCATGACTGCCAAGGAGGGTCTGCTGTTGTGGTGTCAACGGAAAACGGCGTGCTATGAGGGGGTAGAAGTTAGAGATTTCTCTGCCTCATGGAACGACGGCCTGGCCTTTTGTGCTCTGCTCGATATTCATCGACCCGATCTGATCGATTTTGATACCTTGGATAAATCAGATCACAAGGGCAATATGCAGCTGGCTTTTGACATTGCAACGAAAGAGATTGGAATTCCAGACCTGCTTGATGTGGAAGATGTTGCCGATGTTGCACGGCCTGATGAACGGTCGCTCATGACGTATATTGCGTACTGGTTCCACGCTTTCAGTGCCATGGAGAGGGTTGAAAACGCAGGACGGCGGGTAGAAAAGTTTGTCAGCAACATGCAAGGCGCGTGGGAGATGGAGTCGGCGTATGAAAAGAGGATGAGAGCGTTGTTGCAAAACATCAGGCATCAACGCCAGGCCTGGCGAGAGTCGACGTTTCAAGGGACGTATTCTGACGCCAAAGCACAGGCCAACGAGATTTCAGGATTCAAGCGTAATCAGAAGCGCAAATGGGTGGCCGAGAAATCCGACCTGGCAGCACTACTGGGCAATATCAAGACCAAGCTATCCACGTATCGACTACGACCATATGTGCCCAAACCGGAACTTCGACTCGAGGTGTTGGACCAAGAATGGGCTGCCTTGGGAACGGACGAACACGCCAGAAGCAAACTGATCAACGAGACGATTCGAGATATCAAGAACGCGCTCCGACGAAACTTTGCAGACAAAGCCAATGACTTTGCCCTGACGCTCAACACGTTGTCACTGGCTATTTCCGGATTAGAGGGCGATGTGGAAGACCAGCTGCAACACGCACAGAGACTGTCGGCCAACTTGTCGCCATTGGAACAATACCTGGAAGGAATAGCTATCCTGGATGAAAAGTGCCAAGAAGCCAACATCGACGAGAATGATTGGACGACATATACATACGACGAATTGTTGTACGAGTTGAGCTTGGTCAAGGCCAGCGTGCAGAAGAAGTTGACTTTTTTGGAAAACCAAATGGTGGCTCGAGACATGACGAACCTGACACCAATTCAGCTGGAAGAATTCGAGTCAGTGTTCCGTCACTTTGACCGAGACGGCACCAACTCGTTGCAAGAACTGGAATTCAGCGCCGCGTTGGCAAGTCTTGGGCTGGTGTACGATGAAGAGGAAATGCATGGCAAGTTCCTTGAAGTTTGCCACAGTGGACTCGATGGATCCATGTCTCCAGTGTCACGTCGGCAGCGGGAGGCTCGAGGAGTGGGATTTGAACAATTTATCAGGTTCATGGTGTCGGTGACAGAAGATCAGAATGATGCAGACCAAGTGTTCCAGTCCTTCCGAGAAGTTGCAGACGGCAAGCCGTATGTGACGGAAATGGATTTGAGACATTCACTGATCCCTGACGATCTGATCGAAGACTTACTTCAGAGTATGCCAACACATCGAGGGCCAGACATGGAAGCCGATCGAGACGTGCCTAAGTACGACTACATCAGCTTCATGCAGCACATGATTGGAGATGGCACGGGTGAAAGTGACAGCGAAAGCGAACATTCACGGACCAGGGTCAATGGTGTCTGATTTAGCATGTGTACCAAGACCAGGCAAGAGTTGAGTTGAGTTGAGTTGAATTTGTGCAGCTGGCTCGGATTAGCTATGGGGCTTTCTTTGGTCGGTCAAAGTGGTTTTTACGGTCTGGATGTTTCTGGGTTTCTGCACAGCAACGGTGTTGGAAGAAACAGCGAGCCAACCTTGTCGATGTTGAGTTGGGCTGTATTGAGCGACAGCGAAAGCATGCATTCAATTTGGTAAACCAATCAAGTCTGCAAGAGAAGAATTGAATTGGACAATGCAATGAATGATCATGGGATGATGACTTGATGAGTAGATTAGTTGGGGGAAGGTCCTTTTGGGCAGAGTAGTAGAGGAGTGTGTGTGTATCATTGTGGGATACATTAATTAATTACAACAGGGTCTGAACCAAGGTCCAGAGTGTTGTAGGTGGCCAAGAGGAGAAACAATGAATTCTCAAGGGTCGGACAGATATTGGAAGCCTTCATCACCGTTATTACCCACATGCTCATCATCCTGACCACTTCTCACCATTTTCACTGTATACCTCAGGCTAAGTAGGGTACTCCAGATCTCGGAAATCGGAGCTTGATCAACCTGTCGTGCCTGTATGGATTTATTATCTAAGCCGGATCGACCCATTGGCTCTGACCTCCGACTCCGAGAAATAAGGCGATATTATTGGCTGAGACACATTTCCCCACAACTCACCCTCTCGTTTGGCCGTCAGCGGCAATGAATCTCCACCAAAGAGGAGTGAAAGATTTCTGGAGAGATTCACTCCAATATATCGATATTCCGTACAGCAGTGCTTAGTCTACTATACCTCCCATAACTCATATCATAGGTTCATCAGTGATTGTAGCACAGTAATCTGGCATGACTGTACTATACATTCCCAACCGCCTGCCCCCCACCCCTAATTCTGACTCTGGAAACCCTCCCTCCTCCCTCCTCTCTACTCGTACAAAAACACCGAGGCAACTCTTCGGTTGTCATTCCCCCACTCCAACCAATAACAGCCGCCGGAGCATGACATCGACCATTTCGCCGATCCACCGTGAGACTTCTGTCCTCGGCAAAGAAATGCAACAAGCACCTCAGCTTGCACCTCGAAGAAGGGTTTCTTTGTATTGTGCAGACTCTCATCCAATGACCTCTTCTATCTGGTCAGCGGAGCGGACGAGGAGCATGAATTGACTCGACCAGACCCAATGCGGTCCGAGACTATCTCCGTGTCGTGCACTATAATGTTTGGATTTGCTCTTAAGAAAGGTACATATGCAATCCCATCCCGCGTTCTGGATCGGTCACAAATGACTGTTGTTCAGTTTCTGTGATTTCTACGATTAGTCTCTCCTCGTACTTGGTACCTGTCTTGATATTCGTAGACTGATTGACTGGGTTGAGGTTGGGATTGTAGATCTATCTGTCTCTCTGTGCTCTCTATCCTCTCTCGCTCACCTCCCCTCCACACCCTCGATCCTCGCTTCTCTCCTCTCTCACTTCGTGACAAAGTCACTCAGTCACCAAGGAGTGGTCAGGCCCCTACTCTACATACCTAGAACCAAGCAACATCATCAACCCCACCTCCACCTCCACCTTCAAGATGCCTCTTAAGCAGGTTTACCTACCTAAGAAGGACTATGTGGTTCCAGACATTGACTTGTTGACCTTGATTTACAGTGAGAATATCCTCATTTTCCATTCACGACTAGTACCACTAACATCCATCCTCATAGATTCACCTGAAGCATGGACCAACGAAAGCACCATCCTCCACGCCGAAGCAGCGCAACCGGAAAACAAAATCACCAAAGCCGAGGCGAGAATCTACACACAACGTATGTCGCATTACCTAAGACACACCTACTCGATAGGAGCCTCCGGACCCGGTAAGGACGTCGTGGTCGTCATTTCCAGCGGTCAAGTCCTGCTTGCGCCTCTCTTCTACGGCGTCATTGGCGCCGGAGGAATCTATTCCGCTGCGAGCTCTTCTTTCACCCATCTCGAACTCGCGCGTCAAGTCAAGCATGGCCATGCGAAGCTCATCATTGCCAGTCCCGACTGTGTCGATACCGCTATTCGCGCTGCTGAGGAGACTGGTTTGGATAAGTCCAATGTCTTGGTATTGGAAAGTATGGGTGGTTCGCATGTCAGGAGCTTGAGGCGCGTGGACGGTCGTGGTCAGGATGCTCTTGTTGGCGAGGACAAGAGGTTGCAGTGGGAGGTGGTTACCGACCCTGAAGTCCTGGCCAATCGTGTCATTTGTTTGCTATATAGCAGTGGTACAACAGGTGTGCCTAAAGGTGAGTTCCAACCACATCCACATACAAATGTCCAAGCGAAGCTGACTCCGGTCTAGGTGTCAATCTCTCCCATCAGAACATTGTCTCTGAAGGACTGATCCCACAATACCAGTTCCGAGAGTATCTCATCCGCGCCAAACGCAGGGATCCCAATTTCACCTTTGTATACAACACATTGGCCCATCTTCCTGCTGCACACATTGCCGGATGTCAAGGATACTTTATCAATCCCTCCATTGCCGGCGGACCGGTCTACTGGATGCCCAAGTTCGACTTTGTCAAATTCCTCGAGTACAACGAAAAATTCAACATCAGTTTCTTTTTCACCGTCCCGCCCATCTACCTGCTCATCGCAAAAAGCCCCTTGGTCAAGAACCAATTCAAAAGTCTGAAACACGCCATCACTGGCGCCGCCCCGATGGGCGCCGAACTGCAGGGATTGGCCCAGAAGAAACTGGGTTGCCACATCGCTCAGACCTGGGGTCTGAGTGAGACCACGGGGAGTGTCACGAGCATGCCGTGGGACGAGAATGATCCAACTGGCAGCGTGAGTCCATTGTTGCCCAATGTCCGGATGAGAGTGGTTGACGACGACGAGAACGACGTTGAAGAAGGTGCGGAAGGAGAATTCATCTGTCAAGGACCTATGATTACCAAGGGTTATTGGGAAAACCCGACTGCAACCAAGGAGACCTTCACCGCCGATGGAAAGTGGTTCAAGACCGGTGACATTGGCATCGTCCGAGATGGCATGTTCTATATTGTCGATCGCAAGAAGGAATTGATCAAGTACAAAGGCTTGCAGGTTGCCCCGGCCGAGCTCGAGGCTTTGTTGCTCAGCCACGACAAGATTCAGGATGCCGCTGTGATTGGAGTGCCGGATCCATCTGGAAGCGGCAACGAGCTGCCTCGCGCTTATGTCGTAGCCGACAAGAGCCAAATATCCGCAGACGAAATCAAAGCTTTCGTCAAGGCCAACCTCGCTCAGCACAAGCAGCTGCGTGGTGGTTGCATCTACCTTGATGCCATTCCCAAGAGTCCCAGTGGCAAGATCCTGAGGAGAGAACTAAGAGACATGGCCAAGAAGGAGGGAAATACGGGTACAGCCAAGTTGTAAATGGAAAAAGATCCAGGATAGAATAGACCGGCATAGACAATATAAGGTGGATGCCATAGAGTCTGGAGTTGACCCTTGACAGTCGTCAAATTATATCACAGATCAAACCTTCCACACCGCGATCGGACATGCCTGCTTGGCGATGGCGCGTGCCACCATGTTGGCTAGAGGTCCTTGTTCCTCTACCCCATTTCTCCACATCTTTGGTCCAGCGAGGTATGATATAAAGCCATCAGGTCCCGAGATGAAGAGCTGTCGTTCTGCCTTGGAGGCCCCGTGGGATTGGTCATGACCAGGAGAAGTAAGCCGACTGAGTGCATTGCAAACCGCAGGCTCGTTGATAAAGGTTCCCTCTTCGTCGACAAAGTATTCAACCGTGATCTGACCCGGGTATCTCTCTTTAAGCGACTCCAGCTCCTGGACCATGGCTCCCTGTTGTGCGATAGGGGAATTCTGCTGCTTGGATTTCTTCGAGTTGTACAAGAAAGAATACCACTTTGACTGTTGTCCTGGTGCTTGGTCACTGACACCACCTATGCAATCGTCACGCGTCCTATTGGCCCACAGAATATGTAACTTGCAATCTTTGCGAGGGTGATCCACTCCATCCTCTGCAGCACCTTCAAACAAAGCGTGTGCGACTTGCAATGCGGGGGCTATACCAGTGCCACCAGCCAGGAAAATCACCTGCCGAACATGCTTGGAGATGGGGTATTCCGACACACTTGGCCGTCTGACTTCGATGTCTGCCCCGAGTGGGAGTCTATGTAAATAGCTCGAGACTTCGCCACGTGCGTCATGCCGGATGAGAAACCTCAGTCCAGTATTTTTATTTTGCTCCTGATCCGCTGCCACGCTCGGGGGCAAGGGTGTATATGCTCGCACAATCTGGAGTTGTGGTTGCTTGAACTCCACGCTCCATATCCCACTCTTGAATAGATCGGAAAAGGTTTTGTCGATTTCGGTCAGGTACTTGTCGTCCTTGGGTACCAGTTGGAAAATGCTGGCTGATTTTGACACTGGTTCTTTGGCGACAAGTGAGTATTTGACAAAACCTAGACTGTGAAGGCGACGGTCCTGCTCAGTCGTCTGGTAGGCATACCACGCGACAGGTGCTGCTAGAAGTCCAAGTCCAATTGCAACGAGTTTGTTCCGTGTCGAACCATTTTTCTGGTGCTTCTTTTGGTAAGTCCCGATGTCAACAGGTCCAACCTGGCCGGAAGGGTGGGGATTATGGGAAGAGTCGAGGCTGTTATTGGACTGCGAGGACTTGAAGCATGGCTTCAAGGGAAATCTTTGAGTGACATTTCGCAGGCAAGGCGTGGGTCGGGTTTGGTGCCGTGCCAGCAGACAAGTGGCTCGGGAGTGTACCATCAATCAAACAAAGATTGACCGGCTGTAACTCCGAGGATCTAATACAACTTTCCGAGACTAGTGAGGTAAACGGTGAGGGTCGGAAATATCACAATTATCATGACATTGCGGAGCGATCAAAGAATTGAACGAGGCTGCGCCGCCGCTTTAGTATCCCCACGTGATTTGGGTTCTGATGCAGCAGAGTTCAACTGCCACTTTAACACCAAACAATCAGTCCTCAACGTCCTCAACGCCCACAACCACCACTGTCTTGGTTATGGACATCAGTCAAAAGATCAGATCATGACAAACCTCAGCGAGCATCTTGATTACAATATACATCAGCTGGGACTTGATTGCTGAACAATCTCTCCAAAGCAACATGATGCGTCTCTCCGACCGACGTATTCGTGTAGCACACAATAGAATCCTCCCATTTGGCGTACGCCTTTTACTCCGACGGCACGAACTCTCTCCACGTTCCCCCAATGCTATGCTTTAAACAGCCCAGCTGAATCCTATTTCATGATACTCACTTTCTGCATCTCTCAGAGCTCTATACTCATGACCTGAGAGTCCTCTTCACAGGCAAGGTCATTACTACTCCTTATTGTGCTTCTCAATCCGCTCAACTCCGCCGGCAGACCCACCATTTATGACTATACTCTACTCTGATTCCATCTGAACGCAGAGGTCACAACATCCATAATACCCCGTGACTACCTATTCAATACCATATTATACAATAACCATACAATGTCACCATCAAACCCCCTCAACACCCAAGCCACGTACTTCAAATCCCTGCACCAACCGGGCCAACCAGTCATTCTCGCCAACACATGGGATGAATCCTCCGCACGAGTCATCGGCTCACTTCCCACCGTGCAAGCCATCGCAACCGCCTCATACGCCGTCGCTTTGGCATCTGGAACCACCGACGACGAGCTAACCCTCGAAAATAACCTTTCAGCCGTATCCCGTATTTCCAAGATCGCCCAAGAATTCAACAAACCATTGACCGTGGACCTACAAGACGGATACGGGTCACGTCTAGAAGAAGCCATCGCCGCCGTCATCTCCCATGGTGCCGTTGGAGCCAACATCGAGGATGTCGATAAAGATACGAAGAAGCAGTATTCAGTCGATGAAGGGGTCGCGCGGATTCGACGGGCTTTGAAGGCTGCGGAGGAGAATGGAGTGAATGATTTTGTGGTTAATGCGAGAGTTGATACGTTGTTGCATGGTGGGGAGATGGAGGATACGATTTTGAGAGGGAGGAAATATCTCGAGGCCGGGGCAACGACGGTTTTTGTCATTGGTGGTGCTACCAGGGGTGGGTTGAAGACCGAGGAGGTGAAAACTTTGAGCGATGCTCTAGGAGGAAGATTGAACGTGTCGGTGGCTTTGTCGCCGGGGAAATTGACTGTTGATGATGTTGCTGCTATTGGAGTCAGTAGAGTCAGCGTGGGTCCGCAGTTATATTTCAAAGCGACAGCTGCCATCAAGGACGCCGCCGAGGGTCTCTTCTCTTCGAGGGTTGTATCGGCGACGTCTTAAGAGAAGTATCAAGTTTCATTCAAGGAGGCCTTGGTCTTTTCATGACCTTTCCCTGATATCCATTTACCCACGGAAATATATCGTCTCACGCCAATTCAAGCTCATCATCATCATCACTCGCCAACAAGTCTAGCAATCGCCAACAATGATGAACATTGATTTTGTTCCATGGACGATGAAACGCAAACAAACGCTCCTACCCATCTAGAAACAATGCTTTGTCAAGAATGCAACCCAATGACTAGACTCTCTGTACACATGACCCTGCCGCTTCAGCCTGCGGTCAAGAGTCGTCAATTAATCGGCGTTGTTCCCACGCCTTTCTCGCAATCTCATAGAGACTGTCAAAGTCCCCGCTCGTTTCACACATCGAGCGCAAGTACCCGTCTTCCTTTTGCAGAAGTTCATACGGATCCGCGTATTCAACCACCATTCCCTTATCCAATACCAATACTCGGTCATAATCAATGATCGTCTGCAGTCGATGTGCGATCGTCAAAATCGTATTGTTCTTCAGCTCCCGCAGTGTACCTTGAATCTTGGAATCTGTCGCATAATCGATCGACGCAGTGGCTTCATCCATGACCAACACTTTAGGCGATTTGAGGAGAGCACGTGCGAGACATAGAAGTTGACGTTGCCCCTGGGACAGATTCGACCCTGATTCTGCCACTGGTGATGACAAATCTCGGAATATGTTCTTGTTGTCCTTCGTGTTTGTCATGCTTGGTACTAAAGTTGACCCCGTTGTGTCTGTGCCGTTAGCCGATTGTCCTGTTTGACTCTCTGGAGGACTGGAATCCTCGCGCAGTGTCGGTGATGTGCTTGAAACCTCTGGAGGAGTTGCTGTCCCAGATGATTCTGCCAGCCCCGACGAGTCAGAAATCAAATGAACTCGGCGTAGAGCCGTGAAGATCTCTGCATCCGTGAAAAGCTCGAATGGATCCAGGTTGGTACGTAAAGTCCCAGTGAAAAGAGTAGGATCCTGAGGGACAATGGTAATCGCCTCTCTCAAATCTTGGAGTCCAATTAAGCCAACGTCAATGTCGTCAATCAAGATTTTGCCTTCCAACGCTTCAAGTCCACGAAATAACGCCAGTGCCAAGGAGCTTTTCCCTGCTCCAGTCCTGCCTACTATCCCGACCTTATGACTGCCCTCGATGCGGAATGTAAGCCGCTTGAGCACTGGCTCGAGGTCAGATCTGTATGTCGTTGTATATCCAACGAATTGAATGGATCCTTGGCTAGGCCAATTGGCAGGAGGTTGTGTCTCCGGGATCTTCGCAGGAGCTTCTTGCTCGACCTCAATGTATTCCTGTAGACGCTCGACCGAGTTCATGTTCTGCTCGTTGGCAGCATAGAGTCGCACAAGCCAAAGGACATTCTGCGTAAACGTGATTGCATACGACAAAGCCAAGCCTGCCGTACCGGGATCAATTCTGTCCCCGTTAAGCACAACAAACATGGCTGAGAAGAAGGACACAAAGGCCCCGGCAACATCTATCCGGAATGCAAGCCATCTGTTAGTCGCCCAGAGGAAGATGAAGGGCCGATTGTGTGTGTTGATGCGTAAGTTGCTCTCTTGAATGAACCTTGCCTCATCTCCGTACGCGCGAATTGTGACAGCTCCGGTAACAGTTTCACCGAAATGCTGGAACAGAGGACTACGTTGAACCGACTCCAAGCGCTTCAAATCTCTCGAAGAGCGAATGTAAAACAGCCCTGTAGCAATGTACATGAGCGTAATGAAGAAGCCGGGAATCAAGAAACCAGGCGTGATGGCGGAGATGAGAATGACAATAGTCAAGACCGAAGCAGCGCTGTGCAGCATGCCTATTGCTACCGGGGCCACTTCCTGATCCAAAGCTTGGATATCCTTGGAAAATCGATTCGTCAACTGACCAAGGGGTGTGGAATCAAAGAAGCGAAACTTGGCCCGGAGAATACTTGTCAGCAGTTTTTCGTGGAGAAACCACGACGCACGCATGGAGCCCCAGAAGAGAACCAGCTCTCTTCCCAGGCAGATAAAGACATAGACAGCGCCGATAAGTGCATAGATGCCTAGATAGTAAGGCACATCAACATCATTGCCGTTGATGCCCAGCTTTGAGAGGAAGCCACCGTCGGTTTGTGGAACAATAGTGTATGAAGTACCAAAATTCCAAGAGTTAGAGGGCTTGACTGGGTGAAAAGCATGTACTGCTGCGTGCGAGGTGTTTGCTTCCCTGACGTGGTAAGCATTAGCCCACTGTCTAATCCAGACGTTGGTCGCGACAGATCCCAGTTGGGTCGCAATAAATCCGGATGCCGCAAATATCCAATACCACCATGGGCCCATAGCTGCGAGGTACATGGTGATGGTGGAAAGTTTGACGCTTCCGGTAGCTTTGTTCTCCACTCTATGATCAACAAAAGTCGGATCTTTCTTTGACGCTTTGACTCTGCCCTTGTTGGTGCGAGCCTGGCCATTAGAGTTGCCATTCTGGTATTGGCCCGACAATTTTGAAGTTTCTTCTTCCAGATTGGATGAAACTCGTGAGGGAGCGCCGGATCCCGCTCGTGACACAGGACGTGATTTCAGTAATTCATCCCCAAGTGCTCCACTATCCATAACTTGTTGTGGTGTTCCTTTCGAGACGACTTTACCGTTCTCAAGAACAGCCACAAAGCTGGACAGGGGAACCGTCAGTGCAAGGTTATGTGAAACAAGGATGCAAGTGCGGTTGAACATCAATTCGCCCTTCAATGCCCGTTCGAAGATGTGTTTTGCGGTATGAGCATCAACAGCACTTAAACAATCATCGAGCAAAAGATGCTTTGAGTTGGAGTAGATTGCACGGGCGAGAGAAATGCGCTGTTTCTGCCCCCCTGACATGGTAATCCCCTTTTCTCCAACCAGTGTCTGGTCTCCAGCATCAAGAATTTCCAGATCACGTTCCAGAGCACATACTGCCAACACTTCCTGATAGCGATCCTCATCGTAGGGATTGGCGAAAAGGATATTCTCTTTGATTGTAGCATTGACAAGCCAGGGTTGCTGGGCGCAGTATGCGACGGCCTCGATCATGCCAGTGACTGGGTCTGGACGCAAGTCCTGTCGACTATAACCACCTGGAATGAAGACACTGCCGTTCATTAACTGCATTTCTCCCAACAATGCCATCAGCAGCGAAGTTTTGCCCGATCCAGTAGGCCCCGCGATGATGTTCAATTGGCCGATGACGAAATCAACATTAATGTTGATCAGGCGGAACGCTTCGACAGCGTCCTTGTTGCTAATGCCCCATGACAAAGTGGCATTGTCCAGTGCAATCCGTGTAACCGGGCGACTAGCTCGTCGACTCTGACGCAGCTGAACATATTTCTCAGTCTCTTCTTCGTTGAGGAATTCCTCCACCCGGTCGACAGAAACCTTGGACTCTTGTACGTGAGCAACCATATCCGCAAGCTGATCCAGGGGGACGCGAAGAAGGGAGAACATCGAAAGAGCTGGAAAGGCCACCGAGGGAACCAGAGGTCGCTTCTCAACCATTGTATACAAGAAGAAAGAGGTAAAGGTGATCAGGATGGGTACACCGCTCCAGATGGTAGCTGCAATAGACCAAACAATGTATTTCCCCCAAAGGGCACTGAGCTCGGCGGACCTCTTTTCGTTGACGTTACTAGCGAATCGTTGTTCCCAAGCAAAGTATTTGATGATTCTGATATTCTGGAGGACTTCGTTGGTGACGTGGATTCTTCCATCAGTGGCAAGCATGATTTTTTTCTGTGCCGCCTGGAATGATTTGGCGATGTAGAGGTTCAGCGGAAGAATCAGGACCATCAATCCGATGCCAGCGAACGAACTGAACCCGAGGACCTTGTAAAGGAGTGACACGGCCATGATGAGCTGAACAGGTACGGCAGCCCACAAAAAATGTAAATAGGATGAGACTTCAGCGACTTTGAACGAATCAATCGACATCAGATTGATGACGGTGCCATTATTCGCCGGGTTCAGACCAGATTTCACCAAGTGCAATGGCGAATTGGGTTCAGATGTCGATTTCGTAGAAGTCTGTTGCCACAGTGACTTGATCTTTGTCCAAAATGTAGGTTTGTCTTGGGGCTTGTCCTTCGCCGAGTCACTTTCGGTAGTAGCAGCCGCCTTTCTGCGGAGGGTCTTTGAGTAGATCTCACCGACGATGATGCCACGAAGTTGAATGCAGACCTTGCGACCGATCCACAAAGCTTGGCCGTCACAGATTGCAACAATGATACCGGTGGCAAACAATAGAAAAACGTAAAGCCAAGCAGCACTGACCGGAGTTGTGTCGCGGTTCTCGAGGAATTCCAGTACGGCTTTGAGCAACAAGGGGGTGAGAAATGGAAAGATGCTCGAGACAATACACCAGACGCCTTGTATCAGGAGTTGACTCTTGAAGTGCAAGAGCAAGCGAAGGGCAAGAGAATGTGTCTTTTTGATCTGGCGGAAGGTAGCAAGACAATGTTCGGCTTTGTCTTGTAGGGTAACATTCCATACATCGGCCATCTCGAGGGGCTTCTTGTAGCCCTTGTAGATGAGGGAATCGCACCAAGAAAAGGAGATGATCGAAAAAATGCTGGCGAGAGGCTCTCGGGAGGGTTCGACATCGCCGTCATATTCAAGTAGAACGCCTTTATTCCCTTTGCGGGAGAACAAGACAATTAAGGCTAGGACGGTAGTGATGGTAAAAGTGACGACAGTCAGAACATTCGAAAGTCGGTGCAGCGACTGTAGAAGAGCCGATCTGAAGATCCAAATTTGTAGAAGCCATTGGATTCCATACAGAGCGGCGCTGTGATCCCAAAGCCCTTTAACGGGGACAGTCCAGTTGGTGGTTGAAGCCGTCAATCGTGCGGCATCCACCACAGAGACATAAAACCAGAAGCAAACTTGAGCTATCCATGCTGTGTGATCACTCTTGGCGGCATGGATCACCTGTACGAAGCTCAGGACGAGCTGGGCCAGAACAAGGACGAACTCGAGGGTGACGAGGAAGACTTCAGCGGTGGGTCTATCGATGTCTTTGGGTGCACGATCCCCATGGCTGACAGTTCTTTGCAAGGTGAGCTTGGTCAAGCTGTCGGCATCTTCAGTATCGGTATCGAGAGAGTCATCTTCATCGTCATCGATATTGACCAAGGGTTGGTATCGAGTTGACCTGCGCTTTAAGATTTCTCTCAGAGGAATAAGTTGGCGTAGGATCAAGAGGAGAGATATGGCGGCAGCGAGAAGAGGGAACAGCGTTTGCAGATAGCTTGAAAGACCGTGTTAGTAGACAATATCTCTCGAAGAGGGTAAAGTGTGAACTCACTCTGCTCGAAAGCAATGGCTCAGATCATCGAGCCGCCATAACGAGCCTTTACATTGCGCGAACATGGCCAGTCCAATATGTCACCACAATCACCAAGGTCCACAAAACAACGGGGAGGAAGGGACCATTTCTTTTGAAGCAAAAGAGAAGCAAGAACAGGACACCAGGGCGTTGAAGCGGTAGGTAGTTGTATGTACAGGTAGAGCAAAGAAGTGGTAGTGCAAATATGTACAATAATGCACAAGTGATGGAGTGATGGATGTGATGATTTTACGGAAACCCACCGACAGTTTTTTGACATGCGCGAGAGGAAAGCGCATTGGACAAATCTATACTTTGCGCCTGCAACTGCAACTGCAACTGCAACTGCAGGGCACTGCACCTAACTTAGCTGGGCCGACACCGGGGCCAAGGGGCTTGAACCCCAGGCCCAACACACGCCAGGCCAAGCCTACTTAGGTAACTTAGCAAGGAGAGGCCAGGGGAGGAGGTCGTGCGCTTACAGGCAGGAATATGGAGCATTGGCGAGCCACCGGAATGGTGAATGCCACACTACCACGACTTGCCATAAGTACTACGAACTTATTACCGAGTACATGGAACGAGGTACCTACGGAGTAGTCCGTAGCATGTATTCGGTTGTAGGATGACTATGAAGAGTCATCGGTGAAGGTGTCTTGTGTCCTTCTATTTCCACCGCCTTGATGCCATCTATGTACCTTAAAGTCGCGTTGCCACTAGGGAGATAGGGAAGACTGATGTCGAGGTTTAATTGACCAGTAGTCCAATTGATAACTAGTCAAAGGTAGGTACATCATACTATGGTACCGAGTATGCATGCTGTTGCGATGTGCAGTACAAGGTGTTCATGTTTTGGCCAATCCTACAACAAGTAAATGAAAGCTGCCAGTAATCTATGATGGAAGATGCAGGCAGAGAAGGGGTAATCGAACCTATCATGATCATGATGACCAGCGTCATTGTCATTGAGACGCGTTGGCCATTTGATGCGACAGCACGTCTTGATGGACTGGCACTGGCACGCTCGCATGACTGGCACAACTGGGCACCCCCTAATACTTGGATCACTGCACGCATGCATGCGACTATCATGTTGGCCTCGAGTTTTGGGGGTACTTCTACTTAGTTGGAGGCCTTCATAATTTTTGACCTCTATCGGCGTAGAAGTCGGTGTGTACGATAGTAATAGAAATGGGTCAGCCTCGTTTAGTCCTAAAGTCCATACTCCGTACAATTCTATACATATGTACTATTACTACATCATCATATTGAAAAGCCTCCTCGGCACAACAAAATACCCGTGACCCGTAAACTCCCTGCACGGAGTACGGAGTACGTAGGATTCCCTCTGGTCGGGTGCCCGTGGTCCAATATTCGCCCCACATACCATGCCTAGCGAGCACGCCGCGCACGCTTAAAACCGCTCATACATGTCATTCTCGACTAGTGTGTCAGAACATCTGTCAGGTGCAATTGTCCTCAAACTCGAATCAGTTATCTTCGTCATTCAGCAGCACACGCCTGTCCCTACCAACTTGACACTTTTGCCACTCACTCTTTTAGGGTGACTAAACATCTGATTCTGATATCAGTTAAGCAGTTATCTCTTAATAAATATTGAACACGCCAACGCCGTCCATTAGCCGTGGGTCCCTTGGGGTTTGATTCATGCCGGACAGCCTTCACTGCACCCTGACATCTCACTCTTCACAACGTCCCTCCCTCACTTATCACGATAGTCACTACACATCTCCACGGTTTGCTTCCGGAACAATGTCTAGAAGTGGTTGACGACCACAACTTCGGGTCATCAATAAAAGCTTCGGATATCGGACATCCGTGCCTGCTCTTTCTCCACACCTGACGATCTGCTTAGCGATTGACATTGCCCCCCAGCACCAATCTGCCTACCCTTGCTTCTGCTTTACCCTCTCTCCTCTTCGCCCTCTTCCACACACAGGCCGCCCAAGATGTCACAGACTGTGTTAATGAAGGAGTACAAGGCTCTGGCCAAAGAGAAATGGGTACAGATCGACGTACGTCATGTCATGCCTTCGCCGTTTTGCATCCATCTTAACTCAAGTCAACAGGTCGACGAGGATAACATTTACCACTGGAATCTAGCCCTCATGGTCCTGAACCCTGACTCACTCTATTATGGAGGCTACTTTAAGGCTCAGATGACTTTTCCCAAAGACTACCCCTACAAACCTCCGGGTCAGTAAAGTCTTTGCCAATCAAATCACCACTCTAACCTTGACCTTAGACTTCCGTTTCGTCAAACCACTATGGCATCCCAATGTCTACATCGACGGCCGTCTCTGCATCTCCATTCTCCACGCCCCTGGCGAAGACATGATGTCCGGTGAAAGCGCAGGGGAACGTTGGTCACCAGCCCAACGTGTCGAATCCGTCCTCATCTCCATCCTATCCCTCCTCGACGATGCCGAAATCTCCTCACCCGCTAATGTCGATGCCAGCGTCCAGTTCAGAGACGACAAAGAAGCATACAAAGAACGAGTCAAGCAAGACGTGGAAGCGTCAAAGAAAGACATCCCCGAAGGATTTGTGTTGCCCACCCACGAGTCGACCTTACCAGTGGTGGAAAAGTTGGACGATGATTTCTGGAATGACAGTGACGCCGAAGAGGTCGATTTCGATGACTTTGGTGACTTTGACGACGACGCCGCGAATGGAAGTGAATCCGATGCGGCTCTTAATGTCGACTCGGAGGACGAAGAGAACTATGAAGAGGAGGATGACGATGATACCGATCACGCCAAAGATGTGAAAGGAAAGGCCCGCGAGGATCGGTTGGACTCTGAAATGACAGAGCCAGACGATTATTGAATATGAGTCTTTCTGGTCCCGCGAGCTTACCACTCATGTCTTTTCACCCACATTCACATATAACCTGCATTGCCTGTGGCAAGTGTGCATGGTGGGTCATTATGGGCGTTAAGGGCTCAGCATAGGAATGGTTCGGTTCGGCAAGACCAAGGGTTCCATCCATCTCGATCTATGGTTGAGCGAGGCGTACGGCGTTGGGATTTTGCCTGATAGGCGATTGAGGAATTTTGAGCTGCATTGCATTTCGTCTCTTTGGCATCGACTGAAATGACCACAACAAGTGGGCATTTCTTACCCAAGTGGCAAGGGGGATTTGGGACTGCTGAGGGCATGTCCATTAATATGTCTGCAAAGCCAGCATTTAGCTAAACGCACAGATATCATGCTTTTGCACACTATCCCAAGTTAACATTGCATTCATTATCTGATGGCAGGCTGTCCGCTCTACAAGCTTGCCCTGCTTCCGTTGTCTTCTACCTCGTGGACTATCTTCATGATCTCTTCCACACATCTCTCCGGCTGCTCCTGGTTGACCCAGTGACCTGCACCATCCACCAGAATGGTGCCGCGGTAGCAACCTTCCTTGACACTTTTCCCTTGTTCCATGGCCTCCACAGCGCCAGGTTCTTGAAACGTGCCCCAATCGCTCTTGCCCGCAACGAATACAGTAGGGACAGAGATCTTGCGTGAGGCCCACACATCTACGTCAGAGGCAATCTCTGGCTGTGTCTGCACACGATACCAGTTCAGGCCGCCCTGGAACGAAATCCTAGACCATTCATCGACATAGACCGCGAGTTCGTGGTCAGGGAGCCAACGAGCGGCACGGGTAGCGACTTGATCCGGGTTTTCCTCCTTCATGTCACGAGCGACGGCTTCGCGCATATTATCGGCAAGATCCATGATGTAATACCGGGGCATCAGGGCCAGTTCTTCGGCAGTCCATCCCTTGAGAGGGTGTGGGGCGTTTGTGTCCCAGTCGGCGGATTTCAAATGAAAGTAGCCTCGGAGAAAGGTGTGCAGAGCCTGACCGGTGGGATTGGTCATGTCATTGTTGGAGGGAGATGTGCAGTAGTACCATTTGTAGTGTTTTCTAGGGCGGGGCAGTTCCGCAAGGGCTTTTTGAATGTCGATGGACGGTGGCGGAGGTGATGCGGCGGTTCCATAGGATGGCGATGTGGACAGTGGAATGTGTCGAGGTCCTTTGGTCGGGTGCGACATGAGGACGAGTGACTGGAACAGGTCAGGTCGTGCCAGAGCGCATAGACTGGCCGTCACGGCTCCAAAGTCATGTCCAACAATACTGGTCACAGACGTGTAACCCAAGGCGTGGACCAGGGTGACGGTATCTTTTATGAGATTGAGGGGTCGGAACGACAGTGCGTCAAGGGGTTTGCGAGAGAAGGTCCGTCCGTAGCCTCTGGTGTCGAAGGCCACAGCATGATAGCCTTGCGCAGACAGAAGAGGTAGGATCTTGCGCCATGAGTAGGCGATTTCGGGGAATCCGTGGGCGAGGAGGATGAGTTTTGGCTTGTGTGAAGAGAAGGGGATATGAGGCACTGATTCTAGGATGTGGAAGACGAGGCTGTGAGGGGTCGTATCGACGAAGCGAGAGGTGACACCATGAGGGAGATCCAAGGGAGGGAGGGTGGTGGGATCGACGTTGGTTGATGTCGAGTCTTGGTGTGTATAAGCCATGGTTAGAGACGAAGAAGGCGAGGTGATCTTACATGCTCATTGCTGACAGTCGAACTTTTGAGGTGTATATATGTAGGTATGACTCTTCCTCGTATATCAACCGGCATCTTCTGCCTGTTCAACCGACCAGATGCGGGGAAATGTAGACCCGCGGCGGTTGTGAAGCCGACCGAGCCTGGCACAGAACCAGTGAATGGGTCATTGGATGAGAAGCATGTCAGAATGGAGTCTTGACCCCAGATCGGAGATGGTAGTTGAACACGCTCTTGGCCATTGTCAGCCCTGCCGAGATACATGCACCCCAGGAGGATCTTCTTGCAGATGGAATCTGGAGTTGAGAACCTGTATGAGCCGAAGAAAAAATAAATGGAGTATACCTAATATTGCAACAAAGTCATTGTGATATGATGTAAATGTCACGTGGAATCGCGCTTGGTGTTGAGCAGGCACGTCAGGTTAACTGCAACGCGACCCAACCATGGCTCCTGCTTTTTCAAGGACAGTATAGGCTGAAAAGATACCTTGTTCCGTGACTTGGTAGCTGAACTTCGTGGGGCTTCATAAAGAATGTAGTAACATGCTACGATTGAAGACGCAAATACATGATGTAATCGGCTTAGTTATTGGTAGAGCTCCCATGCCAACCTTATTATGATTGGATTGGTTTCCCACTTGTCAGCTCACACGGCGCGCAATGACCACAGATCTTGTCCATCCGTTACTCATTTCTCGTCAACAAGACAGAAAACGACGAGGAAAGCCCAGAGAGCCAGAGGGTTTGAACCGCAGTGGACCCAAGTAGCCTAGACTCGACCTCTCTACCTCTCTCCCTCTTTAAACCTGGTGTGTGCCATGCTGCCAAATTTCATTTCTTGCAGGACATCTGCGTCACCAAAGCCAATTCCCACACCCCAGAAGTGGTGACAGGTGGGTAACCAGCCGAGGAAGAAGGTCAAACCTGCGCTTCTACAGTGCTGAGTCGTCTGTGGCGGTAACTAAAATGGGGTTTTATGGAACCCATCTAGCGCCACTCGGCCCCGTGAGATAGATGGCGACGGGCCACCACCACCACCTTGCTCCCATCGACACTATTTACCCACCTTGACAGACTGCGAATGCCGTTCGACTCTCAGCACGGGTACTGTCAGTTGACTTTGCCTCCTACGTAGTACTCCGTACAGTACGTACATTTACTGCTTTTTGTTGGGTGGTGCAATACAGACGGGTAGGACCATGCGTAGCTACTCTTCACCTAATAGGTACTAGTAGGTCAAGTCCAGGCTGCAAGGGTTGATCCAAGCACTTCACGCACTAAAAATCAAGCCCCATTAGTCCCCCCCCGGCCCCCCCATTAGAACTGAGCCACACTGATGAAATCTGTTCCACTTTCAGTCGTAGGGAGAGAAGAAAGCAAGCTGCTATGGAGGATCAGTGCCCATTGCCCCGGTGCTCATCATCCAGATGCATCCACTGTTCACACTAATCTGCCATCGCTGTGTTTTTGCCGGCCTCTGCACGCCTCTGCTCATACTTACTTTAGTGACTAGGTAGTAATCTAAGTACTCCGTAGTAGAAAAACAGTTCATCATCATCATTATTGATTGTTGAACTGGCGCATAAGTCATTGCCTACAACACCTGCAGAACAAGCTCTAGCTGCGGTCTCGCCCAAGTTAGTGTCCTTCCTTCTCCAGCTTCCTACTCATCCATCTTCAACTTCCCTTGTCTCCCGGCAGCTTTGAACCACGCCACGGGTACTCTGTCCAAAACCCTCGTCGCTCCATTCCCTCACAATTCAACTTTCTTTCAACTCCTTCCTTTATTTCATCACTTAATTCCCAAAACCCTTGTCAACAGGATCGAGCTTTTGCAACAGAGGTTCGCTTTCGACCTGCACAGAAATGGGGGACGATTTTTACACGTTCGCCCGCCCTGCAGCTACCCGATAACAACGTCACTCGACACCATCTACGCTTTCTTCTGCACCACGTCTGACAATTCTACAAAGCCACCTGTTCTTGGACTTTCCCATTGATCGCAATTCAACGCACTCCATTTGACAACCATGAGTCTTTTTCACCGGCGCAGCCGGTCGGCCTCGGCCTCTGTAAGTAATCCTGCTTCTCGCGTACCATTATTTTGAATCAAGTGCTGACAATATTCTACCTCAGCGGCCCCAGACGCCAGCTTCCGCCTCAGCTCACATGGCGGCCACCCAGGCATTTCTGGCGAATCGTACCTCTCAGGCAAACCTCTCGGCCACCGCTGCTGCTGCCGCCTTGAGAAACCTGACGCCAACCCCAACGCCTGTGGAACAGGTCCAAACTAAGCGTATGATTCAGAAACAGGCGTCCTTATCCAACATTTCTACCTCAGCTCGAGGGCGAAGAGGTGGTCTCCAGAGGCAGAGTAGTCACTCGTCCATGACAGAGCGAACCTTCCGAACGCCATCGCCTTCACCTTCCAGACAATCTTTACGTCCAGAACCTCTTCCTCATCCGCCTGTCCCGCGAGTTCCTGAAGATTATACAACCAGCCCAACGACCGTCCCAAAACCAAAGAAGTCGAAACAGCGGCCTGCTAGTCACGCTGGCCCTCCTCCACCATCGAAACAGGTCAATCCTATAGCAGCTCCGGGACGGACCGATCTTTCGTACCAGCAGCCTGCATCTCCCTTGGTGCGGCGACCTAATGACCTCGAAAGGACAGACAGCAGAAACTCCATCAATTTCTCAAGACCTCTCTCGCCCCGACCGCAGTCCCCCATTCCCCAATCCTCTCCGGTCAGCCAACCACCTGCGATGAACGGTGACCGGTTTCCACCAAATGCTGCTGCCGCCATATCGCTCAAACAAGCCGAAGACATTCAATATGGGCTGTCGCAAGCCGCGAATCAGCCAGTCAAGAAGAAGAAAAAGAAGGTTGCCGGCCACGCGGCCGAGGGTAGCCATCTCCACGAGGGCACAATGGCCAGTAGGCCAGTAGTCACGCCTCTCGAACCTGGCCCGGAAAGACAACAATCACCTGCGTATCAAGACAGTGAGCTCCAGGCTCCGATCAAGAAGAAAAAGAAGAGGCGGGCGGAGTTGACTGGAGAAAGCTCGCACTTTCCCTCCACCGAGGTTCCGCGCACGGATTCAGACTCGGATTCTAACATTGACCGAAACAAGGAAAAAAGAGCCCAAAGAGCCTCCGGGACTTTGCAAAAACAGCCGTCGATTGTCAAAGAGGACTGGGAAGGTGAACAGCAGGAGCAAGTTGAACCTCAGACCACCAAGCCGGCGTCCGCCTCGGATCCTACTACCAACCAGCGCACTTCAACAATCGCAAATTCCTCACGAAAGATGGAAGAACCCCTCATCGTATCCAAGCCAGCCGCCCAGCGATTCCCATCACCAGCGCCAGTCAAGGCACAACCTGAGCTGGCCAACTCCGGGCCACAAGAAGCTGCTCCTGTACTCACCAACAACCTCCGAGTACAAGAGCCAGTTTCGGTAAGAGGCTCATCCCTGAGCCCGTCACGATCGACGCGTTTCTCCGACAGACTCTCGTCGGATCTTGCTCTTGGTCGCAAACACGAACCATTACCAAGGTCCATCTCACCAGCAAAGTCTGCTCTAAAGCATCACTCTCCCGCGCCGAGTGGCTCTCCATCCGACCCAAATGCTCTGAGGCCTCGAGGTGCTAGTGTCACTCCGAGCGAATCTTCGGACATGTCCACGGCTGATGCGGATGCGCCTCCCAGGCGGAAGAAGTCTGTTCGCGTGAGTTTCGATGCTGAACCGGAGGTCGTGGGCGTGAGCTTCCCTGCTCAACCTATTGAAAGCCCAAACAAAGATAAAAAGGGTTGGCTTGGTCTCGGCAAGAACAAGCCACCTTTAACCACAATTCCTTCGAATGACGATATGGAGGAATTGATGAAGCCTCGGCCTCAGCTTCCATCATTTGGGAGTGTCCGGGGCCAAAAGTTCCGTGATGGAAGTGATACGGCTACGTCACCATCCACGAAATCAACGGATAGCCGCGCTTCGATGATGGCTACCGAAAGCAAGCCTGAGCCATCGTCAATTGCATCGTCTGACACTTCTTCAAGTTCATTCAATCCTGCTTTCAGTGGAGCATCAAATGATCACGTCGTTGGCGCTATCTTTGCACAGGAAGCTCAAAGAAAAGCTGAGCAAAACGCAAGACTGAATGAACCGTTGCCTCCAGAGGTGACTTCTGTGGAAGGTGGAATATCATACAGTGATACAGAAAGTGAAGCTTCTGAAGATGACCAGCCACCACCCAGTCTTCCAGCCGCCCACGCGACCGTTGTGAGGGCCATTCCAATAGAGCCCGAAATACCCACGCCTGCGGTAGCCCAACCTCCTCCGCAAAGAGAGGTGCCTATCGTGGCTGTCTCGCCTCCTACTCCTGCGCTTGAGCAATCAGCTAAGAACGATCAATGGCAAGTGGAAGTACCAGGCGGTTTCCCCGTCTCCTCAAGTGCCCTTGCGCAACTCAACCAAGCCAACCAAGCTCCTCCTGGCACTGGAGAGCTAGCATTTACTCCCGGTCAAGGTAATGATGCCTCGAGTGAGACGGATTCCGACAATGATAGCATCTATAGTGATGCTGCGGAAGATCCCTCTGAGATGGATGGTACGGGGTTTGGCTCAATCGACGCCATCGTTGACAGCCCTATCATTACTACTCCAATCAAACGCTCCGAAGTAATTCCGGAAAGTCCACTGTCTAGAGTGGCGGAACCACGGCCTCTGGCAGAATCGCAACCGGGCACGGTAGTTGCATCGTGGGAAGAAAGCCAAGCTAGATGGAGACGCCTTGCTGAGCAGAGCAAACAGGGACCTCTGAGTTCCCAAGCTGCAGACTTACAGACTTCTGTACAAGATGATACCCGCGAACAGGCTCAGCCAAACGCCCCCAAACCACTTCAATTGCCTGCCGAGGAAAGCACCTCTCGGCCAGTCCAGACAAGAAAGAAGAAAAAGAAGTCTACTGCGGAAATTGCTGCTCTGGCCTCTGTGCCTGTCGCAGCTCAAGCAGCACGAAGCTCTCAACTTGATTCGCCTATCCTCCAGAAGAGTCAGCCATCTTCATATCCCGCCATTAATAACGACAGGCGTGATCCCTCACAATCCCAATCCTTCCGACACTCGATGCGCAACGCTTCTCCACCGACTTCCGAGCCTCACTTCAAACAGTCAATGCGTAACCAAAACCGCAATTCGTTGCCAGTCACTGGGACCGCCCCACCAAAACAGAAAAGGTATTCGCAACCTTCGAATCCCCCCTCCGTGCACGCTCAGGCTGCAGCGAGAGCTCCAACACAGTCCCGAGCGGCCTTGCAGAAGAAGCATATTCCTTCGCAACCCGCCGCTGGAGCTGGAGCTGCATCAGCCGTCACGGCATCACGTGTCAAGCCAGTACCAGTTCCTGTGAACAACGACAGCGATTCGGAGAGCTCTTTCAGAAAAGCACGTCGGTCCAAGTCAAATGCTGGAGGGAAATATACGATGCGTAGGAGCATGCGAGGAGCTCCTGCAGACACTTCATCCTCTCAAGGCAGCGCACGTAATGGGGTCCGGTCCGTGTCACCGGTTGGGCGACGGCAATTTTCGCCACCTGCAGGACCTCGTACGATGAGAACATCCATGAGGAGCTCGATGGACAACACTCCTACCCTTCGTGGCCCGGTCGACAACAGGTCCTCAGAAAATAAGCGTTCTGCTTCTCTATTTGGTCGCCGTCCTAAAAGTCCACCTCCTGCTGTTCCTGCTATAGGAGGTCAGCACTTTGCTGCTAGCCGCAGCAAATCTCGAGTTGTTGATTCGGACGACGAGGGTGATGCACCGAGGCGCCCCAAGTTCCGGTCCCGATTTGCGGACGATAGCGATGATGAGCCTGATGCGCACTACACACCTGTACGGGGCATTCCAAGAAGGGCGAACGAAACCGACTCAACCGATCTCGAGGATAGCTCGGATGAGGAGAAAGTTGCAGCCCGGACGCCGCCCAAACTTGCAATTCCAGCCAACGCTGCGCAACCCGTTAGTGAGCCATTGTCTCCCAATAGCGAAAAGAAACGCGGCCTGTTTGGTCGATTCCGGAGTAAGAAGCCCAAGGATGAAGCTTTGTCACCGGTGGTTGAAAGTCCAAAACCAGTCTCTAGCAAACCGTCACACCTCGGCTTTTCGTCTGGTTCTGAACGCGACAGAATCATCGCCGAAACTCAGGCCAGGCTAGAAGAAGCGAAGTACGGACCGGCAATCGACCCGGCAGCATCGTCTCAAGGACACGCGAAGCTTCAACGGCGCCATCAACCCCAGCGGGTCATGAGCGACTCATGGCCTCTTCCTCCCAAAATTCCTGACCATTTGGACAACCGACCTGGGACGGCAGAGAGTGCGCCTGTTGTACGCAATGGAACCACCAGACTTGCGGAAGGCAGCATGAGGACGGGCACTTATGAGGTACAGGCTGTTGGTCGAAGTGGGAAGAAGAAAAGATTCCCAATGCTTCGAAAAGCCTTTGGGCTGAAAGACTAGGGGTCATGCCGAAGGATCTACTTTTGTGTCTGGTAGCCTGCTGAGCATATTGTGAAGTGGCAACCAACAATGTTTTCATTTCTTCATTCGAAAAACTGTGACCAATCAAGTAATGGTCTTCACCAACGGCATACAATTTTCCCAAGCACTAGACGAAGGAAGGACAGAATGACGACACTCGCTCACACATGGAGCAACTTTCTCTTGACTTTCAAGGATAATTTGAAGCGATGGGATGATAGACAAGAGTGTCAGCTATGAAAAGGGTTTGCATGCAGAGGTTTGGTGTGTCGAGTGTCTTTGATATCTTCATGTCTCTTGTGCAGGGAAAAAAAGAATGGGTACTGGGGCATCGAGATCGATCTACAGACAAGATCTGGTCTTGAAAAGCGCCGAAAAGTCTTCTTGCGTCAGTGTTTGACAACGAAATGGACGCCAGGTGGATAAAGCAGGGCGTCGTAAGGAATACGACCATTTAATCAGAGCTCAATATAACTCCCATAATTCTTAATCCTATGTCTTTTGGCTACAGTGCTATGTAATTATCGTATTTTGCCACAATGCCATATGGGAGATCTATAGGACTTTGAAGAGGAGCACATGGTCGATGGCAGGAACGAGAACTACGATGATCCCAAGTGTTTGCCACATTAGGCAAAGACCAGTCAGAGACATCAACAGACACACTCGCATCTCGTCATCGTGTTCTGCTTTCCAAAGCCACAGCCTCCGTGTTAGTCATTCACCTGATGCAGATAATGGCGTCGGAATTTGGGGTTTTGACAACATTCAAGGTGGGTAGTCGCTGACTCATGGCGGAATGTCAGGATGATCCTGCGTCATATCTGATGATTGGTGCATGGATGGCGCAGGGAATATTGACCACATGGGCAAAAGCAAAAGGATGAGCACCTCGCCAGAAAAAATAACTGGCATTGTGCAGCGACTGGCTGTCGGATCAGAATAGCCGCATCTCAATTGAGGTCCGAGGAGAAGAAGCTACTTGATTGACAATGTCCTATCAGATATGGTTGGATCGATCGGAAAGAAATGCATCTTTACACGATAATAATCTTTGAGATGCTGTGGGCGGCCAAAACGACAGTGCTCCGGGGCCGAGGGGGCGCCTAGAATTTGAGGGGCGCAATAGAGGGTTGAGGGGCAGCTTTAACTACCTACTGGTAGACTATTGAACTGGTAGGGATAAATAGCAGCTGTGGATTCTGATGGTTCCAGAATGCCGTGGGGATTACCAAATCAGTCCCAACCGAGAGCTCCCGCAACTCACAGCTTGGGCCCCAATGACCCCTCGTCCGTCAGCGCCTGTTGTTTCCGGGCATGGCGACACTCCCCAACGACTAAACAGTCAGAGGCGAGATCCCCACGCTCCTCAGACAGCAACAGCAACAATTAGAGTAGACAATTAGTAGCAATTCAGTTTCACCAAACCAACGAATTCGCTGTGTTGCCCCACCTTGCATCAGATGTTGTCACGGTTCTCTGATTCTGGTGCTGAAAAAAGGAACCCCTCCTTCGAGACCCTCTGACCCTCCAACCACTCAACCTCAGACCCTTGTCTTGTCCATGCCCACTTTGTCCTATCCCAATCGTACATTCGTCACGGTGCTGTCCTCCAAGAGAGCGATTTAAAAAACAACCAATTCAACCCCTTCCCGTCTCATCATAATTTTTGCCTTCGCATCAGACTCTGAATACTTTACTTTTGACCCTTCTTCGCTATCTCCTCTTCCCAGACTTGCTTTCCAATTGACACAATCCATACTATCTCACACACAATCATGGCTTCATCTCTTGACCAACTCAAGGCCACTGGCACAGTATGTTGAGTTCCCCACCATCCCACCATCCCACCATCCGCCTTCCCCCGGTGTTTGGGTTTGTTTTGAATGCTGTTCTAACCTCCCTCAACAGGTCGTTGTCAGTGACTCTGGTGATTTCAACTGTATGTCAGCCCTCGTCAACCACCCAAGCCATCCATCTCCGTTAGTCACCAGCTAACAAGCAACAGCAATTGCCCAATACAAGCCTCAAGATGCTACCACCAACCCCTCCCTCATCCTGGCCGCATCCAAGAAGCCCGAGTATGCCAAATTGATCGATCCTGCCGTCGAGTATGGAAAGGCTCACGTACGTTACCTCACTAGAGATCTATTCTTGCAAGAGCAAAATACTAAAGCTATTGGAAATAACAGGGCAAAACCATTGACGAGCAAGTTGACGCCACCCTTGACCGACTCTTGGTTGAGTTCGGCAAGGAAATCTTGAAGATTGTCCCAGGCAAGGTGTCAACTGAAGTCGATGCTCGGCTCTCTTTCGATACCCAAGCCTCCGTCGATAAGGCTCGCCACATCATCGCTGTAAGTGGTTTTCGCTCAAGCCGGCATCTGACCCATTTCTAACTGATCGCAGCTCTACAAAGAACAAGGCATTGATAAGTCTCGTGTCTTGATCAAGATCGCCTCGACCTGGGAAGGTATCAAGGCCGCCGAGATCCTTCAAAAGGAGGGTATCAACACCAACTTGACCCTGTTGTTCTCCATCGTCCAGGCCATTGCCGCCGCCGAGGCCGGTGCCTTCCTCATCTCACCCTTCGTTGGCCGTATTTTGGATTGGTACAAGGCTGCCCTGAAAAAGGACTTCCCCGCCTCTGAAGATCCAGGTGTCAAGAGCGTGCAGCAGATCTTCAACTACTACAAGAAGTATGACTATAAAACCATCGTGATGGGTGCCTCTTTCCGGAACGTCGGTGAAATCACCGAGCTTGCTGGAATCGACTACTTGACCATCTCACCCAACTTGTTGGATGATCTCCACAAGTCTACCGACAAGGTCCCCCAGAAACTCCACGCTGAGGAGGCAAAGTCACTTGACATCCCCAAGCGCACCTACATCAACAATGAGGCCGACTTCCGCTTCGACTTCAACGAAGAGCAAATGGCCGTGGAGAAGCTCAGAGAAGGTATCAGCAAGTTTGCTGCTGATGCCGTGACCCTGAAGGGCATTCTCCGGGAGAAGATTGAGAAGGCCTAATTTGCGTCTTACCAGGATATCTATTTCTTTGGACGTGAAAAGCGATGGCACGGGTCTCGCCCTCATTGACACGACTCCAAATTTCGTACGAGTTTGAACCAAGGACAACACGTGGAATTTGCAGTGGTTATGAGTACATAGGTGTATACATTTTCTGTAACGAGACTGTCATGAACCCCCCGAAAATATCAAGATCCATGTGACTCTGTGTGTGTGTTTTCTTTCCCCTGGCCGCTGCGATATACAGGAGTAACATGTACCACAGTCAGCCATTGTCTCCGCCACATGTCTCACTCTTGAAAGTACATTGTCCTTTTCGACTCGATAGGGGGAAAGAATTACATCGCATGCATGATCTATACCACGAGCAACGCAGCATGACACTTGAAGTGAATCAGGAGTCCTGTATGCTCAAAGATACTATTGAACGGTGGCGGCGTGGCAAGCCTGTCAGATACATATTCCCCAAAACCATGGACGAAAGACTGGGGCAAGAGTGCACCAGTCGGCCAACATTCCTCGTTGGGAAGGAACATAGATGACGCCGCTCCCAAGAAAATTATGTTACCGCGCCAGCCCCCTTCGGCCCAGGGGGGTTCCGACTCAATCACCAAAGCCCAATAATGCATTGTCGCGGTGCCACCTAAGTTCCAGTTAGGGGAAGATGCCCCAAGCCCCAAGCCTCAATGCCACCAGGAAGGAGCCAGTCAAGCCTCGGCCGCTCCTGCCATCAACAAAAGATGACGACTGTCCATGGGAGATGCCGCTACTTTTTACCAAGATTACAACATCTCGTCGCCAACTTGCGGCTGCGACCACACACTGCTTCTTCAATTCTTCTGACATGATACTATATAATTCCAACATGACCTTTCACTTCATAATCACTTTATGACCCAAGTCTATATCACTGGCCTTCTTTCTCTCGTTAGTGCACGACCCTTTTCCGATGTCTACCTAGGTTAGGATCGACATCGCGAAGCCGTCTCTGGCTTCGTGCACCGCCTGCCAATATGAAGGAGATCAAACCCATCAAACCCATCAAACCCATGAGCAAGCAGACAGGCAACATTGTGACGGCTCGCATCATTCCTGTCTTTCTTGTCGCCATTCTTGGCTATGCTTCTTACGCCGTCACCCTAGTCATTGGTATCGATTACCTGCTCAACCCGGCACCTTCCCTCCCTACCTCCATTCGGCCCCGGACTGGCACCGCCATTGCCATCCTCACCATCTATTACCTGCTCCTATTGATGTTGTTGATATGTCTGGGCCGACTCCTTTATACTGTCACTGAAAATCCCGGGCTCGTGCCGCGAGGCGGACAATACTACGTTGAAAAAGAGCGTGCCCTGTCCAAGTCGTCCGAAAATGACAATCATGAATATAACAAAGAAGCGCGGCTATCTGACTCCTCCCATGACCACCCAGGCTATACATCACGTCACCTGCGACGGCTCAGAAGGGACTCCAAGTCCGACAGCAGGATCCAAGCAGAGCGCTTTTGGCACAAGGACGCCTTCATTTGCGGCTATGATGGTAGGCCACCTTTCTGCTCTACTTGCTACAATTACAAGCCAGACCGTGCCCATCACTGCAGTGAACTCGGTCGCTGTGTGATAAAAATGGACCACTTCTGCCCATGGGTTGGTGGCATTATTTCCGAAACTTCCTTCAAATATTTCATCCAATTCACCTTTTGGGCCGCCGTGTTTTGCCTATACAGTATGATCTTCACGTCATATTTCTATGCCACGAGAAGGCGAGAACAACCTGGATTCATCAATGTGCACTGGATCTTGATCATAGTTCTTGCGACCCTCTTTTTCTTGTTTACGGCTGGTATGTGTGGCAGCAGCCTACAGTTTGCTTTCATCAACTCGACGACCATTGAGAATTTCAATCGCAAGTCAAAGATCTGGTATGTGGCCGTCTGGGTGCCTAATAGCGTCTTGACCCGATATCATGAGCAGCGGAGAGACGACTTGAGATTGATCAGTTACCCACGCCCACCTGCAGAGCAGTTTCAGTCACTCAGAGTGACTCGGGGTGCTGAGGGAGATGAAAGCCTGACGAGCGTTGCGTCCAACGAACCAAATCAAGCGAGGAGTCTGAGCCGGGACGAGACTGTGGATGCGAACAAAGATGCTCTGGACAACGTCGGTGCTCAAACACAACAACCGCAGCCACCAAGGCCAATATATGACCCTCAGTCGGCATCGCTTTTTCCTCCTCATCCGGCAGTTGCCCGTACCACACCACCTGTATCTCGCGGTGGCGATGATAACACAGGGGCATCTGCAGAACGGTTTAAAGCTCAATATCAACCAGCGGTCCGTACCTTTGCCATCCTGGAAACCGAAGCAGGCGCCAATCCCTTTGACCTAGGCTCATTCGCCAACTTCAAACAAGTCATGGGCAATTCTCTATTCGACTGGTTACTACCCCTCCGTGCACCGCCGCTGACTGATCACTCCGACCCAACTGGCTTCTATCAATTTGGGCCAGTGCTCAAGTCGTTGAGGCAAGAAGTCGGGATCGAATGGCAGGAGGATGAGACCGAAGAAGGTCAGGTGAAGGGAACTCATCGATCTCGTCGTCATCGGAAACATGACCGGCGACGAAAGAAGACACGAGACGCTGAACATCCACATCGCAATAGGAGTCGACGTGGTCGGCATGCTGACGGTGCCTATGGCACTGACAACACGCTGGAAGGGAGAGGCAAGCCTGATCATCGATCATGACGGGGAACAGTAGGGAAAGACACTGTCCGTTTTCAGTTTGTCCTAGCATATTAGCGTAGCATTTTGAATTTGATTGGAATAAAGTCAAGCATGCGTGGGCAATGTCATTCAAAGGGTACGTACTTCTTAAGGTAGGTCACTACTAAGAGGCACTACTTTGGTACTCAGTACTAACTGTACTTCATTACTTGTCGCACTGTGTTATAACACTCCTTAGGAACCTTACTCACGTAGTTGTAGTTAGTACAAGGTAGGGTAAGTATCTTACCTAAGTACACTCGGTGTTCTGCATTATCTAGTACCATTTGTTAGGTACCTCCTCCCTATTGCACTTCCCTCCAAAACCGAGTTGAACCAGGCTGAACCAGGCCTGCTGAACCGAGCCAAACAGGGTCGGAATCGCAGGCCGAACCGACTTGACACTGGTTGGACTCGCGCTGACCTCGAGCTGAATTCGAGCCAGCGATGATTTAACGTTGGATCAAATCAAGTACTTACCTAGGTAAGGTACCTACCTAGTAAGGTACTTGCCTTGGTACCTGATAGACCGAACATCGTGGGCGAGTAAGTCCTGTACTACGGAGTACTTACTTACTGTAAAGTCAAGACTTACTAACTTAAGTATCTAAGTTAAGTATAGTACTTACCTTACTACTAAGTACTGTAGGTAAGTAGGTAGTACTACTTGAAGTTGTTCCCCATACTATGTCGTAAGTAGTACCTTCTAGACATAGGGAGATGAAGACTAGTCCTATTCTGGATATATCGTGGCACTTTTGTAATGATAAAGGAAAAATTGGTCTCAAAAGGGAAGGAGCGACCCACGAAATACTAAGTATACTAGCTGGCGCCTTCCTCACGTTCTTTTCAAGGAAAGTACTAAGTAAGTACCTAAGTACCTACTTAAAGTACATGACTTATAGGCAGGTACGAGATAGGCACTAAGATTAGTACTGTAGTACAGTAAAGTACCTTATTAGTAACTTATAGGCAGATGTGAGATAGGTGCTAACGTTAAAGTACTTACCTACCTAGTAGTAGGTACTACTTAGTGGTATAATACTTACTAAGGTAAGTATTATCTAAGTACTTTATATTATCTAAGTAGGTACCTGCCCTATGGTGCCAGCCTATAGAATAGGGAGTAGTACTTAGTAGCACTAGGCTCGTAGGGCTGTAAAGGGTTGAGACTGATATTAGTGCGACATTGCCCGCTCCAGCCTACTACTACTAGACCTCCTAATAATAATATACCTTTGTATATGCGACTCATGCTGCATCCTGTCGACACCGAATCTTTATATACCTAAATCTAGAGGTTAAGTAAGTAGGTAGGTACTACCTGTCTAAATCTCATCATATTGCATACACAGCCTGTAGTCTCTGACCCGCTCTAAACATTATCCGCATAATTGCTATTGCCCGCGTCAGGTTCGATTTGAATATCTGGAATGGGCGGATTTCCAGTTGTTTGTTGAGGCGGCGGCGGTCGAGAACCAATACCTGGAATCGGGAGGTTTGGTGATTGGCCGGGCAATGTAGTACTATAGCTTTGCGAAGGAGGTACAGAGACCGCCTGCGGCTGTTCCACTCGGATAGGAGGAATCTGCTGTGGTTGTTGTGCATTGTTGAACGGATTCCGGGGGTCAAAAGGTTGTGTTGGAGGAGGAGCATTAATTGCGAGCGGCCTTGCGTGGGTTTCGTCATCATCACTGGGGGTATCATAACCGTCATCATCCTTGCCTCCTCTGCGACGCTTCTCCTCTAATTCGGCTTTCCATCTCTGTTCTCGAAGTTCTGTAGACATATTGGTTAGAAATCTAGATATCCGACTGACGTGGATAGCACCACCATAACTTACCCCTGATCTCCTTTGTTTTGTCGGCAAGCTTCCCGATCTCCTCTCTTGATACAACACGAAGAACGATCACATAATCGCCTTTCTCTTCAAATCTTTCGTGGGCCTTTTCAAGCGCTTCAGGATTTACCAAAGCACGGCTGATCTTGGTCCAGCGTGCGTTTGGAGGCACACCATCCTTGGTGGCATCTTTGAGAGGTGCAACACCCTCACGTTCTGGGTTGGGATCCTCTGGAAACGGCATTTCTCGAGGCTTCTTCAGGATTCCCCTCGGCTTCACCTCGTCCTTTTTCTCAGTCGGTTCGACAAGCTGGACTCGCCTTGGGCGAGTGTCTTCGCCGTCGCCCGGAGAAACTGTGCGAGGTTCTGCATTCGTAGAGACTCTTTCGTCCTCCCTAGAGGTGTCTCTGGAGGGGTCTCTGGAGGGGTCTCTCGTAGCATGCCTCAAACGAGTTGCCCCACGTGCTTCAGAGGTTCGGTCCGCGCTCAGCCCACGCGGATCGAGATCCTTTTCTCCAGAATCTTCTGTCGTGTCTGACTCCTCCAGTCTTGACGACCTGTCTCTGTGCTTTCGATGGTGTCTGTGTCTCTCACGGCGATCTTCCTGGTCATCTACTGGATCCTCGGATCTTGTTTCTGGCCTGCGTCGATCAGATCTATCCCCATTGCTAATTGCCATATCTTTCTCAAAGCGGTTCCCAAGGTCGTCCACATCAACATCGTCGTCTCGGTGTCGTCTGCGTCTGCTCTTTCGGCTCTTGTGCTCATCGCTCTCATCCTCGACAGGTGAAGCACGTGATCCTTTCGTAGCAAGACTTACCAAGCCCCCAGCTGCGGCGAGTCCTGCGGCGGTAGCTACACCCTTCCGTAGGCCTGGGTTTTCAGGGCTTGGGTCTCTGCTTCGTGGTATGCGACGTTCGTCGCTGGGCTTGGAGGCCACGTCGTTATCTCGAGCCCTGTCCCGCTCGCGAGCTCGGTCACGCTCACGCTCGCGATCGCGTTCATGGTCTCGTTCTTTACCATTTTCGCGCTCTCTGATTTTGTCCCTCGCACGATCTCGATCTCGATCGCGGTCCCGGTCCCTGTCGCGATCCCGATCCCGATCTTTGTCTCTCTCACGAGCCCGATCAGGTTCACGAACCGCCGCTCTTTCACGGTCTTCATGATATCTAGTCTTGTGATAATCCTCTTCGTCGATACGTTCATGGCGTGTCCGGTTGGAAGGTCTGCTGTCTGAAGTGTAACCATCACGGTCGTCGCGATAGTGATGCAAGACAGCTGGAGTCCTCGCGGAGTGCCGCCTACGTGGGACGTCACCTCCTCTATCCCGCTCGGGGTCGCTGTCACCGCCGCGAGAGGGTCTTGGAGGATCTCTTTCTAGCCTTTCGAGGGCAGCGCGAGAAGATGCCGGAGGGGGTCCTTCTCTCCGCGGAGGTGGGATCCTGTATTCTTGAAGACCCATCATACTTACCGGCCGCTCACGGCGACTATAGCTCTCTCGGCGGACTGGTGGTCTTGCAGACTCTTGCAAAAATTGCTCTTTTGGTGTGGTGTAGGAAAAGCCTTCATCGTGAGGAGGTGCCCCAGCGGAAGGATGGGAGGAATATTGGTTATAGCCACCACGACGGTGGTACTCCGGTTGTCTGTTAAGTCGACTGGAGTTCAGTCGTTCCTGGTCGGCATAGGTTGCAGAAGAATGTCTGTGGTGGTTACGTGTAGCAGGCTGTAGATAGCGGTCTTCCCTAGCGGGGACGGGGTGGTAGCGAGGGTCATCGCGATATGAGGATGTGGTGGCAGGGTATCGATTGCGGGGCGGAGAGGCAGGCCGGGCTATGTACGTGGAGATCGGACGGCGCTGTTCTGAAACGGCTGAATTGTTCCTGGGACGAACGGAGTACTCAGTCCTTAAAAACCCACCGCCAGGGTGGTGGTCGTCGAGAAAGGTCTTCCTGATGGGTTGGGTGGTATAGGAGCTGCCATGACGAGGGGCAGGGAAAGAGTCATAGGTCGTCCGAGATGACGGGTTGTACCTGTTGCCGTCGAAAGAAGAAGAATAGACCATGCCAGTCGAGGCACGAGGATCAGGAGCGTATCGCCTGACTGGCGAGGATGGTCGATAGCGATTCTCGGACATGGTTGAAGCGGGGTCTTATGAATGTAGATCGATGTTGGAAGGCATCAAGACCGCGGGAAAGTGGAAAGACAGAGGATGGAGATGCTATCGCAGCCTGAGGAAGGAGGCAGCGGCAACGTTGGGTGTTTGACTCTCGATATGACTATGTATGTGGCTGTTCCACGGAAGAACTCAAAAGCCAGGAGGTTCCGCAGGGAAGGGATGAAGCACCACGGGTAAATGAATCTTTCGTTGGTTTCGACTGATGGGATTGGCAGGATCAACCAGGTCGACACCGGTTCCAATTGGGAGGAAGTCAAAGACAAGTCGCCCCTCAAATTACGGTCATGAGGGGCAGAAAGACAGGCACCTGATCCTTTGGTCGGGCGTAGACGTAGACGTAGACGTAGACGCGTAGAGAGGAGTTAACGTCAGCCTAGCTACTATAGTAAATGAGTAGCTGACTTGGTGGGTAGTGGGTGGGCACGACTCGAGGTGGGATCGAGTAAGCCTCTCGGTAGTAGGTAGGCGTATCGAGGCTACTAAGTAAGTACTTGGTAGGTAGATTTTTGAACCAAAAGAGTAGAAGAAGTTTGCAAATAAGATGCTTGGGAGAAGATGGAATGTTGGAGATGAATCTGACAGGCTTTTCATATCAGAAATCATAAACATTGAGAACCCACTCAAATTAATCCGTGCGACAGCAGTGGCCAGCAGTGATAGAAGCTTACCTATCCAAGGGAGCACGATGCTCTGGCTCAAGCCGTCCCGGCGCACTGGGGCTGAGGAGTTGGCGTTCATGGTTTGGTCATGGTGGCAGGGTTTGGTCGAGGGGCCAAGGGGACGTCCCCTCTTCCTCTGTGTTGTGGGTGCCCAATCGACATGAGACGTCATCGCCTCGTCGATGATGCAGTCCATTGCTTCTAGGCATTGATCTAGGCTGCCATGGCATACTTTGCCCGACCATAGTTGCCCGAAAGTTGCCTTTCGCGCCCTTCTCCTTAAGGACCTAGTGTGTGTTAGTGGCCGAAGCCCGCCCACAAGAACATGTCAACCACCATCCAAACTGGTTGGCTTGTCCACCAATTAATTACCTGCCGCGTGCAACCATAAGCGTGCAAGGCCCGTCACGCCCGTCACTAAGTTACCCGAGGTGCCGCCTCAGCCGTACTGGGGATCCAAAAACGCATACGACATGCCTGCACATCTGTGCCTTTTGGTTCATTATGGACATTCAACCACCACATCACCCATAACTTGTTTAGCAACAACCTCATTGCCACATAACGACTGGATCTCACTCGGAGCTGTGCATCCCATGTGTTTCTCATCAGATTCTGCTCTGCTTCCATTATCTCGGATTCTCTCACCATGGTTGTGGCGTCGTGCCACTGCGTCTTGAACGATGCGTTGCACACAAGCACAAACAAGGCGCACAAGGCAACTTCACCTCATCATCTCCATCCGTTTCGGTCTCCTGACTTGGCTGGAACGGCAGTGACAGTATCATATTACCTCCATTCTAAGCATCGTCGCACTAATCATTGTTACTGCCCAACCGGGCTGCGATACCCCTCCCAGTTCCTTTACATTCAACGCCGATCATATCAATTCATGCCCAATCCCTCCCACCACGACGCGGAAAAGCACTAAAGATGAACTTCAAACCCTGGGCTTGACGAGTTTCTTTCGACCTAGGAGCAGTCACTGCCGAGGTATCCATAGTGAAGACCCATTTCCGTGCCTATCGAACCTAAATAATGTCTATCACATAGACGACAAGCACCTTGCATATCCCCGGCCGGCGCATGGACTCAGCCATGATGTTGTTGACTTTGATAAAAGATTGAGGAATTGCGATCACTCCTAATCGCGCTGAGAGAGACCCGCACGTCCTTCGAGGAACAAGCCAGCCAATGCTTGATGACAATTGACCCAACCACACCTTCATCCTTCTATGCGGGGAATGTATTTCGGAGTAGCTTCTGTTCAAGATGGGTCGCATACTTCCAAGGTGGGTGACCCAGGCTTGATGTCCTACAGGTGAGTCCTGGTGTGGCTCGGTCGTACTTAGCTGTGCTAGAGCGAGGTCCAGTCCGAATCTGGTCGGAAATGGAGTCTCCATGTGCTGATGCCCAAGGTGCATTTCATGGCTGTAAGTGACAGAACGAACCAGGCAAGGGTCGAAAAGATCATGCGCCTCCTTTGAGCTGCCCACAATTGTTTGGTTCTCATGCTCTATCAGAAGTTGTGGTCCCGCGATGACGGAGCATTCGAAGCGTTGATCTGATTTGGTTTCTGGGCACCAATTCTTCTTCTCTGCTGGGAATTTGTCTCATGTTGGCCCTTCAACGAGGAAAAATGTGTCTCAGAGACAAAGATGTTCTTGCAGGTCGACTTCTTGGTTGTCTTCTTCAGTTACTTTAGGCCAGCTGCCTACAAGGGCGCAAGCTGCAATGATAGGCAAGAGATACAACGCTGGGACGGGAGGAGCTGGGAGCTGCCTGGGAGGACCCCCTTTTCTTTCACTACGGCTCCAGCTCTCCGTTCTCTCTCTCATTGGATAGATAATGATAACTTGACTGAAAAGATGACATGGAATTGCCAGTGACCCCCGGGTTCCGGACAAGCCTTTGCTTTGTTACGAGGCATTCTTGAATTGTGCAACTGCCTCAGCCTAGGTTGCTGCTTATTGAGCCCGACATTATTGTAGAGCCATGACTACAAGTCCAGTACCCTTCCTTATTCGACGGACTGCCATGGCAGTACTGTCTGAGCCGCCTAGGCCAGCGAGGATGTGGTCTTTCTCTTATGTCTCTCAGATTCTCCCTCTTCTTTCTCTCCCTCTTTTGGCTAGAACAGCGGAATATATTACCACGACATTTCTGGCCCGCGCAATATTCAAGAGTGGACCAGGCCGGCAATAAAGCTGGTATAGGGATGCCCGTACCACGGGTATGGGATACCGCGCTTTGTAGAATGATATGTCATCTGTACAAGTCTTTCGAGTCCACTACCCAAGTCTTCTGTGTCTGAATGATGTATGATGATATCTAATGAATGGCAAGACCCACGGAAGTATGCTAGCTGTCTCGTTGTTGGTTGAGTATCCACAAGAGAGCGCTTTCATCCTAGTAGCCGAGCCAGTGTCTGCAGAAATTGGGTTGGATTTGTTTGGGAATTGTAGAGAAATGTATCATTTTCAGAGCCGCATGCACCATAATCATGTTAATCATACTGGCGCTGTTCCTCTTGCGACAATCGACAAGGTATCCCGGGTGTTCCTTGCTTGTCACAGCTCTTTTAATATTAATTCACCTTGCAACTGTCGTCAGACCATAGGGATGAATGACCTTACTTATCAACAAGGATCACCATAGGCGCACATGGCCTCATATGGAACACATGGTACACATGGCTGTTAGAGACCGCTGTATATCCCCCTGTTGCGTAGCCTTGGACCTTTGCTGTCGACACAGCATCTCTGCCATATGTCTGCGCAGGTGTACTTACCTTGGCCAGACATTCCTGAGGTTCGATCTGCTCCAGCCGTGGACATGATACCATGGAGACCCACAAAATGGGCGGTCTGCTGAAGACAGTCACCTCGCCAGAATCCTCGATCGTCACAGTTGTCTTCTCAGCTGCTCCTGGCAAGCACCAAGACCTTTTCTGACGAGGCAGACCTCCCCGATAGGAAGGACATTCAGCTGTGGAAGTCCCCTAAAGCAAGTGCGTGTGCGTCTCTACCGAAATATCCTTTCCGAAATTGAACATCGTAGTCAGGACACTCGGTTGGCAGTCGGTGAGTACCGAATCTCGAATGAAATGAGTGGTGAGTCCTTTTGCATTGATTCCTGCAGCTAGGGGCAGGTCTCGGAGTGGTCAAGCCGAAGACTTATGACTGCGGTTATGTCAAAAAAGTTCAGAAAAAGTTGTTTGCACTTCCATTTCCGGCGAATGAGAAACATCGTGGCACACATGGCAACTCATCCAGTAGCCACGGGGGTGGGCAATGTTTGACAGCTGTCGCTGCATGTACGGAGTAGTATTAGCGATGATGATCGGCGGCGGAATATCCCACTCCAGTGGACAGACGTCGATCGGATGGCTGGCGAGGCTGAAGGGACCTGAAGACTCACCGCAAATCTCGGCTGCTTCACGAATAGAAGAAGATATGCCACTCGTTCTGGTCCGAAGTAGGTACCATGCAGCAGTAGGGAGGTGCCTTCCTTCCGGGCACAGACGGCGTTGGACCTCAACCTGGGGCTGGAGACAGCTGCGACGACGTTATCAAAACTGCCAATAGCAACCCAGGGGCCCGGAAGGTCGTTTGACGAGAGTTCCGCAAGATTGATGGATGGCCGGAAATCGAATGATGCGTCGGGTCCCTCACTGCGCTCTATGGTCGTGCTTGGGGGTACTTTGTCAAACTTACTTCATAACATCCGACATTGATGGCAGCGGGTGGCGGTATCAGGAGACATATCTTGTGATTGACCGTCCAGGTACCTACAATGTCGATGACGAACAAATTGCGCCGGACGCAGCGAGCTCATTGCTGATAGTCTTCGAACATTGGGTAGGTATGATTGCAGGATGTTGTTATTTCGTGATGTGATTGTGATCTCTCGAGTTCTATCTGGGTCAACTGGCCCTTGATACTAGGTATCCATAAACTTTTGACAACAGATACCTGATGTACCTAGTACCTGGCGTGCGCTGGGGCTCAGCAGTAGTTCACTACTTAAGTACTAGAGGTAGGTTAGGTACCTACCTACTCCGTACTGTACCTAAGGTACTGGGTAATGTACAGTAAGCAAAGGGCCGAGCGGGGGGACACACTCCGGCATAATGGTTTGTCTGACCAGCTAACAGCACTGGATTAAGCGGTCAGACACTGAAGCCCAGGGGCGTTATAGGCTGGAATAGGTAGCGGGTATAGGGAAGGCTGTTCATGGGGGCCTGGCCCTGGCAGTCACAATCAAGCGTATTTCCTCATATACAAGGGGGCACGGGAGGCAGGGAAGACGATCTACCTGGAGTGAGTGGCCCACGAAGATTGTCAGGAATCCGGTTCTGGGGGTCAAGAGTGATGGGGATATACAGATGGGCAGGGAATTCGACGGCAAGTCCCCTGTTGACGCCGGTACTGGACAATTGAAAATCTTTGACGACGGGCAGCTACAGAGAGAGAGCTGGGGGTGGAGTGGCTGGGGAGCTGGTGACCAGGGGTTTAGGCAATGAGTCTCTCAAGCCCTTGCATGCGCGATACCCTCCTGCTCTAAAAAGGCGGGTGGCACCATTGATTCAAGGCTACAGAGTACGGAGTACTCGTAGTTGGCCCTCTTGGGCACCTGGTCTTACCTAGCGGGGACCCTGGAATGAGCCTCTTGGCGCCCCCGGGGGCCCCTGGCTGGTCAGAGCTTGTACCTGAAGATCCGTCGATGGGGGGTCAAGAGACACCCCTGGAAGAACAATCTCCAGGGGTACTTGCGCGTTGGGTGCAGTGGCTCCATGGCCCCTAGCTAGGGTCATGCCCAGCCCATCGGCTGGTGGATTGAGAATCAGA